TCCATTACATAACTTTATCCGCATGTGTGTTCCTTGGTTCGAACCGCTTTTCAAATGTCTTTCTTGCAGGTAGTGCGATTGTGGCCTTCATAATGACACCGGGTGCATCGATTAGGAACAGCCTTCTTCACTTTAGTTGCCTATATTAAGATCAAAACTCTTAATTTTTAGGAGGGGTTATAATACGAGTCATATTATACTTAAGGATCTTATCACTTACAGGGAATTCGCCTTTGGATGGAATTCTTGCTACCTTCCTCCTACCTAATCCTCTACGATTTCTTGGAGGCATGATAAGAAGTTCACCAACATCTTCAGGGATTACCTCATCTTTCGGGTCACCCTCAGGACATATTATGTCGCTGTAAGTCTCTTGCCAAGCATCCGGTTTGAAGACATGACCAGACAAACTACTTGGCAACAAACCTAGGGAGTCTCCTGCAAGCAGAGCATGGCCACATGGAATCTTGAGACGGTCGAATTTCTTACAAGAACACTTCCTCTCTTTCAACTGAACGAGGTTCCTCTCTCCAAATTGTCCGACGACTTGACAAGTCCAATTAGAAACCAAATTAACAGAGCTTCCTACAACCTCTGTCCTATGTATCATGATTTGTTTCTCAACCTCTGGAGTTACACCACCACGACACTTAAGCGACTTCTTTCTGCGACAACTAAACCACCGCGTCATCATAGACTGGATGAACTGGAGAAGCTCAACGATTGGACAACCCCTGCCTTCCTTCAACGCCTTGTTCAGCTGCTCACATGCATTGCTTGTCATCATGTTATAACGTTCACCCTTGCAATACACTCTGGTCCAGTGACCCATCCCAGCTTTCTCCAAGTACCTAGCACATTCACTACTTGTAGATCTAATCTTGTCAAAAATCATATTAAAGGTCTTAACCCTATAGGCATACGCAGCCAGCTTCACTAATTTAGCCAATCCTTTGTTAACAAACGTTGATCCAACGTTTCTTGCCAAATGAACAATACAAGCAACGTGGACAGCTCGTGGGTATGCAACTTTCATCGCAGGATATATTGCCGGGTGCCGATTAGAGACTATAGTCAATGTAGGGCTGTCTGCCAAAATCTTCTCTAATTTCTTCAAAAACCAGGTCCAGGACTCCTCATCTTCAGCATCAACAACAGCATAGGCGAGAGGGAATAGCTGACAGTTCGCATCTTGACCTACGGCAGTAAGCAAAACTCCCTTGTACTTTCCCCATAGATGAGTTCCGTCGATTGAAACTACAGGTCTAAGCTTCCGGAATCCCCTTATTGATGCACCAAAAGCTAAAAACACGTACATGAACCTCTTATGTCCCTCTTCATCAACATCTATCTCCAAATCAGCTACGGTACCAGGATTTGCAAGCTTCAGCATGTGCAGATAGGTAGGCAGTTTGAGATAGGACTCTTCCTCGGTGCCTCTAACCTCTATAGTTGCTTTCTCTTTCGCCCTATAACATTTCATGTAAGAAGCATTAACACGCAAATCTTCCAACACCATGCGCTGAAGTTCCGCTGCCCTTGGACCTTTCTCAGGATCACCGTATTTTGCTTTGAAAACAGCAGCTATTACTCTAGAAGAAGCTCTCTTCTTGTAAGCATTACGTGTGTCGATGGAGCAACTGTGGTTTAGCTGAGCCCTCTGTATTTCGTACATACCACAATCGCCTACTTCCCGAGCCCTTATCCTCCAATCACAACGAGAATCTGGACAACTAAGAATAAAATAGTGACGCTTTGTCGTCGTCTGCTTGAATTGGAACATACCTTTAATGGCGTAAATTGCCAAAGCAATTTGACATTCTTCCTTGCTGGAAAATAGTCTGCCTACTTCAATTCTGCATGCAGCTTCATCAATATCCAAGTCTGGTATGTCATCATTATCGTAGGTGGTATCATCAAACAGAGGAGGTATGTCAAACTCTTCATCGTCGATCTCTCCCAAAGGAACAGTAGGACGTTGGCATGGGATGAATGGAGGCTGTGGTTCGTAAGAAGCACCGTTTTTTGCAGGAGTTTCAGTTTTGAAATCCTTAGACTCATAATCACCGGAGACAATTGTATGATCGAAAGCATCATTACTGGTACATAGGTACTCTTTGTGCTTCCCCATCGCGGCCGCTTTGCCATTGAAGCCGTCACTTGGTGGACACATAACATCAACTGCGTTTGATCCACCATAGACATCTTGGACAAATGGAACCCAGAATTCTGTATCAAAGCTAACAGGCCTAACGTCAACATTGTCATCTGCCAAATCACCTAAGCAGTCATCTGGATCGTTCTCCTCGGAGGCATAGGGTGTTTTATCGGGAAAATACTGTTCCATTCGCTCCACCTCGTCGATAAACTCGTCTTCCACGAATTGTATTGGGATCCCACCGGATGATCCGGGAGTGTCAAAGCGTACGTTTTGGTGACCGGAAACGTAACCTGCAGGAGTATCAAAGCTCGAAGAGGGACACTGTTTCTTGCGCCCCTGAATTGGTGTCTCAAATCCACTACCAAGTGAAGAGAAGCTTCTTACACTACCGCTCCTCCTCACTGAGTCACCAGCGGATCCGGATCCCTCGTCGAAAACCCTTTTAAGACTCGGCGTTGGAGTGTTGTATCCCATAGAAACAGAGGTACGCTCTCCGTCAGTGAACGTAACGAAGAGGTTAACGGTCCTCTCAACACGGTAGTGCTTGAAAAAGAATGAAATACCTTCGGCATTCGTCAAGAGGACAGGTGGTGTAGTGATTCCGGTGGCAAGCTCGGTGCTATTAGGTGGCCAGTAGCTCAGTGAGGCAGTGACTCCGGAAGGACGTAAACCAAAGAACTCACCAACGACACCGTTTTTCAACTCTTCAATGTTCATATCTTCTCTTATTGTAACAACTTTAGACATCTTGCTCTTGTCGATAGTAAACTCCCAGCGACCATCATCTAAACACGTCCAATCACCACACATTACCAAGCAATGCTCTTCCATGGTTAAATTTCTTTCGTCTAAACTCAATAAGCCTAAACAGCCGTTTAGCTGCAAGACCCAATATAACAAAACCCTTGTTTGTGTACGGATGCTTTGAACGTGTCCCAACCCCTGACCACGCGATGAAACAGTCATTAAATGCCGTCTCCATAAATGAACGGATGCGATTGTGTACTAAAATTTTCAAATTGGCGCCACTCAACTTTGGTTGGTTGTTTCATCCAACAAAAACTATCCAACTACGTACGGCTTTGTTATGTACGGATGAGTTGGATGTCTCAACCACCTATAACGTGTCCCAAAACCGACCACCCGATTAAATGCGAGGTAAAAAAATAGACGGGTGCGATTGGATACTAAAAGTTGCAAAATCGCTATTCTCTGCTTTGGTTTCTTTTAGACAGGTATTTCATCCAACACGAACTATCCGCAGGTAACTGTACAAAACAACCAATATAACTGTACAAGACAACCATCCAGAATGAAACTGTACAATAGAACCATCCAAAAGGAAACTGTACAAGCACGGCTTCGGAAGTAGATTTCCGCAAATTGAATGAACTGGAGATTAGCAGCTGGGGAAGTGGATTTCCGCAAATTAAGTTCCGATTGTTGCCGACGACAAAGTGTAGACTAGATTACTTATCAGGTTCCATCCGTAATTGAATTTCTGCTATGTGTTATCGATGAGGATGCTTTGTGTTATGTATCGACGAGATTCGTTTAGATTATAGGTTCCGCAAAAGTTTTTAAGAAGTCGATTTCCGTTCAAACATTGCGACACAGTCCACGAATCCGACTTCGATACAACTCCGGCGGTGAACAGATTGTAAGGTAAAAGGACAGGGTTAATCTGAAATTCGCTTTCCTATCATTAAGGGTAAATGTGGAAAAACATGTCACACATTCAAGACAAAGTGCACCTCTGTTTTGAAGTCCCTTTTTCTGTAATGTGAAAATCATAATGTCACTCTAAGTGTAAATATCTCGAGAGCTAGGGCCGGTATCATTATCATACAATATCCGGCCTTGATTATACCGAAATAAAACTTTTGCGATCTCAATCTTTGAGATTTGGATAAAGTTTGAAGCAAAAGGTTAAAATTACTTTCGAGGATAAAATTTTGGGATGCGTGTGATACAGTTTACAAATTATTTTTTCGCCGTCTAGTGGGTTTGGTTCAGAAACACATTTTTTCCTATGTGTAGATAAATCACTGACTCGCTTTAAAAAAGTTACATTACTTTTTTTTTTTTTTTTTTTTTTTACGTTTCATTTTAAGGATGAATCACAATTTCAAAAAGGCTGCTTGTTGTATTACTGGTCGAAACCTCTCGATTCTTAGTCTAGTCATCGTCTCATCGATCTATTAGTCTTAAGACTCATAACTTCTCATCAAAGCCATCTTATCCTCCAACTAAACAGTGACACTATGCCAAATAATTGATGGTTACTCGTTTGTTTTTCTTTGTTACATATCTATCAAGACAGTGATATCTTATTGGCTGCCAAGCAAAACTTTATGAATCATACAATTAACGTCTAAATTGCCGACATAGTATGTTCCTTATTATTATTATCAGCCATTAAAAAAGCTTTGGTTTCTTGCCCTTAATTTGGACCCCTACTAAGATTTTGTGTAAATTTAATACTATTGATCAAAGTCACAAAGTGGCTCTCGATCAATTATAAAAGTGATGCTTAACTAACAGATAATATAAGTCCTTTTGACCTTATGACACCATATACAATAATTAGATTTGAAAACGATAATCAGACGAAAATAGATAATCAATAAAATGCAACAAAAACCAAAATTCAAACGGATTTGATTTATAAAAAAAACACATATATCGACAACGTTGCGAATCCGCTCATTACACTTGTTAAATACGCCTTCCTAATTCTCTATGTACCTTTTAGATATTGGTTTCATCGGTTTATTAAGGCTACGTAATTACTGATTCGATTTCGATAAAAACCAATCCGGTTTAGCTTGCGCGCATGTTAGCCCTGGTTCAACGTATCCCAATAAGATGCGCACTTCCTCTTAGCGAACCCGACCCTTCTGTTCAACAAATCATACACAACCTCGAACCCTTGTTGCTGGTAATTCCCCAAGATTGCTCCGGTCCCACCTCGAAGCTCCGATTCATCCCCACCGTTCATCAGCATCAAACACCCGACTTTCCTCTTCTCTCCTTTTCCATCTCCACCGTCCGTGAACTCGTAGAAGTAATTTCTCCTGGGGAGCGCAACACTGGATCCGTTCCCGGCAAAATGCAAAACGAGAGCTGGAACTCTAACCGTCTGATTGAAATAGTAGCAAGGGCTCATACCTGTACCCGATTCGACCCGATCAGCCCGATCGTGTACCCGCCCGACCCGACTGTCGAATTCCTCCACCACCGAATTGTAGAATTTCGCCGGAAGCATCGTGAACGTCGTCCCCGAATCGACTACAATTCCTCCGCCGCCGTTTCTGTCCACTCGTCTGAGCATCGTCGGAGCAGGAATATTCCGTTTTCCGATGGAGATTCCTTGGAGGGAAACAGAGTAGAAGTAAGGATGCTTCGGGTTTTCAAGCAACTCTGTGTACACGAATTCGATCTTCTCGTCATCGTTGTCTCCGATGCGTTTCTCTTTTTCGTCGACGAAACGGCCCAGGATGAGTGGACTCGGACGGATGACTCGGTCCGACTTGAACGAGTGAGAGACGAGGCAGTAAGAGAAGCTATTTCCGAGGTGAGGAGAGTAAGCGGCGAGCTGAGCGGGAATCGAGAGGCGTCCGCGGCCGAATCCGGCGACGCCGATAGGTTCGGCGAGGGTGGTGTGTGCGCAGCCGAAGGTGAAATTAGCGACGGAGGCGGGAGGGAGAGAGAGCGAGTCGGAGAAGAGGCGTGCCACGAGAGAGCCGTCACCGTAAGCGTAGTAGAAAGGCGGGCAAGGGTAGGAAGAAGTGTTGCATTCGCCGGTTTCGATTAGGTCGAGAGGACAGTTGGAGATGGCGCAGAGGTCGGAGGAGGGAAGGGAGGAATGAGCGGCGGAGCAAGAAGGCGAGGAGCAGGGGACGGTGGAGGCGGAGGAGGAGAGAGTGGAGAGGAGAGGAGGAGGTTTTGATTCGCAGAGGATGCAGGTGAGAGGACGGCAAGGGAACCATACAAGGTCGCTTCCGGTGTCTAAGTAGAGGGAAACGGAGGCGGAGGAGCCGACGGATAATGAGAGGAGGTAATCGCTGCCGGAAGAGAGAGGAAGAGGAAGTTGTTTCTGACGTTTGTGGTGGCGGCGGAAACGAGCGGAGGAGCGGGAGGAGGATGATTTGAGGAGGTGGAGAGGAGAGGAAGAGTGTTTGGAGGTTGAGAGAGAGTGAGAGAGAGGGAGAAGAAGAGGTGATGATGAAACAGAGAAGTGGAAACAGTATTGGAGAATCGCCAAGTAGAGGAAGATGATGGAACAAGTTTTCATGGCGGATAAAATAAAACAGTGGCTCCACAAGGAAACTGGTTTTGAATTTGAAGAAGAAGAGGAGGTCGAGTGTTTATAGGACAGAGAGCAAAGAGAAATGATCATTAATTAAATATTTAAAAGGCTACTCAATATCTTAATTACACGGTGATTACTGATTACGAAAGGCATTGTGTTTGGCCATCATTTCATTGATAGTTAGTAAAAGAGAAAGACTTGATGAGCGATTAAAAGAGTAGCATGCAAAGCAGAGTCCTGAATAAAGCATTGAGTTTTGACACGAAACTAAAACCAGTACATATCAAACGCTGTCGTATGGTAAAATTCGAAGTCAACTCCATTGTTCATTGATGAGATGGGGAGTTTGCATGCAACCATACATTGCTACGTTTGATTTCTCTTTAGTCTTTACTACTAGTATTTAGGTTCCAATCAAAATCCATTGTCAATCATTTAATTGGCTACGACATATCCAACCCACACCCTCGGATATCCATAATTTTGACATCTCCAAAGTCCAAACAATATCAATGCCTTGAAACCATAATTATTTCGTGGAAAAATTGTTAAAAAATATAGGAAAAATAGTGTCACATAGAGAAGCCAGGTGGGATATTGCGCATGGAGGGTTAAAGAGTAGAGAGAGAAACGTACGTGTACCTTGCTCTCCTCCACACACAAGCTTAAATTCTCCTTCGGTATTGTCACCTGACAATTTTCTGATTTGATAATATCTTTCTTCTATGCATCATTTTTAACCACTTCATTATGAAATATCTTCTTTTTTTTTTTTTAATTAGTTTATATTATGTAGTTTCGTTTTTATTATACTTAGAAGAATCAAAATTTCTCATATTTAATTAATTTTTCTCCCATCACCATATTTTCCTCAATAAATCTCAAAACATTTCTCTAAATTGTCATGTAAAAAGTACTTTTTGGGCTGAAATTGATTTTACATTCAATTAAATTCAAAGAAAATTTTTCATACTAAAAGAAAAATCTAACTAAATAACCTATCATATAACGCATTTCTCAAACATGTCATCTATTATCGAGCCAAACTTAATGATTCCATACATGTATATGTTACGATATCAAACATTTTGCTTTATCAAAACAAAGATATCAGATATTATGATAATTTTGCGAACGATACATGACCAAAAGGGATGCATTGTTAATCCCAAAGAAGTATATCTTGTTTATCTCTAAACTGATTTTCAAACACTTTTAAAAAAAAAAAGAAATGGTTGATTTTGAAACACATTTGTAAACATATTCTAAGCTAATCAATCATCGCAAAAGAGATTAGTGATTAATAGTGGATAGGTACCAATTTTAAAACGTGAATATAAAGGCTAGTGGCTATGTTTTATACTTTTATTGAGACCAAATTAGGTAGAGAGAAACGCTAGACGACACAAGGCCTACTACTACTAGTCTACTACGTATAAAATTCACCAACCTCCTCCGGTACAAGCCGATACTTTTACGAAAAGTAATTTAGAGGATAAGTTTTGGCAAAAGGAACGTATTTAAAAATTTGGAACTTGAATTTCTTTTTACTAAAAGAGCAGAAAATATTTGAAATTTTGAAAAACTAAACGAAACCGTGTCGACGTTTTGGATATGATTCGTCAGCTCTTAATGAAAGAGTTTGTGTGGATTCTTCTTGTTTTCTTTTTAGAAAACCCAAAAATAAAAATCCATTTTTTAAATTCAGTTCTTGGATACAGCTGTTAACAGAGAGGCGATTTCGAAAATTTATGTAAGAAAACTAAATTAGCTGTACTCGAAAAAACAAAAACAAAAACAAAAGAAAAAACGAGAAGCAAAGGCATACCTAAGGGTTGAGACTTGAGTGTGACGTTATTGCAGTTTTGTAGTCTTCTGGCAAAATCAATCGTCACTCCAAGAAGAAAAGGTTCATGCCTGTCTTCTTCGCCAGAGCTGTTCTCTTCACAACTCGCAACGCAATCACAGGCGCCAGCTTTAGCTTTTTAGCTTTCTTGTGTTACCATAAACAAAAAGTTATTAGAGACTTTGATATATAATATGATACATGAGACTACCACATATTTCCCTAAAATGTATACCTTATTACACTGATTAATAATATTGAACCCTAGACCCCGATACTAAGACAGGTAGTAGTATCATATGGTGACACAATGGTAACAATATAATGAGACAAGAGGGAATAATTAACATTTTGAGAAATCTAAGAGTGTTGTACTGTTTTAACCAAACAGAGAAGAAGACGAACTCACCAACCTCTTCATCTATAATCATTGCCAATCAACAAAACAAATTGCTATTTTAATTTTCAAAGTTCTCTGCTTTAGTAGAGCATGATCACCTTGCAAGTTGGTTCCAAGCATTACAAAAATACAAAAACATTTAAGGACAGGACCAACCCATTTAAAATCTCTGGAAAAAACAGAGCAAGAACCAAACAAAGAGTTGGTATTTGACAGGGGTGGTTGAGGATTACCAGTAAACCCGCCCAAAAAAGCTTATAATTTGTGGGCCTAAATCCTTCAAGACAATGGCATATCATGAATTTCAATTATTGTGAGAGTTTCGTACTAATTAAGGACATAACATCAATACAAAATTTTTGTTGTGCATGGTCATATTCTTGAGTTTCAGTGGTTCATATTTCAAACGTCACCAGAATGTTATACCATAACAAATCTTTTTACTATTCACTTTATCGCAGAAAAACCCATCTTAGAAACAGTAGTACCCTTGGAACAAAAAAAGAAAAGAAACAGTAGTACCCTAGCCAAAATATCAATCCTAGAAGCTAAAGGCACTGCAAGTGCAAGCTGTACTTCTATCTCTAACTGCACAAGTTGCATGTGAACAGAGAAGATTTGGTCTCAATGCATCTAGTACTTAAATAAGCACAGATTCGTAGTTGTGATGATATTTCCACCGCAAAGGATCAGAAAACAGAATGGTCACTCCTAACGTACCTGTTCTGTAGATAACTATGCTGTTGCAACTTGCAAGAACACATCTGTACCAGTTAAGCTGGAGTATGGTGAAGATAATCTCATGCACTGCAACCACTACCTTCCCTACATTTAAAGACGTCATAGCATCAAAACAACACAAGAAACCTTTACATTTATCAGCAACTATATATAATCTCTGCTTAAGTGTACATCTTATGGCGGTTTATATCACAATCCTTCTTGTCTACATCTCATACCCATTAAGTATGGCAAATAACGAGAGTGGCGTCACTGCCTATAAAAAATTACATAAAATTACTGGACATGTCCTTCTCCAATAGAAAATCCACAACAATATTTCGGCATTTCATAACAGATTTGCCAGCGGAAAAAATATCAAAGAGATATTGCACAGTTAAAGCGAAGAGAAGCACCGCAACGCAGGTTCAGTTACACCTTTGAAGGAAGAGGTCTTATCTTGTCCAGCAGTGCCGCTGCTTCAATAAATCCACCAAAAGGTCCCAAAGACTTGTACTTGATGGCTTTCCATCTGTTTTGACGACAATGTTTGAGAAAGAAAGCTTATTTTTAGTTTCAAGCCATGGGAAAGTAAGAGTTTTGCAAGAAAGACCCACAATTAAGAAGCATATATCTATACCTGGGCGTAAAAGGTAATGCAAAACAATGGAGATGGAGATGATCAACACTGTTAAAAGGTGGCTGGTGAAAACCAAATCTGCGATTAAGGAGAAGGCAAACATCAAGTCTCAAGCATCATTTGCAATGATTAAATATCCGATAAAGTGTTTGTAACCAAAAAGCCTCACCTATGTATGGATTGAGGTGCGTCTTTCTGCAACAGTTCTTGCCCCACACTTAGCATGTGACTTACTGCTCAAAACACAACAACGCACATCCTTATCTAAGTTTTGCATAGTTACATAACATGAAAATGATGTATATAATATGTTTTGCAGACCAACCTAGTGAGTAATCTTCATCTCTTCTCTTGAGGTCTCTCACTGTTGGAATGTGTTCTTTTGGAATTACCAGGTAGTGCCTACAATCAATGTTTTTGTTCTTAATAGTCAGATGGCAGCTAATTAAGCAGAAGAAGCTAATAATAACCACCATTTTCAGCAACACTTGTTCCAAGGATATGAAAATTCATATTTGCTTTCGTTTTATCGTCATCTCCATAAACCAGATTACATGTTGACATCCAATTTCCAGATTATATCCTAGCAACGAATTACGAATCGATCGCTGAGAAATGAGATTCAATAGAAGCAAAGCGAGTGAGAAGACAAACCTCTGAGCGGCTGGCTTGATGTCTTGGAACGCGACGACCTTCTCATCCTGAACCAAAAAAAATCATAAAACCCAGCTATTCATCAGATGTCTCCGTTTGATCGCAGAGTAAAAACGTAAGTTAACTCATCAATTAGTCTCTCATTGTGACGCAAACAACAGAGAGCAAATCGGGAATTGGGGAACGATAAGTGAAGACGAACGTACGTTGTGAAGGAGACGAGTAGTGGAGGTCGGATTGCGCACGATCTGACAGAAAATACACGCCTGATTCGCTCCCGCCATTTCTTCTCCTTGCTTTCTGTGATCGGAATTTCAAATCGCCGCACAAATTCGAAAAACTGGATTTCGATTTCAAAGTTGGGCGATGAGAAAATTCGAACAGACGAACTTTTCCCAACTGAAAAACTGTGTGAGTATTTTTCACTTTAACCCCAAAAATAATTGGTATTTCTGAATTAACCCATAAATTCCTCTAAGTTCTGATTTAGTATGTGGTTTTGTAATTTCTACTGTTAACATTTTGACCTGATAAACTTTTATGAAACAAAATTCTGTAATACACGTGACCAAGTCCCAAGAATAAAAATACAAATTTCAAACAATTTTGTCTTCAATAGACTGTGGCATCACGTATGGTCATTTCAAAACTCAAGTGTTAAATTGCAATAGAAAGAATATTACGGGGACCTAAACGAAACAAAAACATTAAATAGATGACGGAATCTCTCCGGCGACGGCCTAAAGAAACCTTTTTTAATCTCCGTTCATGTCGCTACTGTCTCTTGTTCCCAAAACCTTTTTCCCTCGTCACTCCTTCCGGTGTCGCTCAGTGACTCGCCTGAGGTCCGTCGCTGCTCGAACCATGAGCTCTCAATCGAGCCAGCGCGTCTTCCAGCTCAGACAAGACCCACTCACCGGAAACTCGGAGTGGATTGTAATCGAAGAGAATGACCAAGCCGGAGCTCCAGAAACTTCGACGGACGGCCTCCTCGCGACGACGTCGTATCTCGACATGCTCAATGACTCTCGCCGCAACCGAGCTTACCGTCTCGCAATCGAGAAAACCATCACCGAACCTTGCCACGTCCTTGACATTGGGTTCGCATTTCTCCATAAACTCATTTGATTCAGTTTCACCGATTTTCTTTGTTTCCCCAAAGAATTTGGAATTGTGTGTGTGTTATAGTGCTGGGACTGGGTTGCTATCGATGATGGCTGCGAGAGCAATGGGAGAAGAAGAAGAGTCCGGTGATTCAAAAGGAAAAGTGACGGCGTGTGAGTCGTATCTTCCAATGGTGAAGTTGATGAGGAAGATTTTGCATAAGAACGGGATGTCGAAGAACATTAACCTTATCAACAAACGATCCGATGAACTGAAAGTTGGGTCAGACATTGCTTCACGAGCTGACGTTCTTGTAAGTATAGATACAATCATCTTCCATACTCATGTAGAGAACTTGAGAGGAGGAAACAAAATTTCGTCATTGTTGTTCTTGATTAGGTAAGCGAAATATTGGATTCTGAGTTACTTGGTGAAGGTCTAATCCCAAGTTTGCAACATGCTCATGACATGTTACTTGTTGAGAATCCAAAAACAGTGCCGTACCGAGCTACTACGTATTGCCAGGTTTGTTTCTTGATCTGATATCGGAATTTGTGGTTTGTCTTTATTGTTTATCTTGAAAGCCCTGGTTCTCACATTGTATCCTAATCCGTTTGATATTCTTTACAATGTCAAGCTGGTTGAAAGCACATTCTTGTGTAAAATGCACGATTTACAAAACAACGAGGCTGAAAAACCTGATGGTGTTCGTCTAGTTCCTCCTGGCTTAGAGAGTCTGTTTGGTGTCAAGTCACAACAATATGGCATGCATGTGGATGCTATTCAGAAAGAGATCAAGCTGGTACTAATTATCCCAAAATTTTCTCTCTGGTTTTTACAACAGGCTTTAGTTTATACACTCAATTCATATAAGATATATTATTCATCCAGTTGTCAGAGCCCGTCAAAATATTTGAATTTGACTTTTGGAAACGGCCGGCAAGTAATGGAGAGCTTCAAGTGCACATTGAAGCAATACACGATGGTAGTGTTCATGCTATAGTTTCATGGTAAATACGTTCTTTACTGTCTTTCTTCGTTTCTTTTTTGGTGATGCATATTCATGTACTCCATCTAAAAGGCATTGGCAAAGGGATCAAGGCCTGACCTATTTTCCCATCCAGGTGGGTGTTGCAGCTTGATAGTGAAGGGACAATCTTCTACTCTACCGCTCCCAGATGGATAGATTCAATTTCTGAGATAGGTGAGTTACAACTTCCTGTGGGAATCATGTGATTTATATCAATTCTCGTGCACTTACATGGTTGTAGAGAAAGCCCTTTTTCTCCCCGGACTTGCACTACATTCAGCTCCACTGGAATCCAACATGTCGTTGATCAGTGTTCTCATTTGACCAATTTTAGTTTCTTTTGTTCATAATGCAGGTGTTAGGAACTGGTGTGACCATTGGAAACAGTGTGTTTGGTTTACTCCAGGAGCAGGTGTGTCCATATCCAAAGGAGAAAAAGTTCATTTGCATGCTGCTCATACTTGTACTAACATCTTGTACAATCTGAACAAGACTCAAAGCTTGACACATTCTCCATTAAATACTGGAGATCTACACCTCACATTACCACCTGAAAGAGTTGCAATATATGGTGACAGTATTTATCGGCAATCAATGTTTGAAGCCACAAGAAACGCTGTAGGTTCTTAACTTCAATGCCTGTCTTACATTTACAAAATATTCTTCTGAAAGCTGCATAAGGTTGTGTTAATATTTTGGCTCCTTGATGCTAGTAATGAAAACTGCTCCAGTCCATCGTAAGAATGTTGTTAGATTTTTCTCATACTTTCCGGTACACACTTAAATGGTTTTCTTCACCTATTTTCCAGTTACAGGGAAAATCTCAGCCACAGTGTCTCGTCATCGATGATAGTCTTCTCTTACCACTTATGGCTCTACGTATCTTCAACAGATCGCGGGTAATATCATTGTCACCTGGGCTGCAAGAGAATGCTGCGAGATACTTGGAAGCCATTGCAGTTTCAAATGGCTTTTCAAAAGATCGTTTTGAATATTTTAGAGAAGGGAAGGCAAAGTTGGCCGAAGTGTATCCAAACAAGGTAAACTTCAATTGAAAAGTGATGTCCCCTTGGTTTAGTCCTTATGCTTTGTCATTCAAACTGGGGCTTCCATTTTGATTATGTGTCCCTATTCTCTATCAACAGATTGATCTGCTGATTGGAGAGCCATATTACTTTGGACTTGAAAGTGGGCTTCCCTGGCAAAATCTAAGATTCTGGTAAATGTTAATATTGGATTAGTCACTTAACTTTGTCACTATAAAGTCTGTTAACGATAGCCTGATTTTCTTTCTGGTATGCGTGAAGGAAAGACAGAACTCTACTTGATTCTGTCCTGTCAAAAGATGCAGTGGTAATGCCGTATAAAGGAGTTTTGAGAGGTTGTGCAATGTATCTTCCTGTAAGTACTCTCTCTATCGTTCCTTGGCCATCTAAAACAGAGACGCTTTTGCTTGTATATTCATGACTTTGCTAGTGGCGCAGGATCTCTGGAAGAGCCGTTGTTGCCTTGGGAGTGTAGAAGGGTTTGACCATGCTCTGGTGAATACAACCTTAGGGGGATGTGGTGATCTACCTTCTGGTAAAGACAGTCCTTGTTTGCCTTTCTTTATCTGGCAATGTGGAGAGACAAAGGTAAACAGAAGTTCTTAGATTCATGTACTGACAAGCGTTGGGAGACGTTTAAAAATGTTCTTTTCTTGGAAAATTTTCAGAAGCTTAGCGAGGAATTCACAGTCATGGAGTTTGACTTCTCCAAGCCCATCACAGGTCCATGTTCTGGAGAAGTCCAGGTATGTTAGTTGGAGATTCACAAAGCATATGTTAATGCATTTTGCAGAGGCATCATTACCACAAACAACTCTGATGAATGCTTTTTTGTTTTCTGCAAACAGATTGAGTTTGTTGAACCTGGTGTATGCCATGGAATTGCATTGTGGATGGATTGGGTTATGGACAAAGAAAACTCAACCGTGGTCTTAACAGGACCGGGTATGAGACTCATAACCTCTCAGTGTACACATTAACCATGATCTTTGCTTTAATCGTTCTGATGACATTTTCTGCGTCCAGATGAAAGATATTGGAAGCAAGGAGTGAAGCTACTAGGGAAGCCAGTCAGAGTGAAAGAGGAAGCTCCCTCATCCATAAGAATCCAAGCTTCCTTAGATCCATCTTCAAATGGCGAGCTCATCATCACACATAGTTTCTCTTGAATATTTTTTGTCACACCGTTTTCCATTTATGTCTAAATAGGTCTCCGATCGTGTGTTCGGTGTCTCTCTCTCACTTCAAGATGACTTGGGAGTTGAGACCTATTAGAAAGTAGAAACTTGAGTAATTTTGATTTTGTGATGTACTGCTAACAAGTACACACTACACACTCCATTGATATTTATGGTTCATTAATGATAGTCAAAAGTTATGCACTTAAATTTTGACGAATAAAGAACTTTTAGTAGTCATATAACAAAAGTGAGAAATAACAAGTGGAACATGTGAACGAGAAACTCCATCAGCTTTTACTGTGGGAGTGTTGATAGATTGTGTGAATCCGTGGGTGTTAATCAGATTACAATACAAGCACAAGTTATTCTTCCAACTTCATGTCCTCTTCTTTCTCTTTTTATTTACATACTATATATTAAAAAAATCAAATACAATCAGAGGCGGATTGCTCACAAGCCACCAAACAAACACAAGAGCGGTCTCTGCAAAACACAAACTTTCACAAACAAAAAAACTCAACAACATCACAAATCTGTAGCTGCCTCTTCATTCAACGTTTTCCTTCTTCCTTCGAAGCAGCCACATAAGAGACAACAACTGTAATGTCATCAAGCTTACCTCCATAGTACCTAAACCCAGCATCTTGCGCTGCTGTAGAGAATGGAGTCTGTCTGTTCTTGTCCTGTGCTCTTTGCCTCGCCAACGCAGCAATCTTCTGCGCCGTCACCTGAGGATCAATCCCACCTCTCACAGCATGAACCACTATAGCTGTGATCTCGTTATTATACAAATTGTCGAACAACCCATCCGTTCCAGCTATTATCACATCACCAGGAGCAACAGCGACAGTGAAAACCTGACCTGAGCTCGGCAAATCTCCGTTACTCCCACACTCAAGCTGGTACGTGAAGTTGAAGTCATGCTGCTGAACCGGAGATCGGAAAACGGTATGCCCTTCACGGACCACCATGAACCCGCTGTCCCCAAGATTGATCGACTGGAGCCCCTGGTCCGTTAACGCTATGATGCAAGCCGTTGAAGACCCTTTAGACTTTGTGCTAGTGTGAGCTTTCTCCAACACTCTAGCTGGATCAATCGACCCTTTAGGCTCGTCTTGGATTGCGTTCACCGAGTTAGACATAAGCTCGCGTGAGTAGTAACCTGCGTCGATACCTAGCTCTGCCCAACCTCCCACACCGTCTGCAACACCTAACGCTTGCTCCTCCGCACAGATGAAGTGAGCATCTTCTCCTCCTGTCGCTTCTTTATCAGGATGCGGTAGATAGCAAGACCCAGAGACAAGCTTCAACGGCTTGATACATAGCTTAGCCGCCGCTACAGAATCCGAAGAATCTCTAACCTGTTGTTCCTCGGTGACAGAGTTATCCAACGAGACGTTCACATCAGAGAAGCGAGTAAAGAGTGAGCTATGCAAGCCTCTAAATCCCAATCCTTTACTACTTTGTGGATTCATTGAGATCCATTTCTTCGCACCTCGGTAAGCAAAATACGCGTAGATGGTGGAATTTTCCCGTTGATCTCTCCCTCCGAGTCTCATACTGATCCTTCCATCTCCAAACACCATACGATTCGAAACCAGAGGATCGAAATGGCGATCCACAAACAAGGATTTGGAACCGGAGCCGGAGCCAAAAGCCGCCATTGATTTACACGGAGGCTTGACCGGACCCGAAATCAGAAGATCAATGTGGTATCCACAGACCTGAAACGCCGGACCTGATACTGAAGGAACGGAGAAAGTCCGAGAAACGGCACCGACGACGGAAAGGTTCCTCCTTTCGTTAATCAAGAGCAAATCGGAGCTCGCGGGTTCGAGAAACCCGTTAGGGTTTGTTAATCTGGAGTGGAACCCCCTGTAACCCCCAAACCCTAAATTCCCTAATCCAATCAGAATCTTAACCTGTTTCTGAATTCCCTCTTTCACAGGTAACATCTTAAGTATAAATCAGAAACCGGAAATAACCAGAGATGGATAAGATCATATCTCCCGAAGCATCACTGCAATTAACTACACCGTCGATCTTAAAGCACAATCAATTCGAATCCCACAAACGCGGAGCTCAAATCAATGGAAAAGTCGAGGACGAATTCGGAACTTACCGGGTCCAAAACTTCCTATTTCAAAACCCCTCCGGAGAAGATAGTGTCGAAAAAAGGGAAAAGTGAAAGATGAATTCTCAGAGAAATTGGCTAGAATCCAGAAATTTGTATGAACGAATTTCAAGGAAGAACCCTAGCCAATCTGATCTTCGAGGTTAGAAAACTCAAAGCTGTTTGTCTGGTCAGAGGCAAACTCTAAAATAAAATAAAAAGCAAAAGAGTAAAATTAGAGATGTCTCTCACTTTTTTTTTCTGAATTTCTCTGCTATTATCAGAATGTTTCTCTCACATTTTTTTGGATGGAAGTGATTCTCAGCCGTTGGATGGAAGTAATTTAGCAGTATCTCAGTCATATATTTTCTGTTCTTATTTTTATATAATGGACTAGTAGCCGAAAAATCGTGACGATTATTGGGCCTATTAAACGCCCATTATTGTACCCATCAAAGAATGCCATGCGAGGTCCAGGCTTACTTCACGGCGTCAAATCTCCGTTTTCTTCAATTTTTTCTTTAAATGTTTTTATACTAATTTTAGATTTGTGAGAGAAGTTACGTAGATAACTAGACTAGATGACAGAAAGACCGAAAAGTATAAGAAAAAACTTGATAACAACAACAAAACAAAGAACAAACAACACAACGAGCAAACTTAGTAAATCTCCAGAGAAGAAACACCTTGGAAATTTGTGTTGCTGTCGAAAGTCCAAAATTTTTGAATCTTTATCTTTGTTGCCACAAGTACTCTCACCGGAGGCCGCCCTCAGACCTCATGTTAAGGGCATATACAACTTCTCCAAAGAGTAACACAAAAACGGAATGACTCCAACATACTCTTCTATATCTGACGGTAAAAAAACTTTTGTAGATAATAAAAAAACCCGCTTCCGGCTGCTAATCTCATATCTGCACACCAACAAGAAACATCTCCCACACAAACATATCAAAGACTAATGGTATGTTCACGGAGAATGATGATGATTGACAAGGAAACTGGATCACTAATGTCAACTATATACAGGCTCGGCTCTTGGTATGTGTCCTTGCATAGGATCTAAATTGTTTTTTGAAAAATTATGTTACATTTTAGGGTTCTCTTGAAAACTTTAGGATCTTTGTTGCAAATTTCTCTTACAAAATCAATATTTTTGCATTAGGTCCAATGAATGAACCGGGCCGCACTATATATATATGTTCACTTTTTAATCGTCTTTTAAGATGAGAGTTAAGAACTTTAAAGTTGTTTATAAAGATTTCTTACTGTATCAACTAAAAGTATGTATCACATGTTTGAAGTTGCATTGCCAATTGTATATGACCGTAAATTATTATTAGTTATTTTTGTTGAAGCAACAAGCACATCAGAATGGACCGCTCTAACGTTTTACTTGAAAATGTTTCTATATTTATGAGCTAAAAACAAATTTTGGACCTACTAGCATTATTATGTGATGTTACATAGCCGAGTACAAAACATACTTGACAACTATAACTATGATATTGGATTAAACGCTATTTGCTAGTCCACTTAGGGTGTGTTACAAGTAATATGTACTTGGATTAACTAATTTCACAATTCGCTTTAAAAATCATAAGGATGTTCAAACATTTTGTTTTAACAGATTTTATCTCATTTTATATATATATATATATATATATATATATATACTAGATTATGTCCCTGTGTATATGCGAAATTTATAATTTTGTGTAGAAAAGATTCAGAAAAATAACAAAAACAAAACCTCATCACTTTTAAAAATATGTAACATTAGAATAATGCATCATTATATATTTTTTTAATATGTAACATTTTCCTAAATTCAATAACTGAATCAGAGTTATGATTCAAATAGAACTTAGTTGAAGAGCGTGTTGAGAAACAAATTGCATCTCAATTCCTCTTAACCACAACACTTATCATAATCAGAAAGATATTTTTATCCTCTATCATACATACGATAACTTTTTAACTATTTTTTGTTTTAAATTCCATAATGATTAACCTTTTTGATAAGGTTTTTTATAAGTATTTGTTATTTTGTTTTTTTTTTCTAATGTTGTTTGTTCTTTCTTTTGAATTTTTATTTTCAAACAAATATCACTTTTTTTTCTGATGTTCATTATTCTTTCTTATGATTTTTTAATTTCTTTCTTTTTAGGTTTTCCCCCTTTTTTATAAGGATTAACATTTTATTTACCTTTTCATATATTTTTTATTGTCATATTTTTTATTAACAATTTTTTAACGACACATGTCACGATCTTAATACATTCACAATTAATAATAACACATGTTGTAATATGATGAGTTATAAAAATCTTACGTATCAAACTCTCGTTGCGCGCATCCATCTTTATATCATACAAGAATTTAAAAAAACATAAACCTGCACGTAGCTCATGTACATATTGGAATTTAAAGTAATAACGATCATTTTACTAAATATTTGATAGAGAATCCTTTAAGCTCTCTTAAAAAACGTAAATGTTGAATATTATTTTATATTTTCTCATAGTAATATGTTTGAACAACTAAGAAAAAGTAAAGCACAACTAAGTTAAAACCTATTCAATTTATATATTTCAAGACAGAGTAACAATAAACCAATAAAAACAATTGCTAAAAATAGATAGCATTAGATATACTATATAAATCACATAGCTATCCCAAAATTTCTCACCAAATCGTTCCATTCACAATTATAAACAGAAAAAGAGAACTTTAATCATTTAACATTTGTGGTAAATAAAACAAACATACAACATATGGCGACTCAATCATTGAAGAAAACATGCAGTTTATTTATTATTTCAGCTATATTCATGATGGTATTTTCAGCACAGATTTTTCATTCAACCAATGTATAAATGTGTGTCAAACATTGTGTCACAAATCAGTGCATGAAAATGGTGAAAAGTTATGATCCAGCCATTTGTGAAGAAGTTTGCACAAACTTTTGCTACAAACAACAAACCGGTCATGCAGAATGGTTGGTTGCTCAAAAGAAGAGTGATGCCGGTATGGTAAATTACCTCTTATGCAAATGGAAGTCTGATCAGTGCACATACTTTTATTTTCAAGTTATGAATACTCAAAAAAAAAATTCTTTCTACATAATAAAACTATGGTGCGACTTTTTGTATCATATTATAGTTGTCGGCATATTATGTACGTGTTTATTCTTCTCATGAAATACATATAGTTTTTTTCTTTAATTTAAAACTGTATTAATAAAATCACTGCCTAAAAATCCGGTCTTTAGTTAAGTGTAGACGCAATTTGCTTGAGAATGATAATTATAAATTCCATGAGAAACAAAATAATTATAAATGCTAATAATTTTAAGATGGATATCTGCTTTCTAACATATCTTATTATCTTTTGTTTTTTAATTGTTTGTTTCCTGTTTTCATATTTTTCTGTTTGTCTTATATATTTATTAACTTTTTTTCTTATTCCATGACACATGTCACGATCTTAATACTTTCCGAATTTTTTAAAAACGCATGTTGCAATCCTGTGAGTTATAAAAATCATATCAACCTCGTCGCGCACATCCAATTTTATATAATACAATGTCTATTTTAGAAAAATATAATATTATAAATGTTTTGTTAATGTATATAACTAGTAGAGTACCCGCACGTTTGTGCGGTGTGACGTTGTTGTTTTGTGTAGAAAATTTAAACCCTAAATCCGAACCCGACAAAAAACCCTAATCAAAAAATTTAAAAACCCAAACTTTTTTAATAGGTCTAAACATGAAAATCCGAAATCAAAAAAATCCCGAAAACCCTGACTGAACAAAAAAAATCTGGAAACTTTTTCACCCGGAACCCGACCCCAATACCTAATCAAAATTTTAAAATACTCAATTTTTTTAATATATCTAAACCCGAAAACCAGAAATCTAAAAAATCCGGAAAACCCTAAACTGAAAAAAAAATTGAACCTAACCCGAACAGAAATTTTCAAAGAAAGAACAACAATTTTCTATATCTCTATAAAATTATGTCTCAGATTTTCACCCAAACCCGAACTTGTCTATAAAAACCCGAAAATCCAAAAAGCATATTCTATTGATTTGGAATTATCGTTAGATTATGTTAAGTTTTTTTTTTGCAGATTTTTAAGAGATGGAAAACGGAAGTTTTCTAAACCATCGGTTTATTTTAAGTTATTATTCTTGTATCCAAACAATTTTTTCCATTTATTCTTCTATCCAAATAGATTTTTCTCTTATTCTTATATCCAAACAACTTTTGTTTCCATTTATTCTTCTATCCAAATAGATGTTTCTCTAATTCTTGTATCCAAACATTAGAATGTACTTCTCAATTAATAATATAATAAAGATGTTCAATATTAATATATTATATATTATTATTGTTATACCTCTTTCTATCTTGAACTCGAGTTCATCGATAGAAAAATCTTCAAAACTTAATAATACTAAGACTAATCTCATTCCATAAATCAAATTAATTATTAGTTTAGCCTACATAATTAAATTAGTCATTTAATCTTATTTTTTGTTTAGTAATTATTTATTTATTATGTTTTAAAAAAACACGGGGTAATTTATGTCAAGTTTCCAAAATGGGAACATAAGTTTTTGTAAAGTTTCCAAAATGGAAACGTTAATTTCATCGCGTTTCCAAATTGATATTTATAGGAAACGTGAAAAAACGAGTTTCCGAAAAGTTTGTTTTGGAAACATTTTCGAAATAGATAAGACACATTGGACGTTGTTCCCATGCAACATATATATTTTTTTTAATGCTATATTTTTTTTTCTCTCAGGAACTTTGGTGTAATTCTCGGCATAATTCTGAGATTGATAGATAAATTTTTTTGTCTATCGATACATATATGTTTTTTTCTTGACTTGGTGTAATTAAAATATACAAAATTCTAAATTTTACAGATTTCCTCAAAAGGAATGCTAAACTCTGTCAACTATTTTTCTAGTAAAAAACTATATGTGATAAGATTTTCTCCATGTATGTCTTTTTCAAAATCTATGCCATATAAATTGAATTTACATTCTTTTAACATTAATAAGTTAATTACAGCCTTTTTCAATTATATAGAATATTCCTTTTCTAAAAATACAAGGGGGCAGTAAAATTATATCTTGGAGGCACATGGGTGTTGAGAATATTTTGTGAAAAAAACAAATCAAAAGGGGACACAAGCATTTAAAAGTGAAACGACTGTATCTTAACAAGTCGCATTTAGAAAGAAAAACAACTTTGAATGACTATATTAGAATGTCTATTAGATGCATGAATCACGTGGAAAAAAATCTAATCAAATTATGAGAAGGAGTTCTTTTTGTTGTATTCCCTTCTGTGGCTACTGTCATAGAGAAGCTGCGATAAGGTTTACGCTCTCGTCCACAGAAATTGGAATGTGAGAAAAAAGAAAAAAAGCTGGGAATCATAACAGTGTATGAAAAGAAGAAGACAAAGGCAGTAAAAAGTGAAAAGGCACAACAAAAAACTCGACAAAATGTCAATAAAAGGGTCCTTTTGACAAGAAAGAAAGAACATTGAGCCATCACTTCTCCTCGGGTCGAGCTTCAGCGTTAGAGTAACAATGTCTCTATTTCTGAAGCCCTTCCTCTTCCTATACGATTCCACTCTTAGCCTCCTCTTGCTTCTGGTAATGATTCATAATTCTCTCTCTATATATACACAACTTAATTGATTAATTAAATAATGATTCCTCATGCAACTAGTTCAATGGGTGGAGTCTTGAAGACTCACCCACAGCCCACAAGAGACTTGAAACAATTAACAATGCTGCGAAATCTGAATGGATGCAAATCCAACAATTGTGGAGAAACACAAGGACTCTTGTGCTGATTCCTTTTTACAAGGGTTTGGTGGTTATGTGTTTGGTTATATCCATAATTGTGTTCGTAGAGAGTTTTTACATGAACATTGTGATACTCTTCGTCAAGTTATTTAGACGTAAACCCGAAAAAGTGTACAAATGGGAGGCCATGCTGGAAGATGCCGAGGTCGGACCCGAAAACTACCCAATGGTTCTTGTCCAAATACCAATGTACAACGAAAAAGAGGTATACTTACCTTTCTTTCACTCTAGTCTCTATTATATATACAATACGAACTAACGACAGCTTGGTGTATAATCTGTTTACTTTGTAGGTCTTTCAATTATCTATAGCAGCAGTGTGCAGTTTGGTATGGCCATCGAGCCGTCTAGTCGTTCAAGTCGTCGATGATTCTACGGATCCGGTCGTCAGGGTACGTAGCTATTGTCAGAATACATTATCATAGTGCAAATGGTGGTGCTTAAGAGCAATAAACAAAATAACTAGACTATTGATGACTGGAATAAGAGAGATTACACCGTAGATGAGAGGAATAAGTAGAATATTTTTCACTAAAAATGTATGTCACAGCAAAATAAGGTTACTTTTCACTAAAAATGTATGTCTCACTTATTCCACTTAAAAATTAGAAAAACCGTAAATGGTGAAATTTAGAGAGAAACAGTGTACATCAATTACACCGACCTAACAACCAACCTTAACCATACTTATAATGACGTTTGTAATTCGTTAAAAAGCCTTGTATTTTGTGGTGATGTTATAATTTGTTTTTAGTAAAATCCATATTAACTTTGTAGTGTTCTAAAAATGACCACTTAGGTGGACAAAAAAAATCTACATAAATAATAGCTAAATAAAATCAATTACAACACGTTTGCAGGAAGGTGTGGATATAGAGATTGCAAAATGGCAAAGCCAAGGCATAAACATAAGGTGTGAAAGGAGAGATAACAGAAATGGCTACAAAGCCGGAGCTATGAAAGAAGCTCTTACGCATAGCTACGTAAAGCAGTGCGACTTTGTGGCCGTCTTTGATGCCGATTTCCAACCCGAGCCCGATTACCTCACCCGTGCCGTTCCCTTCCTCGTCCACAACCCTGAGGTTGCTCTCGTTCAAGCCCGGTGGATATTTGGTATGTTTACGATATATATTTGCCCTCGTTTATGTCATATGCATATATATATATATATATATATATATATATATATATTGATAATCGGTTTTGGGATAAAATATAAGAATATGTGGTTTTCTTGCAGTGAACGCAAATGAATGCATGATGACGAGAATGCAAGAGATGTCCCTCAACTACCATTTCAAGGTGGAACAAGAATCAGGGTCTACTAGACATGCTTTCTTTGGGTTTAACGGTATAATTCAATCTCAAAACAGCAATTACATAATTTTTAGAAAAAGTGATAGTTATCAGTCATATATAAAGGTCACAAACCGTTACACATACTTATCAAGTGATTATATATGAGTCGGAAGTCATCAACCTTCGCATGGGAGAAAACCCACCTATAACATCGAATACATACGAAGTTTGGTTTGGAATCAGTCCAAAATGACAATGAAACCTAGCATAGTAGGAATAGGAAAATAAAAGAAATTATGTAAAGAATATTAGTCACTTCACTTATTATGAGTTGGGACCACAAAATTTCGTTTATATTTCTTGAAAACACCTTGCGGGCGAGGTGACTAATTAACAAAAAGTATAATCATCGGATTTTTTTGGACCCATGTAATATAAGTTGATATAAAATTTTAGGAACTGCGGGTGTGTGGAGAATATCGGCAGTGGAAGAAGCTGGAGGATGGAAATCAAGAACCACTGTAGAGGACATGGACTTGGCTGTTCGTGTTGGTCTTCATGGCTGGAAATTTGTCTTCATTAAGGACCTCACGGTAACAACTCTTTGTTTTCTTCTAATCATCTACAACTCATCACACACGTATATTAACATACTAAATTAAACCCGATTTTTTATGACAACGACATTAGTAGTAAACAAACAATAATAGTAATAAACACACAAGAAATGGTTTTTTTTTGGGGTTTTGCAGGTTAGAAACGAGCTTCCAAGCAAATTCAAGGCCTACAGATTCCAACAACATAGGTGGTCTTGTGGTCCGGCGAATCTATTCAGAAAAATGACAATGGAGATCATTTACAACAAGGTCCTTTTCTTATCTTTTTTAATTTAATTTGTCACTTTGCTTCATTTGACCCCACGTTTCAGTGACTGATTGGTCCTGGTTTATATTGTCTCTAGTTGGAATAGGGCCCCGATAGTGATAAGCAGTGTGTCTTGTTTCGAACTAGTGGGAGCCAATAATGAACATTCGTTTCGGTGATTGATTGGTTTAGGCCCCTATCTTTGTCTCTAGGTGGGACCGGGGTAATGTGATATGTACGATGTCTTATATTAACCAAGTTGGCCAAATATTTAGTGTTTGTTCGGTTTCAAAGTGGAACCATAACTCCAAAAATTAGATTTTTTTCGTTTCTAATCAATCTTTTTCTTTCTTCTTTTGATAAAAGAGCCTTAGGGTTTTAGCTTGGTTCACTGTTGATTTGATTCTTTATTTGAGAGAGAAATAAAAAAGTTTGTTATGTCAAGTCAGTTTCAGTTTTGTTTTAGAAGACTTACTGAATTTAAAAGCTTTTTTATTTAATTTATCTGGATGGAATGCTCTCATATGTTTTATAGACCATAAGTTAATTGAAGCACAACTGTTTGTTGTGGAATACAGAGAGTATCAATATGGAAGAAGTTTTATGTGATCTACAGCTTTTTCTTCGTAAGGAAAGTGGCAGTACACTTCTTGACGTTTTTCTTCTACTGTATAATTGTGCCAACAAGTGTCTTCTTCCCTGAAATCCACATTCCGTCTTGGTCTACCATTTACATTCCCTCTTTGATCACCATCTTCCACACCATGGCAACTCCAAGGTAATAATATAATTATTCATCAAGATTAATCTGTCTTCTAGATTCAAACTAATGTATGTATACTTGTAATCAACTAGATCCTTCTACCTCGTGATATTCTGGGTCCTGTTTGAGAATGTAATGGCTATGCATCGAACCAAAGGAACTTGCATTGGCCTACTTGAAGGAGGAAGAGTGAACGAATGGGTTGTGACCGAGAAGTTAGGAGATGCTTTAAAGAATAAGTTACTCTCTCGGGTCGTCAAACGGAAATCTTGTTATGAAAGGTGAGACAAAAGAAAAGAAAAAATAAGCTATTGACGTTTTTTTTTTTACGTGATGTTTTCAAGTAAATATAAATGTTTGTGTGCTTTGTTGCAGAGTGAATTCAAAGGAAGTGATGGTGGGAGTATACATATTAGGATGTGCAATTTATGGAGTGATCAATGGCCACACATGGTTACATTTTTATCTTTTTCTTCAGGCCACTGCCTTTTTCGTCTCTGGTTTTGGTTTTGTCGGAACCTAAGACCATTCCCCATTATTAAATCACCAAATGAATTGTCCAAGCGTTATTTGTTATACTGTTTTATATATGTTACACCATTGTACCTCATATCATGTTGTTTAACGAATAAGAGGTTTCTTTGAATGTCACTATGCTGAAAAAAAAACTACTTTGCAACTTTCCCCATTATCCTTTACTAGGTTTGAAGCCCCGCACAAGCGCGGGGTTGTTTGCCATAGTTTTTCTGTTTAATTTTATTTATACTCGTTGATTTGAATTATGATGGGGTTGTATTAACTTTCATGTTTTTGTTATGTTTTGAGTTAACTCAACCACTAACACTAAAAAATATGAATAATTTATTTTTAATTTTTATTATTAGGATATTAACACCCCGCTTTATCTCGAGTTTTCTATTTCTAAAATTTATCATGTTATATAAATATTATGTTTGTTTACTTCTTTTTTTTTTAACTTCTATTAGACTGTAAACATGTATATGTATTTGGTTGAAGGTTAAAATGTATATGCATTTGACTGAAGGTTAAAATTTGTAAACATATTCTTGTTTTTCACTACAATTAAATTTACATAAAAAACTCCATTTATATTTGTTTAGAAAAACAAACACTCTAATGTTTCATTATCTTTCTATTATCTTAATTAATTTATATTTAACTTTTTAACTTGTAAACACCTTATAACATTTTTAAATATGATAAATCCTTTGAATAAAAAGGTAAATATATATTATTTGAAGTTAAATATTTCTTTACTCCATCTCTATTTTATATTCCAATTTTTGATAACTTTTAACATCAAATTATCACATACTTTCTATTAATTAATTAATTTATTTGTATATTTTCATTAAATATGAATAAATGTAAAGAAATATGAATAGTCATATATTTAATAAATAATTTAAATACAATTTAATATTTTTTTGTTGATGTAGACACTCTCCTATTATATACTCTCTCTGTCCCATATTATAAGCAGTTTTGGCATAATGTATCTGCAATTTTTTTGATGTATCTGGATGTGTTTCTATCCAGATACACCCAGAAAATTGCAGATACATTATGCCAAAACAACTTATAATATGGAACAGAGGGAGTATAAGATTCAAAAATACTAGGCGTTAATGAATTTGTCCACGTCCAAATACTTTACGTTAATGTTTCTACATCATGTCGTGATTCTTAATTCCTAGAAAATGCAATTTATGTAGATTAAAGGACAAAAAACTTATAAGAAATCTAGGTGAAAGGAGAGTTTGTTCGTCGTGGTCCCTCGTAATAAGGGTAAAGCTATTCATCTTGATGAGCGTGATGCAGATAGAATAATTTGTCGTAGAACCTTGTGAAGTAGGTAAAATTTTCGTTGTGAAGTAGCCAATGAAGTTGTTCTCATCATTTGTAATAGGATAGAAATTCAGATGACAAACAAATGTCAATCACGTTGTCCAGAAAAAAAAAACTAAAAAAAAATAAATGTCACTCAGAAAAAAAACAAAAATCATGACCATGTGGACAAATAATTTTGCATAATGAGTAAAAAAATGGGAAAGTGGAAAGAAATCTTATAAGAAAATCATATCTGATTGTAATAAATTTGTTATATTGAATTAATAGGCAATTCTGAATTTTAAGAAAAAATTTCAAATATAGATTTTTGCATAAGTAAACAAAGGGACAGTAAGAATATACTAAAATCATATCTGATTGTAATTAATTCGTTACATGAATTAATAGTCAATTCTCAGTTGTCAAAAAAAAAAAAAATCCTTAAATGAATTATTTCTTATTATAAGAAAAACTTTCAAATATGAATTTTCTACATCTGTCACTTATCATTTTTAGCATACATTTCTTTTCTTTGTCCCATCTATAAAAATATCTACGAGTTTGCTATAATTTATCAGTAGCAACGATTCACCACAAATTTCTGTAGAAAGCTTGCTTAAATTTTGTATGATATATATTCCACACTTCTTGATTAAAGACTCCCACAATCATATGATGGTAGTGAAGCCAGAGCCCAATCGATGCCGCCCACGCACCTGAGCTCTGCCTGAGCCCCAAGCACCAGAGCCCTGACCGAGTCGCCTACGCATCGGAGCCCCCTGGGAGCTACCCATGCGCTGGAACCGCCCATGCACCGGAGCCCCCCATGCACGGGACACCCCAGAGCTACCTAAGCACCAGAGCACCGCGGAAACCACCCACAGCCGCCAAGCAAAGCGCCTATAATTACTGTTACACAGCTAATTCTTTTTCATTTTCTTTAAATAGTTTTTCTTCTCTAATTTTGATGTTTGCTTGATGTTATGGTGTTGTGATTTTGGTGAATTAGTAAAGCATTTACAATACCATGACATCAAGCAAACCATTTAATTTTTATGTTTGCATGGGTTGGATTTACTTTTGTGAGTTTAGGTTTTTTTCTTTTACTGTATTAGTTAGTGACTGAGTGAAAAAAAAAGGGAAATTTCAAAACTACACCTCTTGAGGTGCCAATTTTTAAAAATACACCTCTATGGTGTCCATTTTCAAAACTACACTTTTTTCATTGAGTAAAATAATTCTAAACCCTAAAATATAAATCCAAAACCCTAAAATCTAACATTAAACCCTTAAATCTAAGCCCTAAACCCCAAAATCTAAAACCTAATATAGGATTAGTGAACCCAAACATATATGTTAAAATTAGGAAAAGGTGTATTTTTGAAAATTTTCATACTATAGGTGTAGTTTTGAAAATTTGCACTTCAAGAGGTATATTTCATAAATTTTCTCAAAAAAAAAACAATTAGATGGTTCGAGACTTTGATTGATGGTAGACATAAAACTCAATTAGATGGTTTGAGTGATGGTGCAAACACAAATAATCAAAAATATTTTACAGCTAACCCTTGAATTTATATGAAATACAGAGGATCAAATAAACTAGGTTAAAAGCTTAAAAAGGTTGACATAATACCCTAAACAAAAAATCTAGTGAGATTGAGAGTTTAATGATATTAGGTTAATGATATGAATAGTCATGTATTAAATATCTTAAATACAATTTATGATTTTTTTTTGCTGATGTGTATATGCTAGATGGAGAGAAAACTCTCCTATTATATATAAGAGACTAGGGGATAAAATGATTTTTTTTTGCTGATGTGTATATGCTAGATGGAGAGAAAACTCTCCTATTATATATAAGAGACTAGGGGATAACCCGCGCTACGCGCGAGTTGTGTTAGTTTTATTGTTTTTTCACAAATTTAATATTTTTTCAAAGATATTATACACATTTTTTTTTGAATTGATATTATACACATATTACTTAAATATAATTAGAGTTAGACAAATTTTTTGTACCATCTTATTCCATCTCGTCCTATATCGTTCATTTTCATCTTGTACGTTCTTTCCCGTCCGGTTCGTCCTGTATGTCATGTCTCATTCAGTCCTATCCTATCCCATTATGATTTTTTCCATTTTGTTTATTATTATCTCGCTCCCTAAATATAATTAGGGGTAGACATAATTCTATTTCATTCCGTTCTTTTTCATCTAGTCATGTTCTTTCTCATCCCGTTTGTTCTGTCCGCCCCTGTCCCATCATATCTTATTATGTTCATTTCCATTTTGTCTCATCTCTGTCTCATCTCTAAATATAATAAGAGTAGACAAAATTCCTGTCCCGTCCCATTATGTCCTTTTTCATCTCGTCCCGTCCAATCCTGTCACATTCCATTTCTTTTCATTTTGTTCCGTCCAATATTTCTGTCTTATCCTCTCTCATTATATTTTTATCGTCTTTTCCGTTCAACCTCTAAATATAATTAAAGGTAGGCGAAATTTCTGTCTTTTCCTATTCTGTTCTTTTAGATCTCGCCTTGTCACTTAATATCATAAGAAGTAAAAAAAAATCTCCTCTTCTCTGATTTCATTTTTTTCGTCTCGTCATATTTAATCTTGTCTCTTTTCATCTAAAATTACTATAGGAAAAAACAGTGTTCTTTGTATAGTATATTTTCATTTTTATTATTATTATTATTAAATAATACTCTCTCTGTTCTCTAATAAGTGTCCTTTTAGAGAAAAAATTTTGTTCACAAATAAGTGGCTTTCTCACAAATCAATGTAAAAATTAATGTATTTTTTTTCTTTTGACTATCTAGATTCTGCATATTGACTTTTTATTGGTTGAATTGTGTTGGAATTGATGATAAAACATGTTTTATTTTGAAAAAATCAAAATTTAATGATTTTTTAATCTATGTGTATAAAACTAAAATGACACTTATTTGAGAAGAGAGGGAGTAGTTTTTAAGATTTATACATAATATTTTTTTTTTTTACAAAATTGACTTTTCAAATTCTTGCAAAAACTATTGTATTATTTAATGATTATATTAATGAATGATCATAAAGAATTAAAATATAAGAAAAAAAAATATAATAAATTAAAATTAATAAATACAATGATGACATGACCAATTGGTGAATTTAGAATCAACCACTTTAGGTGAGCTGGCAATACAAGAATAGAATCACATGAACTTTATATATATAGATAAAAGAATCTTTTTTTATATAACATCAAATAAATTATGACAGTTTTTGGAAACAAGAAGGATATAGATTTAGAAAAAGATATACCTTGAAGTCACAACGTAGATGGTTGTATACATGAGCAACCATCTATTGATCGATCAGAGACCCTATTCGAGTGAGCCAAAAAATCGTATACATATCTTTCTATAGTAAATATTCTGATGCGTCTATTAGAAACACACATTCATACAAATTTCGTTTTTCTTATTCTCAGTAAATCAGTATTAGATTTCTTGTAAAGCTTGTTTTAAAAAACAAAAAAAAATGATAAACAAAAAAAAATGATAATCTCTTCGATGGTGTGTTTCCTTAGTTACTCGATTTTTTTTATCACCACTCATATAACGCCACAATTTCATTACGGGATTCATCAGTTTCTTATATAGCTTATGGATCACCATTCCGACATAATTCATAGGTTTGGCATTTGAGTTTCAGATAAGTGAAACTCCGGGTTGTTCAGTTAATAAATTAGTTATTTTAGACTTTGAGATGACTTAAGAGAATAAAAGTCACACAATGGTTAAATGCATCAACAATTTTGAATATTATGTTCTTCTCTACTTGAATGAAGTTAAGTTGTTGACTGTATTAAAAAAAAGAATAGAATAAATCTCAATTCTTTGATAATACAATTGTCTATGTAATGCAATAATTTTCACATATACCAAACCTTTGTGTGTGTAAGAGTTAGAAACACAACTAATTTGCCACACAAATATGATGTACTTGTTTCTTAGCTTTTGCTTTCTCCCAAATGATTATTAGTTTTATGCTCTTTAATCATCCTAAAAGTCACTGTTTCTTGTATAAAGTATAAACATTTAACAACGAAAAATAAAGTAGATTTGGAAGAGAAAATAAAACAGTAACTACTCAGTAACTCCTACTTAATAAAATAAGACCAGACCTGGCTCACGATTGCTTTAGCATAAAGGCACTAACCCACAACTATGTTTTTTCTTTTGGTTAGAGTGAATCTCTAATTCCACTTCACGAAACTGAACGCCAAATACGGTTCGTCAAAAAAGTAATTAAAATTTTTCTAATGGAGCATAAACCATACATAGATCATTTAACAAAATATAATTACATGAATATAAATGAGTATATGGAGCATATTTCCCCTTTTTTTTGTGTCAATTTAAGTACATCAATTGTATATCGTGAGTTCGTGACCAAGACAAAAGCTACCGAAAAAATTAACAAACATTCATTATTTTTCGTTGCTTCTCTTTTTCTTGGCTCATCTCATCCTTATCTCATCAGCGTCATATTCCCCTTCAACTGCAAAAGAGAAATCAAGATCTTAAGTCATGCAAAGGTAATAGCATGATCGTATATGCAAAATACTACTAAAACCTTTGTAGGAGTTAAATCCAAAGTGAGGAACTGTGAATTTTGTAGCTTTAAATATGAAGTTAGAAAAGGATCATCAGAAGGCAATATTGATATGCATAAATAAGGAACTGCATCGAGATGAGACAGAGAAGATATGTATAGAAGCAGCATATAGAGTGTTGAGAAAACACACAACTCTTCGTCAAATTTGTTCCCGTTGGAACAATCCAATACAGGTTTTCTCTATACAATGTTTCAAAATCCTGACATTGAATCCCCTAATGAACCAAATGCAGCAAATTGATGACCTAAGGAGATAAGTGACATGAGACAGAACTTCTCATGAAAATTACGTCACTTCTCACAAGTAAAAACTAAAAGGTAATTTAACATTGCAGCAATAAAACTCTGTGTGCACCTAAGGAGCTCTCACACACTAAGAAACCTCGACAATTGTAATTGTTGCAAGTGACGTAAAACTAAGTCCCGGACAACATTTCCTCGAGCCTTATAATAGTACAAATATCTCTTGAAGCATGAAACAGAAAGTACAAAATCGCATGGGTTATGTGAAGGTCTAACCTTAGCCTTACTTCCTTTATGCTTTCCTTTGCTCGAAAACTCGCCTCTTCGTTTTTTCTCCTTCAAGAAAATGCTGATATGATATCATATGCCTGGTCTAGATCTTCGCTCGCAAGTCTCAGCATCTTCTAAGCCACTTCAATAGCAGCTCTGTTTCTCTTCAGCAACGGGTCGAAGAAAAGCTTCATCGTCTATGACTCTCTTCAACGCCTGCAACTATAGCAAACAAGTTTTTCATGCTTTGAACTTTAAAGATTCTCTCTAATAGACTGTGGTTAAGTTACTACTTAACCAGTTAACAGTGAAGTCTGTCTTTTCGTGGTCTCTTTAAGTCAATGGGACGTCTTCCGGTGAGAAGCTCAATGAAAGAAACACCATGAGAGTAAACATCGCTAAGGTCATTTAGTTGAAATGTCCTTAGAAAATCTGGATCCACATACCCTGCAGATCATTTGACCTGAGTTGAGATATGAGTAGCCTCTGAATATTGAGAGGCTAAACGGGCAAATCCAAAGTCTGCCACTTTGGCTATGAGGTTGTCAGTGATGAGTATATTTGATGCTTTAGTGTCTGTGTATTTTTGCAGTATCTAATCTGCAATTCAGAAATGATCGTAATGCATAAATTCCTGGCACTATAAACAGAGAAGAGGAATTGATCACAAGAGTACCTGTATATGTGTGAAGTCAGGTAAATGCATAAGCTACATCAATCGCAATCTCAAGACGTTGTTCCATTTGAAGGCGATTACCGTGTAAACCTGAGTTTTAATAAACTTTGAGAATCCTAAAAGGATTCAGATATTTTGAATTAGAAAACTTTCTCTACATACTCCAAAAGTTGTCAAGAAGAAGAAGTAAGGTATCTCTTGTAACTTACCATCTAGATGTTCTCTTCGGGTTCCATTGCTAACATATTCAACAACAATAACCTTGTCGTCTTCATGTTCAGGAAATCCATAGAGCTTTACTAAATTCATATGCTCGATCTTTGACAATGTGTATATTTCATTCTTGAACGCTATCCACCAGCTTTTGCCATAGTTCTTCTGCCACATAAATTTTTTAGATTGTTCCATAAAGACCAAATGATAAAAAGCTAAACATAAACAGACACAAAATTCTACCAATCTAAAGAGGAGCAAAAAGAAAACTCCGTAGGAAGATAGATTATCAAGTAAAAGAGAGCGAAAAACACTTGCCTCGTAGAGACGACCAACACAAGGATGGCGAACAGGCTTTATTATCGAGATCCCCCTCTTTATCTGCTAAACGCAAACGGAGATAAGGATGTAATTACATATCACCCCCAATCAAATCAGAGAGGAAAACAGAACCTTCCGCTTGATGGTGGACCTATGATCGACAGTTTTCATGGCGACGCACTCACCGTTTGCATGTTCTGAGGCGTACTTCACTTTGGCGACGGTGCCTTCACCGCTTCTCCTACCTAATTCAGACTTCCCCACTTTCCTAACCACCATCTCTGCTACATTACAGTTCTGAAATTAGTTTGACTGCCTCTCTTTAGTTCCATCTCTTTCATTTTTGTTTGTTCGTCTTCCTCTTCCCTTTTACTCTCTCCTCTCACACACTATTAGTCTAGTAGAGAAAGACTTTAAATAGAGGGATCACTTCCCCATTTCTAAGAGAAACTCAGCCACTAAAGAAGAAAACAGAGAAACTCATGCATCAGTATCAGCAAAAACGGAGCAAGAAGAGTAAATGTGAGCTAAGAATCTAAACCTACCAAGTTTCTGAGCATCACCAAACCACTTGCTCATGAGATTAGAAACCTTGACATTGATGAAAACAGCCTCAGACTCTTTGGCAATAGCCTTAGCAAGCATTGTCTTGCCAGTTCCAGGAGGACCATACAACAAAACACCCTTTTGAGGACCTAGCAACTTCCCATGAGGGAAAAGCTCGGGTCTTTTCAGTTGTAGAAGCACAAGCTCATACAAAGATTGCTTTGTTGATTCCAAGCCTCCAATGGAGTGCCCGAGAGAGTTGACCTCTTATTATATATAAGACTAGTATTCTGCCCGGTGCATTATTTAATTTAATTGAATTTCTTCAACAAAATAGTAGTTGCAGCGACATTGATTTGTTGTAAGGGAGATAATAGAGTGTTCAATCCATAATACCTTTCTAAGAAAACTACAACACATTCTATACAAATAAAAAGAGTTAAATATCTGATACACCTAATCTTTTAATTGTAAAAAGACAAAAGCTTATATGGTAGGAAACTAAAACCTTCCATGCATCAACGCAAACATCAACCAATTTTAAGGCTTAATGCTGAAAGAAAACTTAGAAATAGAAAATAACATAACAATATATGGATTGAGCAACGATAGAAACTTGGGTGGTATGGTATTGATCCAAAGATGAAAACTTGAGTTCACGTGAAAAGTTGTAAAAACAAATGAAAACTTGAGTTCACGTGAAAAGACAACTTTACAACATTTACAATAAAAAATCAAGAAAAGGAAATAGCATAATATTGACGGTGAAAAGGTGAACTGTTTAAAAAGACAACGAAATTGATATGGAGATTGAATTGGTTTGTTGTAAGGGAGATAATAAGAACAAATGATGATATAATAGAACTCGGGCAAAACTTCGCTCTTTTTACGGTAGTTCCGAGTTCGGTATTTCGTTGTCCTGATAATGAAAGACCATTTTCGTTCATAACCTGCAGACAAATCAATAAACCACGTTACCAAAAGAAAACCATCAAAGTAATCTCAACCCTTGATCTGGGAAACGAAGACGACCAGCATAAAACTTTGTTTTCTTGGTAGTATCCTTCAAAAGGGCAAAAGGACAATAAGAGGAAAATGATAACACAACCATAGAAAGAAGAAGAATTTGTACTGAAATGTTTTTAAAGCTTTCTGAATCAGCTAAATTCAAATCCCAAAGATAAAAAATGCGAAACACCAACAATTAAAAACTGTTACAGGAAAAGAAAGCAAGAAATGAAGAATACCATTCGTTTAGAAATAGAGCAAGTTTGTTGAGCCCTTGCGTTGTCCTATAATCGTGTGTTGATGGTTTCCAAGAACCTAATAAACAAAAAAAGTACCATACCAATGAAAACATAATCAACATTAGCTTAACGATTGTGAGCTTGCGGTTCCCTGGTGATCGCCAAAAACTTCAAAATTCGTGATATCACGACAATGATCTTTCTTTCAATTCCTTTTCGAACTTTTTAACCAAATTCTGTTTTACAGAAATTTGAATCATATCTCCTTGTCTCATAAACCATTGTAATCAAAGCTTAGATTTGTAAACAAAAGAAAAGCATACTATAACAAATCAAGCATCGATATACTCGACGGTACCTTTTTGCATAAACGCCAGAACTCATAGTTTACTTCCACGAAGATGACTTCCAAAGCTATATAAACCCTGCAAAATAAAAAGAAAAACCGTTACTAAACCAAAGTTAAAAGCTGTAAATCCATAACATTTATACTCTACTACATTTATAGCTTGTCTCATCATTTCACATTAAATGTACAAATGTACACTCGAGGACCACTGAAGGATTGCAATCGAGAAGCATTTTTGCCTCCACGAAATCACCATCTCTCGACGCCGACGACACCAATCTCTCACCGAACGCCATACATCAAAACGAATTTCCCATTCTCTCTCTCTCTCTCTTCTGATGAGAATCAAAATCCTCTCTCTTCTCTTTATCCCAAAATCAATTGAGTGTGACAACCGTCGTGGAAAGATAAAGAGAGGAAAAAACTCGGGATCGAATATGATAAACTTACGCTTGCTTTTTTGGATCTTGGATCTGGTTACCCAATAGATTTTGAAAGGAGGAAGTTGAAGATCGTGGGGATATAGAGGCGGTTAATTAGATCGTGGAAGACTACAGAAAAAAACAAAATTTCAGAAAGAAAAATAAAGAGAATAAAAGAAGGAAAAAGCAACGAAAAAAGAAAAGTAGAAAAAGAAAAAGAATTCGAAAGGACACGTGTCAATTAGGTAGGCCATTAGGTGACTTCTGTTTTATTAGTATTAGATAGGTGTTTTGTCGATTTTCGAAAATGTATTATTTGAAGTAAACAAATTATATATGGTTGAATTTCTTGTCTCCTGCTTGATACTAGGTATTAATTGATGTTTACTAAACCCTCCCTATAATCACCATGGACGTATAACAGCAGGTTTTTTGGAGGTGGCTTTGTTATTGAAACTGAGGAAAATGTCACATTCAAAGGAGCACTTACGAGTGCACAAGTGGCTTCCCCTCTTCAGGCGGAATTTCGCTCTCTGATTTGGGCAATGAAGATGACCAGACGGCTTGGATTGATTTCTATGCGTTTTGAGTCAGACTGTCTCGAGCTGGTGAGGCTGATCGAAGAAGATGAAAATTGGCCCTCGTTGATCACTGAATTGGAAGAGTTTTATGCAACTTTTAGTTCCTTTCATTTTTGCTCCTTAGTTTACATTCCACGTGTTTTCAATGTCCATGCCGATGCTCTTGCAAAAGAGGCTCGAGCCCGAGATTGTTTCTCTTCCCATGTAAACCTTATTTCGCCAAGTGAGTTAGCTATTACAGCTAATTCAAACGGCATTGCTTAATAAGTAATATGGAGCTTTCGACGTAAAAAAAAAAAAAATCACCATGTGTATGTGTGAGCGCGTATTAAAACATCTATATGAAAATTTATATCACGCATCATGAGAGAATGTGTGAGCGCACGCCATCCATGGTATTCATAGCAGGCGATAATAGCACTTTTTCTGTAACTGCTAGGAAATATTAATTTGTACTTTGAAAGTTTTTTCATAGCACTATATAAATGTTATGCCAAAAAAAAAAGCGGCAACTAGAAAGACTCTAGTCCGCCAAATTATTCTAGTAAGCGTGAACACTTAGTGAAATTTTCATTTTTTGGGGACTAGTTACATAACAATTACTATTCATAGCACTAAGAAAAAAAAACAAAGTTAAAGAAAAAATTTCTGAGAAGAAAAAAACACTTCTCGTTTCTCCGTCTTCTCTTTCACGAGTGGATACTTTGTCTTCTCCGCCGAATCCGATTTCTTCTGTCTCCGGCTCCAATTTCAGCAATCCCTTCCCCTCTCTGCGTTCGATTAGGGCTTCAATTATCACCTAAGTCTTCCTCATCTCGCATCAGCTCTCTAGACCTCCGATTTCTATTCCAGAATTTCGAGATCTACGGATTCAGACATAAAGGTGAGTTCAAGCTTCATTACTGTTTTCATTGTTAATTATCTTCAATTTCTCGAGATGTATTTATCTATTAGAGTGCATGCAATTTGATTTTAGTTGAATAGCATATGTTTCTTTGTAGAAATCTACAAAATCGTTGGTTTAATCTCACTACGAAAACCATAGAATCGACAATGTAAATATAGATGACCACAACTATTGTGGCTTTTGTCTTATCATTTTGTCTTCTGTTTAGTATGCCATTACAATGTTTAACTTGTGGTCTCTCCTGCTTGATTCATGTACATTTGTTTGATCTGTGGGAAAGGCTATACGAGTGTCATAAACAATGTTGGACAAGGCATGGGTTAATTTATGCAGGTATGTACATGTCTTTTCTCTATCCTTTTTTTTCGTTTGAAAAATGTATTGATCTTGTTTTTGTTTTATTTCCTTTTGATTTTCATGGACTGAAGAGTCGATCCTGCTTATGTGACTGGTGCTCGGGGTTTTGTTAACGCTGTTAGTACCATAGTAGGTGTAGATGGGAAGATAACATGTCCATGTGCCATTTGCCGCAATTTAGATCGCCGCACAAGCGATGAGGTAGTTTCTCATTTAGTGATTAATGGAATGGACGAGGGTTACAAGTTGGCGTCTGATTGGTTCTACCATGGACACGGTAAATCTGTAGCTGCAGTAGAAGGTGTTGATAGTGTGAGGAATACTGAGATTTTTGGATTATACGAAGCAGCTACATGTTTGGATGAGGATTTAGCTAGTAAGGGTTTAGATTTAGTAGAAGTCGCTGAGGGTGAGGATAGAAAGGAAGATGAGTTTTTAGCTAAACTTGCAGAGGCTGAGACGCCGTTGTATCCAACGTGTGTAAACCACAGCAAGCTGTCTGCTATAATGTCTCTCTTCAGAATAAAGACTCAGAATGGTTGGTCCGACAAGAGCTTCAACGACTTACTGGAAACATTTCCTAAGATGCTACCTAAAGACAATGTCCTGCACACTTCAACTTACGATGTCAAGAAGTTCCTCAAATCTTTTGATATGGGATATCAAAAGATTCATGCATGCGTGAATGATTGCTGCTTGTTCAGAAAGAAGCTTAAGAAAGCCGAGAGTTGTCCTAAGTGAAAGGCTTCGAGATGGAAAAAAAATATGCACACTGGTGAGGTCAAGAAGGGTGTTCCGAATAGGGTGTTAAGGTATTTTCCAATAATCCCTCGGCTTAAAAGAATGTTCAGAACTGAAAGTCTTGCTAAGGATTTGAGATGGCTGATATACACATATATTAACATACATTAGCATACATTTACATGCATATTTCCATCCTATTGGCTCTATTCTCATACATTTTATCCACATATCTCTATCTATTCACATGCATCTTCATTAGGACTTGCATTGCATATACATTGCATTTTGAGTCTGAATCAGGTGCTTAATGGAGCTTTGGAGCCATTTGGGAGAAGGAGTGTCGGAGACGTCAAGACAAAGAGCAACCAGGATGCGAACCAGGATCAGAAACCCGTTTGTCGCCTTACAAGCTTTCTTGACCAAGAAGAGAGTTGACCATGCCTTAATGAAACGCAGCGTTCTGGAGCTTAAATCTTGGGGAAGGAAAGAAGAAGGGTTTTAGAGTCTCCACTATATAAACTAAAAAGTCCTAAGTTTTTAGGCACCTTGTAATTTGTCTTTCATTTTGCCACCAAGAAATACTCTAGTTCGAGATCTAAGACTTTGTAAGCTTTGGTCTCTTTCTTTAATCAAATCACGTACTTGTCTATTTGCATTTAGTTTCCATCTCATTTTACTTGTGAAACAACCTTCCTCTTATGAGAATCGGGTTGTCAAACAGGATGAGTGAGTAGTCTTTAGATTGTTTTAGGTGATTCGGTTTTGAGAGCTTTAAAGGAGAGTTTGGGCTTAAAGCTAGAACCTTTAGAGTTTCTCCTTGCTTAGTGCCCTTAAGGCTGAGTCATTTCTGATCATCTTGGCTCAGATCTCAAGCTCTCAACACATCAAAAGTGTGTTTGAGAGCTAGATAATCTAAGACAAGGGATCCGCTTTTCTAGCTCGCGATAGCGATTTGTTTAGAAAGCTTTTTGGTGATGGGATCTGCGTTTAAAGCTTGCTTGTGTGTAAGCTCACTCACGATAGTGAGTTCTTGAGTTTGGACCTTGCATTCGAGCTCATTCACGATAGTGATAAGCTCTTGCTTTCGTTTTCCTTAGCCTAGAAACTCGGTTTTATCTTTAAGTCTTAAAGCTTCTTCCTTTAGCTCGATTTCCATCCGAAATCACCTAAAGCCATCGCCTTTCTTCATTTTTATCAAAGTTCAAGTCTTTTAGCTCAAAGTCGATTTCTTTCCTCTTTGAATCTTGATTTGGACCGTTATTTCACTGTTCTAAGTTTGTATTTTACTGTTTAACGTTCGGATTTCATAAAAACCAAATCTTGTTCTTGGCTTGAAGTTTTCTTGTTCAATCTTAGAACCCAATCTTCCCTGAGATTTGGATTGATACCTTAAACTATACTGCAATGATATGAGCAGAGATTTGAGGGTTTGGATCTACTAAAAATCTTGTTTTCAATGGCATTTCAGTAACAGGAGCAGTGATGGGAAACTGCGCCATCCAGTGGACTCTTCTGCCCACGCGCTGTTTGACATTGCTCTCTATCTAGTCGGCATCTGACTAGATGTTCATTTCGTTGACCTCTCCAGGAGAAAAAGTTCCGGTGTGCCGAAGATCGTACAGATCGCATTATGACATGAATGTTCTGAAGTTTGTGAAGGAACTCTCTGGTCTTACTGTTCCTCCCTTCTTCTCTGCTGATTCTATGATCTCATTAAAATCTCCTGTGAGTAACCACGGATCCGTTCTATCTTGTGCTTGTGTCATCAGGTTCTGCCAAACCTCTTGTCTCTTGGACTGATCGGGTTCTCCATAGACGAAGGTGGTATAGAAGCTCTCCCCCTCTGCATTTATGTGTGTGTCAATGAAGTTCTGGCAGGTAAAGAGAATCTCTATCTCTAATTCTTGTTTCCAGAATAGCGCCAGACCTCCTCCTCCAGGGCTATGGGGTGGCACTAAATGATGTGATGTATACTCTTCACATTGCAAGGTTTGGAGGACGACGTCATCATGGTTTTTTGTTTCCGTTAGGAACAAGATGTCAGGGCGAATACTTGAGCGTATTCCCCTCAGTCGCCGGACTGTCATGGGGTTCCCAATCCCACAACAGTTCCAGCTCGCCACTTTTAAGGAATTGGATTTGGTGGACGCCGAAAATCTACCATTGTTCTCACCATAGCCGGAATGATCGTACCTACTGGTTGCTCATTCCTTCCCTCATTCTGGTTATCCCCTGTGTTTGCTTCATGTCTGTTCGAAGATTCCGCGACATTTGATTCTCTTCCTTTTGCAGGTTTGCCTCTAGGGTGTGGCGAGTTTTGGACTTGAGTAAATCGTCTCAGTCTCAGGCTTGTTCCAATCATTGGGCTATTCCTCTTGTTCTTTGGTGGCCGGCCCCTCCTCTTTTTCTGTGTGGTTTGCTGTACCGGTTCTGTCTCCATCCTTCTTTCCAGAACATTGACTTGGGAGAGCTGTTGTTCTTCTTGTTCATCTTGCTCAAATTGCAGCGTCTGGTAGTAGTTTTCAGTCGCTGCAGCTACTATATTAGTCGCTGTTGTCATCATTAAGCCTTATTCTTCTGATTGATTGACTCTTTGTTGTCATGCAGCTCTTTCTGCTGGGTTAGGGACATTCACATATTGGATGGTGACATCTTGGAGGTCCTCCATTACCACGGAAGTGGGGATTGAGGAAGTTCTCTGTACCAGATCTCTTCTGTCTCTCGGTGGTGTTCGGAAGGTGGGGCTTTCTGCTCTCTCCGGTATTGGTTCTGGCCTTGGTCTCCCATCTACTGCTTTTTCTCGCCACTGGAGGTCTGAGTGTGGTCTCTGGCCACTGCCCCTTCTTCTTTCTTGGAGGTATGTGCGCATATCCCTTCTTCCATTTCCGTTGGAGCTCTCGGGCTCCCGGTGTGGAAGGCTACACACTCTTTCTTGCGAGTTTCTAGTAGATCTATAGCTGTGAATGGTGCTTGACTCGGTAGATCTTTCTCTGTTGTTCCGGTTTGTTAGGTTACTGTGGTTGACTCGGCTCCCAAAAGCTCGGCCATATCTATCCCGTCGGTGGTTAAAGTCAGGTGACCTATGATACGCTCCTGGACTAGATCGGCCTTGAGGTTAAGTGATAGAGTGATTCGGATCACAAAGGAACCGATGGTGATCGATTGAAGAATGGATCGAGCGGCTTATACTAGAGAACCAGTGGAAAGGGATCTCTAACGCCACCTCCAACGTGTTGATATTACACACAACAAGTGAGAGGTTTCACTATAGACTTAGTTGATATTACGCACAACAAGTGAACAGAGTAAAGCTGATCAAGCATAAAAGGAGTTTGATAATAAAATAATTGATAACTTGAAACAAAGAAAGAGTTGGGGTTTTAAGGGAAAACGAGAGAAGAGGGGAAGAGGAAGAGATGATTGGAACAGGCTCCAATCATCCTTGGAAACACACAAAAACGATAAATAAAACAAGACTGGAAACTAGACACTTCGGCTTCTTGGCGCTCCATTTCAAAACTTGGGCCGGACCTAAACACACAAGGAAAAGAGATGGTTTGAAAGTGTGACTTGGACCTCATTAAAAACCTTGTCAAGAAAATCCAAAGGGACAAAACTTGACAAGGGAAAAAGAGTGCACAAATCACACTTGTCTCTTTATCCCATGTGTAAGGCCTTCAAGGAAACCAGTGTGGTTGACTTGGCTTCTTGCCCACTCAAACGGCTAAGGACTTTGCCAATCTCTTGGTTCAGTGCCTTAGTTTGTGAACGAGTGATCGGACCAGTTGGTATGGCCATGCTTTCCTCAGGTACAAGCTGCGCGGCCTCATCTCCATCCTCGGCCATAAGCTGCTCGGCTCCATCTCCTTCCTCAGCCATGAGCTGCTCGGCCTGAACCTTCTCATCCATGATCGCATCAACCTATCTCTTCTGTATGTTCTTCCTCCCCCTTTTCCTTCATAGTGTCGTGGTTGCGACCTAGTGTTTGGTTCATGGCTGAGCCTAGCAGCGACTTTGTTTTCCCTTGTGTTTTCTTCGCAGTCTCTTGAGGTATGAGTAAGTTTGTTGCAGGTTGAGCAATGAAAGCCCAATCTTTCATATTCCAGGTTTACCAACGCTTCCTCTCCATTAACAAGTTCTATGACGGATTCTTTCACTAGCGGGGCTAGTGCGTTGATGGAGACATGGATCTTGGCCTCCAGTTTTGTAATCTCATATCCTAGGAGAGTTCCTAGTTCTCGTCCAATGTCGCTTAGTAGCTCCTTTTTCCAGTAGTGGAGCGGTAGTCCTTTGAGGCGGATCCAGAAGGGAAGTTGAGATGGGAAGTGGGAGGATATGACCGGCTCCTATTTCTGCAGTACAATCATCCACCTTCCAAATTGGTATGGTATGTTTTCCAGCACTTTGGTCATGTCCTCCTCCAGGTTGAAGCGGAGTTGAAAACAGTTATATCCCAGATCTGAACCTTCAAAGTTGCTCTTTAGCTCCCAACGGTCTGTGAAGAAAGTTAACATAGCTCTCAGCCTTTGCTCTCTTGGGTTTGTCAGCCTTCCTATAAGCGTCAGGGCATTTTCTTTGACCAGGTCCGAGGTGTCCAGTTCTGGAGCTCTTATCCGCTTCCGTTGGCTGGAGTCGCTCGGGTAAGCAATTCATTTTCCCTTGTCGGCGTATGATATTCTTGTCGCCATATCTCGTTTCGTTGTGTGTCTCTCAAATCAAGATGAAATGGTCGGTGTATTTGTCGGAAATGTAGTGTAGTGAGCCGTATGGAAGCTTTTAGATGGAGGAAAGCTATGGTTTTGATGTAGAGGAGCACTACTTACCGGCGGCGTCGAGGACCCTCCAACTCCGAGTCGGGGGTGGAACCCGGGCACGTGAAACCAGGAACGTAGGGTTTTTGAAAAAATTGCTTGTTTAGGAAAGAACCAGTGGGTAAACGGGTGTTGAGAGCAGGTTACTGGCTAAGGACCTTTCTCGAGAAACGTGTCTGGGAGAGAAATTGAATCACGACCGCGTTTGTTTTATTGATGTCATAGGTTGAATTTTATGACTGGTGAATTTAGGGTTTCTTTTTACTATTTTGTGAGTGAGTAAATGCTAACCCACTATTGAATATGCCTCTCATTGACGATGAGATTTTCTCCTTTATGTGACTGTAAAACCTGTTTCAAGAGACTTTATAAGGTAAAAGTCACGAATGCCTTTTAAATAACAAAATCTGGTAGATTTTGGTGATGGTTTCTGTTTGGAGATCAAGGGGATTTAGATGGTATGCTGTCCAGAATTAGAAGAAACAAATGTACACAAGTTTCCTGCAAATCTACTAAGTTTACATAATCTATTAATACTTCACTGTTTCTTGGTGTTTATGTATACGCTGAGGGAAGAGTGAGAGAGTGTGTGTGACAACATAAGTGGAGTGGTGTTCAGTGTTTTTTCTGAATCAATAGGCTTCCCTTCTGTTGAAGCTGCAAGCATAAATTATCTTGCTGAAAAGGTTCAGTATCTCACTTCTTTTATGTCTTGCATCTTGTTGGAAATGAGAATGTTTAATATGTTTTCTAATTAAAATTGTGTTGAACCGTTCTATGGAACTAAAATTATGAAGAGAAATGTTGCTTGGTTTAAAAGCTTCGTATTTTCGGTTAAACACTGATGTGAAATGTTTAAATGGGTTATGGGAGCTTCTTCGTTTTCTGTTTTATGTTGTTATGTCTATGTTGTCAGTGGTGATGCTCACTTGTCAAATATTTGTTGCTCTACTTGAACAAAAATAAATCAGATGCAGCGGTTAGAGAGTAGTACATGATTAATTCGACAACAAAGAAATGCACACTTTTAAAGGTATATTTACTGCATAATCGCTCACTGCCTAGGAGCTGTGAATTACTATAATTTTTCGGCTCACTTATGTTATAATGTGTTATTCAATTTAAATGGTATTTCATTTATTTGATCGAAGCTTTTTTAAAAACTGAGTTGAATACTTAGTCTAAAAATTCCTCTGAAAAGATAAACCCGTTGGAAAAGGGACTTAATATCTTAGTCTTTGGTTCTTCTGTACTTGGACAAGTTTCATAGCACTATCTCAAAGGTGAGGTACTAAACCGGATGCATAGCTTGATCTTAACTTTTAAATGGGTATTTGTCTCCATATTATTATCATGTGTTCTCCATCTTACAGGTTGAAACATGATATATTGATATACACACTTTTAATCTATTACGATCACAGAAGCGGACGTAATTTAAGGCTTTTGTTGCACACCAGAATCATCTAATAAAGCAATATAAAAGTTGGTTCGATATAGTAGTTTCTTGTCAAACTTACATGGAAATACTTAAGTATAAGTAAATTAAACTAATGTTTGATCCAAAAGGCAATAGTAGATTGAGCTTAGCTCTATAAATGTAAGTATTTTTGTGAACAAGTGAAGAGAAGAATAACTGAGTCTGCCATGCAAATACACCTGGGACTAACACATACATCATAGATGTGTATAATTTTTAGTGGACTGGTGGTAATGTTATTCAAGTAGCTCTGGCTGGTAACTGCTATCAGATGATTTATTCAACAGTCTTTTGCAAGCGATAAAACTCTGCAAAAACTAGCTTTGCTAGGTTATTGAATTTTACTTAATGTTACTGCGGTGATTAGATGGACCAATTAGTATTTGTTTTTCATATTAACAAGTTAAGTTTGCATCTGTATTGTTTTCATCGTTAATATTTTGATAAGAATCAGAATCTATATACGGATCTGTTGAATATTGACATTTTGGGGTAAATTTGCTTACTTTTTTTTATTAATCATATTAAGATGAAACAGGCTTGCACATGATTATGTCTCCATGTTGTGATTTTGGTTAAGTTATGCTCTGATGGGACGACAAGCTGCCAACAGTTATGTGACCGCAACTATAGAGATCATCCAAAAGGAGGCAAGACAAGCAGAAACACAATAGCTTTAATCCAACTTAAGAAGTCAAAAACGTTACATGACTATCACTAACAGCTACTGCCTACAGCGGAGAAGCTTATAAAATCCCGGTGTTTGCTCAGACCCATCCAAAATTAATTAAAGAGGACACGCCAGCGTCGTCTCTAGACAGTCAATTATAATACAAACTACAAAACATAAATTATCATTAAAAAATATGTAGAAAGGAAAACCAATTAATTTTGTATTGAAAACTGAAAACATCACTTAAAAATGAAACTTCAAAATGTTTTAGTTAAAATAACACTTAATTTGAAACAGTAAAATATTTTAACAACTCACTTTGTCATTCTCTGATAAAGGCAACTAATCTTTCGATGGTATAATTCATAAAAGTTTATATATGGTAGACAAGAAATTGAATTTGTTACAGAAAGTGACATTGTATGTATCAGAATTCTCAATGTCCATTATGGGTCTGACTGGTTTAACCGCTGCGGTTGCGGTTGCGGGTGCGGGAGTTTGCGGAAGCGGGCGGTTGTGATTAGTAGCGTTATTAAGCGGTTTGTACGACTGGCATAACAATTGAAAATGGATGCGTTTGCGGGATACTTATGACTGGTTCACTTGCGGATGCAATAGCGGTTAAACAATAAATTAATAATATAAACACATTATATAATTATAAAAATATCAAAACTATATTATAATGAAAATTTTAAATTTATGGTTCAACATAATTAAAAATAATTTTTTTATAAAGAATAATATGTGTATAATACTTACGTCTATTTTTTAATTTCTATAATTTAAATAAAAAATGTGATTTTATTTTCAAAATATATATTTAATGTGAAAATTAAATTTATTTTACAATTTTATTTATTAGATATATATGTATTAGTATGAAAAGAATATTTATGAAGAGAATTTTGATTTGTAGAACTTATAAATATATAAGTATTATATGATTTTAATGAATATTGACTAAAAGTACTAATTTTTTATTTATATTGTGATTTTATTATCCAAATCTTATTTTTTAATAAATATTATTATTTATTTTCGGATTTTATATAAGTTTGTGTTTTTTTTTTTTTAATTATCCACCCGCAACCGCCCGCAACCGCAAACGCTTGCGGAAAGGAGCTTTTGATTTTCAGCGATATAGAGCGGTACAGAGTGGTATAGAGCGATTCAAAGCGGTTGTCGTGATTGTTATAAACCGCCGAAAACCGCTACGAACCGCAAACGCTGCGTTTGCGGGTGGTAGCGGGAGAACCAATCAGGCCCTATATTTTAAACTTTGGGTGCTTAGCAACCAGTGCTCACTAATTAATTTAAGGAAATTTGGAAAACCTTTTCCAAAATATTTATTTCTTTAAATGAAAAATTTTAAAACTCGTGGAGAAAGCCCAAATTCAAAAAGAAAAATCTCCTATTGGTCAGTCACAAAAATTTACCTTTAAGCCTTCCAGTCTCCCAGAAACCTCCTCTCTCTCTCTTTTATGATTCCATTTTACATGTGTCTGTATATGATAAGTGATTTACGTTTTCTATATGATATAAACCTCCCCAAACAAAAATAATACTATAAAAAAACCAAACCCAAAAACCTGAAAATTAAAAAAGCCCACAAAACCTAACTCTGAAATTCCCCCAACTCTTTCTTCTTGATTGGTGTATGTATGGAGAAGAAATTAAGCATGGATTTGCAAAGAACTATAGTGTTCTTGTGTTGGGTCCTCTCTCTTCTGATCATGGGAACGACAGCGTATCCCGATAAACAGCTGTTCCAGCCGCTTGGAACGGAAAACGCAAACGCGGTGATGAAGCGAGGGTTACAGACGCGGCGGCCGGAGCACAAGAACGCGTATGCGACGATGATGTATATGGGAACAGCAAGAGACTACGAGTTCTACGTTGCGACACGTGTCTTGATAAGATCACTCAAAGCCCTTCACGTCGACGCAGATATCGTCGTTATCGCCTCCCTCGACGTTCCTCTCAACTGGATTCAGGCCATGTAAGTGTCTCCTCATCTTCTTCTTCTTCTTGATTGCCGAAACGCTTCCGTTTTAATTATTTAGAAAGAAGAAAAAAAATCTCCATATTTGAATCAAGAAAATATTATAAACTTTCCAACCTTATGAAAAATTATACAAGTTTCATAAAATTCCTAAATAGTATTGTACACTGGAATGAAAAGAATATCCATTTTTAATTTCTAGTTATTTACAAATAGAGGAGAACATGGAAGAACAGTAGTGCGGGAAACAGCATGAAAAATAATTTATAAATTTCAAAAAATGAGATTATTAATTATTATTATTATTAGATTCGAAGTTAGAAGCAACAGAGACTGCAGAATTGTCTTGGCTCTTTAGTATAAAAAAGGTAAAATTGTCCGAACAAGACAATCCTTGCATCTAGTAACTCAAAGAGGCCAGTGTGGAAGACGTGTTGTCCACGACCTATTTTAATTTCTTGTATTTTTTTGCTTAGTTTTATCTCTATCGTTGATATAGAATATATCTCAGCCATTAAAGAAAATCATAAAAGAAGTTTCTTTCAAACATAGAAATTTACGTTTAATGATTTTTTCTTTCTTATTTTGTTAGTGTTATTTCTGCATTCATAGCACCACCCTTTTACTGTCATACATTCAAAACTTACATAGGTTAAGTGGAAATTTGGTGTATTTTTCTTTTGCTAGTGGAAAGGTGGGTATTTAAAGAAAATTAAATGTACAAGCAATAGTGGATTGCTTGTTGATTTTAAAATTCAACAGATAAGAAAACAGATTATTATCAAAAAGAGTAAATGGGGCTGTCAAATACCTTATTCTAGTAACTCAAAGTTTCAGACCTTTTTTTTTGTTGGTTTCCCTTTTATGGAACTGGAAAAGAAAAGGTTAAAATATTAAGAAAATACACTAATACATAATATTAAGAAAATACAGAAACTGTAATTAATTATAATTCACGTATGGGGGTAGGGAAGAAGAGGACGGAGCTAAAGTAGTGAGAGTAGAGAATCTTGAGAACCCATACAAGAAACAAACCAACTTCGACAACAGATTCAAGCTTAGTCTTAACAAGCTCTACGCTTGGTCTCTCTCTAACTATGACCGTGTCGTGATGCTCGATGCCGACAATCTCTTCCTCAAGAACACCGACGAGCTATTCCAATGCGGCCAATTCTGTGCCGTCTTCATCAACCCTTGCATCTTCCACACTGGCCTCTTCGTGTTGCAGCCATCAATGGATGTCTTCAAAGACATGATTCGTGAGCTTCAAGTAAAGAGAGATAATCCTGATGGAGCTGATCAAGGCTTTCTTGTCAGTTACTTCTCTGACTTGCTCAATCAGCCTCTGTTTCGTCCTCCTGATAACCGCACCACCTTGCTTACTGGACATTTTAGGCTTCCTTTGGGATATCAAATGGACGCTTCTTATTACTGTGAGTGACCATTTCAATAATCCTAAAAGTCTATAACACTTTGCTAATTAATCTTTGTATTTTTCTTAGACCTTAAACTTAGATGGAACGTACCTTGTGGACCAAACAGTGTGATCACGTTCCCAGGCGCAGTTTGGTTAAAGCCATGGTACTGGTGGGCATGGCCTGTTCTTCCTTTAGGCCTTTCATGGCACCACCAACGCCGCTATACTATAAGGTAAATTTGAAACCCACAATTTGTTATTCTAGGTTTGAGTCTCTACGTTATATAGATTTTTTTTTTTTTTTTTTTTTTTTTTGGTAAGGACTAATCCTCTTGTGTCATTGTAGTTATTCCGCAGAGATGCCTTGGGTCCTAAGCCAAGCAGTGTTATACCTAGGGATCATACTAGTCACGCGACTAGCGAGACCTAGCTTCACCAAGCTATGTTACCGACGTTCTGATAAGAACTTAACCATGATCCATACAGCTTTCAAGATGGTTGCACTTCTCTTGATCCTCTTAACTTACATGATACCATTCTTCATCATCCCAAAGACGATCCACCCGCTCATCGGTTGGTCACTCTACTTGACCGGTTCCTTTGCTCTCTCCTCCATACCCATCAACGCCTTCTTGCTTCCGATGCTCCCTATCTTAACACCGTGGCTTGGCATTCTCGGGACGCTCCTCGTGATGGCTTTTCCCTCTTATCCCGATGGCGTTGTCAGAGCTCTGTCGGTTTTCGGGTATGCCTTTTGCTGTGCACCGTTTCTGTGGGTTTCTTTTGTGAAGATCACGTCGCATCTTCAGGTTTTGATTGACAAAGAGGTTTTGTTTCCGCGGTTGGGCGATTCCGGAGTTGGTTCTGGTCTCAGCAAATTGTATTGATTAAGACTGTGAGAATTGTGATTATCTGATGGATTGGTTATGTACATAAAGGTTAGAGATTATTAACAAAGATAAACATTAACTTAGAATATCGTTAGTTCTGTCTTAATCAACGAGATGATTTTCAAATGGATTCATAAAAAGCCCACTAAAGAAAGCATTCACCAAGACACGATGTCGTTTTGCATATGAATTTCTTGTATGTAATTTATGATTGCAAATTATTTTTTCTTTTTCAAATTATCATTTTCTGTGAACATGATAAAACTGTCACCAAATTGATGCTGAACATGATGGGTCCTTATAATTTAGTAGCTCTAAAATGGAAAATTAAAAGAAGGAGATCTGATCGGTCCACGAATTTTCCGTCGGAAGCTTAAGGCGAAAAAGGTATATGCCACATGCCCCCACATTTATATGATACGAGTCATATGATCAATGAATGTTGTTGACATACAAACAAAAATAAAAGAAAAATAAAAAGACCAACCGAATAGGATTTACCCAAATACCCATTCATCTCATACTTGTTTCGGACAACATAACAGTGAACAATTTCCCTCTATTTTTCACTACCTTTTTTTTTGGACAACAACTGATTTTATAAAACTAGCTTCGGTTACACCTCACACAGGAGGAAGAGATCCAACTACAAAGAGCTGAATCTAAAATTACACTAAACACAACAAAGCTAAAGGAGAACAAGGATAACAACATGATAGATTCAGAAATACCACATAGGGTTGATTCTTCCTTTAAGGGAGGCAGAATTTCCTGAACACAACATCCAGTATCTAAATTCATTGCCTGAAGCAACACCACCAAGCACTATGACTGCAACAATCAAAATCCAATCCACGAGACTTTGACTTGCTGAACTTTGAACAGAGGCAGACTTGAATGAAGCTTTCTTTAAACCCACGACCACATGGTCGTAAAATGCTCGCAAGACTAGAGCCAAGGCCATCAATGCAGAGCTTAACAATACTCGCTCCATAAAGGAGGAGACAATTCTCGGTTTCAAAGCCGAGTACAAATTACTTCTCATAGAGAAGATCATTGAAAGCTTCTAACAATTTCCCTCTATATTTCTTTTTTTTTTTTTTTTTTGAAAAAAAGGCAATTTTCCCTCTATATTTCCCGATCGTTAAATACACTATCATGCTTCTAACAATTTCCCTCTATATTTCTTAGAAAACTCAAGTAAACTAATAATCTAAAATGTGTAAGAACAATTTATTCTGGTGTCGATCTGTCAGTGGATAAACAGTTATTTAACTTTGAAGTCAGGCAAAGGTAAACATGCAGAAACGTGATTTTAAACGGATCAGGGATATTTCTGTAATAAATAAGAACGTTACTAAATGATGTGTGTGTCTGTGTGTGTGTTTCTTATGTCACGAAAGAAACATAAATGGATCTGTTTTAGTAGAAAACTAGTAGTACTTCACAAGACAGTAGACAGAGTTACAGCTGCAGCTGGCGACACAAACTACACCACACAGAAAGTAGGAAATAAAGAACCAAAACAGATTAAGTAATTATTACTTTTGTTCTTAGAATAAAGTAATAAACTGATACTGTATGTAGTATGCATAAGGTGGATATAGACAGACCCATCTTTCACAAATTTAAACTATGTACTAATAATTTTTGGTGAAATATCTCGGTGTTTTTTGGGTTTAGATATTTTCACTTATGGTGATATTTGAATTTTCATGATCTGATATTTTGAGTATTTACCAGACTCTACTAGTTGTGCTTATATATGATTTTTTAATACGCAACAAGAATCATATTTATATAATTTAATGGGTTAGCACAACACTTGTGTCATAAAATACTATGCAGTTGAAATTAAATACTTCATTCAAGACATACTAATAAACCAAAAGATCCAAGATCCAAAGATCATGCAAAAGAATCATCTCAAGAATTCCAATTTTCAGAATTTCAAAACGACAATAACAAAGATCCAACAATAAATTATCATCCTCGTGACCCTAAAAATCGAAACAAAAGAAAAGAAAACTAGAAACACAGCTTGTTTCTTTGTTTTTTTTCTTGTCTTACATAAAAAGTACATTGTTTGATCATACTTCTCATCCAAACATTCCAAACCAATAAACGGTTTTTTTCTTCTTCTAATTTTAAAGAATAATAATCTTGAAGAAAACCAAATCAACAAGATGTTTTTATATGGCTGAAACTATGGAGACAGCCTCGCCTTCTTGCGGCGGAGGAAGATTCAGATCTATCACACATCGGCGGAGCTCCGAGAAGTGTCTTATCTCCGGCTTCATCTCTTCCCCTGCAAACACCGGCATTTCTAGTTTGATCCCAACTTCCCTTGAATCTCTCGAGAGCATCATCAAACACATGGCTAAATCCTGCTCCGGAGAACCGTCGGAGACAGAACTCGCCGGCTCTGGTGACCCGTTAGAGTTAAGACGACTCATCTTCTGCTTCTTTCCCGACTCAGACGAGTTCTCAAACACTCTCTTCTTGCTCCTCTTCTTCTTCTTCTTGGAAACGTCTGCTTTGCCTCGTTTCCGAACAGGGTCTCCGGATTCAGGCTCGGTCTCGGTCTCGCTGTTGTAGACGATGGATGATGACTCAGGATCCGGATTGAAAACCCGGACACTCTTTCTCGGGTTCTCTCGCAACCCGTAGACCAGAGATTTACCATCGGAGGAAGATGAACAAGAATAGACCGAGTCACCGAGTTTCTTCCGAGTCGTCGCTGGCTGTGATGATGAGACCAAGTGGGACTTCATGTGACCACCAAGTGCTCTGCCATTACAGAAACTCTTGGAACAGAGCTTGCATTTGTGCTTCTGCATTTTGCCAAAGAAGAAGAATAAGAACAAGAAACAGGAACAAACAAACAAAAGAAACCTATGAAGACTTTAAGTTTCTCTGTCCCAATTTGCTTAGAGTTAGAGAGAGAGACTGTTGTTGTAGAGCAGAGAGAGAGAGAGAAAGAGAATCAGAGGAAGTTAATAAGAGTAGGTAACAAGCATTCTTCTCTTTTCACAAACCCCCAAACTTAACAATTATGACTTTTTGGTCCATACGATAACTAATGAGTAATGATACGTAAAGATAACTTTTTTTAGTTAGTTTTAGTAAAACAATTAAGAGCAAACTTTACTATTTTTAATTCTGCTGACAACGATAACCACCGAGTGTTGAATCTCGTTTAATCCAGAAGTATTGAAAATTTAAAATTAGTTTGTAATTATTTTGGCTGAAAATTTTATGTACCTTGCAGACAAAAAAAGAGTAAAATTAGTTTTGTTAATTACAAAGTAGAATTGTTTAAAAGATAGGAGAAGAAAGGAGACAAACAAAGCACAAAAAAGCTCTTGCGTTGCTTTTTGCTACTTTTATTGACTAGGGACTTCTAAAGCATATATGAGTTTAGAAGCTTGAACAAAGGATGTGAAAGAAGAAAAGAAAGCTTCACAAAGTAAGTGTGATTATGTTTGTTGAGTTAGTTGTAGGATTTGTAATGGCATAATCGGTTGAAACGTCGAGGCTCAAATGATATAAACGGTTGTATTAGTTACATTGATTTCATTGGGCGTTGAGGTTTAAATGCTGAGATGTCAATTGCAACGGTTTAAACATTTAAATACCTTGATAGTAATGAGTTTTAATAGTTAGAATCATAATTAAAACGAAACAATATAATCATCACATATATAGAATTTTAATAGTTCGGTGTCATCTAACATACGATGGTCTTGTTGACCCATTGGTGAATGACTTCACAATGATGAGTCCAAGTCTTTTGAGCTTTCAAGAACGTCCATTCTCATTTCAAAATTTTCAGGTTTTGGAGTCATCGCTTTTTAAAAGCGCCGTAATATTTTTTTAGGGTAGTAGTAATAATTTCTAAAGTTCTTAAAAAAAAAAAAAAAAAAAAAAACCTATAAATTTCTGAGCATGTATCATTTTACCAAGAATTTTCAAAACTTCTAGTTCCGTTTTATACATTAGTTTATTCAACATGTTCTGCTGCATTGCATATTCAATTCGAATTTGTTAACCTGAATTGAGAACTCGTGGGCTGTCATTCTTTTGTTGGCAACAAAGAGATTATACTCATTGCTCTTATTCAAATGAAAGAAAAAGACAAAACAACTTTAGGATGTGTTTAAGAATGATTAGTGTCTTAAAATTTTGAAGTTTCGAACCGGGATTTGATTTTGTTTATTATTTCAGTTTTACCAAACTTGACATGTTGATATTTCGGTATCAAATAGTATAGTATAAAACTATGATGATAATTTCACAGAGATAAAAAAAAACCCATCTTGTATAAATAATCGAATCTGCATAGCTATAAGCCTATAAGTACATATTTACATAGATGTCGTAAACAAGAATGCATGAAACTGCTAATATACGCTTGGTGATGAAATAATATAAGTACATATTTAACATTATCAAGAATAAAAAAGGCAAAGATTTAAATTTGAGTTGTTGGAAGTTTGATAAACAGTTGAGTAAAGAAGAGGCTTTGCTAGACAGTGGAATCTATAGCGTTAATTACTTAGCTTTTGCTTCATTCTCAATTCTCACTAATATGTACACAGAACTCAGACAAAACAATAGATCATTTATTCTCATCCAAATAAAAGTCTAGTTGACTATAAACAAATGGTTTATCAAATATATTCATATCATTTTATTTATTTAAATATTTTTCAGTAAAACACTAGTCTTTTATAATACATTTCATATCTTTCTTTTTTGAACATAATAATAATATACATAACATATCTAAAGACAGTTATGATCAAAGAACTATTAAAACTGATAGTTTAGGCTTTTTTTTTCTTCGACCTGCATGGAATCTTTTTAATGTCATTCTGGTATTAGACAAGAACATATAGAAAAGAAGACTTGATCTTGCTTCTTTAAACCTATAGCTAAACTAAATATTAACAAGAACATAAAGAAAATAAGACATTAACGCAAGAGAGGCTTCTCAATATCAAACTCTGTGATAAGCACACTTTCTTCTTCGTTTTCTTTCTGTTCATCTCCTTCTCTACATTCCTCTTTCCCTTTAGCCCACAGAACAAAGTAAAGTCCTCCGAACATCAACGCCATTCCCGCAAAGCTAATAATTCCATAAAGACAAAACACAAGAAAATTGACTTCTCTTTCTGTCCAAAATATCATATTTTGAAAGGAGAAAAGCTACAAAAAAAAAGGTGCACCTTCCGAAGTTGAAACTCTCTGCCGTAGAGAAAGCAGAGACAGCAACACAAACCACAGTTGCAATTGGACTAAAGAGAGACACAATCACTGGTCCTTTCTTCTTAATCACCCATGCATTGAAGCTTAACCCTCCTCCAGCCACCAAACCTCCCTATACAAAGCATATTCTTATATAACATTCTCAACACATTCATAAAATTCTCACACCATAATATGATTCATGAGATACAGATATATATATATATATCTGTACCAGTATTGCGTATCCCACAAGGTAGCCAAAACCAATTACTGATGCACTTCCTATTTCCATATTCCCATTAAGAGCATACTGCAAAGCCGTGGTGCCAATCCCACCGATAAAAAACACCATTGAAAACATAGATACAGGCGCGGGAAACTCGTCTAGTATGGATGCCTAATAAGGACGATGGAAGTGATTTCACAAGCCAAAAAAAAAAAAAACAATTAGCAATCAATTGTACGTGAATGACACATTATCTTATAGAGCTAAGAAAGAAGTGACGTGGAACCTGGAGGACAACACTAGAGGACAAGCAACAGATGGCAAGTAGAAGATAGAGGCAACCAAAGACTTTATCCTTGTCCAAAACGACGTCGTCAGAGACAATAGGCATAGACTTCTTCACCGAGCCAGAAGTGGAAGTAGTACTGTGCATTAAGCTCATAATGAAAGCTCCCATCACACACAACACTGTTCCTCCCATCTTAACTCTACTGTACATACAACTTAGCTTCACTTTCTCCATCCTTCACAGTATCAAATTCAACCCACTATTTAACGCTTTGTTTACTTTAGAGTTTAGATGCTTAAGAGAATAAAAATTAACAGAAAATTAAAGGAATTTACCCAACAGCCCAAGCTGTGACAAAAATGAAAGCAGGAGCGAGATTAGGCATAGCTGTTGCCATTGATGCAGAAGTTTTTTTTATTCCTTCTAAGAATAACCACTGGAACAGAGTCACTCTGTTTCAAAAAACAAACTTCTCTCTAAATTAATCACTTGTTGTCATTATTTCAAGTAAGCATTAATAACCAAAACATGCAGGTATTAAAAGGACATTTTACCCAACAAGAGAAACCAAAACAAGTTTTGTCTTTAACTTGAAACTTATACTTCTTGGCCACAGTTTCCTGCATATACCCACCGCCAAGAAAAGAAAAAAAACCATCAACAAAAATCCAGAATCTTCATAAAAAAAGAAACAAAAGAAGCTGAATCAGAGAGTTGTGGTAAAAAAAAGTTACCTTTCAAAGAGAAGTGCAAGAGGAGTGATGAGAAGAAATGATACGAATGTGGAGAAGATAGAGATAAGAAGTGGGTCGACGCCAAGAGACAACAAGTGACTCAGTAGCTCCGAGTTTCCGGCGTAAATCACCTGAGATCCGACCAATCCTCCAACTAGTCCAACTTCTTCTAAAGTCTTTCTCTTCATCTTTTTTTTTTTTGGTTTTTCTCCCAAACGCACCGACGAAATATACAGAAAGCAAGCTTATACTAAAAAAAAAGAAAAAAAGAACAAGAACGGCAAAACTAGTTGGAAGCCATTTCGATTTAGTGGGGGGAATGAAAAAAAGCAGAGACACACTTTTAATTCTGGAGTGTTTTGATCGTTAAATGAAAATAGAAGAGACGCTTTCTTTACGATCTCTTTCTGGTAATGCGTGTGCTTGAAGCTGAGACTTTCTCATCTATCTCACTTCTTCCTTTTAAAGACATGTGTCCATTACATTGCATAGGTTTTATGGAGGGTCTCCCCATTATAGCTTTTTGGGGAAGGTGCAAGATTTATTTAATTGTTTTTAAGACTTAAAACAGTAATTATTTTTTAGATAAGAGTCCTCGAATTCTTGTGAAATTGGATTTAATATTTTAGTGTAATAGTATGTGAAATAAGACAAATTCCAAAATCCGACATTTGAGAAATACAAATATCTTGGAGATCGTTTGATTATGACTTTTTGTTTTGAACAAAAAAAAGAAAAGAATTATGCTATGTGGATTTCATCACTTATGATCAAAAGTTGAAAACGAGTTTAGAAAAACTTTGGCTAAAAAGTCGTACATTTCTAAAATTCAAATTTAGTTAGCCTAATCGGTTGAGGCAGATCGATATTTCAGGTTTGCGTGAATCCAAAAAACAAGTACGATTTTGTATTTGAGAAGATGATTATATAGATTATGGAATGATCATAAATATTCATCACACAAATTGATGTAACAGTTGTATGTAAGATCTCTAAATTCTCAGCAATATGTTATTGTTTTCTAATAAGTAGTGTTTTAGAGCTATGCACATTACAAAAAAATACAAATAATTTATACATTGATTAGTTTATACAAGTAATTTATACAAATAATTTATACATTGATACAGTGAGGACATTATTTATTTGTGAACAAAAGAGTTTATAAACACCACTTATTAGAGAATGGATGGACTATTGTAATATTTTACAAAATATATATCAATCAGAAATGTAAAAACGTACTGTACAAAAATGTAAAGAAGAAAGACATGCAAAAACTCCGTCAGACACGGGGGACCTTGGGAGAGAGCAAAAAAATTTATTTTAGTGTTCTTTGTTTGTATTGTTATTTTTGGATAAACAAAATGACAGCGTACCACTACCACCTAATCTTTCTTTTTCTTTTTGTTTTATGTCAACAACATATGTAATTTTTGTGTGTGTGTGTGGTTGCATGCAATCTCTTTTATTTGTTCTTTTGTACAGATAAATGGGGGTGTAACGTTCCTATATTTATTATTAATGTTTGTGACTCACTCGAAAACTGATCTCTTAATTAAACACCAAAAGGATGCCTTAAGCATTTGTTTAATAACTAGTTATGTAACGAATTAAGTTACATATAAAATGATTTACAAATTAAATATTTGTAATGGAGGTGTGCAATAGAGGTGTGGAGTGTCAAAGTTGGTGGTGAAGCGTAGGAGAAGAATAAAAGAGGAGTGTAAGAAAGAAGAGAGGAAAGTGGGTAAGCTTACACGTCACGTGATTGTTCTTTTTTTGTTTTCCCAGTGACTTGTGAAGAAGCGTGTGACCATCTCTCTTTTGTCCCTTCTTTTTCTTTTTCTTTCCCACTAAATATCAATTGCGACCAAATCTTTTTAGTTCTTTTATTTATTTATTTTATGATTATTAAGAGTTTTTCTATATTTTTTTTTTATATTTTCTTCGCTTCGAAAATTGTGATCCATTAGATAATTAGGAATTTCTTGGTTAAGACGTTGCATACCTCTATATTTAGAGTAATTACATGTTATATGGTCCGTTCAAGGCCATTTGATTCTCCAATATTTAAGATTTAAAATTTTGTATCTTTTAATTGAGTTAACGGCACTTGTACAACCAATTTTATCCAAAACGATCTTAAATTTCACAATATACTACTTGCTTTAAGGTATAGGCTTACAATTCAAATGATCAAATAATTAATTTTTGATTATATTTCACTAAAAAGCTCTTACAAGCAATACGACCCCACGGATATCTCTCAAAGGCGCCAGCATCAAGTACTCGTTTGGCAGTCTCCAAAGGGATTCTACTCGTTGGAGCCATGCCGTAGACAGCAATGTGCAAAATACACAACCATCCAACGCTTCTTCTTTTTTCAAAACTCCACTTACTACAGCTATTAACCACCTTCCGCAGCTCAACCAGGTTAGGACCAATGGCTGGAGAAACTTGTAATTCCCCCCAGAAGTCTCTATGATCCACATCAAAAGTGTCTTCAACGTTAAATGGTTCAATATTCAAACCGGTTATCTCCCCAAACTCTATTAATGATAGACGAATTGGCTGGCAATCTATCAATGACCATATCTCATAATATTTCTTCACAATGAGCTGATGAGTCAGAATGTAGTGGACCAGCTTTGCGCTCCATATGGGTGCCGATTCATAAAAACTTAGGAAAACACCAACTGAAGATTCTTTCAAATCATCCCATGCATCGTTTCCCACTCCTTCTTGAACCATTTGAAAATTAGACAAGTAGCTATAGTAACTCATGCTCTTCTTTTGACTTGGTGCTTTCCCCTTTGGATAGAGTAGTTGAGGATAGTTTGTCTCAGTACCTGAAGGAGCCATATCTAGCAATAGAAAACAAACAAAATTTTAGAACATCTCTAATGTAGTGCAATCAATTTCGATTAGAGATCTACAATGGAGTGCAATCATTTCTATCAGAACATCTCTACATCTCTAAGAGAGTGCAATCATTTCTATCAGAGCATCGCTAAGTTAAAATCCCCAAAATCGGACTTCGTTTTCGGTGGATGATAGAGTGCAATCAATTTCAAACAGACCTGCAATAGAGTATGATGGAGCGATCGAGATTGGTTCGTAAATTGATTTTCAGACTTGGAGAAGAGAATGGAGAAGAATGTTCGTGTGTCGGGATTTTACAAATTAGGTTTTTGTTAATTGATTTTTTTAATTTAATTTGTTTTAATTTCGAAATTAATTAGAAGAATGGTATCATGTAATATAAGGTTATTAGGGTGGTTTAACTGTCTTTTTACACCCTTTTGATTTTAGATGATTGAATGGGTGTTAGTTTAGTAATATAACGTTGAATTGGTGCTAGTCCAACTAATTTTCTCGAGAATATATTCTATGATTAACCACTTGGTATTTTAATTTTAAAATAGATAAGCTGAAGCGTTAAAAATGTAAGCACAGATTCGCTCTCAAATCCTTTTGGACCTTGAAGTTTAGTTGAGCAAAACGTACGTATACTTCTATCAAAACCACTAAAAAGTGTCTTGCAGAAATAAACATTTTTAAAAAGTGAAACCAACAAAACGCTTAGAAAAATTGGATCAGTCCTCTAATAAGCTTCCCTTCTTTAAAGGTCTCACAGAAAACCAGGGAAAATGACTCGAGAGATGCCACGTACGGACAGACAAGTGAAACTGTCTTAAGTTCGGAACCGAAAACACACATACTCCTCTCACGTGTCCACGTGCCTACAATGGTCGCCAACGTGACATTTTTTGGTACTTGTATTTGTATCATATATCCATCGTACGCTTTCATGAGAGATTATAAATACTAGTATAAAGAATAACAATTTTCCCTGCTCTCTTCACCATTTCGTTCTGAACTCTGCTATATGTTTTTTTCTTTTCTAAATTGTAAAATTTAAAATATTTGTTTTTACAAATTGTGTTAACAAAAAAGGTAAAAAACATAACCATATACATGGTTTCATATAGTAAATAAAGATAAAAACAAAAACATAGAAGTATAATCATTCAGTACTTTGTTAACATTAAACCGTGAAGGTTTTTTTTTTCTTTCTTTTTCTTGTGAAGCTAAGGTCAACAAAATCGCAATACGGGACTTGTAAAGTTGAAGAGGAGCTGATAATGAAACTAACCCATATACATAGCAGTAAATTAACAGATTGGTAGAAACGCAATCTTAGCCAAAAATGTCAGAGCAGCAATCTTATACATGGTCCCATGAAAGCATAACCTTATGCATGGACAAAAAAAAGATACAAATCAGTACTTTACATACAAAGCAGAAATCTTAGCTCTCAAATTACAATACAATAATAATAAAATTGTTTAAACCCTTCGCCAAAAATGTCCTTAAATTTTTCTCGCCAATTTTCTCCTAAGCTATTTAAGTGAATATGCTCTTTTTTTACGTACGTTTATACGTGCAAGAGAAAAGAAAAATTATTGAAATATCCATTTTAACTAGGCTTGAGATTATGTCAAAAATAAAAAACTAGCTTGGGGTTTATAATCCTAAACTTGAAAACTCAAAAATCGAACAAAGCTAAACCGAACCCTAACATGTACCTGAAGTCCCATGCTTAATTTTAACTATGCAATATGGATGAAATATCTATTTTTTTTCCCTGTGAAAAGAAAAACCAACATGGATGTAATTCTTTATGAGATTGTTAAAATCAATATTACATGCTGTGGTTTCGGGTCTAACGGGATGTACAGGTTTCGGCCCAGAACCTCTTAGTAATTCAAAAAAAAAAAAGAAAAAAAAAAGACTTAAAGACTTAAGATTGAGGATCCTTCTTCCCCTTCCGGTGAACTAAAATATATTTATATTTTCAAAATATGTTAACTAGAGAGATAATAACTAGGGGCGAAAAACAGGTAGATATATTATTTATATAAGTAATTAAATAAAGCCTCAAAAGAGAGAAGAAGTTGCAATCATGTTAGGATAACAGGATCTCTCGAAGGATCGCAGGTTAAGAGTATTATCGAGCATATATGGTGAGTTACGTATCAATCTTTTCATGTTAATTAATTATATAGCTAATGAATTTGACACATGTCCCTTCGTAAACCTCATCCTGATCTCACTTTGTTAATTTTACTCAGATGATCACGAAACTAAGGAATTAGGGTTTTGTTGATGATGGACAGAGTTAGTCATTTACCTGACGATTTGCTCTTGAATATACTGTCATTTCTTCCGACAAAAGAAGTCCCGATCACAAGTGTTTTGTCGAAACGATGGCGTCCTCTTTGGATGCTTCTGCCAAAACTCGAGTATTGTCGTCGGAATAACAATAACAGAAAATACGAAAGTTTTTCCCAGTTTGTTAGCACATCTCTGTTACTACACAGGACTCCAATGCTGGAAAGTTTGCAGCTCAGTCTTGATGGAATCTGTTGTGACACAGATATCGAATCGTGTCTTGAGATGGCATCAAACCGCAATCTGCGTGAGCTAAAGATGGAACATGGTTTGTTGTCGTCGCGTTTGGGCTTACCAAGAAGAATGTGTGAAACACTAGTGGTCATGCATCTCAGTTATGTTGTCATCGATGTTACTTTAGTCACAAGCTCCTTTAAGTCGCTCAAAACTCTGCATCTTCTATCTATGACGTACAAAGACGATGATAGATCCTTTAGAAGATTTTTATCCAAATGTCCTGTCCTTGAAGATTTGTTAATAGAGTACCATCCTTACTCGCAAACATTGACAGTTTCGGTGCCTTCCTTACAAAGGTTATCCATAATACAATCACCAAGCAGATGTTTTCGGTTGAAAACTCCGTCTTTGAAGCACTTGAAGATTGAATGGTGTCCGACGAAATTGTGCCATATTCAGAATATGCCGGACATTGTAACGGCTGATGTTAAAAGCCTTTTAACCAATCTCCGGAAGCTTCCAGGGTCTCTAACATCAGTTAAACGTCTCTCTTTATGCTTGATTGCTCCTCTAGGAAAGGTACTAGCTGATATTTGTTTACCATATTTGTAATTTCATCAAAGATTTGTAAGGGATATGATTATACTTTGGAAATGCATGGCAGGTTCCGCGGAAACCAACAAAGATTTTCCATCAGCTTCTTCATCTAAGTCTATGTACATTTTATCAAGATTGGCCGAGTTATCTTAAGTGGATGATAGAAGCTTCTCCTAAGCTACAAACGCTAAAAATCCACCATGTAAGTAAAATCTAGTAATCATAATTATGTACATAACCAAATACTAATCAAGGTGGCCTTCTTTTTATATCTTGTTCTCAGGATCATTTAGATAGGAGATATACACATCTCTCTGGCGAAAATAGTAACATACCTGAATGTTCACTGCCCCATCTGGAAATATTCGAGTGGCGTGGATACGAAGGTACACCTGAAAATAGGAAGTTGGCATCTTACATCTTAACAAACGCAAGCGGCTTGAGAAAGGCGATAATCTCTCCGGATCTCAAATATGCGGATAAGAAGAAAGACGGGATTCTCAAGGCCCTTATGCGTAAAGAGTTTTCACTACTCTCTCGAAATTCAAATACTCCCTGTCACGTTTCCTTCGACTAAACTCCTTAGTTTCATTGCTTTTTTTATAACCTTATATATTTAAGAGTCTGGTGAATTAGATTTTTTTTTTTTTTTTTTTTTTATTTCTTTCATTACTGGTTTCATCAGTATATAATATATACGTACCAAATGAGCAATACATGTTTCAGTTATAGAAACTAAACAACCCCGGATGAAGATACTTAAGAAAATATGGCATTAGTTTCATATAATTGTTTATTTTCATGTAGAGTCTCTAATAGGATCATGCATCACTTTTGTGAACCAACCTTGTTGCGATATATTTTCATACATCTATGCAACTTCAAGCAGGACGAGATTGTAGAATGCAAGATCCCTTGGTTTTATATGTATCAAACCATTTCGTTACATACTTTGTCTACAAGGGATATGTAGAGTCTCTCACAATCATGAAATTTCTCAATGTGTCTCCAAGAAATTGCTCTGTAACGTCCTCCAATGCAATGAGCATTGATTTGTTTTTGTTTTTGTTTGTTCTGATCGTCACAGTATCATCTGCAACAACTCATCGTCTCCTCGAACTTCAGCCATTGATCTCCCCTCTCCTTGCTTAGTACGTAGCAGTATCTCCTTTCTGTTCTTGATTAATGCTAATTGATAAGGTTATCTTGGTAGAAAGAAGTAGCAAATTCAGTTTTGTTTGAAAGATTCTCTGTTAAAAGCTAAAGTGTTTCAATCCAAGGTTACACAAAGAATAAGGGAAAAGTACTTCTCGATTTCTGTTATTACAATTTTTTTGTTGGTTTTGAGCTTTGTTCATTTGCTTTTGTCTTTAGATTTTAAGCATAAGTTTCTATAAAACTGGATTTCTTCGTTTTAAGTATCTTCCTTGATGAAGCTTAGAGACATCGCTTCTTAGTACACCATAAATCATTAACCTTACCCTCTTCGACCTAGCTCCGATTCTAGGAGACGATGTAGGATAAGATTCGGAAATTTATAGTGGGTCGGGTTTTATTTAAGATTTTGGTTCGGCTTATGTTTTGGTTTCGGTTTAAGATATTATTTAAATTGAGTTTGATTGAGTTGGGCCTAATTTTATTATTTTTGATTTTTTTTTTTTTTTTATTGAATAAAGATCATTGGCGGATTCGATTTTGTATAGTCGAAATTAAATTGGTCTCAACTCTCAAGTAGTGTGAGTGTATTGTTTGATAATACCGTTGGTTTCGGTTAAAGTTAAAGAAACGCTTATAAATAATAATTCATCGCTATTCGCTCTCTCTCTCTCTTCACTCTCTCCCGCTTAATTTCAAGACTCTCTCCAAGAATTGGTTCTCTCGCGATCACACCATCTTCTTAAGGTTCGTCTTCTTCAACCTCTGTTTTTCTCACATTTCGTTTACTCTGTTTATCGTCTGGGATCTCTCTCTCTCGCTTAATTTATATATTCTAAATCTGTTATTTGGGTTTCTCTCCATAATTTCTCTGTCTCTCGGGTATTGATTATAATTCTCGCTGTCTCGCTTAATTTCAAGATCAAACAAGAATCGGCATGGACCATCACGAGAGAGGACGTGGCGGACGCCCACCACTTGGGGCAAGAAGAGGACGCGGACGTCCACCGTTACCGGCGAGAGGACGAGGACCCGTTAAGAGGACGAGGAAGGGGTCGTATAGGATTTGAGAGGTTTACGCAAGAGATAGAGATCCAGATTCATGAAGGGGAAGACATCGTATCTACAGTCGAGATGTATGCTTTGAACCAAGGGTGCTCCTCCATGATCATCTCCCGAGCTACAGGGATCGTTTCGGAGCTGACGGTAGAGGGCCGAGGAGTAATCCACGTAAGCAAATCTTCTTTCATGTTTCAACCTTCTTCTTTACCAAAAAACCATTCTTCTTCACCTTTCTATGAGACTCTGATTTTCTTTTTATACTACTACAGGCCGGACAATACGAGATACAACATTTACGTGGAATTTGGTCAGAAGTTTTACTCAATCAACATCAGTTCTTGCTCATTGTCTCTTTGAGAGATATGAACAATAACACATACATTCACGGCAACTCTCGATTTCTTCTTGCTGCAAACACGGTCACGGTAAACTTCTCAAAGTCTTTTTTTTTTTAACTTGTGGTTTACATAAATGTTACTGACCTAACTTAGTCGTGTTACTTTTTTTTGCAGGTTCATATTGAGCTCTGAATGTCGCCTGCATGATTTCTGATCTCGGAAAATGACTGCCTTAGCTAGTTTGTCGCCTCTCAATTGTGTTTCTTGTGGAGTACGCTATCGTTTTTCTTTTTCTTCTGTTAAGTTCTATCATGAATAATGGCTAGTTTGAGGTTTTGGTATTTTAGAATATTGGATCGTTCATTAATTGGGAACGATGCCGAGACATATGTTGTTAACGTGTGGTGTGTATAAACTTGTTAACGTCTTCTATAATCACTGATAAATATACTAAAATGTTGTTTGAAGCTCCAGAACAGAGCATATAAATATTTATGTCAGTTTAAATGCATCTTTAGGTAGACTCATGTTATGGATATGATGTTTTTCGATAACTCTTTACAGCTCAATTTATGACCAAAGTGATGTTGTACGTATTATGATGGAACCCGTGAGAGTTTAAGGAAGTAGTCTAAAGACCCGAGTCTTATGTAAATCGATGCAAACTTGATAAAAACCATAAGAAATAACAAAATTTTCGAAAATCTCACAACATCTCATATTACAATATATAATTAAACTGTTTAAACACTTAGCGAACAAAATTCCTTTTCTCGTGAGTTTGTCCATCGATAATTTCTCAAACAAGTTTTCCTTTTTACCTACGTTTATAACTGCACGAGAAGACAAAATGAAAATACACATTTTAATCAACAAATTATTTACCGTAAATTTCATGATTATGATTAAACAAGGTAAAGTTTTCTTACCGGCCCTTGCTCTTGAACGAATTCTTCGACTTGGCCTTAGGTTTTGCTCCACCACCACTGCCTCTGCCTTGTTTCTTCTCGCTCATATCACTCTTGAACAGATCTTTCATCTCTTCATCTCGAGGCTGGCTTCTTGGTTTACTCCGGTTTAGGTTCTGCTTCTTGTTCGGCGTTGGTCTCTCCATCCTACCGGAATCAATTGCTCTCTGTTTTGCTTTCACGGCCTTTGCTCGACGGTAACCAAGATCCACTAGTGTCAGTCCTTTCTTCTCTGGCTCTTTCGTCTTCTTGTCCTTCCCCTGAAATTAGAAAAAAACACCATCCAAATCAATACAATGTTTCATAACATCGGTGAGAGAGACTAACGTTGTATCACTGATATACTTACTCTTGATCTTCCTCGTCTTTTGTCTTCTTCTCCTTCTTCTTCCTCGTCGTCTTCTCCTTCGTCTTCCTCTAGCATCTCTCTGGCAGCTTCCAGCTTTCTACGTTTTTTCCTAGGAAGATTCTTCTGTACTTGCATGAACAAGAGAATTGTAAGTCCAAGAATCAACAAGAAATGATTCTGCAACTGAAAAGTGAAGAGCTTCTAGATAAAACGGACCTCTCGTTCGCGTTTTCTCTTCTCCTTCATCTTGAGGTCTTCTGCTTTATCAGCACTAACTAGTTCGTTTCCAGAAGGGTTCCCTGCAGAATCCTGTTCAGAGAAAGTATCAAGAGTGATTCAGACAAGTGAGTCTCTCTACAACAAGTGAAGTCTAGATGAATGAGAATGTATAATAAAAAGGAAACCTTGTCAGCTTTTGCCACAAGCTTCTTCTCCTTCTCTGTCATGAACCAAGTCCTTTTAGGGCGAGCATATATTTCATCTCTGTGCGCAATCATGTTCTCAGCCTGCAGAAATAAAAAGCCATTATCACCAATGTGAAATTAAGCCAATAACAATTAATCAAAGTCGAGAAGAAACAAAGCTGCCTACCTTTGCAAATTCCATTTCAACTTTCCTTAGAGCTCGCTCTTCCCTGAAATCAATGAAAACACGGAAAAACTTGAGTATGCATATCAATTAAGTCTCCATGGATATCGTAATTCTTTGATGGCTGTGAACTGAACCTCTCTTCTTGAACAACAGCAGAGTACTGATCTTCCATTTCATCCAGTATCTGAGACCACTTGACGATTGAATGCTCTGGGACGATTCGGCTCTTTAACTTTGAACCCACTTTCTTTGCCTAGATACCGAAGAAACAAAATCGATTAAAAAAATGGTAATGAAACGAGCAAAAGCAAGATCCAAAGTATGTCTGGAGATTTGCTTACAATGACTTTCAAAAGAGATCGGTCATTGTCAGTCACAAACGTTACAGCAAAACCTTTCCTCCCAGCCCTAGCTGTTCTACCAACTCTGTGAACGTAACTGCAAATCAAAAGGAAACACAATATCGTCCTCACATCAGCTAAAGAGAAGAAAGCTCATATCCTTTTAATTCAAATTTTCTTAAAGGAAATATCTCGTATTTACCTGTCAATTTCCCGAGGACATGCATAGTTTATAACTGTTTCGACACCAATGATGTCAAGCCCCTAGAATGATTAAACAAGAGTGTTCAACAAGTGAAATAGCAGAGCAACTACGATGGATGTGGAAAATAATTTATTTGCATCTTGAACTTACTCGAGCAGCCACATCAGTAGCAATGAGAAAATCAACCTCTTGCTTTCTGAAAAGTTCCAGAGACTGCGAAAAACGATACCATTAAGCACTTGCAAATAGCAAAACAGTGGTGTTCATGAACAAAAAAGCTGATGAGACCAAGTTCCTTACACCAAGACGTTGTGATTGAGTTAGGTTTCCATGAAGCTCAGCTGCTTTTAGACCAGCTAGTCCGAATAAAATTTTCAGTCTATGTGCAGCTTGTTTTGTTCCACTGGCACAAGGAAACCAAAAAAAAAACAAATCTCTTAAGTGAAATGCAAAAGGCTAAACTTTGCAAGCACTGTATGGAGCTTGAATTAGAAAGGCATCAAATTTTCTAGTGAAGTCTAACCTAAAGATGATGACTTTTTCTTTAAAAGTTCTTGTGCACAGTGAAAGAAGAACAGCTTCCTGATTTGCCTCACGAGTCCTGCGAATTCTTACCACCCTGCGATTAAGAGATAACAAGTTAGGTACAAGTATATTCAACATCAATAAGCTATTCGTGGATGAATATTTAGGCTATTAATTGGTTGGAAATGATAAGTAGTGGTTGACATACTCCTCAGTCAGGCCTGGAGGCCTTCTAGATGATGGATCGGCTGCGAGACGCATTGGTTTGTTCAAGGAGAGTTTGACAAGCTCTTTAACTTCTTCAGTCATTGTAGCTGAGAAGAGCATTGTTTGCCTTGTCTTGGGACATAAGCGAACCTGCAAGTAGATAGGGGCTCATATTTAAATCCAACAACAACAGCCTAACATAAACTCTACTTCTGCGGACTATAAACTAGCAAAGACGAGACGAATTCACAAGAGTTCAATATCACATGTTGACAAGAAGCAAAAACATCGAGACCAAAATGCAATGAAATAGGAAACTTACCAGCTCTTGAATCTCAGTGGCAAACCCAGTCTGTAGAAGGCGATCTGCCTCGTCAAGAATTAAAACCGCTAGTTGCTCCAAATCGAAAGACATAGAATTACGCAGATGATCTATCATACGTCCAGGAGTCGCCACAAGAATATCTGGCCTAGACCTAAGAACAGTTTCTTGGTCCTACATGAAAGATTCAGCAACGCAACATCTTCTTAGAGAGGAAAGAATGTAAAGTGAGAGATGTAAATCTCAAAACATCAAACACATGAAAGGTAACAAGAAAAATGGGACCAAAGAGAAAGATAAGATCCATACCCTTACAGCAAGCCCTCCAACAATCAATCCACATCTGATATTAGTAAACTGTGCAAGCTTCTCAATCATACTGTGAATCCTGCCAAAAACACAAATCCGCAATTCAGCAACACGAAATCGAAAGGACTTGAAGGTTTAGTATTATTTCTGTAGGTGCAGAGTCATGTTGCTTACTGGGCCGCCAACTCCCTCGTTGGGGTAAGAATAAGAACTCTAGTAGCATTGCCATGCTTGGGACGGAACAGCAACCTCTCAAGAGTAGGCAAAGCAAATGCAGCAGTCTATTTGACACAAGCGAAATTGAAATCATCATAACCAAAACTTTAACCTAAACAATCTCAAAATCTGAAAACAGGACCTACAAACTAGTGCTCACCTTCCCTGATCCAGTAATGGCACTGGCACAAAGATCACGCCCTTGAAGTGCGAAAGGGATACATGCTGACTGCAATTTCAACACCAGGTTTTTAAATCAGACTCTAAAACAGTAACCTGATTAGAACATTCTTGCGGGATGAATATGAACTGGACCTGAATCGGGGTAGGTTTCTTGTATCCAAGAGTCTCACAAGCTCGAAGCAATTGACGAGAGAGATTGAGCTCCATGAAAGATTCGGAACGGTACGAAACTCCATCCGCCGTTGAGTAAAACGGTTGAGCAGCAACATCTTCTGCTTTATAATCGGCTGTATCGTCGTCCTCCGAAAGATACTCAACCTTCACAATTAAAAGTTCACATATCAATATCGAGAAACGGATTCAATCGATTTCGATTTCATATTCAAATTCAAATTTAAGGCAATTACTTGTTTGTCTGGTTCAGCATCAGAGCCAGCTTCTTCTTCTTCTTCTTCGTCTTCCTCTACGGAGATGGGAAGTCGACGATGCTTGGAGATCTTATCGTCGGTAGACGTTGTGTGACGGCGGGCGTGTTCGTCGCCGACGGAGCTTGAATAAGGTGCGAAATCCCAAGGAGATTGTGCATCAGCACTTCCTTTCCCTGTAGGCTCCTCATCATCTTCTTCTTCGTCATCGTCGTCTTCACCTTCCTCCTCTCCAGCTTCCGTCTGACCAGTACGCTCTTCTGCTTCGTCTTCCTCACTACTATCTTCTTCATGGTCGTCGAATTCGAGCTCTTCGTCGCTGGCCGGATCGTAGAAGTAATTCGCCGGCATTGCTAGGGTTTTAGAGGTTTCAGAACTTTTCAGAGAAGAGACAATCGCTTTATGGAACGGAGTCTAGTAGGGCTGAAAAAAAGAATACCCTACTAACTTTGGCGTTAATAAACCACTCGATTCCTAATTTAAGAACCGGTTTGGTTTGGTTTGAAGATAACCAAACTTAGTTTTGTTCTATCTCCTTACATTTTGAAACTTCGAGACCTCTAAGTAAATTATGTTTGGGCTTGGCTTATGTACTCCTAACTAGTATTATCTCCCGTGCGTTTTCGTTATTTAATCTACCTATCAAACATTGCGCGATGTGCGGATTATAAATACTAGGAGAGAACCCGTTTTGCTTTTTTATTTTTTTTAAGTTTTAAAATTTAGTTGTTATTTACGTAAAATCTTATATAGACTCATAGTGAATAGTTTCATATGTTTTTTGTTCTTTTATACAATAATTTATCGACTGGAGTTGAGTTCTTCTAATTTTCCTTATACTAACAATCATTATAGATTGATTATTATCCTACAGACTCATAGATAATAATAATTGCAATCCTTTTTAAAAGGAAATGAAATGAGCTAATTAGCCAGTAAGCCCATTTAAAGCTACCATGGAAACGAAGAGGTCCGATAAATAATCAAGCCTATCAAAACGAACAACATTACACATAATTTTGATTTAGATTTTTTTTTTTTTTTACGAAAACGACGTCGTTTTGGTGTAAGACGAAAAAAAAAATAACGCGCAAAACGACGTCGTTTTGGTGTAAGACGAAAAAAAAAAATAAAGCGCAAAACGACGTCGTTTTGGTGTTAGGCGAAAAAAAAAAAAAAAAAGAGAGTGCCACGTGTCAAAGACTTGAGAGTGTCCAAGCCTTATTAGTTATATAGATTACAAAGTTTTATCACTTGTATCTGAATTTATATTGATTTTTAAATATGTTTATCTTTTTTTTTTTTACTGTTTCTTATCTTATCTAAAATAAAATAAAAACTGAAAAATTGTATTTTCCCACATAAATGGTGAACATTAATGTGTAGATTATACACCAAAAATTAAACTTCATTTTTTTTAATTATCGTTATGAAATGTTTTACGCATTAAGAAAATAATCAAAATTATTGTTTTACCCCTAATAAAAGTAGAATAACTCTCTTTAGAAGAGTGACACGTCTGTAACATTTAGAAAATTAAAAAATTCAGTTGGTTCACGACTTTTAAGTTTCTCCATTCAATGTACATGTTCAAATTCCTAGGTTGAATTATAAATTCCCAATAAAAAGAATGAAAATTAGTTCAAAGATCCAAAGAAAAATAATAAGTAAGTTTTCATGAAATATATTTAATGTATAAAATTTTGTTTATTTGCTAATATATAGATATATGCAAAAATATTATATATAAATGATAGAATTATAGTGGGTAAGTATCGAATAAATATAGTTCATATATAGCAACATAGTGTTAAAAGTATATTTATATAATTGAAGATCATGTAATAGTGTGGATAAGAGCCGATAGTTCTAATAGTTAATTTTTAAAAAAAAATTAGAATTAAAATCAGTATAAGAAAAAATATTGTAGATCAGTAGTATAAAAATAGGAATTTTAAAATTAGATAAACGATGAGCAAAACCTTCCTCTATTTTTTTTTAAAATTATTGTTATGAAATGTTTTATGCATTAAGAAAATAATCAAAGTTATTGTTTTACCCCTAATTATTATTTTGTTTTGATTGATATGAATAAGTAATGAGTTAAAGAAAAACAAAATTTAAATATTGTAATAAATGGAAAACGATAAATAATATGAAACAAAATTTAACATTAACATTATATTGGCAACCGAGAGAGAGAAAAAATTATATTGGCAACTAAGGTTTGTTAATTTAGAATATAGTCCATTATCAAAAGCTACGGCCCAGAGATTATGCCTTCAATACGCTGCCGTTTTTCATGTATCACTCTCCCAAAAATTAATGGTTCCGTCAGACGAACATCAACCTCGATCGCTGCCGTAACGCGCAGTCTTGTTTCAGAAGCGCGTCTTGGAGAAGAAATGCTTCGTCTCCTTCGCTTCATCCACACTTTCACCGTCCTATCAGCAGATCCGGTGAAAAACTAATGGTCGAAACCCGAAATTACGGCGTTTACCGCGTCCTCATGAACGTTGACCGATTCCAAACATCTTAGATCCGAGACTCTCCACACTTTTAATGTCTTATCTCACGATCCCGAGTACAGGAGCCGCTTTTCCTCGCTCAGCGCGAGGCACGAGATCGCGTCCAGGTAGCCGGAACCCCTGCGCGCTGGTTCGATTCCGTCTCGTGAAATTGAAGTAAGAGGAAGGCGCGATAGAGTTCCTGATGAAATCGCGGAGGTTGGGCATGGTCCCGACGCGGCGGATGGCGTTGGACTCTTTCGACGAGACTTTCTAGACCTGGATCTTCTAGTCTAGGTGCCCGTGAAGATTTTGTCTCCGGCGAGCACGATCGCCTTCACCAGTCCGCTGTTCGATTTGAAACTCGAGAGAATTCGATGTGGCTTTTGCAGACTCTGATGTTTTTGAATCAGATCAGATGTAGAGTAAATTATGGAGGTGTATGCTTCAAATGGAGGTCGAGAAGAGAGGTTGTGGACTGGCTCACTTCAATGGTGTCTAAACAAAGTACACAAGGAAACAGGTCGAGTACGCATTTATCTTTATCTTGTTCTCTTGAGTTTGTTTCCATATGAGGGAGTCTTTTCTAATTTTGTAACCAACTATTTAACAAACTTGTTTATTGTCAATTGCAGAGTCACCAAAATGTGAATTGGGGGAATCTAATGGATCTCCTGAATTTCCAAACAATGGATTTGCTGTTCAGCGAGCACAAGCAATTGAAGAGGTGATGTTTAGCTGCCTTTTTGCTTTATACAGGTCACTGCATTTTTACTCTCCTGTAATATTGATGGAATAATCTCTATCTCAGATCCGGCTTCCCATGAACTTGAGGGTTTACGGTTGGGAGATTATGTGGTCAGGAACTACCTGGATGTGTGGTAAACAGCTCAAACATTACCCATCCTTTTGTGGCAAATGAAACGTCGGCTTGGGAAGCCAAAACGATTTTAGCGAGTTCGATTTATGTGTTAATTTTTTTTTCTTTTTTTAATAAATGATATGCCACGTGGCAGTTTTTTGAAAGTTTAAAGTTGCTGATGTGTCACTCAACTGGAGAGTGATATCCTCTCATTATATATAAGATTTTTTACCAAAATGCAGACACATTTAAAAACATTTCATATGCTTGCTGATAATATCGGTAAAACCAAGATATACTTTTTTTTGGTTCAAATGCTGAATTTTCCATTTCTGCTAAACCGGATCTAGACCGGTTGATCACAAAGTTTTTAGCCGAAGAGTCAGCCTCAACATTGGCTTCACTTGGTACCCAAATAAAATTGATTACATCAAAAGAGAGTGATAGTTCTAGTAGCTCTTAAAAATCCATCCCATTCCGGCGGATTTTGTGTCTTTGTCCCACGCTCCATATGACAGTGAATTGCGTCTCTTTTTCTCCTTGCAATTTGTTTCCTTTGCAATTTGGTGCTACTGGGATGATGTCTGAGTTGAGCCGATTGCCATTCCCTTGCATTTCGTAATGCTTTTGTTACAACCTCCTCTGAATGTAGTTGCTGATTGTTGAAGATTTTCTCGTTTCGTGCAAACCAGATTGCCCACATAAGCCAAGGAGCCATTGGTCCTTCTCCGACTCCTGTTGGGGGTAAGCATGCGATTTTTCCTGCTGTTTCAACTCCTTGTCTCACACTTACAACTGTATTTGGAATTACTTAGATTTGCGCAGGATAAGGCTCTCCATACTTGTGCTGCAAACGGGCATTGGAAAAGCAGGTGGAGTGTTGTCTCGGGGCTTCCACAATGCGGGCAGACTATTGAGGTATTCACGTTGCGTATTCTGAGGTTTTCTCCCACTACCAGTGCTTCTCTCATTACTTTCCACAAGAAAATCTTTGTTGACGTCAAAAAAAAGAATAAAAAAGAAAAATATTTGTTTTAGGGGAGGTATGTACTTTTCAGATCTCCAGATTCCAATTGAAGTCTTATGGATGTGGCTCCGTGAGAAAGGTATCTAGGTACTTTTGATAGGAGTTGCAAGCTTCATAATATCCTCATAAACTTGTCATACACTTTCATTTTCCGTACGGTATAATAAACCAGATAAACCAACATATACATCACTGAAAACATTGGAAATGCACGCCATTGAAACATGAAATCGGTTTGTTGAAACCATATTTGCTGATGGTTTCACCTTCTTCTACTTCTTTTACCTCTTTCAGTATTATCTTCCATGATCCAAGCTTATCCTTTTCAGTGTCTTTTAGCTTCTACAAATTATTCTCGCATGTTTTCTAGCTTCTTCAAATCATCATGGCAGAAAACTACAAAACAAAATCATATTTAAATAATAATGAAATGTGAGTTGTATACATAATAACCACGTAGAGACTATCTTATATATAATTAGGGAATTACTCTCTCCTTAATCCTTATAGAGTGCCCACATCAGCAAAAATGAAAATACAAATTAATTAAATCAAATTAATGATTCAATTAATACATAGAATTTTATAATATCATTTAATGATTTATTATTCAACCAAAAATATAAAAATGTATTAAAAAAACAAATGATTAATAAAAATATAAAAGAAAAAAATAAATAAAAATTGGTTGAACTTAATATTTAAAAGATTAAAAGTTAATTTTTAACAGTAGATGCAAGAGATTTGTTTTTAAAAGAAAAAAATGTAGTGAAAATTTAAAATGTCTAAAATTCATAATAATATATATTATGTTAAAAGATAGTGTATGTAATAAAATTTCATGGAAAATGTTTAACTGTTGAAAGCTAACAGTTAAATTTAAGTAATAAAAATAAGTTATTAATAAAACTAAATTATTGTTCTTGATGTTAAAAAAAAGCTAAAGTATTGACTATTTCTAACATTTAGAAAAAAAGCAATCAAAATTTTTTTTTGTATAAATATTTAATAAATAAACATCAATATCATATATACAAAACAATACATAAAGGAAAAACATTATGAGCACAGTTTGTAAAGTATATAAATAAATGGGATTCTTTGAAAAATACCCTACTTGTGTTTTAAAATTTGAAAAATGCCATAGGTTTTTTTCTGTTTTGAAAAATACACTTTTTAATATAAAAAGACTGGTTTGACCTTATTTCAACAAATCATTAATAAATAATTACAAATTAAAAACTAAATTCAAATATATTAGAATTAATAATATTTGTTTTTTAGATAAATATATGTTAATGTTATTCTCTTTTTGATATTTTAGAAAAAATACATTTTAATATTTTTGAAACTTTATATAAACAATCTTAATCTCACCCACATTCCAATCAAATGAAACTTTGTATAAATATTAAATTTACATATATTTAAGCTTCATAAACTATTAAAAATTAAAAGTAGATAAATCTATCTTCTATTTTTAATGTTTATCTTTAAACAAATTCAATTATTTTTGGAACTTTATATAAACAACATTAATCTTACTCCATTTGAACTTTTATATAAACAACTTTATATTTTTAATGAATTTTTGATAAAATTTAAACAGAAAATTAGGATTGTAATATATTATAAAATGAAAAAAAAAATCTTAATCAAATCTTAATATTTAATATTTTTATCTGAATTTCGATTTTATTAAATTAGCTGAAATATTTAAGGATAATTAAGTCATTTCACATATTAAAAAGTGTATTTTTCAAAACCAAAAAAATAAGGGTAATTTTCAAATTAAAAACTCATCTAAGAGTATATTTCCAAAATTTCTCTAAATAATAATGAACAATCAAAAATATATGCAAACAACCCCGCGCTTGCGCTGGGGTACAATTCCTAGTTAACAAAAATGGAGAACAAAAAATACAATGTAAAAAACCATTATACATAATCCAAAAGTCAGAATATGCAATAGAGAACCCATGGACACAACGTAAAAATTGAGAATGCAAACTCACAATATTTAAATCATATAGCAGCTCTTTAGATGGGAACAGATTTTAAAAGGTCACAAATGCTTAGGAAAATTAAAAACACAAATTAGTATGGTTTTTAAATTTACATCAAAACAATGCAAATGAAAAAGCGCATAATCTTGCATTTTTAGCAAAAGCAATCATATATACATTCGCTAAGGGCATCTCCAATGCCTCATATTTGACTCCAAAATGAAGAAATCTCAAAATGGACTTGGGTTTTGCTCCAATGTATTGCTTCATTTTTACTTTAAAACTTTTTATTAATGACTAAATTTATATTGTATATTTATATATATTACAAATTGCTCCATAATGTTTTTTTTCTTCAAAACTTTCACAATTTATTATAATTATTTAAATTAATTTTGAAACTTATTCTTAAAAAAAAAATTATTAGCTTAAATAATTAAATTTCCTATTAAATATGTGTTATTTGTATTTTAGGGTAAAAATAAACATCAAAATAATTACTTATATATAAACTGAAATAATTGAAAACTTCAAGGACTGTTATATAATTTTAAAACTTCAACTCCAAAATGGAAATAATCATGGTTCGCATTTTGCATATGAAAAGTGACATATCTGATAGAAATGGAAAGCGATTATACAATTTATTATTGGTATGGGAAGAGCATAACATGTCTTTTGTAATGGTTGTTGTTGTTTGGCATTGAATTGTCTGTCATACTTCCTAAAACAAAAGGGACAGATAAAGTGTCTCAAATAGATAGAAAAAAAGTACTTACTGCTTAGAGTATTTCAGAAAAGTGAAAGCTTTAAGAGAATTAGGGAAATGCTTGCGTTTCTTTGGCGTTTTACCGAATATATTTTACACTTTTTCACCTCATATGTCTCACCTAAATTCATATCATACAAAACATTATAAATGAGGATCATGGTCCAAAGGTGAAGTTAACAAATTATAATAAAAAAATGGAGGGATAAAAAAACACAACTTTACCTTCACTTTAAAAATTTAAGAGGCTCTGATCAAACATAACTTGAACGTTCTCCATGGATAAACGGCAAATGAACTGAAAACACGCTTCAAAATTTGAACTTTAAGGGGTTTAGGAATCGAATATTTATGATAACATGTTTTTAATGGATTATCATGAAGAAATGCAGCTCAGAGCTACTACGCATGGGGCTAGGGTTTTTGGCGATCCTGAAGGCGATTCTCCCCACCTAGATCTCTGAACCAAAAGCAGGCGGCCGAAAAGCTCTATTCCACCACTCCCTTGTCTCACGAACCTGTGCTCCACTCACTATTCGGGTTACGAGAGTAGTGTAGGGTGTCCTCGCGATTTCTGTGTGGTTCTAGGCTTTTAGTTTTCTAGCTCTTGCTAAGTGATATATCCATATCTTTCATGTTTTTACCAAGGTTTTTTATTATATTTTCAATACAAATAAATGGCTTTTGCGCCCAAGAGGTAGTTTTCTTGTATATTCTGGTTTTGAGCATCATTCAGGTCAAAATAGCAAAGAAGAGTCAAAATGGAGCAAAAGGAGCCAAACACCAAGTTCCCAAGTCTAGAGCACCAAAACTATATTCTCGCTAAAGACCAAACCGGAGCATCCGAAGTACGCGCATTCATGCCTTCCCGACGTCCAAAAATCATGATTCTTATATGGAAAGATATATACATGAGTCGTGCATCACGCGAAGTGGAAAGAGGTCATTTGGATCACCATCGGGCCGGAACTTATTTTCTACCAAGACATGTCCGGAGCGCCTAAGTAGAGCCCATGGAGACTTTGAGTATCTAAAGGCCCGAGAACCGCGCCCAAGGCCTTGGCTCATCTTGACATTGGCATAACTCAATCCAAGGAGGCTTCCATTGGCCCGAAGTCGGCCCATTCAAGAACTTGGAGAGCAAGCTCAAGCGGCTAAAGAGAAATGGAAACTTTCCTCTTCTTGGCGCGCCTCAACTTTGCCGACCTAGACCCGCTCTCTACCTATATATACTTGCTTTTAGCCTCTTGTACAAAGACAGACATAAATAAAGTTTCGGAGCCACTTAGGTGGTCTCCTTGCTTCTTCTTTCTTTTCTTCTTTTGCATTTGTATATAGCTTGCATGTTTCAATTTATATAGTCTAGAAGTAGAGATTTCTCCCTAAGGGTGAGATGCGGTTTGACTCATATCTCTCCGCCTCTCTCTCATAAGGATTCATGAGATCTCATCTACTATCTATGACTCATTGTTGAATTATGGATCCTTCATGAGGACATGACATAATTGCCTTCGAAAATCGATTGTTAAATAAAGGGGAAACCCTATGGTTCTCCATCTTTATTTGCTTAATGCTTGTTGCTAGAGTAGCTAACTAGTGACTTGATTAGGTTGATATACTCTCCAAAAGCTTGTTATATCTCCGGATATAGTATTTGATGGGCAAATCGTTTTAGGCTATGAAAGTAGACCTAAAGAGTTTTGTGAACAATCATTACTTGAGTGTAATGCATGTCTCACTCTACAATGACCAACGAAAGCTGAGCCCATTGGTTTAAGAGACATAGGGGACTGGAACCACGAAAGTGGAATAATTCTTCCTTAGAGGAAGTGGAGCTCATCAAGTTACCGGCATGTGATCTCTCCTCGGCGGCAATAAAGTTCAAGAATACTCTGATTGGTTAGATGTTCCATAGAGAAGGAAGGAATATGGAGGTTGCTTTGGGAATGCTCACAAAACCAAAAATCTGGGATGTAGAAGGACGAAGAAGGTATTGTTTTACGTGCAAACATTTATCACACGAAGAAGGTACTTGTCCATGTCTGAGTGAGGAACATAAGGAGATTAACAAAGCCCTGAGGCTAGAACAAAACCTTGCTACACAAGAGTTTAGCCCTACCTACTCAAGATCTCGCTATGAAGCTCCACCTGTGCAGCGATATCCTAGTAATAAACGGGGTGGAAAGATAGTTAACTACAAAGGCCACCGCGACCAAGGCTCCTCATCCACACTAGTACACGGGAACTCATATTCCTGGGAGAGAAAGCTTGATCAAAGCAAGGAGAAGGCGGCTAAAGAAAGTGATACCAGACAGAGGGACCTACGACAGAAACTAAGTGACCAGAGGCATTCCAGGAGAAAGGATATATGGAACCGTATGGAGAGGAATCGCTCTGGCAGAAATTACGGTCCACAAGACCGCTATCACCCATACCGACGTGCTCGGGATGAACCGATAGGTAACATCAGTACAAGACATGTAATCCACAAAATGTGGAGACCTCGCCAGAATCAAGATTCACGGGCTCTACGAGCTGAGATAAGAATGGAGACTCCGAACTCTAGGGTCACGCATCAGAATCAAAATGATGCTGGTACCCCTGTGGATTCTCAGCGAATGATGCGGAGTCAGGTTTTACCAAACTCCTAGACCTCTGCAAGTGCACAGATCGCGGAAGTATGGGTATCGAACACAAGGACTGGCTATTGAGTACACTTTGAACTATGGATTTTGGATCAAGCTAAAACAAAAGTATGATTGAGGTTGTAATGGTGAACCGAACTAGCAAGTATAACGAGGTTGTAAGCAATAAAGGAAAAGCGCTAGGTCATAGGGGCTATCGCAGAGAAGCAAGCAATGATCAATGAAACAATGATAGATTAATTGATTAGGGATATTGGGATATTAAGAACCATCTAGAACACAGATCACGAATATAAAACCATTCCACTTTCGAGGCTCCGGCTCCTTTGCTAATCTACCTAGTCGCTAAACTTTTGGTATGTCCCTAGGTGATTAGATCAAGCATTAGAATGAATAGGTTCTGATACAGTTCACTAGATATAGATAGATCAACTTTCGCAGTCTAAGAAACCTAGCTTGTCAAAGAATATGTCCGGCGAATGATACAGCACTGTCGAGGCTCAAATCAACCTAAGATCGGATTACTAGATGCGCGGTAAAGCAATCAGCATTAGTTAAGTGCACAAGACGAGACAAAGACTCTAATATAATCCCTAGCTAATCATTGAAATCAAAGATCATGCAAGCAACTCATTGAATAGTAACCCTAGCAACCTAACTAGTGGATTACTCAGACATGATCAAAGCAAACACACATAGAGATGAAGAAAACATGATTGCAATAAAACTTAGAGTAGGAAATCGAAATACAGGGCGGCTCTCTTTCTCAAGAGGCTAAAAATCCATATATATAGTGCTAGGTCTTTCTAGAGGCGGCTAGGGTTAAGCCGGGCTTGAAAACATAAGTTTGGGCTTCAAAAAGGGCTTCGGGTCGACCGCGGCGTTGGGACGGTCGTGCGGGACGATCGGCCGGAGAATCGGATTGTGGCCGAGTCGGAACGGTCGGGGTCGGACGGATGCGTGGTCGGCCGCTGTGGTCGGACGGGTGAAACTTGGCCGATGAAATCTCGGCCGGACGCGGGACGTAGTTTCCCGGGTCGGACGGCGCGTTCGTGCGTGGTACGCGGATGAGTTGCGCGGCCGCGAGGCGTTACTCCCGGCTCGCGCGGTTTGGTCGTGCGCGGTCGTGGCGTGGCGTGGCCGACCGCGGGCAATAGTTTCCCGGGTCGTGACTTGCGCGCGGCCGAATGGTTTTGGAGAAGAAAGAGAGGTTCTTGTGGTTTTCAAGGGAAAGGTGAAGTAAATAAGATCTAAATCCTATCAATTTTCCTTTTCAAATTCGAATTTTGATTGAAAACCGGTTTAAGTTGGTTTAGATTGGTTAAAACCGGTTTGAATTTAATGAAAAGGGGACTTACCTTGGCCTAGAAAAGTTTTGGGCCGATGGCCGATGGATTTTGTCGCGGTCGAGCGATTTGGTCGGCCAAATTCGGTTTTGGCCGAGAGATTCGGCCGAGGCCGAGCGTGTTTCCCGGATCGACCGGCACGGTCGGTCCGTTCCGATACAAAAATTTCGGCCGATCGCGATCGTTTCTTTCCCGGTTCGCGCGTGGCGCTCGAACGTTTTCTGTCGCGCAAGTAGAAATATCCGGCCGAGCACGGCTTATTCCTTCCCGGCTCGACCGTGACGGTCGGCCAGATGGAATTTGCTCGGCCAAAATCTCTTTTGCGCGTCCGCGGCCAATGTTTTGGCGCGGATTGTGTTTTCACACCTTTTTCTCCTTCTATCCTATCTTAAAACAAAGAAAACACAAAAGCAAAACAAAAACTAAGAAAATTAAAGAAAGAAAAGTAAAAGTACCTCATGGGTTGCCTCCCATGCAGCGCTTGTTTTAAGTCTTTAGCTTGACTGTAAGGCTTGGCGCTCAGGAGAAGATGGAGACAAGAGGCATCCTTGATCCTCCAAGTCTTTTCTCCTTGCAATGAGTATCTGGTGGGTGATTCACAGCTGGATAGACAATCTCTCCATGAATGTCCCTTGGCACTACTGCCTTAGGAAAAAGCTTTAGAGTTCTTGTCACTTTCTCCTTGAATCCTTCTAGATTCTCATCAATAAGCTCCTCTGGGAATAGAAGCTTCATGTTGCGGCCAGACCTAGGTTTTCTAACCTTCCTTCTTGGCTTGGCCTCATCTTCAATCTTGGTTGATCCCTTGGGCGGTTTTGGTGTAGGGGCCTTAGTCTTACTCCTTGCTTGTTTGGCAAGCTGCTTGGGCTTAGGAATGGGATCTTCCTTGATTGTTTCTTCAGTTTCTCCTTCTTGGGGTGGCTTCAAAGTAGCTTTCTCCTCTTGGACCATGTCAACAAAAGAGTTCTTTGTTGAACACATAGGGAAGAACATACCCTTGTTCACCTTGTTGAAAGAGATTCTTTGATTGGGGAAATCAAATATGGCACCCACAGTAGACAGGAAAGGGGTTCCAAATATGAGAGGTCTATGGCTACTCTCTCTCATTTCCACAATCTGGAAATCAGTAGGGATAGAGCAATTTCCAATCTGCACCATCACATTAGGCACAAAGCCATAGGGTGTTTGTGAGAATGAATCAGCATAGTTGATGGAGATGGATGATGGCTCTATCTTGGTGAGGCCTATCTTGTCAGCTATCCTCTTAGACATGATGTTCACATTGGCTCCTGTGTCACACAAAGATTGCTCAAGAATGTTACCTTTGATGATACAAGGCACAACAAACTTTCCTGAGTTATCTGTCTTGGGGATAATCTTTGGGAAGAGTCTTCTCTTTCTAGCTCGATTGGACTCTCTCTCTGGGTAATTCTCTTCAGGCCAAATCATGCAATCAACAGTAGGTTTTGAAAGCATCCATTCTGGAACTTGGTCTTCAAATCTTTCTTCTATGGCGCTGAGTTGCAAAAGGACTTCTTGGATTCAGCTTCCTGTCTCTTAACAGCTTCCATAGTTTGAGTGACTTGAGTCTCTAGTTTCTTCACATGAGTGGCAACAGCATCATACTTGGTGTTGAGATTGCTGAACAAAGTGTCCATCTTCTCATACATCTCTTTAGTGTTTCTCTTCTGGCCATCCATGATCTGTTGGAGGATTCCTTCAAACTTCCACCTTGTTGGTTTGGAGGAGCTTGATTTGGTGAAGAAGCATATGGCTCCTTGGGCGGATATGATGATCTCTGCTCATATCCTTGCCTTGGCTGAAATTGACTTCCTTGAGATTGGTAAGGAGGTCTTTGTTGTTGTGGATACCTTGGAGGATACACTTGGTCTTGAGGATTCTCCACATTGGGGTTTCTATAAGACATGTTGGGGTTTGGGCGATAGCTTGGATTGTATCCCTTGTTCCCATAGTTTCCAATGTAGTTCACATCTTCTTCATTGGCTTCATTAGAGAAGTCTCCCATACATTCTCTTGATGAATCTTCATTAGCATCACTCATCCCTTCTATTGCATTGATATGCTTGAGCTGTCCCTTAAGAACTTGAGCCATCATGTTCTTGAGTTCAGTCATTTGAAAAGAATCAGGGGAGCTAGTAGTGGTGCGGCTTGAGCGGTCATAATCAGGACAGTTGTTACAATCACTAGCTGCAAGATTCTCAATAAGAACCTTAGCTTCATCAACAGTCTTGGTCATGAAGTTTCCATTGCTTGCAGTGTATCCAATGAAAGCTTGTACTTGTGGTCTATGCCACGATAGAAGATGTTCCATAGGTTTCCCTCATTGAAACCATGATTAGGGCAGTCCCTAATGTACTCCTTGAATCGATCTAGCGCCTCATAGAAAGACTCATTGTTGCCTTGGCGAAAGTGGAGATCTTGTTTCTCACAGAAATTGATCTCTGTTTGGTGTAGAAGTGGTTGATGAATGCAGCCTTGTACTCATCCCAAGTGGTGATGGAGTGAGCTGGCAGAGACTTCAACCATCTTGAAGCTTTGTCGCCAAGAGAGAATGAAAAGAGCTTGCACTTAAGGTAGTCAGCAGAGACTCCATTGGATCTTGTAGTGCTGCAAATTTCTTCAAAGTTTTCTATGTGATGATATCACCATATTTTACATGATTTTACTATATAATTTACTATGTTTTCAAACGGTTTTTGCAAGATTCTTTGCCTTTAGAGGTAGTTTTCTTGTATTTGTGGGATTTGAAGTCTTTGTAGGTGAAATAATCAAAAAGGATGCAAAAAGGAGTAAAAGAGCCCTAAATCAAGATCCATGCAAGTTTCCAAGTCAAGAAGATCATTTTATCTCCAAGTGTTAGTTCTCGCTGCGCGCAGAACGAAGCTTCGGAAGTTTGGCCGCGCGCGGAGGAGTTCCCGACGTCCAAAAGTTACGATCTTGATATGGAAAGATAGATACTTGAGTCATGCATCACGTCGAAGTGGAATGAAGCCATTTGGATCAACTATGAGGCCTAGACTTATTTTCTACCGAGACATGTCCGGTAAGCGAGTAAACGAAGCCCATGGAGGATTTGGAGTGTCTAATGGCCCGAGCAGCAGCGCCAAAGGCCTTGATCGAATAGAGAAGAGGCCTGGCTAATGTTTGGAGCTTTCCTTGGTACAATGTCGGCCCATACACGACGTGGAGAAGAAGGCTTTGCTCGCGGGAAACTTTCCTTTTCCGGCATGAAGAAAACCCTACGCGACTTCGCCCATATATACATGTTTTTAGCCGCTGAAGAAGAGAGATCGAGTCCAGAAAATTACAAAGAGTTACGTGTGAGAAGAGAGAGAAGAGAGAGAGAGAGTCCCGCCGCTCAACTCTTGTTCTTTCTTTTTCATTGTTTCCATTTCTATAAACTTGATCTTAAGAGTTTTCAAGGGAGAATCCGACTTTGTTCATCAATAGAGAAGCTTTCTTCATCCCTTTATCTCTTTTAATACTTGCATAATGTTTACAATCATGCTTTGCTTGCTTGTTTGCATCATGGCCGAGTAGATCTCTTAGTTAGGCCGAGGAGATCTATGGTGGCCGTGATGATTTGATTGTGTTGCAACTTATTGGGATTTATCTTATGGATCTTCACCTTTACTTGAGCTTAATGCATGATTACTCTACCGTACATCTAGTAATCTGATCTTAGAGAAATAGAACCACGACAGTGCTGAATCTAGATCTCAAAACTAGTATTTGGTGAGCAATAGATCATAGCCAACGAAAGCTGAGTTATGGTTTATTGTGAACAATTGAATCTTGAACCTTTAATGCATGTTTGCAATTCTAATAGCCAACGAAAGCTGAGTATATTAGGTTGTTTTAAACATAGTGGTTGGAGCCACGACAGTGGAAAGACCATACACTAGTGATTCATGTTCAAGACGGCTCTACACACATCCCATGCAACTATCTTTTCATCATTGCTCCATATGATTGTCCTTTGCCTAACTCTTGTTTTAAATTGTTTACAACCTCACTCACATTTCTTTTGTTTTGTTTTCTCATTCTAGGTCCAAAACCACCTCATATTGCGAGCTAGCTACAAACCAATCTCACAAGGTGTTAAGTGAGAACACTTCCTCCTCGTGTTCGACCCCGACTACAACACGGCTGTGCACTTGCAGCTCATTAGTTGGGTTTATAAATTGTGAAAATTTGAGGCAATCTAAACCCGCCATCAAGCTTTCTGGCGCCGTTGCCGGGGAGGAGTTGCTTTTCCTTCACACCTCTTGATTGTTTCAAGACTAGCTCATCTCATCTTTCACTTTTCTTTGTTTTTGTTTTTCATAAAATCTTAAAAATCCATAAAAATTTTACTTAACTCTTTCTCTTTGTGTGTTTCTAAGGTGCATGACAAGAAGGTCCAATCCAAATACAACCATTGAAGAAGATCTTGACATTGACCAACTTGAGCGCACACTTAGGCGGCTAAGAAGAGAAAGAATGAATCCAGGCTCAAATCAACCTAAGATCGGATTACTAGATGCGCGGTAAAGCAATCAGCATTAGTTAAGTGCACAAGACGAGACAAAGACTCTAATATAATCCCTAGCTAATCATTGAAATCAAAGATCATGCAAGCAACTCATTGAATAGTAACCCTAGCAACCTAACTAGTGGATTACTCAGACATGATCAAAGCAAACACACATAGAGATGAAGAAAACATGATTGCAATAAAACTTAGAGTAGGAAATCGAAATACAGGGCGGCTCTCTTTCTCAAGAGGCTAAAAATCCATATATATAGTGCTAGGTCTTTCTAGAGGCGGCTAGGGTTAAGCCGGGCTTGAAAACATAAGTTTGGGCTTCAAAAAGGGCTTCGGGTCGACCGCGGCGTTGGGACGGTCGTGCGGGACGATCGGCCGGACAATCGGTATTGTGGCCGAGTCGGAACGGTCGGTCGGACGGATGCGTGGTCGGCCGCTGTGGTCGGACGGGTGAAAACTTGGCCGATGAAATCTTCGGTCGGACGCGGGACGTAGTTTCCCGGGTCGGACGGCGCGTTCGTGCGTGGTGCGCGGATAGTTGCGCGGCCGCGAGGCGTTACTCCCGGCTCGTGCGGTTTGGTCGTGCGCGGTCGTGGCGTGGCGTGGCCGACCGCGGGCAATGTTTCCCGGGTCGTGACTTGCGCGCGGCCGAACGGTTTTGGACTTTGGCCGAGACTTCAGACGAACGGACGAGATTCTGGCCGAGCGTGGAACATTCGTTCCTCGGCCAGCCGGACTGCGCGGTTGGGCGCTGATTCTCGATAGAGCCGTCTGGACAGTCTTCACTCTTTTGGTTGTAACTCCTTTTCTACTCATCCAAATTAGGCCATTCCAATTGCGTTGGAAAGTTAACTCAATCAGAGCACGCAGGGAACTGGTCTTGATGAAATCCATTGAGTAGATCTTTTTCTGGGCCCTCTTAAAGTTGGTGCTTGTGCATGGAGCTGCTTGAAGTGCAAATCCTATGGTTTTGCTCCAAAATGCATCATTTCACCTGTTTAGACTCTAGACACTATAAACACAGTAAAACTACCTTTTTAGATAGAAAACCTGCCAAAAACCATTAGAAAACAATGCTAAAACAGTATAAAAGTAGGTAAATTAGAGGTATATCAGCGAACAATATCGGAGAGAGGTGAGAATGCAAGACATACCGAGAGAAGAAGCTCGGGTCTTCTTGTGGTTTATACAAAAGATACGGAGGAGGAAAGAATTAAGAAAATAAAAGGCAAAGCTCACGAGACAGAGGAATCCAGAGCAGAGGCAAAGAAGATGAAGGATCTAGCCTTAGGACGTAAAATGGGAACTCTCTCTATTCAGGAACCCATATCCCAGAGAGCCCTAAGCCCTCAAAGGACTGTTGCGGACAACTCTGGAAGCCTTCCTCAAACAGAACCAAAAACTTGAGTTCTTTCAAGGCCACCAGGAAATGATACTAATATGGGAGAGGCTGAGGATGGAGAATTTACAATGGCTGAAATAGAGAAGCTCCTGGAAGAGAATGAAAATAATGCCGGGAACACATCCCCTGTGATGGATGAAGATATGATGGCAAATGACAATGGAGGAATACATAGGGGAAGAGGGCTTTAAGTAAACTGGGCTGCGGGATGGAGGAATACACATGGGAATAACACGGGGAATTTACACCAGAAGATCAACTCCTGTCGCCGAGCTATAGCCCTTTGGAAAAAAATGAATAAGACTCACTCGGCAAAAAAGATAGAACTCAAAGAGGAGAAACTAGAGGAAGCCCAAATGGAAGACTCTGCAAATGATGAGGAGGTATTACGCCTTAAAGTCAAGCTCTGTTCTGCCATTCGAGATGAAGAAATCTTCTAGAAACAAAAAAGCCGGTCGACATGGCTTAAGGAGGGTGATCGTAACACCAAGTTTTTCCATGATACTACGAAGTAGCGGAGTGCACGTAACCGGATCACAAAATTAAAGCGACAAGATGGTACGTGGGCTGAGAACTCATAGTGTATAGAACGGACAGCGACCAACTACTTCCAAAACCTTTTCTCATCATCGCGGCCATATGACTTTGATGAAGCTCTCCGATATGTTGTGCCAAAGGTAACACCAGCGATGAATATATCATTGACAAAACCTCCGTCTAATGACTAAGACCGATTAAGGAGATAAACTTGGATAAGGCACCAGGCCCAGACGGCATCACGAGCCTCTTCTATCAACAATTCTGGTCATTGATACGGTCAAACAATTTTTCTCTACAAACACCTTAGATCCGAGGCTCAATCAAACAAACATATGTTTGATACCCAAGACGGAAAGACCATGAGAGATGACAAAGTTTTGACCGATTAGTGTCTGTTACGGGAGTTACAAGATTATCTCCAAAATCCTCAATAATCACTTAAAGAGGTACCTCCCAAAGATTATCTCGGAAACACAATCAGCCTTTATGGCTAGACGCCTAATCACGGATAACATTCTTATAGCCCAAGAAGCTTTTCATGCCTTGTGAACTAATTCAATGTGCAAAGCCAAGTTTGTAGCTATCAAAACGGATATGAGTAAAGCTTATGACCACGTGGAGTGGAGTTTCCTGGAAGCTTTAATGCTGAAACATGGATTCGCGGAATCATGGATTCAATGGGTAATGATATGTGTCTCCTCTGTCTCATATCAGGTTCTTATTAATGGAGAGGCTAAAGGAAAAATAATTGCCTTCACGACGGCTTCACCAAGAGGATCCACTTTCTCCTTTCTTGTTCATTATTCTCACAGAAGCTCTTATAGCCCAACTAAGAGGCGCAAAAGAGGAAGGTCGACTAACGGAACTCAAGATGGCAAGAGCTTGCCCATCTGTTTCACATCTCTTGTTTGCAGATGGTAGTCTCTTCTTTTGTAAGGCTGATGTCGTGCAATGTGCAGAGTTACTAAAGATAATCAAATGCTACGGTATGGCGTCGGGACAACAGTTGAATACGGCTAAATCATCCATTTTCTTTGGTAGCAAAGTTCCTCAGGAGCTAAGAAGTGCACTTAAGAACACCTTGGGAATCTCGAAGGAATGAGCTATGGGAACCTACTTAGGCTTTCCGGAAAAGCTAAGTGGATCTAAGAAGTTGGTCTTTGCCTCTGTCCAGGACATACTTAATAATCGTATAAACTCATGGTATTAGAGGCTCTTATCTAGAGGTGGGAAGGAGGTTCTCCTCAAATCTGTGGCCCAAACCTTACCGACATATGTTATGTCATGCTTCTTGCTTCCTCAAGACGTCATTAGGAAGATACAAAGTGCTATATCAAAGTTTTTATGGAGTAACAAACAAGATAGTCAGGGTTTGCACTGGATAGCATGGGATAAGATATGTATCTCTCTGGACAAAGGGGGGTTAGGCTTTCGCGATATGAACCTCTTTAACCTTTCACTTTTGGCAAAACAACTATGGAGACTTCTTTATTACCCGAGCTCTTTGTTACCCGAGCTCTTTGTTACTCATCTCCACTTGAGGTGGAAAAGTCCAACGCACCATCATATGGATGGAAAATCATATTAGCAGCCAAGGATCTATTAAAAAAGGGTCTTCGACGATCCATTGGATATCCATTGGATCGGGAGAAGAAACATATGTATGGCGCGATTCTTGGATTCCGGCTGAGGTGCCGAGAACCCCTATGGATAGTGGGATATATAGAGACCCCCTTCTTCGTGTATCCCAGCTTATAGATCCCCTATTGAAAGAATGGCTACTTGACAAGTTATTTGATCTATTCGAGGTTGAAGATATATACCTTATACAAAGTCTACGACCAAGCCGTTTGCATAGAGCGGATGGATTTTGCTGGATCTACACTAAGTCGGGTATGTATTCTGTTAAATCAGGATACCAACTAGCGCTCCAGTTAAAAGATCTCCTCCGGCCGCAACAGGTTGATCAACCAAGTGTGGATGCAATCAAAACGAAAATATGGTCTCTCAAAACTACAAGAAAGTTAAAACACTTCTCTAGGCAGGCGGTGGCTAGATGTGTACCATTCGCAGTAGTTTAGCGGAGCGACACTGTGGCTCAGACCGTACATGCCCAAGATGTGGATCGGAAGTAGAGACCATAAATCATATGCTGTTTGAATGCCCGCCCGCTGTACAAACCTGGGAGCTGTCTAAAATCCCTACACATCCGGAACTCTTTCCACGACCAGCCTTATTCTATAATTTCGATTACCTTATATGGAGAGCTTAAGAAATGGGATCGCAAGAGAATGCCTTGGTAAGCTTCCCTTGGATCCTATGGTATATATGGAAAGCGAGCAACGGAAACATGGATGTTAGCACAGGCGGTCACAGAGACTCTAGATGCCCAAAACCCTCCAGTGGAGTGCCAGGTAGATGCATCATGGGCTCATAACAGCAAATTATTTGGCGGAGGTTTCTGTCTAGATATTGCGAACGACTCGTGTATCTCTGGTCTCTTCACGGAGCCACAAGTCACTGTACCAATCCACGCAGAATGCCAATCTCTAATGCGGACTATGAAACTAGTTCGTTAATTGGGGTACACATCCATGCGGTTTGAATCAGACTGTTTGGAGTTGGTCAAGCTGATTGAGAAAGAAGAGGAATGACCCTCGTTGGCCACGGAATTAGATGATTTTCACCTTACACGTATTACGTTTGTTTCTTTTCCCCTTATTTTTATTTCTCGTGTTAAGAATGTCCGTGCTGATGCTCTCTCTAAAGAAGCTCGAGCACGAGAATGCCTCTTTTCTCATGTAAACTATGCAACACCGAGCAGGTTGGCCCCTTTTGGTAACCCATACGGCACATCTTAATAATACATGGAGATTTCGACGTAAAAAAAAATGATTATCATGAAGGAAGAGAGTGTACAAAACACATAACAGAAAAGTGAATTTCAATAAAGAGCATTCATAAGCTTGTTGATGAGGGAGCCCCATAAATAGAGATCAGAAACCAAAAAGAACGATGAATATGAAAACTGAAGATGAATCGAGAACTTATAAGTTATATATCTTGAGATTAAGATCGATTATTTTAGCTAATCGGATTGAATCTATGGTGCAGGAAAGATAAAGAGAACAGAAGAGATTTTGTTATTTCAGTGTTCGTTATCAACTCACTGAGGGCAGAAACACATCTCCGGTCGTATTCACTATCACCTAAAACAGTCTCGGTTACAAGTATTCCGATACACCGGGAATCCACACCCTGTTACAAGAAAGCCTTAACTCAATCACGAAGGAGAAACTCAGTGAGTCTTTTCTCTCTCTACCTCGCAACACTCTCTCTTCTCTCTACTGACTGCTCCTCTACTGCTCTAACGAAAAACTTAGGTAAACAACTGAAAACTACTCAGATTTTACCTTTTTTTCTCGCTTCAATACATCTAACAAAGAGATCCCAGAAATCCCAGAAAAACAAACTGAAAAACAATCTATGAAACCAAGAAATCCCAGAAAAACAAACTGAAAAACAATCTATGAACTCTTTGTGCAGATACTCCACTTGGAATTGGTAAATGTTAAGTATGCTTTTGATGCTCCTCTCAAGTACTTAAGAACCCACTTGCTTGCTGTCCAATGATCTCAACCCATATTGGACATGAATCTGGACATGAATCTGCTCACCACTCCAAAAACTACACAACTTTGCAGAAAATATTTAGAGAAAATACAAGAGAAATCCACAGAAAATCAACCGACGAACAAGCGAAAATCCAAATCCATAACAGAAAACCTTCACCGTGAAGACTTTTGATCTAACAATCAACCATAAAAGATTGGACTCTAGCCAATTTCTTCTAGGTAACTACTCCGCGATCAAAACCAGGTGAGAAACTTTCTTTGCCTCTCTTTTCCCGAAAAACGCTAGATCAATCCGATAACCAGCCTGAAGCTCTGATACCACTTGTTGAGATTAAGATCGATTATTCTAACTAATCGGATTGAATCTATGGAGCAGGAAAGATAAAGGGAACACAAGAGATTTTGTTTAACCAATATTCGTTGCCTACGGGGGCGAAAACACGTCTCCCGTTGTACACTATCTCTGGAAGCAGCCTCTGTTACAAGGATTCCGATATATCAGGACTCCACACAGTTACAAGAAAGCCTTAGCTCAATCATGGAGGAGAAACTCGTTGTGAGTCTTTTCTCTCTCTACCTTGCAACACTCTCGCTCTTCTTTCTATTTAACTAATTCAACAACTCTGTTTTCAGTTACATGTGACGATGGAGAAGATGGAACTCACTTTTGAAACAACTAACTTATTTTTTTTTAAATAATAATTAAATCAAACTCAGCAATGCGGAAGTCAAACTCAATAAATAATAAATCAATATTCGATTCAACCAACAACTAAATTTAAATCAATAAATGCTACCTACCTAAACTCGTGGTTCTAATAACTTAAACAATTAAATAAATCTTATCATCCTCTTCTGCGGTCTTGATTCCGCGATCACATAATTCTTTTACCTGCATCACATAGCGAAAAAAGATGCGTAAGTATTTCATAAATATTAAGTGAGATGGTCATCCCATCTACATGCCAATTATGCAATCACTAGGCAATAAAAAATTCACAACAAACAAAACAGATAATTCGGAGAAATAACTTATGTTGCCGAACGACATCCCCATGGTGTAGGTCGACACTCGACCCTTGGTGTCGCTCGACACCAACTCGCAGACAGAAACTGTAACATCTGTAACCCAAAGTTTGGGGATTTTTGCTTGGTGTCGGTCGACACTAGTCCGAATTGCAAATTCCCGGTTTGATCTAAATCGTTCTTTTGGGCCGATTTAGTGGAGAAAGCCCTATTTCGCGAATAAAAGTGGTGCAGCCGTATTTTCTTCTCAGTTTTTTCTTTTAGAGGAGAAGAGAAGTTCTTGAGAGGAGGAGAGGTGATTTCTGGAGAGGTTTTAAAGTTTTGGGTCAGATCGGAATCCATCGTTCGTTGTTCTTTGTTGTCTATCTCTCTCCTTTCCCTTTCAATCCGTTTTAGAAGTGAGTGCGTGACCATATGAAACGACCAAGCTTTTTCTAAAAAAAAAATTAAAACAATTAAATAATTCAGCGGAAGTCTTGAAATAAATCAAATAATTCAATGCAGCTCGACTCAACAAATACTTCAATAAATAATAAAAGAACACTAGCAACCTAAACAACAGGTTTCACTAGCAACTTAAACAATATAAAATAAAATCCTATCATCCTCTTCTTCGGCCTTGATTCCGCGATCACGTAAACCTTTTACCTGCAACACATTACAAAATTGTATTATCATAAATACTTAGTGAGTGGATCATCCCACCTACATTCCAATTACGTGAGAGACTAGACAAGAAAACAACCAATACACAACAAATTAAGGGCAGAGAATATAAAGAAATAATAAGTAAATAAAGATGAAGTAGAAGAACCCAGAGATGTGTCGGTCGACGCAGACTCGCATATAGAAATCCCAAATCACGAAAATAGCTCAAAAACACTAAATCACAAGGGATTCAATACCTGAATCGATCAAACAAGCAATTAACTCAAGAACACATGTGAACTCATCATCAAACTTCACAAACAATCTGAATCTAGTGAATCACGAGCCAATAGTCACACACTCACCTCTAAAACGGATTGAAATAGAGAAAGAAGGATGAAGCAGGGAAGAACAGCTACTAACAACCACCGATGTGCTTAAGAACACCACAAAACAGCCCCTCTTCCAAAACTCGATGCAACTTCCAAAACTCCATAAAATGGGCTACGGATGTTACACCATAGGCTTGTGATTCATTAGTTTTCGTTTGTGTGATATGTTCTTGAGTTGTTCATGGTAGAAATTGAGTTTATGTCTGTATTTGGGTGTTGAAACCCATTGATTTTGTGTTTTTTCGCTTGATTCGTCGATTTGAGATTTTAGTCTGTGAGTCGGTGTCGAGTGTCCACCGACACTCTCTGAGTATCGCTCGACACAGGGTGTTAGTATCGACCGACACCAGAAAATCTTCTTGGTTTTGTTGTGTGTTTGCGTGTGTTTCGCTTGTGTTTGATGATTGCTTGCTTGCTAGTGTTTTGCGTAACTGTCATGTAGGTGGGATGATCGTCTCACTAAGTATTTATGATAATACTTACACATCTCTTTCGTATTGTGATGCAAGTAAAAGAAATGTGTCATCGCAAAATCAAGGCCAAATAAGAGGATGATAGGAATTTATTGTTTTAATCGTTTAAGTTGCTGGAACCTGGTGTTTAGGTTGCTAGTTTTATTCATTTGAATTATTTTTGAATTGAATTCCTTGGTTTAATTATTTATTGAACTTATTTTAAATACTTCCGCTAAATTTGATATTTATTTAATGTATTAAAAACAAAACAAAAGGCTTGGTTGTTTCAGAAACCTAAATCGACGAAATCAACACAGAAACACAAAATCATTGGGTTTCAACACCCATAAATGATCAAATAAACAATTTCAACATGAACACAACAAGAACAAAAATCACAATCACTTTTCTAGCAAATCACGAGCCTACGGTCACACAATCACCTCTAGAACGGATTAAAAAGGGAAAAAAGGATGGAAACAACAAAGGACGACTAACGGCACTTCGATCTGACTCTGAAACTCGGATTTCTCTCCGAGATCGCCTATTTTCTTCTCTGTAAAAGTTCTCATTGAAAACTGTGTTCAAAAATGCGGCTGCACTTCTTTTATTCAGTGAATTAGGGCTTTCTCACCGAAACCGGCCAAACTGACCACTTAAATTGAACCGGAAATCTATTTCAATAACCGGTCTCGACCGACACGCTCCTGGTGTCGCTTGACACCAACTCCAAAAAGCCAATTCTCCGTTTACAGATGTTACAACTTTAACATGTGACTTTCTTGGATATAGGCTTCTGCATTAACCAAACCCATAAAGGAGTAGGCAAGCGAGAATGGGCTTCCAGCTCATTAAGTGTTTGTCTAAACTTAGACTTCACATTATATAGGAGTTGAAAATGATTAAGTTTGTGACATGATTGGGAGTTGAAATGAATAAATCTTGAAATCGTGGTTAGTTAGGGATTGTGAAATAAATAATTTTTCCATTTAATTTTTAATTTATTTATTTTGCAAAATAATATCATTTCTTTACTTTGATTTTTCAGGGAATTTGATGCCCAAACAAACTCAAAGTGCTCAATTATTATAATTTTTATGGTATAAACATAAACTAATTCAAATGACTGTTGACTAATTATTTTGATGTTCTTATTACTCTAAACAAATCTTAAATTAATACAAAAAAAATATTTAGTTTGTGTTCTTATTACCATAAAAATAATCAAAATATTTAGTTAATACCATAAAAATATTCACTTTATGTTTATACCATAAAATGTTTAGTCAACACTCATATTTTGGATCTAAAAAAAATATAAATACTACATGTTGTTGTTTTTATTACTCCAAAAATCATTATAGATCATAAAAAATAAAACATCTCATAATTTTTATGTTAATTATTACTGAAATAATCATAGTTTAATGAAGCTTGCAAAAAAAATCAAGTAGTAATTCAAAACAACCTCGGCCCTGGTCGTGTTCTCGAGTATCATTGTCGTTCCAGAGTAACTGACCTAGGAATAAAAACGTCAAACTTCAATAATATCATTATTATTAGATTTCATGACGAGATATTCTTCAATTTAACAAGATGGGCTTGTATTTTGAGACAAGGTCAGAACTTTGAGTTTTCTTACGACGTTGAAGTATACCAAGCAGGGCCAAGACTTATTCCTCGATGTGGTCAACTACGTATATGGGTTGCTAAAATTGATGAGATATACTTTTCAAATAAATCTGATAAAACTCCATGGCGTATACTATCATGGAATTACCATCCAAAAAACACAACTTAACCATAAGAACTAAACCATTATCTATTTTATTTAATATATAGCAAAATTTTATTACAAAATATGAATTTCTTCGATATATATATCAACGTTATACAAGGGTATTCGCTTTCGAAAGAACTCTACATCTCTATATTTTCTAGGGGAATTGCCAATTTTGTACCCAAACATTTTTTTTTTAAAACGGTATACCTCGTATGACACATTTGACCAGCGGTGTACCCTAAGGAGTGTAAAATGACCCTTTTATCTTTTACGAACAAACAGTAAACGAGTGCCACAATGACTATTTTACCCACGGTTGTGAAGTCGAAGAAATCTACGAATAGAAACCGTCTAAACGAAGTCTACAATACCTTAACATCTTAAATTTAAATTATAAAATTAAAGAAAAATATGTAAAATAAAGAAATTATATATAAAAAATATTTTGATATTTGGCATCTTTTAAACATAATTTTGCTTAGAAAATGAATTAGCCTAAGTAAAGCAAAGGCATAGCAAGCCACAAAGCTATAAATTTGGAGAGAAGTCTACTCATGAAGTCTACTATATTACGAAATCTTATAAAAAAATATTTTGCTAACAAATTTTTGTTAGTAATCTAAGTAATTACAATGTTCATCTATATAAAATACAAACTTATAAAAATGTATAAGTTTATAAGTTTCATGAGTATTTGGTCCATGAAGGATAGAGTTTAGGTTTGAAGTATAGGCTTGGTAGTATAAGTTGTTAGGGTTTAGCCAAATAGTTTTTGAAAACAAATTTCTACGTTGTATATCATTTAATATTCATATTTGTGTTGATTATAATGTAATTTATCTATATTCAAAGTAAACTATTTTATTCTATAAGTTTATTTGTGTAAAACATTTGATTTAGTGTTTAGGGTATGGAAGACTTCATCTGTAGACGGCACCGGTAGACCGCAAAGTGAAGTCTACATAACCGGATTTTTAAATTAAATCGGGATGATCCCCCTTCATATTTATAGAGAGCAGGCCGTTTACTCCGAAATTTAGATAAAAATGGGTGTGATGCTAGGATCGTGGGTTGAAACGGGTGATATTTAGTAGGTAAGTATAACCCTAATTTTGTTAAATCCAACGAAACGAAATAATTTTGTTAAATCCAATATAACCCTAATTGCCGACTCGTGTTCGTCAGAATGTATATCCCAGTCCTCATCATCAGAAGACAAGCCCCACTCACTATCCAATCCTACATTATCACCTCATGGTGCATCGTTTTTTGCTGGCTCGAAACACAGAGCCGTTTTACATGGGCTCTACTTAGCTCAATCAAGCTTTGAACTTGCCTATCAGTCGTAACAAACATAGGAGGAGAATCAATAGGCATCTGCCGGAGCATATCAGCTAGAAGTGGATATGATACCTCTATAAGCTCATAATTCTTATCAACCCCGTAATCATCTTTTGCCATTTCAATTAGCTCGCCATGGGTACAACCATATCTCAATGAGAACAGTCTCCCCCCCATTGTCGTCATCCACTACAAAGAACCAGGTCCCTTTCTCTCTCCTCTCCCATTTTCCGTAAACAGCCGCTACGTACATTATTTTCTGCAAAATACGAGGAAGACAACACATTATTAGTGGATTTATGGAGTAAGTATGAAGTCTACTACATTATGACCTACTGTCCAAAGAAAACAATAAACTTGATTTAGTTCACAATATAAGGATTAAGCACGTCAAAATGATACACGTATAACTAAACAGATTAACACAACTTATTGTCTGAGAAAATCTTAAAAATTAGTTGATCGAAACGCACAAATATCAAATTTAAAATACAGTAACAAAATAGACTTCACCGTGAAGTCTACATGAGACATCATAACGAAATCTACTATATTTTCACCTAGTCTTCAACAAAAATAAAAAATTTGATTCCCTTCAAAATATAATGATTAAGTACGTCAAACTGTTACACTAGCAACTAGACATGTAAACACAACTTATTGTCGAAAAAAATCTTAAAAACTAGTTATTAATAATGAACAAATATCGAATTTAAAATACAGTTAGAAAGTGGACATCTACGTGAAGTCTACATGTAGACATCACCATGAAGTCTACTCGAGGGCTACATCAACTGCAATTGACCAAACCACGACTTTTTCGCGAAGTCTACAATGTAAGTCTACACATCAAAGGGTAAACTAACTGCAATTGACCAAATCACGACGTTTTAAAGTAAACTTCTTTCCCAAAGTAGACTTCATATTACCAAAAGTAGACTTCATATTGAAGTCTACTACCAAACGTAGACTTCATATGGACAATAATTGCAGTTAGTGAACCCGAGTTACTATTCATTCCTTGACCGGTAGACTTCTTTTTGCAGAAGTAGACTTCACTATGAAGTCTTCGCACTAAGTAGACTTCCGCAAGAAATCTACGCGTCAAAGTAGACTTCATAGTGAAGTGTACAGCGAAAAAAGAAGTCTACGTCAAAAAATCGTGATTTGGTCAATCGCAAAACTATAACCCTGATGAGTAGACTTCAGGTGTAGACTTCAACAAAGTCGTCGTCTCGTCAATTGCAGTTAGTGTACCCCTTCTAAAGAATAGACTTCTTAGTGAAGTCTACGCATGGGGCCTACCTTTTTTGTTGTCAAAGGAATAATGTAGACTTACCTTTCCGAAATTTGAAAAAGTCAATTGTAGTTAGTGTACCCCGCGTTGACTTGTAGACTTTTCAAGAAGTCTACATCGCGCCGGAAGTCTGAAATTCATGAAAAACGAACAGAAAATCACCTTGAAGAGCTGTTTGGTGGTGTTGACGGCGGAAACGTTCGATTTAAACGTTCAACAGAGAATCCCAGCCGTTGCCGTGAGCTTGCTGACCACAAATGTCATCATACAAGAAGTTGGTTTTTGGAGAGATGGAATATAGAGTTTTTTGATGAAATTGGAGAGAATATGTGAGATCATGAATAACACACTTAGGAGCGAGTATTCAGATTGAGAACTGGGAGGCTTTATTAACTCGAAGGTAATCAAGAAAAATACAAAGGAAATTGGTCTCGTCAACAGGCTTGACAAGATAAACGATAGAGAACAAGAGAAAATTGAAAAGATTGCTAATTGCCTAGAATTCTTCAGCTAATTTGCAGAGGATTTCCGATCATTTTCCAGGAATGGGGGTCTTCATTATATAGTGTTAATAGGCCGGCTTCTCGGCGAATATTTTCCTTTTTAGCGAGATGGAAAACTTTCTCTTTGCGATTTAGAATATTTTCTCTTGTTCTTGATTTCCTTCCATTCTTCGAGTCGGCATGAGGCTTTGTTGACATTTTCTCATGGAATGTGCCTTTCTCCTCAAGTCTTGCCATTTTGTTGAGGAGATTAGGGCTAAAGTCAGGTTGGGCCACTATGATATTACTAATTGTGACGGACTCAAGGAAATGTATTAATTTCACCTCTAACAATAAGTCCCCCCCCAGCTCGGCAAGTCAAATACTGTTTGATCTCTGCGAGTTTCATGAATTAAGAGGGAGCTTGAGAGCCATTAGTAATAATTGTGCCGTGGTAATGCTATCACGACTTTAGTGCCTATGTGCTTGCTGAATATAGATTCGTGTCGCCTCGTTAAAATCTTAATATGGAAAAACCCATATGGGACAAAAACCATGAGAAGGAAAAAGAGTATGTAGACGTCATCTAATTCCAAAAATAAATGCATTTCGAGTGATCTTTGCCAGGACCGAGAATGCTATCTTATCAAATTTAGATATGAAAATATCTCGTTACCGCGTGCCGAGATGAGTTAAATATCCTCGGCCGTTTGCTGGGTCAGATTGCCACGTCATCACTCAGATGAGCGACATACTTAGAATGACGAGAATTGGGCGTGACAACAATTATTTGCAAAAAGGGCCCAATCCCGTTAAAATTTTTCCTGAGCGGAAAAATAAAAAGTCCAAGGGAAGTTTCTCCCTTGGAATCAGCGCGACTCCCCTTAAGGAACCGTTTTTTCCTCCATTAATTTCTTTTTGCTTCTTCATCCTCAACCGCCTCGACGAAATATGATAACTTCCTCGCCTCTTCTTCGAACTTCGATTTCTCCGATTTGTCGAGTTGCTTGTTGCTTGAATTTACTTATGTTATACCCTGATTTAGTCTTTTCTTTCGCCGGTTCCGCCCCTCAATCTTCCGATTTCTTTAATTTATTTTGCGATTTCGAGATGAATCCGCCGGATAGCAAAGGTATCACTTATGACGACGGCGACGAGACACTCGCCACTATTAGTCGCCATACGCGATCTTCTGGCTGTCCGGAGAGGCTTTTCGACGGAGCCATCCGTGCGAATGCGGCTGAGGAACGCCGAAAGAAGGCGTCGGAGGACGCCGTGGAGGCCGAGAGAGTTGCAGATGAGGCCGAGAAGGCAGAGAAGGCGGAGGAACGTGACTCCGGTGGTGAATCCGATTCAAGATTTCTCGACGGGATTTCAATCAATGATCCCAACGCGTCATCAGATTTGGACGAGACGGCGGCTTCTGGCCAAGCGAGGCTCAAAGGTATCCCGTAGAAGATCAAAATGTCAGATCATCCTACTTGGGACTGGAGAACATGGTTGTCACGGGAGATCATTTTGGCGCTAATAGCAAGGGCCGGGTTCCCTGATTCTTTGGAGTTCCGGATCCCGAAGGTTCAGTAACACATGAGAGGCCCTATGATGATCCTCTGGGATGGATGTATGTTTGTGAATGCATGTTCACCGAGTTTGGGATGAAGTTTCCTCTTCCGTTTTTGCTATTGAAGTTTGCGTCATAATGCGGCATCGCTGCGAGTCAATTGACCCATGGCGTCATTCGCCACATTGTCTTCACCAATGCTTTAGTCAAGGCCGTTGGGATCATGTTCGATCGTCTGCTGTTTTAACACATCACAGATCTTCGCACCGGATCGACGTGAGAAGGGAACTTCAAACGCTTTCATACTACGATGAAGTACGATATCGTGTTTGGCAACTATCGCAGCAAACTTCTGAGATAGCACTCGTAAAAACGGGATACCAAAGATTGAGTTTAGGGAACTGGGATGCTTAATTAACTCGAAGAAGATCAAAGAGATTACAGAAGGGAGTGGTCTCGTCAACAGGTATGACGAGACTAACGATAATGAACAAGAGGAAATAAAGAGAATTCTATTGCCTAGGTTTCTTTTAGCTGAGTTGCGGGTGATTATTGATTCTGGTCGATTCTTTACACGAATGGAGGGGGGGGGTCTTCATTATATATAGTTGATAGGACGGCTCCTCGATGGATATTTTCCTTTTGGCGAGATGGAAAACTTCCTCTTTAACGATATGGAAAAGTTCCTCTTTAGCGATATGGAAAAGTTCCTCTTGTTCTTGATTTCCTTCCATTCTTCGAGTCGGCATGAGACTTTGTTTACATTTTCTCATGGATTATGCCTTTCTCCTCAAGTCTTGCTATTTTGTTGAGGAGGCTATGGCTAAAGTTGGATTGGGCTTTTATGATTTTACTAATGGTGACGGGCTCAAGGAAATGTGCTAATTTCACCTCTAACACTTCACTATTGGGAGAATTACTTCTTCTTTGTCATGATCAGTGAAGCGTTGGTTGGAACCAGATCAAGACGAAATGGGTTACCTCGCCAGGTAGAATATTAGTAGATTTTTGTCTTGTCATTGCTTCTGTCAGTTTGTGCTCTAACCTTGATTGTTGTCTTCGTTTTGCAGAACTTAGAGGTGTAGTCCCAATTGTTCCACAATACTCATATCCCTTAGACTTCAAGCGATAAGTCCCCAAACTGTTCACCTTGTGGAGAATCACTTCTTGCTTGTGGAAATCAATTGAAGCACCTACTTGATGCGGCATCTATGGGATGAGTACAAGTAATAATTCCCTAAGACAACTAGTGTTGCAAGTGCACAACATATAATTGTAGTATTTAGGGGTCGAACCACAAGGGATTGGATTTCACACATTACATAATCATAGAGTTTAAATGACTAAGCTAAATCAAAAGATGCAAGGGTTTGTGTTTGTTGAGAACACGCAAAAGAAATAACAATGCAATTCTATACAAGCAACATTATTGAACTATTGAAAACTCTTTTGAAAACATGAGCCAAGTCGATTGAAAAGTTTGTTAAAATCCGATTCTTTTGAACTCAAAACACTAAGGAAGGATTATTCCACTTTCGTGGTTCCAATCCCCTATGTCTCTTAAACCAATGGGCTCAGCTTTCGTTGGTCATTGTAGAGTGAGACATGCATTACATCCAAGTAATGATTGTTCACAAAACTCTTTAGGTCTACTTTCGTAGCCTAAAACGATTTGCCCATCAAATATATCCGGAGATATAACAAGCTTTTGGAGAGTATATCAACCTAAAATCAAGTCACTAGTTAGCTACTCTAGCAACAGGCATTAAGCATAAATAAAGATGGAGAACCATAGGGTTTCCCCTTTTAACAATCGATTTTCGATGGCCATTATATCACGTCCTCATTGGAAGGATCCATAATTCAACAATGAGTCTTAGATAGTAGATGAAGTCTCATGAATCCTTAGAGAGAGAGGCGGCGGAATATGGACTAAACCACGCCTCACCCTTAGGGAGAAATCTCTACTTCTAGACTATATAAATTGAAACATGCAAGCTATATACAAATGCAAAAGAAGAAAAGAAAGAAGAAGGAGACCACCTAAGTGGCTCCGAACTTTATTGAATAAGTGTTTCTTGTTATGCGGCTGGTGATTCTTATTACAAGAGGCTAAAAGCAAGTATATATAGGTAGAGAGCGGGTCTAGGTCGGCAAAGTTGAGCGCGCGCAGAAGAGGAAAGTTTCCATTTCTCTTTAGCCGCTTGAGCTTGCTCTCCAAGTTCTTGAATGGGCCGTGTTCAGGCCAATGGAAGCTTCTGGATTGAGTTATGCTAGTGTCAAGACGAGCCAAGGCCTTGGGCGCGGTATCTCGGGCCTCTTGATCCATCAAAGTCTCCATGGGCTCTACTTAGGCGCTCGTCGGACATGTCTTGGTAGAAAATAAGTTCCGGTCCAACGAGTGATCCAAATGACCTCTTTCCACTTCGCCGCGGGTCACGACTCAAATATCTATCTTTCCATATAAGAATCATGACTTTTGGACGTCGGGAAGGCATGAATATGCGGTCGTACTCCAATTGTGCTCGTTCCAATCCGGATTTTCTTCTTTAGATGCGATGTGGATGCTTGATGGAGGTGATTTGAGCCGGTGGCCGCGGTAAATGCCGTGATTTGGATTGTCGGCCATTTTACTTGCTCGCGATCGGCCAAATTTCACTCCATCGGCCATCTCTTGAATTGTAAGGAATTCATTGTACTGAAATGAAGTTTCATCGACCAACCTTATGTTTTGTGGCTCCTTGTGAAGTTTGAGGCGATTTGAACGTGTGGATTCGGAGATCTTTCGGTGCGCGCCAATGGTGTCGTGATTCTTCCTTTGGCCATCTTGTTTCTTTCGATTCTCCTTCCTTTTCTTCTCCTTGGTGTTTTTTGGACTCCAGAGGATCAGTTTCCACCGGTGTTCGCGCCTTCTTGAGGTTTTGAGTTCGTCGGCCATTCTATGCATCGCCGTCGGCCGTATTGAGCTTCCTCGTCTATCTCACGTAGCAGGCACTTTTTCTCGTCCTATCTTTTGGATTTGCCGACCAAAATGATGTTTGAGGTCGCCTGTGAAGTTTGGTGGACTTCGGTCGTGCCGTTTGGGAGATGGTCGAGCATTGTCGCTTGGTTCGTCGATTCTGGCCGAGAGAGTGATTGGAATGTGATATCTCCTTTTTTACTCGGGCCAATTGAGTTCTGCTTCGACCGAACTGTTTTTCTATCCCTCCTGGATTGAATTGTGGTTGGATTTCCCTCATCTCTCATGTTTGGCATGTAAATCCTCCTTTGGCCGGTTGTGGCTTCCTTGCGCGCCATGTTTGTTGATATTTTGAACCGGTCTTTCCTGTCATGTTTTATATCTGAAAAACACTAGTAACTTTTTGTTAAACTCTGTCAATGATTGAGTTGTTCAAAATAGTTTGAACTTCCCAATCAAAGACTTGATCGTGAAACCATATGTACTTGTGATCTTGATCAGAAATCCAAGTAGTGTGTATTGGTTTAATTTGATAGAAATAGTGTTTAAAAGAAATGACAGTAAGAATGGAAGTGATACTTACCTTTGCCTTGTGCAATAGTGTTCCAATGGCCGGATTTTGTTGTGCCGCGGCCCTTCTTGGACTTCTTTGCTTCTTGAAACATGGGTGGGACTTGGGTGGGACTCAAACTAGACTCAATGCTCATACTTAGACCAAAGATGGTTAATCTTGGGTCATTGTGGCGATGTAGCTTTCCAATGCATTTTTCATGTAAGCCTCCTTTTTGGTACTTTTTCCTAAAACACTTTTTATTTTATTTTTGTAAAATTTATTAAACTCTCAAAAATTTAAGAGTTATAAATAGAACAAATAAATAGTTATAAAAATAAAATAAAAAGAGGAAGGGATAAGAAAATGTGGGTTGCCTCCCACAAGCGCTTGTTTTAAGTCTTTGTAGCTCGACTCCTTTGTGTTCTTAGTTAGGTAGGATTGGTGGCTCCAAGAACTTCCTGTTGCCTGATGATTCCAAGTGCATCTTGTCCTGTAGAACTTCCTTGATCAAGTAGCCATGCGACTCTCCTCTTACTTGTGAGCACTCTCCTCCACTTGTGTAGCGAAATCGCTTGGATGAGAAACCGGGAGGTGCAGCATCGTAGAAGGTGTCCTTGTCAACATTGGCTAGAGAGATTCTTCTATTAGGCCAATCCATGATCGCTCCAGCTGTGGCTAGGAATGATCTTCCAAGCAAAAGCTTTAAGTCCTCCGGATCCTTCATGGTTACTACATAGAAGTTGGCTGGAACTATGCAGCCTCCAAAATCAAGCTGAATGTCTTTAACCTCTCCAAGTGGTTCGGTCAATGATGAATCAGCTAGCTTTAAATCCATTCGAGATTTCACAATTGAATTGATCAATCCCAACTTCTTGGCTATCTCGGCCGGCATAAGGTTCACACTAGAACCGGAATCGCAAAGAGCATCATCAAAGTAGCTTCCATTGATAGAGAAATGTATAAGGAAGTAACCTGGGTCATGAAGCTTGTGTAGAAACCTAGGTTTAGGCATCCCCTTTCTTGCTTCCTCGTACATCTTTTCCAATTCAGCTAGACTCCAATCTTGTGTCCAAGCTAGGTCTTGCATGAATGGACTCTTGTTGCAAGCATTATCAAACGGCACACCATAAGGGAATCTCCTCGCCATAAAGTTGAAATCATCTATGATCTCTTCAAGTGATGATCTTGTCTTCCTCTTCTCCTTGGTGGGAGGCGGTTGTGAAGACCTTTGAGTAAGGGTTCTTCCTTTTGGTGCTATCTTCTCTCTTGTTCCAGTGGTTAGCCTTGTGGCTCTTTCTTGATCAGCTCTACTCTCTTCTTCATCCCAAATCACTCTTGGGTCGGTCTCTCTTATAGTAAAGACGGGCGCGGCATAGTTTTGCTTAGGAACGGTCGTCTTTGCTCGGTCAAGACCTTCTCTTCCAAGTTGGCTAAGCGAGTGGTTAAATCCTTGACTTCCTTGGAGACTCCATCTACTTTGTCTTCAAGCCCTCTAGCTCTTCTTTGAATATCTTGGCTCCTCTTGTCTAGAGAGATGTGTAAATCTCGGATTTGTGCCTTCACTTGTTTTTGCCCTTCCACCAATGTAAGCATCGTCGAGTAACATTGCCTCTCCTTTAGGTACTTCGGCTACCTCCCTCTTAGCTTGATGAGCTACTGCTGTTATTGAATTGAGACTCTTGGTGGTGCCATCGAGGTTGTTATCAAGACTTGAGATCTTCTCATCTAAGTGATTGTCCATCTCCTTGGTAGAAACTTTGGTAAAGTGTATCGCTCTCCTATTGTCTTCAATGGCCTCGCCTTGCTTCTTCAAATCTTCCTCCATGTCCAAGCATCTTGACTCTACTCTCTCTATTTGGGTAGAGAGTTCTCCAAGTCTTCCATCTAGTTCGTATCGCGTGAACTCTAGCTTTGTCTCAATGTCGCGGCTAGTTTTCTTTGGCTCTCCATGAAACCCTCAAGCACGGCATCGAAATGGCTATCTCTCCGCCTATTGAGAACATGGTCGTGGTGTGAATGCAACACTGGTCTAGGTGGTTGATGATAAACCGGAGGTCGGTTTTGATGATGATGGTAATGATGCTCGTCTCGGCTAGGTCCTTCAAACGTCGGATGAGCGCGGTTGGGAGGGAACGGATGTGGCACGATGCTTACGGCTGGGTCTTGGTAACTCCGGCCGTGGAGATCGTGTGGGATCAGTGTCCGGTTCCCAAAGTGGATGTTGGTGTTGTGATTCATCTCCAAGTACCTATAAACACAAGATTTAAAAGAAAAAGTTAGTATTCGAAAATACCAAGATCTAGACTTAGTTTTAAACAAGACTATGCAAGTGTTTATGATGCAATCCCCGGCAACGGCGCCAAAAACTTGATGCGGCATCTATGGGATGAGTACAAGTAATAATTCCCTAAGACAACTAGTGTTGCAAGTGCACAACATATAATTGTAGTATTTAGGGGTCGAACCACAAGGGATTGGATTTCACACATTACATAATCATAGAGTTTAAATGACTAAGCTAAATCAAAAGATGCAAGGGTTTGTGTTTGTTTAGAACACGCAAAAGAAATAACAATGCAATTCTATACAAGCAACATTATTGAACTATTGAAAACTCTTTTGAAAACATGAGCCAAGTCGATTGAAAAGTTTGTTAAAATCCGATTCTTTTGAACTCAAAACACTAAGGAAGGATTATTCCACTTTCGTGGTTCCAATCCCCTATGTCTCTTAAACCAATGGGCTCAGCTTTCGTTGGTCATTGTAGAGTGAGACATGCATTACATCCAAGTAATGATTGTTCACAAAACTCTTTAGGTCTACTTTCGTAGCCTAAAACGATTTGCCCATCAAATATATCCGGAGATATAACAAGCTTTTGGAGAGTATATCAACCTAAAATCAAGTCACTAGTTAGCTACTCTAGCAACAAGCATTAAGCATAAATAAAGATGGAGAACCATAGGGTTTCCCCTTTTAACAATCGATTCGATGGCCATTATATCACGTCCTCATTGGAAGGATCCATAATTCAACAATGAGTCTTAGATAGTAGATGAAGTCTCATGAATCCTTAGAGAGAGAGGCGGCGGAATATGACTAAACCACGCCTCACCCTTAGGGAGAAATCTCTACTTCTAGACTATATAAATTGAAACATGCAAGCTATATACAAATGCAAAAGAAGAAAAGAAAGAAGAAGGAGACCACCTAAGTGGCTCCGAACTTTATTGAATAAGTGTTTCTTGTTATGCGGCTGGTGATTCTTATTACAAGAGGCTAAAAGCAAGTATATATAGGTAGAGAGCGGGTCTAGGTCGGCAAAGTTGAGCGCGCGCAGAAGAGGAAAGTTTCCATTTCTCTTTAGCCGCTTGAGCTTGCTCTCCAAGTTCTTGAATGGGCCGCGTTCAGGCCAATGGAAGCTTCTGGATTGAGTTATGCTAGTGTCAAGATGAGCCAAGGCCTTGGGCGCGGTATCTCGGGCCTCTTGATCCATCAAAGTCTCCATGGGCTCTACTTAGGCGCTCGTCGGACATGTCTTGGTAGAAAATAAGTTCCGGTCCAACGAGTGATCCAAATGACCTCTTTCCACTTCGCCGCGGGTCATGACTCAAATATCTATCTTTCCATATAAGAATCATGACTTTTGGACGTCGGGAAGGCATGAATATGCGGTCGTACTTCGGATGCTCCGGTTTGGTCTTTAGCGAGAAATGTAGATTTGGTGCTCTAGACTTGGGAACTTGGTGATTTGACTCTTTTTGCTCCATTTTGACTCTTCTTTGCTATTTTGACCTGAATGATGCTCAAAACCAGAATATACAAGAAAACTACCTCTTGGGCTAAAAACCACATTATTTGTATTAAAAACATAGTGAAAACCTTGATAAAAACATGAAAGATATGGGTATATCACTACTGTACTAAGGAAAGGGGTCCCCAAAATCAGTGGCACATCCTTTTCTTCTTCCATTTCCAAGACAGTAAGATCAGTTGGTAATGGGCATTCTCCCACCTTTAAAGGGTAATTCTTGAACACACCAAGAGGTGACTTAGAAATAGCATCAGCAAACATGATTGTTGAGCTGGAGCGCTGCAAGGCTCCATGAATACTGAGCTTTTGTGCCATTGCAAGTGAAATCAAGTTGACACTAGCACCAGAATCGACCAAGGCATCATCAAACTCCAAATGTCCAAGTTTATAAGGAAGTGTGAACTTTCCTTGATCCTCCAGCTTTGGTAAGAAGATAGGTGAGGTTAGGAGGTTGTGCTGAGCAGTAGAAAGCTCCAGGAGCTTAGACACTTTGTCTTTGTTGTCCATAACATCTTGAATCAGCTTCATTTGTTCAAATGCCTCATTCATACTACCCATACTAGGAAGCTCAACTCCTATCTCACTGAGATCCCTTCTAAACTTGTGAATCACTTCCTTTTGACCTTGACTAAGTAGGCGGCCTGAAGATGGATCAACTGGCTGGTAAGGTTCAAGCAAAACTGGTTGTGGAACAGAAACTGTCTGACTCGATCGAGTTGCTGAGGTTGGACTCGATCGAGCTGCGGATCGAACTTGTTGTGCGAGCTCAACTGGTGAAGTGTGAATAGCTATTTGAGTAGCTTGCACTTCATGTTGAAAGTATTGGACTTCAGGAGCATCAGCAACAACATTGTCTTCATCATTAAGCAGCATACAGATCTCCTCAATGGCTTTCTCATTAGCAGCTTGTTGATCAAATTCTTCTTCTCGAGTAAAGATTACTTTACAATGCTCCTTTGGATTCTGAACAGGCTTTCCAGGTAGTTGTCCTTGTTTAGCAGCAGCAGAGAAGTGTGGTTCTCAAGGTATGTACTCTTGTGTTCAAGGACTCAATCTTTGAATTTAATCAGCCAACTTCTTGCTTGTTTCCATAACACCATCAGCTTGACCTTGTAGCAACTGTTTCAACATGGCTCTCAACTTAGGCTCTTGATTAGGCGCAGGTCGAGGTGGCTGGTGAGAAAGCCAGGTGGTATATGCATTTTCTGCCAGGGAAAGTCCCTTGGGTGCTGTGGTAGTTGCTTTTCAGACCATACCCTTGTTGTGGAGGCTGACTCGATCGAGTTTGCTGCTGTGGAGGGTAAACTTGATCCTGAGGGTTGCTACATCAGTGTTTCTGTAAGACATGGCTGGATTGGACTTATAGTTGTAATAACCCTTCTGGTATCCACCTTGTCCATTGCTCATGTAGCAAACTTCAGCAATTTGTGTATCCTCCCCTTCTTGAACAGGAACCATCTCTTCAGCAGATACAAAGTTGACCTTTTCATTGTGGATTGAGCTAGGATAAGCTTATCCAACTTCTCATTCAAAGCTTTCACTTTTTCAGTTTGTCATCGACTCGATCGAGTGGTGGGTCGAGTTCGGTTTGTGCGATCATACTCCTCTCCATAACTCTCATTTGAGTTAGCAATGTTCTCCACAAGCTGCCAGCCATCATCTACATCTTGATTAGGAAGTTTCCATTACTGGCTGTGTCCAACATCTCTCTGTATCTAGCCAAACATCCTCTATAGAGTGTAGAAAGCAAAGACTCATTGTTGAAGCCATGATGAGGGCATTGACTGGTGTAACCCTTGAACCTTTCCCAAGCTTCAGCAAATGTCTCATTGTTCCTCTGAGTGAAGCCTGAGATCTCACTTCTTAGCTTGGCTGTGCGCCCAGTTGAGAAAAACTTAGCAAGAAAGGCTTTCTTGCACTCATCCCATGTAGTGATTGAACCATGGGGCAGGCTCTTCTCCCATTGGTGAGCCTTATCAGCAAGAGACATAGGGAAGAGTCTCAGCTTGATGGCATCTTCAGAGACACCATTTAACTTGGTCAGATCACACAACCTATCAAACTCATCAAGGTGATCTATTGGGTCTTCACTGAGAGCCCATGGAACATCTTGTTCTGCACTAGATTGATCATTCCCAGCTTGATCTCAAAGTTGTGGTTCTGACAGGAGGTGGGACAATCCCTTGTCTTTGCTGGTGGCTTTGGGGCATCTCCAAGTCCAATTGGTCGAGTCTGCCTAGCTCGACCCTGCCCATTAGCAGGAGGGATTCCATTACCCTCTGGATGATCGATGTATCTGTAACAAACACCTCTGTCTCAGCTTGTTGCCTCTGGCTCTTCTTTCTCTGTTTTCTGCCTATGTTGTTGTCTAACTCGACCAAGTCCTTTGTAGATGAGCTCGATCGAGTTCGCATACACCTGCAAAACAGTAAAAACCCAGCAGTACAAGCAACAAAGGTGGGATAGTACTTGATCGTTCAAGTGAATTGGAAACTCAAATGCAACAAAATCAAACCCAAATGGCAACGGCGCCAAATTGATGAAAGGATTTTTACTGTGTAGGTGGAATGAAATATGATATGCAAGTGAAGTTGGAATGAAGATGAGATGGTATGGTAAACAGATGTAATCACAGTCAATCAATTCCTCTTTAACATCATAGTCAAGTAGTATAAGAGGTTATCAATCCAAATGGGTAAGTTGTTACTCTATGAGAATATGCAAACACTTAGAAAGTCAAGCCAATATGATAAAGATGAAAAGTAACACTAATAACCTAAAATGAAGTGAAATGCAATGAAACAGTAAATGCAATGTAAACAAGGCTATAAATGCAAGAAATAAGCAAGAACCAAGTGCAAAGCAGCTCGACCAAGAGCTCGATCGAGTAGAAACAGAGTAATCAGCTCGATCGAGTTGAGGGTCGAGTTAGTTAAAAACAGAGGAATGCGAATGCAAAACGATAAAGGTGCAAACTTTAAGCTATTAAGATGAAGATTAGGGTCAAAGACAGGGTTTTGCAACTAAAGGAAGCCTATACTTAATCAACCTTGCTCTTAAACAACTTGTACTCAAGCTATCTCTTGGTATTGAACTTCTCAAGCCTAGCTAACCCTTTCCTAAGGTGAAAGCTATCAGCCAAGGCAAGATCTCAGAAACAGGGGGTTAGCCAGTGAGATCAAGCCTTGAAGGCCTTCGAACCTTTGTTCAAACTCACCCATTAACACCTATAAACCTCATTTCGTGAGGCAAGCATGTTTAAAGCTCTTAGTGGACTTGTTCAAGCGATTTCCCATTCATTCCCATGAGAAAAATCGCTAGACTTACACACCATGGATAGTGGTTGTGCAGCCTTAAGCTTAGTCCAAAAGAGAGAGATTTTAGATTAAGAACATAAAGCAAGAAAGATTAAGCATAAACAACCTCTAGTCTATCCCATCTTAAACCCTAAAGGGAATCTACTCACTACACATGATGAAATAAACAATGAAATGCAATGAAATAGACATAAATGAAAGAGGAGACAAAGATAAACAACTTTTATTGAAATAACAAAGTTCAGAAACACAATAACAAAGCCTAGATCTAAGGTTCAAAGAGCATGAGTTCAAGAACACTAAGAGAGGCTAAAAGCTAAAAAGGGAAACACAAATTACAAAATTAGGCAAAAGTTGTCTCTAATTCGTGGCTCAAGCCTTTAAATAGCAAAAGAAACTAGGTTTAGGGTCAAAGGAGAGTCAAAGGGAAGGCATAAATTTCGGGTTTGTCTTTGGAAAACAGCTCGATCGAGTTGTGTCTTGGCCGGTCGAGCTAGTGCAAAGTTGGGAAAGTTTGGCCTAGCTCGACTGGTGGGTCGCGCAGGTTGGTCTAGCTGGTCTTAAAGGTGGCTCCTTTCTTCATCTTGAGCTGCACGGTCGAGCTGAGTCTCTTGCAATGCCCTTCCTTGCTCCTCACGTCCCAAGTGCTCCATCATGCTCCATAATGACCTGATTAAGGATCAAACATGCAAATGTATGCAAATGCAACCTAGAACTACAATGTATGCATAAGAAGAGAAAATGAACAAGATATGATGCTAATGGTGAGTAAAAGATGTACTAAAACCAAGCAAAATACAAGTACATCAATCCCGCGCCTCTCGAGGGAAGTACTTGGCTTTGAACTCTGCAAGTAATTCACCCCAAGTCCACACGGTCCTCCGACCCTCAATGGCCCGCCACCACAGATGTGCATCGCCACTCAAATAGTGAACTGCCAACTCCACTTGGTACTCCAAAGGACATTTGATCGACCGGAAGTTCCGCTCCAGTCTCTGACGCCACGCGTCGGCCTCCTCTGGACCAACTCCGCCCTCCTTTTTGTGTCTTGTCCTTCTTATTTTGTACCCATTTAGATTTTTGCTAATCTTTCCTTCTGTATGCTTTTTCGTCCTTTGAGATTCATCGAGATGCATTTTGGTGGCAGTAAAGGGTCTCTCTTTTAGAAGTTATTGGTTAATTAAGCTGTGAATTTGAATGTCCATATTATGAATCTATGAATATCTAGAAACCAGAGATTCTCAATGTGAAGTATGAATCTTGTTATTAGAATGAGAATACTTGATTTATAACGTTGCTGATCAGAGTTACTTTCGATTTTACTTCCGTAGGATTCTTAAACGATCACGAGGTTGAGATCAAAAGAGTTCTCATTTAGAAGAAAGCTCAATCATTTGTGAGGATGGATCCGCAACATACCGGTGATCTGTTAACGTAATTCTCATTATGTATCCTCTAGCTTATTTGTTTTCCAAGATCCTTACACTTAATTACATGTTGTTTAGCCTAATTCGGTTTTGGTTTTGTCAAAAAACAGGCACTTGGAGAAGCAGAACGAATTACTCAAAGAAAATCAGAAGACCATGACACAAGAACTCCAAAAACTTGAGGTATTGTGATTAAAGAAACTTTGTTGTTCTCTTACTTCCTCCATCTCTCTCACTCACTCATTCTACTTTCTCTCACTTGTTTCAATTGGGATTTGAAATTTCCGGTTCTTAACTGAATGTTTTACAGTCCGCCAATGAGGGTGCCAATGTTGTGAGTGTGGTAGCGAAGTACGCTGTTATAGCTGGAGAGTGGCCTGACTTATTAACATTTCTATTCCACTGTAGCCAGAGTGCTCAAGAAGACCATCGCTAAGTAAACTCTCCGTCCGATTGTCTTTTATTTGATCGATTTGATGGATGTTTTGTTCACTTAGGTAAATATTGTTTGTAGGTGGCATTGATCATTTTCAGCTCCTTGACAGAAACGATTGGGAACACATTTAGGCCATACTTTGCAGACTTGCAAGCTCTTCTTCTCAAATGCAGGACGAGAGCATCAGTCGAGTGAGAGTCGCTGCTCTCAAGTAATTTCATTTTTCTGGAATTGAATCGATTCTTGCTTTTCTCTTGGATCTTAGCTCTATTCCTTACAAACTTCTGCACTTTATCAGGGCAGTGGGGTCGTTTCTGGAATTCAGAAACAATGGTGAGGATGTGGTAAGTCTAGCGACGCTCTCTTCCTGGTTCGGAAAGCGGAGGAGACGGAGCATCGGTTAAGTAAAGAAAATTTTAATTGCATTCAAGTGTGAATTTTAAGTAAAGCGATGCCATGTGGCAATTCGAGAACAAAAGAAAAAAAAGCTGACGTGGCGCTCAGATGGAAAATTCACCATCTATTGTATTACTCCCTCCGTTTCGATTTATATGTCATTCTAGCCTATTTTTTTTTATTCGTAATAGTTGTCGTTCACGAGTTACAACTTGACTTTTGTTAAAATACTAACATCATTTCATAAAATAAAAACAACTAAATAATTGATTCAGAAAACATCTTTTTACGTCCTCTCGCTTGACCGATGTCATCGGTTTTATTTCCATAGTTCCTCTTTCTCTGTTTCTACTCCGTCTTTTTGCAGGTTGGTTTGTGATAAAAGGGAAAACCCCAGTCTTCCCAGAAAAAGTTTTGTTTCCTTCATCATCAAATCTTGGACGAGCCATTGCAACTAAAAACATCACCTTCAACTGTGTTGGTGACGTGAGATTGTTAGATTCCCTCCACAATTTTTGTTGATGTTCGGATCAAAGCTAGTCAACAAAGTAAATTTAATATATTAAATGATATTAATTATGCAGTGGAGAAGAACACGAAGAGATTATAATTGAGTTAAAAGAGATAACATGAAAAGAAATTTAGTACATTAAATCTGCAGGTTTGACTTGGGTTTTCTCCAGCCGTAAGAAGATCAACACCAGAACTCTCTGGCTAGGATCCGCCTTGGTTGCAGCCGGATTGCAGTGGACAGATCTGGGCATGGATTATGAATCTCAACTTGTAAAAAAAAATTAAGCTTCTGGAACTCTTTGCAATATTAGCTAACATCATGCTACTTAATTTCTCTTTAATTTTATATCAGCTATTCAATGGTAAAATCAGTGCAAATAATTTAGTTGAAAAAGCTTGGTGTGTGTGTTTATCGCAATCTCATCGGAGAAGAAGATAAAGGGAGAAGAAGATAAAGAAAATAAAAAAGGAAGAAAAACAAATATAAAATAATTAAAATGGTAAATAGCTAGTTTTTGCGAGGTTAGAGTAGTAAATTAACAGACTTCCTTAATATGTGTGCAATGCTCTAAAACGACATATAAACTGAAACGGAGGGAGTATAGAATAAAAAACCATTTTCGGTTTAAGAATTAAGAGAAATCCTGTGAACTGCTATCATACACTTATTTGTGGCAATAAAACAATTTTAGTTTAGCGTTTAGGGTTTATTTTGTCTACCAATCAATTTGTTGTTTAGGGTTTAGGGTTTAAAGAACTTCAAGACAAAGAAGGGAGAAAAAGGAATGTGGTATTTGGATAATGGTGCAAGCAATCACATGACAGGTGTGAGGACATTCTTCTCGGAGCTGAATGAGAACATCAAAGGAAAAGTGAAGTTTGGAGATGGATCATGTGTAGACATCGGTGGAAAAGGATCAATTCTTTTCCAAGGAAAAAACAGGAGAGCAGAACCTGTTGACCGATATCTACTTTATTCCAGAGTTGAAGAGCAACATATGTACTAAGCTTGGGACAAGCAACCGAGTATGGCTGTGATGTTAGGATGAGAGAAGACTACCCAAGTGAAAGACTCTTGATAAGAGTAAAGAGATCTCCAAACAGGGTTTACAAGATAAATCTCAAGATTGGAAAGCAAACTTGTCTGCAATCAAGAATAGAGCTTGGAGAAGAAGAAGAAGAAGAAGAGAAGAAGAAGAAGAAGAAGAAGAAGAAGAAGAAGAAGAAGACCAAGAAGCAAAGGACTCCATCGAATGGACAAAGGCGTGTCTAGATGAGACTGATTTGATCAACAAAAAAGAAGAAGAAGACCAAGAAGCAAAGGACTCCATCGAATGGACAAAGGCGTGTCTAGATGAGACTGATTTGATCAACAAAAACAAGACATGGTTGTTTGTTGAAAAATCGGCAGGAGCCAAGAATATTGGCCTTAAATGGGTTTTTAAGATCAAGAGAAACGCAGATGGCTCAATCAACAAGCACAAAGGAAGACTTGTTTTCAAGGTGTTGAGACAAGTTACAGGGTGTTGGAACACAAAGCTTGATCAGATTTTGAAAGGAGTCAAGTTCGTTGAAATGAGAAGCTTCATTGGAGTTCAAGATATGTCCAAGACCAAGTCAAAGTTTAAGAGGGAGATTGTTGGGTAAGCTTCGATAGCATGAAGCACAAGAAGCCTTGACAAGTCGGTTAAGGAAAAGGAAAGCTTCATACATTCCTTATAGGATTAGGAAGTTGTCTAGCTTCTATTTAGGAAAAGGAAAAGCAAAGTTGTGCTTGATTATATAAGTGATTGTCGAGTTGTGACAATCATTCAAACAGCTTTGGTGTTTAGTTTTGAGTTTAGTTTCTAAACATTATCAATAAAAGAGTTATTCTTATACAAAGCAGAGTGTTTGATCTTTTGAGTTTGATCGTAAGATCTTTTATCCCACTTATCAGATTTTAATCCATCCATGTTACTTGAGACTTTACAGATGCGTAACAATACTTACAAGTTACAAGATCCTTTCTGTTACCATGATCCAGTTTATACTCTCCCGATAAAACTTTGGTTATATATGTTCATCATTTCTCTTCTAGGTAAAAACTATATGCAGAGAAAATTCGCCCTCCTTACATCTAAAGACGCAAAGCAGAGCTTCCATAAGAAAAGACTATATGTACTGCCATGGAGGAGAGCTGAGTCTTATTGAAGAAAAGGAATTTGAAGCTGAAGATCACGACTAAGATTCGAGGGCGAATCTTCTCCAACTCGGAGAGAATGATGCAGAGAGATATTTAATTTAGAAATATTATAATTATTTCTATTATTATTATGATAATTTCCTATTATAATTCTAGGGTTTTTTAGATTAAGGTTTTCTTATTTAGTTGATTTTGATTAATAAAATAGAACTTTTAGCTTTGAGAGAAGAATATTCTCTAACCCTTGTTTTTGGTAGATCTAGAGAGATCTCAACGAATTCACGAAGGCATCGATTCTTATGATTTTGGCAGAAATACGTGATTTCTCGGTTTTGGCGGAAAAACATGATTTTACGGTTTTGGCTGAAAAACGCAATTTTACGATCTTAACAGAAAAACATGATTTTATGATTTTGATGTGTTGAAGTCTTTTTGTTTTGAGATGCAAATGCTGCATCCAAACTCTACTCTCTCTCTATATATATATATATTGCAAGTGACTTTTGAGATGAGTGATTTGACTTGCATTTTTTTGAGATGATGGTTTTTCTTGCAAAAATAATTTAGTTTAAGGTTTTTCACAAAACCCTAAAATTTACATAAACATACGTATTTGACCATCTTACTATATTTCATTTTAATAATATTGCTATTGCTAGGAAAGCATATCGATTTTCTTAGTGTCAGCAATTTCCATGTTCAAATTATATATATACCATTATAGTGTATGTTTTTGAAGTCTCTTTGCGATATTTTGGATAACCGTGGAGCAAAGATCACAATAATCATCATAATCTCTTAAAAAAAAAATTGCCATTTAAGATGTCCACAATAACACACTGAAAACACAATGAGAAATTTTGAATCTTAGTCTCAAATTCAATGATGAATAATATTTCAACCACTAAATTCCCATGAGTTGAATTCTCTTCCCTTTTTTGTTTTACTTCACTATTGTTAAGAACTAACTAACTTTATAAAATAATCTAATCCCTTGGTGGAAGCAAGAAAGGTCAAGAAAAATATCATGTCCTTTCTATCCATCCCTTTTCTCTAAACCTATAATAATCATTACGGTGGTACTGGTTGGTTATCGTGTAAAAGTGGCTGATATTGCTCAAACTCAAATTCGAAGCATCTAACTCTAACGAAATTCGTAAACAGAGATCATTGAAGAGTTGGTAACTGAAGAAAATAGACGGTTGATTAGTACAGAATAAGATTGTTCAGTGTTTCCGCCATGGGAGGCGGTAGAAACTACGGACCAGAGTAACAGAGGAAACAGAGGAATGATCTGTTTGTTGCTTGGCAGTCAAGGAAGAAAAATCCATGTTAGGGCATCTTATCACGAAAACAAGGAAGGATTATTCTCAATAGAATCACAACATAAACACATTAGAGTCCGCCAATCTTGTTTTTGTCTGTATGCAATGTTAGATTTTGTGTTTAGAAACAGAGAGAAGAAAAGATGAGACAGAAAACAGAGCAAGAGATAAGAGTTTATCTCTTGTCTTGTGATGAAGAACAATTACGAGGAATTGGATTTTATTAATCTGAAACTTGATTGTTGTTACATCGTATTACATCATGGTTATATACTAAGACAACAACACAAAGAGTTGTGTCTTCACACACCCTAAACCAAAAGTCACGACTTTACAAAGACAACGTTTAATACAAACTTTATTCTAACTTAGAAACATTAAGACTAAACTCAATTAAATCCAACACGCAAAAGATTGAGAAACATAACATTCTTTCTTCTCTTCTGTCTTTTGTCTCTTCTGATACAAATCTATCAAAAATCATAGTCGGTGGCAATGGCGGCTGATTAGTACAGAATAAAATTTTTCAGTGTTTCCGCCATGGGAGGCGGTAGAAACTACGGACCTATGAATTGGCCCCGCTTGACCAGAATAGGAAAGTCCCCATGAGCCGGACTAGATTGTGTGAGCGTGTATGGGCCATGTTAAGATAAGGCTAAGCCACTCGGGCTGGATTGAGTCGCGGGATTCACCAAATCTTCTACGGGCTCTGCTTCTCCGCCAGATGGACATGTCTTTGGTAAAATGGGTATATCTCGCTGATGGTAGATCCAAATGATCTCATTCCACTTCGCCGTGATGACTAACTTAATCATCTATCCACCAAGACAAAATTCATAATTTCTGAACGTCGGGAAGACCTTCATCCGCAGACATACTTCTGATATTCCGTTCTGTCCGATCACAGAAATCAGACTCTTGGAGTTTTATTGATGCTACTTAGACTTGGAAACTTGGCTAGATCATGGTATATATGAGGCTCTTTTGCTCTTTTTTGTATTCTTTTTGACATTTTAATATGTTAAGACTCCAAAACCACAAATACAAAAAACTATCTCTAAAGGCATAAAATCTTTATTAAAATACTTTAAAACATATAAAAACTATAGATAAAAATATGTAAAATATGGATATATCAACTCCCATACACTTAGGCTCTAACTGGTGACCTGTAAAGGAACAAAAGGAATAAGAAAGAATGGAATGAAGAGGAATAAAATATATGGAACTCATTCCTCCTCATATTTTATAAGGAATATTTTAACACTATAATTCCCTAATTAATATGGAATAGTAAGGAATAATATGGAATACACATTCCTTATAAATGGTGTAATTTTTAAGGAATGAAGGGGAATTGTCTTATTCCCCTTGTTCCTTGGTCACCAGTTAGAGCCTTAGCCTTTTACTTACCTCAAACAAACTAAGCATAAAAGAGAGGTTTGAAAATATGAGAAATCGCAAAATCGTTTGGAAATCCAAGATCTCTACCTTAATAATCCACATGAAACAAAATTGTCATTTAGACTAAGATTTAGAGTACTTACCGTAAGTTTAGCAATCATCCCAAAGCTATCCACTTCTCATAGGACCATCCAAATTCGCCACCTTCGACTCCTTTAGTTTCTAAAGGTGTAGTCTCATTTAGGGAGTATCAATCAAAGGGCTCATAGACTCTTACCCATCCATTTTTGATAACACACATGTCTTCCTTCTTGTTTTTACCTCTCTCTCTTCTCACTTTTTCAAGTCAATTTATCCCTTTTTTAGGGTAGCAACTTTTTTTTCTATCGACAACTTCTCCTTTGTGGTTTTTAGAGTTTTTCTTCTTTGGATAGATCTTCCATAGACACGAGCATTGATGGTGGTTTCCACCGAATTCCCGGTTACTTGAATCCATAGGTCTTCCATAAACGCGAGTATTGATGGTGGTTCCCACATAATCTCCGAACCTTGGACATTGATATTTTTCTTTATATTGAAGGGGAGAGAGAGAGGAAACCGAACTCACACAGACTTTTCTTGTTGTTATGGATGAGAAGTCATGCCCTTTGTATGTCAAGCCCCTAGTTGAAAAAGGTTAAATTCATTTGGTGCAAAGTAAAACATGGATCTTTCATATGTCCTAGAGATGTGGACGTTTTTGGTAAATCTATCCAGTCATGGTGTACCTGTGGTAAGATATGCTCCCAATACAGCTTCAATGGTCACTCAAATATTGGCACAACAATGGTTAGATCCAAGAAAATGTCGTAAANGTCGCTAACCCTTGATTTCCTGTTTAAATGGTGAAAGATTATGTAAGATTTAGTTATAGTAATCATTTTATATGTATATTATGTTGAGAAGGCAAAGTGTATACATACCTAGCAAAATGATTGCGTTTGTCCATCCATTATTCTCCATGATGGTCTTCTTCTTAGACTCAGAATCGTTGGACTTAAGAGAGACCACACTTTGATCATCTTGAACCTCTACCACCTCAGCAACTTCCAAATCTTCATCTCTCTCCCGCTCCTATTAAATATAATTAATGTTTCCCATTCAAATTAAACATGTCTTACACCCAAAAAAAAATAAAAAATAAAATAAATAAACATGTCTATTTATATCCCAAAACATGTAGCTATTGTCTATTGATATTCCTAAGAGTCTGAGTTTACATACATTTAGCGGATCAACGTAGCCGTTGTTTCTCGGATCCATAGCGGCCATTTAAGGTATCTGTACGAAATTAACAAGTGATTATGATAATCATGATATAGTAAGCGTACGATATTAATATAATCACATATACGATGCAAAGGATCCTGTTATTTATGTTTAGGCGTTTCAAGCTTCCAAAACCACTCAAGATAAAGTAAAACTAAAAATTGGTGTATAAAAATTATAACCTTTTACGTAGAATCTCCGGCGAAGGAGACGAAGTTGTGCTGAGAATTAGAATTGGCCGAGGAACCACTTTCGATGTAGGAGAATCAAAAACACCTTTTGTCATTTATGGTTGAAGGATTAGTGTTTGTAAATTTCTAGGCGTTTGATCAACCTGGAAGGAAGGTTTTTACTCTGATAAACAGAGAGAGCCAAAGTAAATCTAACAAGTAACAAAAATAATGGTAAGCCAAGAAGAGTAAATAAGCTTTGTTTTCTTTCTCACTTATATAGATTTACATGTTTATTAAAAAAAAGGATATTTTATTTGTTTTCGTTTGGGTTGTTACGGAGGATTCCGAAATTATTAAAGTTTGTTTTTAAGATGATCAAAAAAAAATCTCCTTTATAAAAGGTAGTTACCGATAATATATGATCAGTGAGCTAATCTAGTCGTTTACCGATTCTAAACTAAGGTTGACCAAATGTTTTTAGGAAAAAAATAACCAAATGTTTTTCATCATTAATGGAATATATATTGATCACAAGTTTACTCCTAAAGGAAAGGAGTTTTGTTAGCTTAATGAAGATTGACCCAAGTTATTGGCAGAAAAAGGAGGATTTGATTGAGTCAAGGTCCAATTCATTCTTCAGAACAAGAAGCAAACTTTTTCTAATACAATCATGTGTCTTACCATGGCTTTGAAATTGTTATACAATGTCAACAAAAAAAATTCATTAGTATAGTATTTGATTACAACAATAAAATATTCGAAACAAACAGAAATAGTTGAACAAAATCCTACAAAAGAAAAAGGATGAGTACATACATGTTGGTTCGCCGAAGAAAGATTTTCTTTGGGATCAGATAACATCATCGGAGAACCATTTTTTTGTAATCAAATAATATACTAAGCAAAGTTGGAAATATTTTTTCCCATTGATTAAATATCTTGGGACATTTAATCCATTTGCGGTGGAAGCCTCAATGGGGTCATTCTTTATCTTGACTACAAAGAAAGATTCATGGCCATCAAAGCAGCTTCCAAGGTTAAGGTTAAGTATTTCAGTCATGGAAAGTCTTCTCTCTTCACATATAAGACTTGAATCTTATGTCTCTAGAGCTGCAAATTAACATCAGGGAGGTAAAAGGAGAGAGCAATAGTTGGATTATGTCATTTGTGCTCACTATTCAATTAGAATTTCAACACTCATTTGTTTAAGGAGAATATGCAGTTATCAGCTTCCTCAAAGTAATTCATAGTCATCAAGAACATGCTCTTCAATCACAATCCCACTTCTCTCCTTCCGCTCACCGCGATAGTACGACGGAGAATCAACGCTAGGCACTTCCGAAAGAAGCATCTGACCCATCGGAGAGAAACCTAGCCTAGGAACTCTACCTAAGGACACAGTGATCACAGAGTTCTCAGTGATCCTAGCAGAGATCTTAAACGTAAAGCTACTCGAAGCTGGACCAGGCGAATTTACCCTAAAGACAAGCGCTCCATCGACATGGCCACAGAAAGGTCCGTTGCTAACGAGAGAGAGAATGTCATGCAGCTTCAATGGCGGACACAACGCATCTATAAGATGCTGCGCGGATTGAGAGAGTTTCTGGTTTCCTTTCGGTGGTACCAGCAAAACTGTCGAATATGTAAGTTTCTGCCCATTTATCCTATTTTGACAATTGATATTCATACAAAACATTAATATCTTTGTTTGGAGACACTAAAAGTGTTGAAGTAAGCTTGAAGAAAGCTTGAGTAACAAGTTAAACCTAATCCTATTGTATTGAGGAGTCCTAATGAGTTTAGGATTAGAGAAAGTGTTTCTCCATTAGGATTAGGATATGTGTGTGGCTATATAAGGAGATACCAAGTTGTGGTATAACTTATGAGCTTAGAGATTGAGAGATTGAGAGCTTAAGTTTTTGAGTGAGTTTTCTTAAGCAATAAAGAAGAGTTTCTTTAATCTTTGAGTTCATTACTTGAGTTTCAATTCTACAATTGGTATCAGAGCTTGAGTCGTGAAGATCATAAGAAGCGACATGGCTGGAGACGATCTCGCGATCGTTGAAGCAAAACCGATAGAAGGAGGAAGCCTTACATCGATCCAATGCCCTATGCTCACTTCCACAAACTATACCGTATGGGCTATGAGAATGAGAGTAGCGCTGGCAGTCCATGAAGTCTGGGATGTCATTGAAGATGAAGATGAGGCAGAGTCGAGCAACAAGAAGAAGAACAACATGGCTCTAGCGTTACTTTTCCAATCAATACCAGAAGCGCTTGTCTTACAAGTCGGTGAACTAAAATCAGCTAAAAAAGTATGGGAAGCGATTAAGGGAAGGAACATGGGAGCAGATAGGGTTAAGGAAGCAAGATTACAAACGCTGATGTCAGAATTCGAGCGCATAAGAATGAAGGAAACTGACACGATTGACGACTTTGGTGGAAAACTAGCTGAGATCGCATCGAAAGCATCTGCTTTAGGAGAAAGCATCGAAGAGCCAAAGTTAGTCAAGAAGTTCCTGAAGAGCCTCCCTAGAGCGAAGTTTATACATATTGTAGCATCTCTTGAACAGCTGCTAGATCTAAACAAAACAAGCTTTCAAGACATCATGGGACGCTTGAAAGCGTTTGAAGAGCGAGTCCGTGATGAAGATGAGGTTCAAGATGATCAAAGCAAATTGATGTATATGGAGGGTCAAGGGAATCAATCGAGTCAAAAATATAACTACAGCGAGAGTAATAGAGGCAGAGGTCGTGGAGGACGGTTCGGAAGAGGAAGAGGTCGCGGTGGTCGTGGCGGTCGCTCAAACGGAGACAAAGAGAGGGACACGTCAAACGTTGAGTGTTTTAGGTGTGACAAGCTCGGACACTATGCGATTGATTGTCCAGACAGATTGCTAAAACTCCAAGAAGCTGAAGAAGATACTAGTGATACAAAGGAGGCTGATAAACTTATGATGCACGAGGTGGTATACTTAAACGAGAAAAACTGTATACCAAGCAAGTTTGAAGCCAACACTGGAGAGGAGAATATATGGTATCTTGACAATGGGGCTAGCAATCATATGACTGGAGATCGACGATACTTTTCAAGTATGGACAACTCTGTTACCGGGAAAGTACGGTTTGGAGATGATTCCAGAATAGACATCAAGGGAAAGGGAACAATCTCATTCTTTGACATGAATGGAGAACCAAGAATGATGACAGATGTCTACTTCATCCCTGACTTGAAAAGTAACATCATTAGCCTTGGTCAAGCTACAGAATCAGGGTGCGATATAAGAATGCAAGGAGAGTGTTTGACGATGCACGATCGTGATGGAAAGCTACTTGCAAAGGCAAACAGAGCAAAGAATCGGCTATACAAAGTCCACATGAGAATAAGAGAGACAGCACAACTGTACCTAACAGAAACAAGCGAGTCTAGTAGATGGCATGCGAGGTTGGGCCATCTAAACTTTGAGAACCTGAAGACGATGATAGACAAAGGAGTTGTACGAGGAATCCCAAGAGTGAATATCGAAAAGAAGATATGTGGAGCATGTCTACTTGGGAAGCAGACAAGGCAAGTGTTTCCACAAGCTTCTTCCTTTAGAGCAAGCAAGAAGCTTGAACTAGTTCATGGAGATCTCTGCGGGCCAATAACTCCAAGTACAGCTGCTGGAAACCGATACATATTCGTTCTCATAGACGACTACTCCAGGTACATGTGGACAGTTCTGATGCAAGAGAAGAGTGAAGCTTTTACAAAGTTTAAAAACTTCAAGAACTTGGTGGAGCAAGAAGCAGGAACAAGGATTCAGACCTTCAGGACAGATAGAGGTGGAGAGTTCTTATCACATGAGTTTACTCGGTTCTGTGAAACTTCAGGTATAAAGAGGCATCTTACCGCTCCTTATACTCCTCAACAAAACGGCGTTGTTGAAAGGCGAAATAGGACTCTGATGGAGATGACAAGGAGTATAAGGAGCGGTAAGATGCCTCTTTATACCTGAAGTTTCACAGAACCGAGTAAACTCATGTGATAAGAACTCTCCACCTCTATCTGTCTTGAAGGTCTGAATCCTTGTTCCTGCTTCATAGAAGTTATTTGGCTCATTGTTCAAGCACAAAAGTAACCTTTCTCCTTCTTCGATCGCAAGTAGCACATAATCTTCAAGATACTTCGGTGTAAACTTTTCTCTTGTCGATCTTCTCAGTTCTACTTCAGGACTCTCCTGTGTCTCTGTATCCTCTGTATCCTTTGTCTCTTCCTCATGCGTCTCTGCGATATTGTAGCTAGGTCTATTCTCAACTTGTTCGTCATTAGAACCTCCAATCATCTTAGTTTCACCATTGAATCTCTCGATAATGAAGCACATGCATGTACCAAACTATCTCTGGGGAGAAGCAGTACGACATTCAACCTATCTCTTAAACCGAATAGCCACGAGGACACTTAAAGATGTTACTCCATATGAGATGTTCAGAGGAAAGAAGCCAATTCTCGATCACATACGAATTTTCGGGTGTATTGGTTATGCAAAGGTGGAGAAGCCTCAACTCAAGAAGCTAGACGACAGATCGCGTGTCCTTGTGCATTTAGGAACCGAACCAGGGTCCAAAGCTTACCGACTACTTGAGCCACAAGGAAGAAAGATAATAGTAAGTCGAGATGTGGTGTTTGATGAATCAAAAGGATGGAACTGGAGTCATAGTAACTCGGCTCAGGGAGATAACAAAGAGTTTAAAGTGATATTTGGTGAGTTTGGAAATCGCGGGATTCAAGAGATATGGGAGAATGATGGAATCGAGAGATTCAATGGTGAAACTAAGATGATTGGAGGTTCTAATGACGAACAAGTTGAGAATAGCCCTAGCTACAATATCGCAGAGACGCATGAGGAAGAGACAGAGGATACAGAGGATACAGAGACACAGAGAGTCCTGAAGTAGAACTGAGAAGATCGACAAGAGAAAAGTTTACACCGAAGTATCTTGAAGATTATGTGCTACTTGCGATCGAAGAAGGAGAAAGGTTACTTTTGTGCTTGAACAATGAGCCAAATAACTTCTATGAAGCAAGAGAATCTGGAGAATGGATGCTCGCGTGTGAAGATGAGATCCGTTCGATCGAGAAAAACAATACGTGGACTCTTATGGAGTTACCACATGGTGCTAAGGCAATTGGATTGAAGTGGGTGTTCAAGCTCAAGAGGAACTCTGATGGAAGCATTAACAAACACAAAGCTAGGCTTGTTGCCAAGGGATATGTTCAACGTTATGGAATAGACTTTGAGGAAGTGTTTGCACCAGTAGCTCGGCTCGAAACAATACGGTTTCTAATTGGTCTTGCTGCATCAAGAGGATGGGAGATACATCATCTTGATGTCAAGACAGCTTTTCTCCATGGAGAGTTAAAAGAAATCGTCTATGTCTCGCAGCCAGAGGGTTTTGAAGTAAAAGGGAGTGAGAACAAAGTCTATAAGCTCCATAAGGCACTATACGGTCTGAGGCAGGCACCAAGGGCGTGGAACAATAAGTTGAATCAGATTCTCATGGAACTTAAGTTTGTTAAGTGCTCAAAGGAACCATCGGTTTATCGCAAGGCTATTGGTGATAGTCTCCTCCTTATCGCCGTGTATGTTGATGACTTGTTCGTTACAGGAACTAACAGAAGGATCATTGATGAGTTCAAAGACGAGATGGCCACCAAGTTTGACATGAGTGACCTCGGGAAGTTAACATACTACCTCGGAATGGAGGTGAAACAACACGATGGTGGAATAATGCTTAACCAGAAGCGTTATGCGTTGAAGATCTTAGAGGAAGCTGGAATGGAGAACAGTAATCCTGTTCACACACCAATGGAGTCTGGACTGAAGTTGTCCAAGGCCGGAGACGAGACAGATATTGACGCCACCCTGTTCAGAAAGAATGTTGGCTGCCTACGATATTTACTTCACACAAGACCGACTTGTGTTACAGCGTGGGCGTGTTGAGTAGATACATGCAGAATCCCAAAGAGTCTCATGGTGTTGCCATGAAACAATGTTTAAGGTATCTACAAGGCACAACCACTCTGGGACTAACCTTTGAGAGATCTACTTCAAAGGTACCAAGGTTGATAGGTTACAGTGACAGCAGCCACAATGTGGATCCAGACGACGGGAAGAGCACAACGGGCCACATATTCTATCTTGGTGAAAGTCCTATCACGTGGTGTTCTCAGAAGCAAGAAACAGTTGCATTATCATCGTGTGAAGCAGAGTTTATGGCAGGTACAGAAGCGGCGAGACAAGCAATTTGGCTCCAAGACTTGCTTGGTGAAATCACTGGTACAACGCGTGAAAGAGTTGTTATTCGCATTGACAACCAGTCTGCAATAGCTCTCACAAAGAATCCGGTGTTTCACGGTCGAAGCAAACATATACACACGCGGTATCATTTCATAAGGGAGTGTGTCGAGAATGAGCAAATTGAGGTCGAACACGTTCCCGGAGAAAAACAAAAGGCGGATATCCTGACCAAAGCATTGGGAAGAATCAAGTTCAAGGAGATGAGAGATCTCATGGGAGTTCAAGATCTAGAGAAGACAGACTTCAAGCTTAAGGGGGAAAATGTTGAAGTAAGCTTGAAGAAAGCTTGAGTAACAAGCTAAACCTAATCCTATTGTATTGAGGAGTCCTAATGAGTTTAGGATTAGAGAAAGTGTTTCTCCATTAGGATTAGGATATGTGTGTGGCTATATAAGGAGATACCAAGTTGTGGTATAACTTATGAGCTTAGAGATTGAGAGATTGAGAGCTTAAGTTTTTGAGTGAGTTTTCTTAAGCAATAAAGAAGAGTTTCTTTAATCTTTGAGTTCATTACTTGAGTTTCAATTCTACAAAAAGTTCAGCTTCCAAAGTAGCAATTTTATTATTTGGAGGACAAAATCAATACATATTTTTTTTAATAAAAATGTGGAAACAAATGACTCGCATTTAGCTCTCTCCACGGCCGACCTTCGCTTTATCCTAAGTGACACACTATGCAAATACTAATGAATCTTTATTTGTTTCGCTGATGTACAAGCTATGTGCAAATTATACATGTTGAAGAAGTGGTGCTCCATCATGTGATGTTCCTTTATTCTTTGGAAGATATTTATATTTATATGAGTAAGTTAAAGAACTTATTTTCATGGAATTAAGGACAACATTTTTTTTAAATATGGAAAAATTTCAAAATATTTATTTTCTTTTCATTTACTAACGTAAACAATGGAACAAATGAGGCCAGTTTCTTGAGGCCCAAACAGATATGGACTTTGCCAGCTTTGGGCTATGTTTAGGTTTGGGTTATAAATAAAACATCTTTCAATCTTCAGCACAAATTCATTCAACTCCATTAGGATCTGGATTATGGAGTAGTAAACATGTTAACCAAATTTAATTCAAAGCTAAAGTACTCTCTATTAACATACGATTAGAAGGAAGAATGTTCTTCTACCACCTATTGACTATTGTAGTGGGGATATAATGCCGGTTTAACCAAAACCATCGCAAAAACAAAAAAGAAGTTTTTCATTTCTCTGAAAATGTCGTCGTCAAACATTATAGTGGAATCGTGCAAAGTTGATTCCGAGGAAGGCGTGAATCTTCACACCAGAATCTTCAAACCCAGAGACGAAGGAGATGGAAATCGTCTGGTCATAGTTTTGGTACACCCGTTCTCTCTCCTGGGTGGTTGTCAGGCTCTGCTCAGAGGCATAGCTTCTGAGCTGGCCTGTAAGGGTTACACGGCTGTCACTTTCGATACCAGAGGCGCCGGAAAGTCCACCGGAAGAGCTACTCTGACGGGATTTGCCGAGGTCAAGGATGTGATCGCTGTTTGTCGGTGGCTTTCCCAGAATCTCGGTGCTGATAGGATCCTGCTCGTGGGTTCTTCTGCCGGTAAGGTTCTACGCATTCAATTTTTATTTATTTTCTTCCACATTTCGTTATTTTGTTGATCTGGTTTAGTTCGAGTTCGATTTGCTATATAGTGTAATTTCATCTATTTAATTGGAAGTTGAATCTGATTGTGTGATTGACAATTTATTTTGAATTCAATGTATGGATTCTTTTGAGTTAGTATTCAAATTGAGGGTATGAAATTAACATTAGAGCTCTATTTGATCTGCTGGTTTTTGTGAAAAACTTCACTCATTTTTTCCTTGTGACCCTTTTGCTCCTATCAAGTTTTCAATAGTCATTACCATAGATTGATGCAGAAGGATTGGTTGTGAAGTTATGTCTTTATTCTTTTGTTTGAAGTTTTCAATCGCAATTAAGTGACATTTCCATCTGGTGTATCTTGTTGTGTAAATTTAGCATCTTTCTTGTTCCTATCTGGTGTTTTTCACATTCTGATGGCTCTCTAATATGGGGTACAGAGTGGACACTGTATCAGATGTTCCAGTTTTTTATGTCCCTTGTCCCATGCATAACTGCAATTGATATGAATCCTTTTAGGATTTTGTTAAAAGACTTTAAAAGCGTCATAGGATTTGCTTTCACTGTCCTCTTTTATGTGTCTTTGTCTTTGTCACGCATGGTGCATCTTCTTGCAGTAGTCCTAACATCCCTTTTTAATATGTTTGTATAGCCTTGTGATATCCCATTGTGTTAGATTTAGAATTGTTTTACGTTTTCATATAATTCTTGCTGAGCATAGAACAAAGAACAAAAAAAATTAAGTTAAGAGTCTATTGCATTGCAGGTGCACCAATCGCAGGATCAGCGGTGGATCAAGTAGAGCAAGTGGTTGGATATGTGAGTTTGGGATACCCATTTGGCCTAATGGCCTCGGTTCTCTTTGGGCGGCACCACAAGGCCATTCTCTCGTCCCCTAAACCCAAACTCTTCGTCATGGGAACACAAGACGGCTTCACTAGCGTTTGCCAGCTCAAGAAGAAGCTGAAATCTGCAGCGGGACGCACTGAAACACACCTTATTGAAGGCGTTAGCCATTTCCAGATGGAAGGACCTGACTATGATTCTCAGGTGACTGATATCATATGCAACTTTATCTCGTCCATGTAAGATAAGATATCATGTGCAACATCATCATATATTCATGTAAGAATTAGACTTGATTTGTACCACATCATACACAAAGGAAGATATTAGTCTTTGCATATATTTTCTCTTCATATAGTGTCGACATTGCCACAATTTTATCATTAGTGCCATTTCGTTAGACGCCTTCAAGTTTTAACTCTACTCCATTCCTTAAGTTACCATTACAATCTGAAACGCTTGTAAGGAGGTTTTCTTTGCCAAACATTAACAGAAATTTTTCATAAATTTCCTTATAAGTTCTTTCAAATCAATCTCGGAGTTTGACAAAATAACTAACATCTACATAAAAAGCATTCATACGCGACATCTATGAGCACCAATCACTCTCAAACCAGTGAGCTACCTACGGAGATGATATAGATGATCAAAATAAACAAACATCATATGGATGAATGTTATTAGAAGAAGAAAAGCAGATGAGATTTGGGCAGTTTAGGTCCGGTGGCCAACCCCAAAGTGAAACCTTCCGGTGTGTTTATCGTTGAAGGCATACTCAAGGCGTAGAGGCCCCAACGGAGAATCAACACGCACCCCAAAACCATACCCGTAACCACTTCCAGGCTTCAGCCTAGCCCCCGCAGGATCACCTAAAGAGCCGAATATACACAAAGATGAAGGTCACTTGTAAAGACTTAGAGGGAAAAAACGAAAGCCTAGACTGTACCTGGGACGGTGGCTCCTGATCCCATATCAGTACCATAATCCGTAAAAAGAACACCCTCGACAGGTCCTCTCTGCACACAGAAATCCAAGAATGAGAGTCATAAAATTCACACCATTGGGAAATGAGATCTTAGATACGTCAGAGAAAAAATCTTACCATTGGGAAAGAGACCTCCCCCGAACCAACTACATATGAACGACCAGATCCTACAGCGCCCTCTTCGTAACCTCTTACGCTGTTCGTTCCGCCGATAGTGAATGCTTCATGAGGTGAAAAGTTTCCCACCACATGTCCACCAGACAAACTGTAACCATGAATAATGTAAGTTGATAAGCTATAAACAACTTGGGAAATGATGATTACAATCCCAAAAGGCGAATAGAGCTTAGCGTACCTAAAAAGAAAACGAGCTGGTCCAATATGTATGCCTTTCCTAGTACGAGCATTCACTCTATTGAAAAATAACCATTCGGGCAAAACTGGAAGCCCTTGTTCCATGTTAAATGCAAACTGGTATAGAGATACAGATAGAGTTAGGCATAGAATAAAGAAGGGGAAGATGTTATCACCAATAGAGGATTCAGACTGACCATTGTTGATCCATGGTCACCTGAGCCAGTATAAATGCTTTCGAATTTAGCTAGCAAGGTTTCATCATGGGTCTTACCACTACATAAGCAAAGATTAAAATAGCATGTATCAAATTCAAATGGCCAATCACACCATAAAGTGAACAAAACCAAAGACATTTTTTTTCTTTGGAACTTAGATACCTTGCGGTTAGAGGACTACTGTAGAAGTCCTTAATGATAGGGTTTCCTTGTTCATCACGAGCACCAGCATGCTGTAACATTAAACAAACATATATGATTTAATCGCTTTAGCGCCGATATTGCTCTGGATTGCTACAGAACTTGAAAATACCGGGGAGCAGTAGATACCTGAAATATAAGTCCAGCAGTACCATTCCACTTTGGCCTGAATGGTCGACTGTATTCAATACCTGCTGTAACCCGACCAATTGTGAGATTACCATTGTCTGGTTGATTACCGTGAACAAGATTCCCTGGTGTTCTTGAATTCTAACATAATATGAAACGAGTTAGTCTATTAGTCAACTTAACATTCTCATTGAGATAAACAAAAAGGCCAGAACAGGTAAAGATTTTACCTGAACCATAATGGATCTGGATGTCCTCTTGTCGTCCCCTTCAATCCATGGATCAGTGTAGTTTATACGAAATATAGAGTCAATTTGACCTCTCTCAAGGGAAACGTTAAGCTTCTGGTTTCTTCCAAAAATATTGCGGTGGGAATAAGCAAAGCTGCATGAAATAATTACTTCAATTACACCAGAAATGTCTTTACTTGATAAATAACCACAGCTTGGGCAATAATGAAATATGAATCTGCCACAAGTCAAATATACATAATTTCATGTTACAAAACAGCAATGCCACACAATTTACCTTCCAATTAGTCCTGATAGGGGGCCACTCGTGATCCTACAAATAAGAAATGGACAAACTTTGTAGCTAAGTTACCAAAGTAAAAAGTGAAATGCTATAAGTAGTAAGCAAACTAAAACTTACCCACTAGATATCCCACCACCAGCGGAAAAGCCTCCACTCGGACGCTCGACACAGTTCATGATCAAATCAACCTTCCCACTATCTAACATTCACAGAGAAAAAAGACATGGAAAAATCAATATTTCAGATTCATACACTGTCATAACATATTGTTATTGTGCCTCGTAAATAAGGAAGGTTTTTTACTTTCTCCACTTATGCTACTGCACCTTAAGCACAAAGTGAAAATAAAAGCATTATCTAAAAATCAAGGAATACATTCACTCACCTCCAGCAGGCTGAGGAATAATACTAACATCTTCCATTATTCCCATGGCTAGCACAGTGTCGACATCCCTCTTCCCTTGAAGCATGCTGTAGACCTACAACGATCAAAAGCCAGATTAGGCAAGATCTATATGTAGAGGCCGATAGCATTTTATATGCTCATGCATAACAATAAAAAATTCAGTCAAAAAATTTCGAAGAAACTTCCAGTTTTTTAAGTCAACCAAAGAGCACAGAGAGTGATCAAGCTTAATACAAAATAGATCTACAACATATATAGGTATGTAATCAGAAGTGATTTCTAACATAATAATACAGCCTAGGTAAACTATGATGTTTTAGTTAAAACCTTATAATTACATCTACGCTGAGAGAGTCCAAAAATTACCTGTCCCTTCTTTGTTGTAAGCTGCCGTAGTATTGTCTCAGGACTTGTCTTCCCTTTAGTTGGTTCGCCCCTAAACATAGAAGACTATTATCAAATGACAATCCTAATGTAATAGTGCCATCCAGAACAGCCTGCAAGTTGGACCAATATTAATTACATTCAAAAGCAAGAGATTGGCACCAGCTTACGTCTTACGATCAAGGAATCGGATGGATATGTTGTTAACTTCTGCTTCAGCAACTTGAAGCCTTACTATACCTCCAGAAAGCGTATCAATATCTGAAACCTGCAATGGCAGAAAACAGAATGACGACTCTAATCATTAAGTAAAGACTGAATCCAGGATGATGTAAGAGATTTTTTTCTGGAAATATAATTATGGTGTAAAAAGAACACTTACAATTCCGAAAAGACCACGCTCCATGTACCAGCCATTGATGGATGTAATAGCTTCCTCCAGTCTCTTAATATTAATCACTTTCCCTACACAACTTCGCACAAACATTTACTAACAATTACCTCATCCAATTAAACACAAGGAACCTTTGCGATATCACAGAAGAAAAGCAAGAAGCCAAATTTAGAGGATGCGTACCAAATCCATCCCGGAAAGCTTCCTGTATGAACTTCGAAGGAAGAACATTTGCGTTTTCACAGACTAACCCATGAAATTCTTGGTTTGGTTCTACCTTGTGGCAAGAAAACAAGAATTATTCATAGCCCAAAACATAAAAAAAAGAGACCCTTTTTCCGATCAAAGCTTCCAAACGGAGAAATATACCTGGAACATCAGTCGGATTCCGTCGCGTGTATCAACAGCAACAGGCGTACACGAGCAGAAGTACCCACTCTCTATAATCCTATGAACATCCTCCTGAACCTCGCGAATGGTTAATGCTGAATTGGCTCGACAAGCCTTCAACGCAGCCAACGCCTCCATTTCCAAGTCCTTCCTCTCGAGCTCCTCGCCATCCTTCGTTCTCACTAATACCTCGCTAATCAGAACTCGCTCCTCCGCATTTCGACTCACTGAGTGACCCTGACCCTTCTGTAGCTGCTGCTGTATTACATCCTTCCCCTCCACTGACTGAGTCGACTCGCTGGGCCTAGATAGAGACAAAGAGGCGCAGCAAAGCAGAGGCGAGTGTAGTCCAGAGGTAATCTCGTTATGCTCAGCTCTCGAATCAGACCCAATCGATTGGGTGGATTGGATAAGAGATAGTGATACTGAGGAGAGTAGTGAAGACTTTCCAATCATAAGCTGAGTGACTGAATTGAGCATCTGAGTCGGTGTGTTGTGACGACGAACCGAGCGAGTTTGGCTAAGACGTGGATGAGAGTTGCTGCGATTCTTCAGTGAATCAAGCAGTCGATTCAGCGAGTGCCGGGTAGTTGAGAGCTGAGAGACTAAGTTTTTAGAGCAGGATTGGAGATTGGCAAGGAAAGAGTGCTCGTGAGGAGACGAATGAATTCTGATAGATGATGAAGAGAAGTGAACATCATCGTGTCCATGCATTGTAATCGTACTCGACCCGAAACTGAGGAAATGGCAGAATCAGGAAGAACAGCTAGGGTTTTGGATTCGGAAGAAGGAGATTTTTGTTTTGGTTCAGAAGTCGGAGAAGAAGATGACGGACGAAAAAGATGTGAAATTTTGATATTTTCAGCCTTTTTCAGTTTTAGTCCCTATGATATTTTGTACTTTTCACAAATTTCCCGTATAAAATTTTAATTAACAGTTTAACCCTCAATTGTTTTACCACATAGCTCTCATGGGAAATGGAAACAAATCTTTGAAGTTTCAGACTTTCAGTGTGTAAAGACCTCTTTCAGTGGTAACAATATTGAAGAGTTCAATTTTATTTTTCTTTTGAAGTATCCCCTTTTAAGAACATACCATTCGTTTAATCTACATAATGCATCTTTAATTTTTGATAGTGCATTTCTAACATAAGTTTCTACCAGTGCTATCTTAAGCAAGAAGAGAAATTGACGGTGGAATTTTCCTAGATATGTGAAGACAAATGGTTGAAACTCACCCATCACTGAGTTATCTCAGCCACTAAAACTTACATACCAAATATAGTTTTGTGTTTTGCACTAACCAAGGCAAGAACACATACAGAAACAAAATTAAAGAAAAAGAACAACAAAAGAAAAAACAGTTGCTAAATGATTTTCTTTTTCAACGACAAAGAAGAGTGTTGTTTAAGGTGAGACGATATGGATAGAATCACGGTGAAAGCAAAGCGTAAAGAGCTAGGCATATCATGCATGCTCAACACGGAGGTTGGTGCAGTCCTCGCCGTGATTCGTAGACCTATTGCGGAAGGTTACCTTTCTCCGCAAGAAACAGACCACTGTGATTCATCAGTCCAACAATCCTTGAAATCTCTCCGAGCCCTTATCTTCAATCCTCAGCAAGATTGGCGCACTATAGATCCTTCGGTTTATCTCTCTCCTTTCCTTGAAGTCATTCAAAGCGATGAGATTCCGGCGAGTGCCACGGCGGTTGCACTCTCCTCCATCTTAAAGATCCTTAAGATCGAGATTTTCGATGAGAAAACTCCTGGTGCTAAAGATAGTATGATCACCATCGTTTCCGGGATCACCAGTTGTCGTCTGGAGAAGACAGATTCTGTGTCGGAAGACGCCGTGATGATGAGGATTCTTCAAGTTTTGGTCGGAATCATGAAACATCCAGCATCGGTCCGTTTTATCTTTAGCTTTTACATTTTAACTTGAAAATGAAAATGTATATTTTTTTTGGTTTTAATGTTAAATATTTAATACAGGAATTATTGGAAGACCAAGCGATTTGCACAATCGTCAATACATGTTTCCAAGTGGTACAACAATCATCCGGTAGAGGAGATTTGCTGCAACGAAACGGAAGATACACAATGCACGAGCTGATTCAGATCATCTTCTCAAGACTACCGGATTTCGAGGTCAGAGGAGACGAAGGTGGTGAGGATTCAGAATCCGACACCGACGAAATCGACATGAGCGGTGGATATGGCATTCGTTGTTGCATAGACATTTTCCATTTCTTATGTTCGCTGCTCAACGTTGTTGAAGTTGTCGAGAACTCGGAAGGGACAAGCGTTCACACCGCAGACGAAGATGTTCAGATTTTCGCTTTGGTTTTGATCAACAGCGCGATTGAGCTAAGCGGTGATGCGATCGGGCAACATCCGAAGCTTCTTAGAATGGTGCAAGACGATCTGTTTCACCATTTGATCCATTACGGAGCTTCTTCAAGCCCTCTTGTGCTCTCAATGATCTCTAGTTGTATACTCAATATCTATCACTTCCTCCGCAAGTAAGTCCTCTGTTTTCAACAATTTTAGGTCTAATTTTGTTTTTGTTTCCTTCTCAACTTAGTTTGACAATGTCTTCTTATTGATATGTTTTTATTAGGTTTACGAGGCTACAACTTGAAGGTTTCTTCTCCTTCGTGTTATTGAAAGTCACAGCTTACACCGGTTTCCTTCAGTTACAAGAAGTTGCTCTTGAAGGGTTAATCAACTTTTGTCGACAACCAGCTTTCATAGTAGAAGCATATGTCAACTACGACTGTGATCCGATTTGTAAAAACGTTTTTGAAGAGACCGGGAAGGTTCTGTGCAGACATACCTTCCCTACATCTGGTCCTTTAACCTCACTTCAAATCCAAGCCTTTGAAGGTCTTGTGATCTTGATCCACAACATTGCAGACAATATGGATAGAGAAGAAGATGAAGGTGATGAAGAAGACTCCAATGTTACTAAACCAAGCCCTGTTGAGATTCATGAGTACATACCCTTTTGGATAGAGAAGCCAAAAGAAGACTTTGAGACTTGGGTTGATCATATAAGAGTGAGGAAAGCTCAGAAGAGGAAGCTAGCGATCGCTGCGAACCATTTCAACAGAGATGAGAAAAAGGGTTTGGAGTATTTGAAGTATAACCACTTAGTCTCTGATCCTCCTGATCCAATGGCATTAGCTTCGTTCTTCAGATTCACACCGGGTTTGGACAAGACAATGATCGGAGATTACCTTGGAGATCCTGATGAGCTACATCTCAGTGTTCTTAAAAGCTTTACACATACATTTGAGTTCACTGGTATGAATCTTGACACTGCGTTGAGGACGTTCTTGGAGTCATTTAGGTTACCAGGAGAGTCACAAAAGATTGAGCGTATGATTGAAGCATTCTCTGAGAGATTCTACGAGCAACAGTCGTCTGAGATCTTTGCAAGCAAAGACACTGTTCACATTTTGTGCTACTCTCTTATCATGCTCAACACGGATCAACACAACCCTCAGGTGAAGAAGAAAATGACGGAAGATGAGTTTATCCGCAACAACAGAGCTATCAACGCAGGGAAAGATCTTCCAAGAGAGTACCTCTCAGAGCTTTTCCAATCCATTTCATCAAACGCATTCGCTCTATCGACACACTCAGGTCCGGTTGAAATGAATCCAAACAGATGGATTGAGCTGATGAACAGAACAAAGACCACACAGCCTTTCAGTCTCTGCCAGTTTGATCGGAGAATAGGAAGAGATATGTTTGCAACCATTGCAGGTCCATCGATAGCAGCTGTTTCCGCATTCTTTGAGCATTCGGATGATGATGAAGTGCTTCATGAGTGTGTTGATGCTTTGATCTCTATAGCAAGAGTTGCACAGTACGGTCTTGAAGACATTCTTGATGAGCTAATCGCTTCCTTTTGCAAATTCACAACGCTGTTAAACCCTTACACCACACCAGAAGAGACTCTGTTCGCGTTTAGCCACGATATGAAACCGAGAATGGCTACTCTCGCGGTGTTCACGCTCGCTAACAACTTCGGAGATTCCATCAGAGGAGGGTGGAGGAACATTGTGGACTGTCTTTTAAAACTAAGAAAGCTTCAGCTTCTTCCACAATCTGCAATCGAGTTTGAGACAACAGATGAGGAAAACTTAAACAATGTCGGATCAGAAACCGACCTAAACAATGTTTCTGGCCCAGACACGAAGTCTAACAGAAGACAAGGCTCTAGTCTAATGGGAAGATTCTCACACTTCTTAGCATTAGACAGTGTTGAAGAATCTGTAGCTCTTGGAATGAGTGAGTTTGAACAGAACCTTAAAGTCATAAAACAATGCAGGATCGGTCAGATATTCAGCAAGAGCTCAGTGTTGCCAGATGTTGCGGTCTTGAATCTTGGCCGTTCTCTAATCTACGCAGCTGCAGGGAAAGGACAGAAGTTTAGCACAGCGATAGAGGAAGAAGAGACGGTCAAATTCTGCTGGGACTTGATCACAGCCGTTGCCTTATCTAACGTCCATAGATTCAACATGTTCTGGCCAAGCTACCATGAATATCTACTCAATGTAGCAAACTTCCCTCTCTTTTCTCCAATCCCATTCGTCGAAAAAGGCATCCCTGGTTTGTTCAAAGTCTGCATCAAGATTCTTGCTACCAATCTTCAAGACAATCTACCAGAGGAGCTCATCTTCAGGTCCATAACCATAATGTGGAAGATAGATAAAGAGATCATTGACACATGTTATGATACAATAACAGAGTTTGTCAGCAAGATCATAACAGAGTACTCTGCTAATCTTCATACACAAATCGGTTGGAAAAGCGTTCTACAGCTGCTTTCTTTGTGTGGAAGGCATCCGGAGACTAAAGAACAAGCTGTTGATGCTCTCATCGGTTTAATGTCGACCAACGCATCGCATCTCTCGCAGCCAAGTTACGCTTATTGCATCGACTGTGCATTCAGTTTTGTAGCTCTAAGAAACAGCGCTGTTGAGAAGAACTTGAGGATATTGGACCTCATGACGGATTCTGTTTCAATGCTGATAAAATGGTACAAGACCGCATCTACCGAGACTGTAAGTAACTACAGCGTGGCGAGCAACACGAGCAGCTCATCGTCCGCGGAAGAGAACAGCTTGAGAGGAGTTAACTTTGTACATCATCTTTTCCTCAAACTCTCCGAGGCGTTTCGGAAAACGACGCTGGCGCGTAGGGAAGAGATAAGGAACAGAGCAGTGACGTCTCTTGAGAAGAGCTTCATCATGGGACATGTGGATCTTGGATTCACGCCGTCAGGGTGTATCTACTGCATCGACCATGTTATCTTCCCGACGATCGATGACTTGCATGAGAAGCTTCTTGACTATTCGAGGCGGGAGAACGCGGAGAGGGAGATGAGAAGCATGGAAGGGACGTTGAAGATTGCGATGAAAATGCTTCATAACGTTTTCTTGCATTATCTGGAACAGATTGTAGGGAGTGCTGAGTTTAGAACTTTTTGGTTAGGAGTGTTGAGGAGGATGGATACGTGTATGAAGGCAGATTTGGGAGAGTATGGAGATAACAAGCTTCAAGAGGTTGTGCCTGAGCTTCTGACCACCATGATTGGGACGATGAAGGAGAAAGAGATTCTTGTGCAGAAAGAAGACGATGATCTTTGGGAGATTACTTATATTCAGATTCAGTGGATTGCTCCTGCGCTCAAGGATGAGTTATTTCCAGATGAAGAGATGTAGACTATTACTTCTTTTGGTGCTGTTTTGATTCTCATAAATATGATAAACATGTTCAGGCTTTTATATAATCAAACCTACTCGTCTTTCTTCTTTAACACGTAAGATAGTGCAGATGACATCAAAGTAAATAATTTGACTAAATGTACTGTATTTTGAAGAATTAAAAAAAGACTTTCTCAAACCACTAGTGTAACACATCAGCCATTTTTTTTGTTCATAATTTATTTGTTCACCTTTTCTTTCTAATTTTTTTTCCTATGCATATTCTTGCGTTAATAACTTAATTGGTTTAGAACGATGGCCTTGTTTGCTGATAGACAAATTTTGGCATAAAGTGGCAGAAACACTGATAGAAAAATTGTAATTAAGGGCGAGTTTTTTACAGGTGATTTTATTAGATAACATGGATTATGTAATTAAAACGTGTCATGTTAAGAAATGGCATATCACATGAGAAGATAATACTATGTTTTAAAGGAAATCCAGCATGTCATAATACAAAATAGCATGAAATTTGAAGGGAAAAAGCCTGGCAAATGTCTCTATTCAATAAAAGATTTTGTCAAATTTTGGGTATATACATAATAAAGTCATTACCATAAAATGAGCATACACTCTGTTTTGAGAGATATGATTTTATCTAAAACATTTACTGGCACTGTGTATACACAGTTACATACCGAATCAAGTGGTGTAGAGATAAGAGACTACCAGATTTATTACCTAAAAAAGACAGACCCTATTTCTCATCACGTTGAATAAATCTCAGACATATCATCTCCCACTTTCTCTGGCCATCCATCTATATATTAACAACCACAACTGAAAAACAAAACAGAAAACAAAAGAGAAAAAATTTCACATCTTGCTTGCTTGTCGTCTGTGTTCTTTCTTTTTTTTTGTTAACAGGCCAGTCGTGCCTGTGTTCATAACTTCAGATAAAAAAAATTGTTTTTGCTTTTGGTAATCATGGAGAGTGCTTTAACAAATTCTTCCTCGTCGTTGGCGGGGCGGAAAGTGAATTTCTCGTCCCCGAGAGGCTTTTTCACTAAATTCAGAACAAAGTGTAAAGAAACATTCTTCCCGGATGATCCATTCAAACCGATATCGCAGGAGCCAAACCGTTTGATGAAAGCAAAAATGGCGTTGGAATACTTTGTTCCAGTCTTTCAGTGGCTCCCAAAGTATAATCTGCAAAAGCTAAAGTACGATGTGCTTGCCGGTATCACCATCACCAGCCTCGCTGTTCCTCAGGGTATCAGTTATGCTAATCTCGCCAGTATCCCTCCCATCATAGGCCTATGTGAGATCCCTTTCCTTTTTTTTTCTTTTTTTTTTTTTTTATTTTGTCATGCAACCTTAGTTGTATATGAATCATTGCATCCAATGAACATCACTAAGGTTGATTATATTTCTCAAAGTCACTCCGTAGAAAGATTTTGCTTGCAAATTTGATTTTACTTTGTAGATCTATTTTTATTTTACCATGCCGCCGTGCCACTACATATGGTACCGATAATTATCATTTTCATCCACGTTAACAGAAACTCGTTTCAGAGAGTGTCTTTTAAATAAATAAATAAGTGATTTTTTTTTTATATATTTCATACTCCATATTTTAAGAAATTTCCACTGTTTTCTTGTGTAACTAAATTTGGTAGAGGAACATAAAACATATATATGTGATATGATTCTACTAATTTAATAACCTTAAATATAAAAAGGATACTAGCAGTACATGCGTTATCCACACGAACTGACATTCGGTGTTGCCCAACTGGATTTGTCTCGATTTATATCATGATTTTATGAAACAACAATAAAGAACTCCCTTGTCAGGTTGATTATATTTTTCAAATATGACAGTAAAACGTCCCTAAAACGTTCCAACATGTTACATGATGGGAATTCAGATTCAAGCTTTGTGCCGCCATTTGTGTACGCCTTGTTGGGAAGTTCGAACACTCTCGCGGTGGGGACAGTTGCAGCATGCTCTTTGCTTATCGCTGAGACGATCGGTGAGGATATGGCGAAAGAGGATCCTACTCTCTACCTTCATTTGATCTTCACCGCCACTTTCATCACCGGTGTTTTCCAGTTTACTTTGGGCTTCCTCAGGTTTTTCCTTAATCCATATATAATTTCTATCTCATTTTTCCCCTACAATGTCATGGTGGGATATTCAAACTGTAATTCCCTTGATAAAATTGGTACACTACTGTTTTGGTGTGAATTGCCTTTTCAACTGCGTGAGAAGGTGACCATTTGGAGAGCCAGAATAAAACTTGTAGTGATTAATTCAGCTAATGCAACTAAATCACTAATCCAGTGGCATTTCTCTACCTTTATGTTATAAAAGTTTACTTTAAGTCTTTAATTAATTAACACATGTATGTATATCTCTAGGTTGGGGATATTGGTGGATTTCTTGTCACACTCGACCATAACGGGCTTCATGGGCGGCACAGCTATCATCATTCTCCTCCAACAGCTTAAGGGCGTCTTTGGTTTAGTCCACTTCACGCACAAAACCGATGTCGTTTCAGTTCTTCACTCAGTCTTCTCCCACCGCCAAGAGGTCGATCTCGTCACTTTCATCTCTGTTTTCTTTACTTAAAATAATGGGGAAATAATATCAAAGAAAAACCATGGAGGCTAATGTGTTATCTTAGGGGGGTGTTACTTGGTGCAGTGGAAGTGGCAAAGTGCACTTGCTGGAATCTGCTTTCTTGCTTTTCTTCAAACCACTCGATACATCGTATACTTTCTTCTTCTCTTTCTTTTAATCCTTTATCTACTAGAGACAATATCATTGGACCCTCACAAATCTTCCTCCACTTTCCTATTTTTTGTAATCATTTCTAACCTTTTTTACATACCCAATTTGACTTTGAATTTCCGGAAAGAAAATTATTTTTTTTTTAACCACAAACAAAAAAACTATTTTTTCCTTATTTTTAGAGACACATGCTAAAACTTTTTCATTTTGAAATAATATATTTGGATGGTAAAAGTCCACTGTTTTCTCAAGTGCTTCGCAATTGAATATAGTTTTGGAAACAAAATATTAATAATATTTTTTTCCTTGTTTTCACTCATGCTATTTTTTTTTCATTTTTAAATAAAATCATTGGATGTTAAAGGACTTTAAAATGCAACTGCTTTCTCAAGTGTTATAATTTGTTTGAACTATTGCAGAAAAAAATAAAACCAAAGCTATTTTGGGTATCAGCAATGGGTCCAATGGTGGTCGTCCTTGTGGGTTGCCTAGTTGCGTATTTGGTGAAAGGAGCCGAACACGGGATCCAAACTGTGAGCAAATTTCTTTGATTTATATGCACTTTTTAGCTAAATATTTAATATATATATATAACAAACACTGAAACACATACACATGTATATAATTAAACTTAAGCAAGCTGGTTTCTATTAATAGTATGTTTCTGCATGCAGGTTGGGCCTTTAAAGAAAGGGCTAAACCCTCCTTCTATTCAATATTTGAACTTTGACGCCAAGTATTTACCGCTAGTTATAAAGGCTGGAATCGTCACGGGGCTCATCGCTATGGCTGTAAATAATTATTTTCAACATCTTATCTTTTAGATCATATGTTTACCACATGTTTGATTTTATAATAAGGTGAATGGCTAATCTTCAGGAAGGGATAGCGATCGGAAGAAGTTTCGCTGTAATGAAGAACGAACAAACAGACGGGAACAAAGAGATGATAGCATTTGGTCTTATGAACGTTATTGGCTCCTTTACCTCTTGCTATTTGACAACGGGTAACTAATAATAATAAATAGTTTTTTACTTTTTTTACCAGAAAAATTAGAACGAAAAGTAAAAAAGAAATGCATGTCAACTGTTAGTGATGATGCTAAATCTTGACCGGAATTTTTTTTTCATCAGGGCCATTTTCAAAGACAGCAGTGAACTACAACGCGGGGACAAAGACACCAATGTCGAATGTAGTGATGGGAATTTGCATGATGCTTGTGCTTCTCTTCCTTGCGCCTCTATTCAGCTACACACCACTCGTTGGTCTCTCAGCCATCATTATGTCAGCCATGTTAGGCCTCATCGACTACGAGGAGATGTACCATCTCTTCAAAGTCGACAAGTTTGATTTCCTCGTCTGCATGTCCGCGTTTTTCGGTGTTTCCTTCCTTAGCATGGACTACGGTCTAATCATTTCCGTGGGATTTTCCATCATAAGAGCCTTGTTGTACGTTGCGAGGCCCTCGAGCTGTAAACTGGGAAGAATACCAAACTCGGTTATGTTTCGAGACATAGAACAGTATCCAGCAGCCGAGGAGATGCTTGGTTACATCATTCTTCAAATGGGCTCTCCGATCTTTTTCGCCAACAGCACTTACGTCCGTGAAAAGATTTTGAGGACGATTCGTGATGAACCTGCGGACGTCGAGTTTCTTCTCCTTGATCTCTCCGGTTATTATAGTTTCTTTTCACGTTACCAAAAACATTTATCATCTCTTCGAAACATGCACATTACATTAGTTATAACGTTGTTTTCTCAGGAGTTTCAAGCATTGACATGACCGGGATGGAAACACTACTCGAAGTCCGGAGAACCCTAATGTCAAAAGACATCAAGGTTTTATTTATGCCCTTTTACTCTTTTTTTTTTTTTTTTTTTTTTTTCAAATCGTCCTTTTAATAGTTTAGAAAACCTCAAAGTGTTATATTTGTGATTGCAGATGGTAATAATAAATCCAAGATTCGAAGTCTTAGAAAAGATGATGTTATCGCACTTTGTTGAGAAGGTAGGAAAGGAGTATGTGTTCTTGAGCATTGACGATGCGGTTCAAGCATGCCGGTTTAATCTTTCCACCGCCAAACCCGAACAATCTTATTAGTTATTATAAGTGAAAGGCTCTAATAAATTGCGTATTTTGGATTTTGGTACTTTATAATGAGTGTGTGCTCAAATAATATCATCAACTAGTTTTAATAGACCCATATTATGATTGCTTCATGGCCTATGAGATTCGTAGCATAGAGAAACCCGAGTTAAGCAAGAAAAGAAAAAATGGAAACTTTATGATACAACGTTTCTTATATACATCAAAATACATTGAGCTTAATCAATCTCTAATCAACTTAGCCTTTTACCGCCTAAAAGACTTATTACTTCAATTGTTGATACCCCTCAAATCGAAATCCCCAAGGTTTATTTATTAATTGCCTAAACTAATTAATCAGAAGTCAAAGACACTAGAAAAAGAATTATAATATTTCCAAAGTATGATAATACAACAAATATTCAAAATAAATAAATTATAGGATATCATCTAATCTTATAGATAATTAAAAAAAAAAATCGTTGACTTTATCTTCTAAATTGGTCAGCGCTTGCAGTCTCCAAATAAGAAAAGTCTCGCAAACAAATAAATTAACAAAAACAGATATATCTGCCGAACTGTTCGCGATTTGAAGCTATTTTTTCTCCGTTCGACGATGAAGATCTCTCTCTTCCTCCTCTCCTTCCTCGTTCTCTTGCCTCTCTCCCTACAGGATCCGAGTCCTGGAGTCAAAGCACCGACTCAGGCTCACGCAGAGCTCACGAACCATGGGTTCCCAATCGGACTGCTTCCTTTATCCGTCAAAAATTACTTCATCAACCAAACCTCCGGCGAGTTCTCTCTCTTCCTCGACGGGACATGCAACATCAAGCTTCCACCTGACAACTACCTCGCGACTTACTCGAAGAAGGTAACGGGTCGAATTTCACCGGGTAAGATCGCGGAGCTCCAGGGAATTCGGGTCTGGGCGTTTTTCAAGTATTGGTACATCACCGGGATTCGAATCTCCGGGGATAACCTTGTCTTTGAGGTCGGTGTTGCAAGCGCAAAATACCCTTCAAAGAATTTTGACGACAGTCTTGATTGCGAAGGGAAACGATCATCTTCCTGATTCAATTTGAGGAGGTCAGAAACTTTCTTCTCTTGAGGGTTTTACAAATTTAGGGTTTTTTAGCTGTAATTGTGAATTTATTTAGGAAATTCATATAAAGTTTGGATCTTTAGCTCGTATGTCACCGATTTTGGAGTTTCATTGATTGCCTGGTGTTCATTACTCTGTTTGATGACAAGATTGTAGATAAAGTCTCTTCCTTTGAGATGTGTAGGGATATATCTGGATTTTGTTTAGGGGTTTAGTTCCATTATCTGGGATTTGACTTCTGAGGTAACAATCATGTTCCTTGCTTTGCAATGAATTCAAAAGTTGGATGTTAGTAAGCTATAACTCCTGTTGAACATTGCGGTCTTTGTTTCCATTGTCCATATTGTTAATAAGACTTTCTTACTAAGCTTGATTAGATGCCTTATCGCTGCTCTTCGTTCTTCTGCATAGTTTTGCCGTTGTATATTGAGTCAGGTATTGTCTTTTTGTTTTTATTTTGGCTTTTGCCAGCATCTTCATTCACTGTTGGACTGATCTTTCGATAGTTTAACCTTTTATGGTAGTCGTCTTAGAAACTTCATTGTTATGTAGGTTGCATTCACTAAGTCTTAACGTTCTCGCTTTGGATGGTTTGCTTTGGTGATTAACGAGTGGTTTTCGTCTACACTGCATGCAGATCTGTGGAGGCAGGAGCAACAAGTGAAGACATTGGTTTGTACTTTGTAATATATTAATATCTAGATACGATAAATAAAGCTTGAAATGTAAAACTACGACTCTATTCTTATTTTTCTGCAAACTAAACTAAGTGTTTCATGGAGGCTTGTATGTAAGTTGTCAACCAAACATGGCATAATTATGTGATAATATTGGACTAAAACAAGCACGACCCGTTTTGCTGCTCGGTCCCTTGTGTCTCACGTACTTCCAATTGGGTTTACAAAACCCTCGTTAAAGGAAGACGGATCATTCAACTTAGAATTGTTTTTACTTTCAGAAAATTCCATTAAAAAATTATTTACCAACTAGTTAGTCATGTAAGCTCAGTTTTTACGAGACGCACTGCTCGTGAACACTGGATCGTGATTGAGAACATGTTTCCGTGACATTTAGGACCAAGCAATAACAACACGACCAGGAACTTTGAACCCTAACAATCGGGGATCTTAGTGTGCACCATTACTGTCAAAATCTCATGACCCTCTCCGACCTGCTAGCCAATGTATATGGGTTGTAGTTGAATGGTCTCGCTGAGAAGTTTCGTTATCATACTTAATGTTATCAAACATTGCGATGGTTATCCAAATACCTTACATTAAGGTTATTGATTATGTAAGCTTGATGAATGGTAAGAGGATCCAATATATTTCAAAGCCGGTCCTACACGTATACACGCCAGTTCATTTATTTATCCTCTTCTGTAACATTATAATTTTACAGCTTCATTCCAAATTTTACACTTCAAATTCCCTCTCCTCTAAAATGTTGTCAATGACAAAATACTTTGCAAGGAAATGGTGTCATTAGCTGTCTCAAATTATGAAAATATCATTTATTTTGGGTCTGCATGACCACCTCATTCTAAAAGAGCACGAGAGACAGATATGAAACCCCAAATCTTTTGTTCTTTTTTACCTAAGAGTCTCCACAAAACTAGAAGTTGTTTTGGGGGAAACGTCTTCTTACCACACATTTAAATTTAGCAATTCCTAAAAATAAACTAAAGTACAATATAACCTATAAAACACGTAGAGACAAAAGTTGATTCTTCAGGCATCATAATTCATTCAAATAAGCCTGAGATCAATTTTCTCATCTCCCCAATCCAAACAGGGGAAGAAAAAAAAGATAAAAAAAATTTGAAAAAAAATGAGAGCCTCAATAGGAGTCATATGGACAGTCTCTGTCCTTATGCTCGCCGCTGTGTCTGAGGCCTTCTTCCCATTCCCATTCATCCCATTCCTCCCTGGCTTCAACAACGGCATAAGGGACAATGGAGCTGTGAAGGCGGCTGCGCAACAACAGCCTGCGGCAGCAGCTGGAAGAGGCGGAGGAAGAAGGCGGGGTGGTGGTGTAGAAGCTCAGACAAATTGGCCTGGTAAGTGGGAGATCTTCTTGCAAAACTCAGGTGTGTCAGCGATGCATGCCATCCTGATGCCAGTCATCAACCAGGTCCAATTCTACGACGCCACCATTTGGAGAATCTCAAAGATTAAGTTGCCTCCAGGCATTCCATGTCACGTGGTTGACCCCAAGACCAACAGGATCGATTGTTGGGCTCATTCGGTTCTTGTTGATGTCAACACCGGTGCCCTCAAGCCTCTCTCCGTATGTATCCCCCTACTTATATCTACATATTATTATTTGGACTTTAACTAACTATTTGCATTCACATGTTGATGATCATAGCTTTCCACCGATACATGGTGCTCATCCGGAGGTCTAACCATCAACGGAACATTGGTGAGTACCGGAGGATACGGAGGAGGAGCCAACACCGCGAGGTACCTAGCCGCCTGTAAAAACTGCGGGTGGGTCGAATACCCTCAGGCATTGGCTGCCAAGAGATGGTACTCAACCCAAGCCACTCTCCCCGACGGTAACTTCATCGTTGTTGGAGGACGTGACGCCTTGAACTACGAATACATCCCAAGGGAAGGACAGAACAACAAGAAGCTCTACGACTCCATGCTCCTCAAGCAAACAGACGACCCGGAAGAGAACAACCTCTACCCTTTCGTGTGGCTTAACACCGATGGCAACCTCTTCGTTTTCGCGAACAACAGGTCCATCCTCCTAAGCCCCAAGACCAACAAGGTCGTCAAGGAGTTCCCTGCGCTCGCGGGTGGTGCTCGTAACTACCCGGGATCAGGTTCCTCCGCGCTCCTCCCCATCCAGCTTTACGTTCAAAACCCTAAAGTCATCCCCGCTGAGGTCCTCGTCTGCGGTGGAGCCAAACACGACGCGTACGCTCGTGCCGGCAAGAAGATATTCGAGCCCGCGTTGCAAGACTGTGCCAGGCTAAGACTCAACAGCGCCAAGCCAAGATGGAAGAGCGAGATGATGCCGACGCCAAGGATCATGAGTGACACTGTCCTCCTCCCCAACGGAGACGTGCTTCTTGTCAACGGTGCTAAACGTGGTTGCTCAGGATGGGGCTACGCCAAGGACCCAGCCTTTGCTCCCATCTTGTACAAGCCCCGTGCTCGTCAAGGCAAGCGTTTCAAGGAGCTCGCAACCTCCAACATCCCACGTATGTACCACTCCACCGCCATCGCTCTCCCCGACGGCAAGGTTCTTGTCGGCGGCAGCAACACCAACGACGGTTACAGGTACAACGTCGAGTTCCCAACGGAGCTCCGCGTCGAGAAATTCTCACCACCTTACCTCGACCCGGCTCTAGCCAAGATGAGGCCAAAGATCATCAACACCGCAACACCGAAACAGATCAGATTCGGACAGAAGTTCAACGTAAGAGTCGACCTTCAACAGAAGGACGTGACCAAGGAGAATCTCAAGGTCACCATGTTGGCTCCTGCCTTCACAACGCACAGTATCTCCATGAACATGAGGCTTCTCATGTTGGGTGTTGCTGATGTCAAACCTGCCGGTGGTTCGTTCGAAATCCAGACCGTCGCACCTCCCAACGGAAACATCGCACCACCTGGTTACTACCTTATCTTCGCCGTCTACAAAGGTGTTCCCAGCAACGGAGAATGGATTCAGATTGTCTAATGATGATTTTTTACCACATTTTTCTCTTTTGTTGTAGCATCTTAATATCAAACATCTCGTAATCTTCAGTTACAGTTTTTTTTGTTTTCTCATATATTGTACATGCCATGATTAATGTATCCACATTCCTTGTGTTCTCTTATACCATTTTTTTCCGTTCATGTAAAAGTTTTATCAATGATTTTTTTTTTGGTTCCTCAATTTACAAAATCTCAAATTTTCATAAGCAATCTCAGAATGAACAGAATTCTCAAGCAAAAACAGATTACATAACTCAATCACAGATCAGTGGTGCTAATTACTGCCAACGCAAAGCCAAATTCCAAATACGATAAAAGTCGTACCTAACAGAGCAAGTCCGATTTGAGTTTCTTCCCCTAAAAGAATCCCGAACACGGCGGTTGCGGCAAAGGTTGTGGCGTTCGTGACCGGAACGGCTAGAGAGATCGGGGCATGGCTGAGGAGAGCGAAGAATGTGGCGGATGCTGAGAGGTTGATCAGGAAAGGAACAGAGTATTGCCAGAAGAGGAGGAGATTCATCCAGCTTCGGAGAGAAGTCAGGATTTTCCGGCGGAGGTTTGATTGGATCTGAAGATGAGGAGACTCTGTTTTCGAAGATTTTTTATCCCAGGCGAGGGCTCCGCGGCGGATCAGCGCATTGGTTGCTCCCCACACGAGCCCTACCGCCACCATCTTCTCCATATCTTCCTTCATTCTAATTCTCGCCGGCGATCGCAAAGGAAGAAACTTTCCGATATGTATTGTTTTCGAGTAAAGGTTTGATTTTTACTTTGGGTTGAAACTGTTGCCTGTAAATGATGTGTTCATACAGTAAATGTTGTCCTAATTACAGAATCAAGACCTTAAGTACCAATTAGTCCATTTAATTACACATAATTTTTTTAAAACGGACATTACACTAGTTATACCACTGCATGAGCTTCAAAATCCATAATCACTGTAATAGACATTACAATACAATGTTAGCTTCAAAATGCCAAATAAAATACAGTCCACACTGAATCACACTTCCCTCTGAGAAAAAAACAACAACAGGAAGCAATAGTCAAACGTTAAACACCAATACTCATGCCCAAATCCTAAACCAAATGCCTGTATTGTTGTATATGTACACATTCTCTCACACACTTTTACCTCCTCTTCTATGCTCTCTTTCTACTATCAGTGTCTCTCACTTGGGCTTCTCATGTTCTCTAACTTTGCTAGATACGAAAGTTTCTTGGGTATAGCTCTTGGAGACTTCATCATCATCGTTGGCTTCTCCTGCTCAGCTCTGTGGAAGAATTCTATATCACCCATCGAACTATGCTTCTTTGTATCTGATGACAATCTCCATCCAATGAAGTCTGATAGTTTCCTCGAGTTCGGCGTTTCCGCTCCAACCACCTTCTCTGTTTCTTCATATTCTGATTCCGCCTCGCTCTCTGATCTTCCCTCTGCCTCTCCCACAAGTTGTCTTTGAGCTAGCTGGTCAGCTTCAAGAACATCCTCTACTCTTGACATTATCTTCCACGCCAAGCTTTCTAACACCCTTGAATAGCTCTCCAGTATCGCCTGTCCCACGTCCTGTAAGTAAACGAAACTCTTATTCAGTTTCAGTACATTTTGTTATGATGATGTTTGTTTTGTCTTTGTGTTGTGTTACCTTGTTGTTTTTGATCTTGGAGACTTCAAGTGAGGATTGTGGGATACCAGGGAACTGTTGTTTGAGCATAACCAGAATGGTCTCAGCTCGGACCTCGAAAAGCTCTCTCTTCTCTAAGCTAACAGAGGATCCCCACTGCGATTTACCGTCCTTCTCTTTCTGGTTCATCTTCCTTTTCCAGATCACCATGGAAGCTTCAATCCTGTTCTTTAGGTCAAGAACTTTGTGTTCCGTTGATAAGTCCAAGCAAGAAAGGAAGTAGTCAGGATCAAAGTATTCCTCCGTTATGCTCTTGTAAAGGAAATCACCAAGGCTTGTCTTCCCATTCTACAAGACGCAACAACTATACATCAGCTTCTAATTAGCTTAGTGGAAAAAGAAATAAGAACAGGAAGAAGTAATTATAACCTTTGGAAGAGAGTCAATGTAAATGTCAGGAATGTGCATTTCAGACAGTATTAGAGCATTGATAGCTGTGGCGGCTTTAAGGACTTGTGCCACAGAATCTTTCTGAGTATGCAACAGTCTACGTGATTCCTCAGACAAACCATCTGATGGAACCTTAACAACCGGTAACCACCAGCTCTCATCCCTCCTCCAGTCACCACCATTGCTCTCTGTATCCTCAACGTCTCTTGGGACATACCAAAAGTCTTTCTGGTCCTTGAAGTTGTCCAAAGTCTCCTGTCAAATGAGTAATTGCATTAGTAGGATGCACATTTAAATGATATGAGATGATAGTCCTTGGCGTTTGACATTTTCATATTTATATTTTTGTTTATAATTTGCAAACCGTGTGGTGTTGATTAAGACAAACAAAACTATCATAATTTAATATTTAGCAAACACCAAAAGTCAAAACCATGGTTGAAACAATCAAGTAATACTCGGTGTGGTTAATGAAAACTCACGAGAAGAACCGAGTCAAGCTTGCGTAAGGCTGGAATGTGTATCAGCAAATCATCTCTTTGTTTTGTCACCATGATCTACAAAACAGAAAATTAAGGGTTAATAAGCAAAATTAATAGTCACTAGGAATTGTTGTTTATGTACATAAATGAGCATTCACCTCAGTGATTGCGCCATTTTTTCCCATTTGTTTAGATGGAACAAACTGGACAATGTGATCAATTACAGATAATAACCAATCCATTTCTTTCCTCCAAATCTCCTTTGTCTCCGGATACATAGGCTGCAGTTTCATCTGATCCCCAAACATCGAACCTGCCAATATCATAGCCACAAAGTTAGTGATTTGTTTTCAACAATTTGAATAGTTAACAAGACATGTTGTAGTTTTGCCTATGGTAAAATTAATGTCAAATAATATATTTACCAGCGAGGTTGGTGATGGCATTTGACAAAGCTAACGCAGAGGTCACCCCTTCCTTACCGCCTGACATGTCCTCTCCAAGCAGTAGTTTTGCGAATCTTTCCTTCATCACTTTAATGTCTGAAACAGATACTAATCAATACACTTATGGTGCAAGGAATCCATCATGCAAAAAGAAAATAACTAATCTAATCTAGAGGTATGGATAAATATACTCCCTACAAGTGTTTTTTTTTTCTTTTTCAGATCCAACATTTGATGAAGATATTAATAGAGAACATGAAGTAAAGAGCCAAATTCTACAAGCTTTTTTCTTTGAAAAAACAACCGATTGCAAAATCTGGTTTATTGGCATGTATTTTTTTAATCATATTAATGTCATGCATGTTTTAACAAATAGCATGTTAGTTGATCCGATAATATGATCTTATGTAATTTGGTTACATAGGGAAAAACATTCTAATTAGTTTTTTTGTTTGCCAAATTTGGTTATCTAGCAAAAATAAAGCAAATAAAACCCCATTTTACTACTGTATGGGGTAAATATTACCTGATGCCCTATTCTTCTTGCCCCTACGAGTCCCCTGGTCCGATGATGAAGCATTCGTTCCACGTACGGCAAGCTCGTGCTCTGGGGTATGCCTGCCGTCTCCGCGAGAAGAGAAGGATGAGTTCCGACCATCGAACATCTTTCTAAAACTGAAAGATCTTGGCCAGCTTAGTTTACGTCCTAATGTCCGCACCATTCCCAGTTACTCCTCTCAATTTTATCTCTCTCCACACACTCTCTTTTTTATTTTATAAAGAAAAAAACAAGAAGCAAATGAAATCCACAAATTGGAAGAGAAGAAAGCAAAAGAGACGTACAGATTAATAACTAGTCCTTTCGCTCTCCCTTGTCTCTGTTCTTTCACACCACCGAGTGAAACAAAACACACACACAAATCAAAGAAGCAAAAAGTACTTCATGTTCTGTATGACTGTATCTTTTTATGTTTTTGTTATTTGAATTGGTGCAAATGAATGAAACAGAGAAATGCTGATGTAGGTTTTCTAGGGCTGGAGAGACAACGTGCGGTGCATGTTGTACAAAAATAACAAAGGAAAAATAGTGGTAGGGCGGTTAAGATATTCCGACTTTTTCTTTATTTATTTTATCCATCAAAACCATCCATAGAATTTACCTCTCGCTGCTTAGGTTTGGTGGCTTAAATATTTGTAAACAGGCCTAAAGCATGTTGCTTAACATGCCTTCGTAAGGACCGGCGTTCACTAATCTACCAATAATTAGTTAGGCAATTATAATATAGAGACTTGGACTATATGGAACAACCATAGAAAAGCATAAGTCACTAGTTTTAGACTCATCAGAACCTTCCTACGCTTTAATAAACCTTTCAAATCACCTAAACTTACTAAACTATATATCGTTTGAAACATAACTAACCACGTCTAATAAACTCATAATCCTTAATAACATCAACTCTCAATAGTCGAGACAAAATTATTTATCCACTTTTGATTGAGCACTTCTTCATGTACGGTTTTGATGGACAAATTGCCGTATGATCTAAGAAAAAGTGATCAAGCATATGAATATCCTAGATGAAGGAACCACAAATGTTTGCCTACTATGCCATGAAACAAGGGTAAACTTTAAAGCGTGAGCCAAGGGTATGTGAATTATGTTCATGGAATCATGGGTTTGGAGTGAAAATATAGTAACTATGGGAAGAGGATGTTAAAGTGTATTAGGGTTCACGAGACATCTTGGAGCTCAAGTTCTCATTTTCAAAGAAAAGTATATATTTGTTTTGTCAACAACATGGGAATTGAATTTGGATGGTAACACTATAACGAAACTAGTACAAGCCTCTATTGACTAAACTACATGTTCTAGTCAATCGCTTTCAAAAGTTAACTTGCTAATTTCAATTTTTCTTCAGGTTTCATTTTAAAACGAATATAACTAATCTAGAGTCAACTGATAAGAAGAGGAATGAACGTAGTTTAGTTGGGGGCATGTAAGACGCCGACTCTTTACCAAGTCTAAACATCTCTGTTTATCCTACTAATTAAAAAGATTTGATTTTTAATATCCGATGATCTGGTTTAATCGTTTACTCACGTCGTGTAATTGTCATTTTGAAAAATGGCGTTTATGATCTTAGAACTATCTTCTTCGTTTAGCTAAGAAGTCTAACTATAAATGGACCCTTTATTGATCAAAATTAAACCCTAGCTATGAGGAAAAGGGAGAGAATTCGAGATTGCTTTCGTTCTCTAAGTTGTGAGATTCTGAGAAATTTGATGAACATTGGTTTTACATCATTATTAGATTGCACGTTATAAACCAAAAAGACACAAGTTCCTTAAATATTGCATATCTCAAAATGTCACAAATCCTCTGGTTTCGCTGGTTTAACCATCCTTAGTCAAAAAGACACAAGGACTCATATATGTTGCCATCAGAAAAATCCATAGTAAAAAGTAAAAACCAAGAAAGCTGTTTTTCTTTTTCCAAGTTTATTTGACGAAACAACAAAAAGTATCATCATCGCGAGTTTAGACGACTTGGGTAACTGCAGCATGTATGGCTTCAACGAGGTGAGGCACTGTCTTCGAACTTAGACCTGCCATGCTTATCCTCCTGCAATACACAGCAAGATCACATTCAATCTCAGATTTTTCATCAACTTCATATATATCACATACATAAAGAAGTCAAGAACATAATGAAACGTGTGATATATGGTTATTATTACTGTTATATCTTCTTAGAACTATCTTCGTCTAATATAGATAGAGAACAGAAACCAAACTCTCTCATGCCTAAGAAAGTCGAAAATAAATAATGGATTTTAAGTAGGCTCACCCATCAGATGTCATGTAAACGTGAAACTCTTTGGTCATGAAGGCGACTTGCTCCTTGTTCAATCCGGTAAAAGTAAACATCCCAATCTGTTTGATGATGTGACTCCAGTCACCAGGTGTGCCTGCAAGCAAGACAACGTGTCAAGAACGAACAAAAGGTTGCAGAGTCTGGTCTAGGAATGATTTCTGCAAACTCGGAAAAGAAGATAAAAGGAATGACAAATCAGAGAAAACAAACCTTTAGTTTTCAGAGCTTCAAATAACTGTTTGCGCATGCTGATTATACGGTCAGCCATTCCTTTCAGCTCGATGGTCCAGTCGTTGTACATATCACTGTCAAGATGTATATAAAGACAAATTTAAAACTTGGAGCAGAACCTAATCCCATTAAGAGATTTATATAAGCTTGATAATACAAAGGAAACTGTTAGTGATCTATGCATAATTCCACAGGGTATGAAACTTGGCATAACCATTTCAATTCTGCTCTCTCCTTACAGGATAAACATTTACCTGCTTTTGAGAATGGTGGCAACAATTGATGCTCCATGAATAGGTGGGCTCGAATACATGGGTCGCACAACAAGTTTCACCTGGCTCTCAACCTTACTAGCCACATCTGCCGACTTGCACACCTTCACATTAGATCACAAAGATTAGATGCGCTTTTTGAATACTGTATACTTGTACTATACCATTAGTACTTAACGATAATGAGAAGCAAAGATGGATGGAAACAAAGATGAAAATGAGAAGTTTAGTTCCTTACAATGCTAAGGGCACCAACACGCTCCCCATAAAGTCCCATGTTTTTGGCATAACTCTGAGCTATCAAGCATTCACCGCCATCAGCAACAAATGTACGGACTGACTGTGCATCTGTGTCAAGGCTACCACTAGCAAAACCCTGCAAATGTGTAAGCAAAAAGTAATCAGACTTCTCTTTTTCTACATCAGATAAGATATAAACAAACACAATACTGGGTTTCATTTGTTTGAAAACAATCGTTGAATAAAGCAACAAAGTAAGACTACTCGTACGAGTTACCTGATATGCACTATCAAAGAAGGGTAATAAGCTTTTAGATCTCATGAGTTGTCGAATCTGTTCCCACTGTTCGGGGGTTGGGTCAACTCCAGTGGGATTGTGTGCACATGCATGAAGCAAGACTATAGCTCCAGATGGTGCAGCACCAAGATCCTCGAGCAAGCCTGTATTTTTTTTTTTTTTAGCATCAAAGGTTAAGACTCAAGACTATATCAAACGCCTTATTGATGAAATATGTTAATAGAATGCATTCTTGAGATCTATTTCGTAAAACTGTAAGAATATGATCAGTACACTTGCAGAATTAACTTCATTTGTGGTTATATCAAGGAGGAAACATAGGGAAAGTGAAGAGGATGGATAAATCAAGCAATAATCACTGACGAAATCAAATTGAACTAAGGTCAGTGTAACAATGAGGAAGGTGAAAGAACAAATTCATGGGGAAATTAAAAAAAACCAACCTTGGAAGTCAAGTCCACGGGTTGCAGGGTCATAGTAACGGTAGTACTCCACAGACAAGCCTGCCAGGTTGAAAATTTTGGGATGGTTTCCCCAAGTTGGTTTTGGAATGAAAATGACACTCTGCAAGAATCAGAACAGCAGTTAGCAACGTTTCTTTAACTACCTAATAGTTCAATGACTGTCAAAACTAAATGGCTTACTTGGTGGTAGTGTAATTTCAGAAACTCTGCCCCAACTCTCAACGAACCAGTACCAGACAAGCACTGGGTCGTAGTAACTCTATTCTCTTTGATTGCAGGACTGCTCATCAAAACAAGAATGTTAAGCAAATATCATGGTGTAAAAGGGATGACATTATGAAACAACAGTTGCAAACAGAAACAAAGCAAAACACCAAATTAACCCAAAAAAAAAAAAGGAAAAGAAATCAGCAGTAGATATGGTACCTGTCAGCTCCTAAGATGAGCTTGGCACTTAGTTTGTTAAAATCAGCAATTCCAACAATGGGAATGTATTCCTTGATCCGGGACCTTAAGAGTATTACAGAAAAAGTTTTTTGTCATTAGCAACACAAGAACAAGAAGAGAAAACTAACACACGAGTTAGTAATAATGTTAAAACTCACGGATCGTTCACAAGCTGTTGCTCTGCCCTTCGCACCACGTCGAGAACGAGAGGCTTCCCTTCCTTTTAAAAACCAAGAAATGAAAAACACTAATCAAAACCAAAGCTCGCAAAATGGCCAATCGAATCATTGCGACGATAACTATGCTTAGAAGATAGGCAGAAAAACAACGATTACCTCAGTTCGATAGGCACCAACACCCAAATTGATCTTCGCTGGACTTGGATCATTGTTATACGCAACAGTTACCTGTTTTTCAATAATCATAAACCTCAGAACGTTAAAACGCAAACTAATACTCGATTCACTGATAAACAAAGACTAATCAGATATTTAGTGTGCTAGCAGTAGCAGATCACTGACTAATATTATCCAAACCAATAATAATCATATCCAAACAAGTTATATATTAACAGCACATATCGATCAAAACTCTCTCCGCTCACTGAGACGCACTAAAATCCAGAAAATATAACTTCGCGCAATCAGATTTAAGCATCATAAAAATGGATCGGATCAAAAAATCAAGGAAAACGCAAAAAGAGTAAAGATGGATCTAGAGACGTACACCGAGAATAGGATCTTCGGGAGCACGAACGACTTTTGAGAAGACGGAGTCCATTGGAGAAGGATTGAGAATGCAGGAACCGGAGAGATGGAGAAGAGAGGAATCAAATAGAAGAGAATTTAATGGCGTCGCCTTTTTGTCACGGTATCAAATTAAGCTGTGTGCTGTATGATTTCTCTTTTCTCTGTGGGCGCACTTTATTTCTGACTTTCGGTATTAGTAGATACAGTTGAACTTGTTCATCAAGTCCAAAATAAATTTATTTACATTTTCTTCTTAAGGAATCAAATCTTAGTATTCCTTAATCCATAAAAGGTGATTTATAAACATAAGTATTATTTTTTGTTAATTATAAAAAAATTAATTTGTGTTACTTACTACATCTGTTCAGCTGCTTCGTCACATGATCAAAATGTCATCAAACGACCAAAAGAGAGAACATGTATCAAGGAATTTTGGTAATGCAAGTTTATGCAACAACTACAGTTTGTTAATTAATCAATTTCTTTACAAATAGACTTTTTGGCGATTTGTAATAACTATTAGACACTGTGTTTGTACATGAAATCTGTACATGATCACACTAATTTTGAATTATCTACAAACTGGTACACCTCTGTAGCAATCTGAGAAGCCCAATCAATAGTGGAATCAAAGAAAAGCTCCCAAAAGCAGAGATCAAGCGCAAGAACAGACGAAAAAATCAGCAACGCCAAGGTCTGGTACCGGTCAAGCGGCCAACGCAAAGCCTCAGCTATCTTCCTGAGAACCGGAAACGAAGTAACCTCCAAGTCCATTGGATTTCTAATAGACCAAGCCGTTACCCATCTCACCTCTGAAGGAACAAGATCAAACTCTTCTCTAAGCCGTCTTCCCAAGTCAGGCATGTGCCCTCCTCCATAAAGAATCGCAACTCTTTTATGCCCTTGCTCAACCGCTCTTCTCAAAGCTTCCGTAGCTGCTCTGTTTCTCTCCCCAATGATCACAGACTTCTCCTCTATATCTGACGTCACTTGCGTTAACCTTTTCACAAAACCAAAAAACAAGAAAGTTAAAACTCCGACACAAGAACCCTCAGAAATGTTGACATGACTGTGCTTGCTCGCTTACTCAGATGTCAATCTCTTGGCGAGGAAGACTTTCATAGCAGCTCCAAAGTCAAGACGTGAGAGAGCTTCCAGCTCTGGATAGTCTGGAGTCTGGTTCTCAAAGTCAGCACAAAAGGCACCAATGAGGAAAAGACCCACAAGAGGCATTGGGAACACCCTTGAGAACCATAGAAGCTTTGACCTCAAAGGATCAAGACCTTCCGTTGCCGTAGCTGACTTCATTATCGCTTTCGTTGATTTCACAGTCATGTCTCTCGCAAACGAGTAAAAGCTCTCACCTTTCTCCCTCTGCAACAAGACACCATTCAGCTCAGTAGTTTACAAAAGATATGTAACACTATAACAGAAGCACCAATGTGAATATCTTGAGATATATGGTTTCATCAAAGATTAAACTTGTGGTATCTTGAGAGAGACGAACCTGAAGCAACGTGAATGTCTCGAAATCGAGATCAGCGTGGTACCAGTTCTTAGCTTCGTAGTCAAGACAGTCTAGCTGGAAATCAAGAGTGAGTACTCTTGCCATCTGCCGTTGAATGAAGCCGAGGATGCTAAAGCCTCTGGAACGTGAGCTCTTCTTGAGCCTCTTGGCTGCGATTGGGTTTCTTCTGTTTTCCAGTGTCTCTTTACTAGCTACCATCTCGTACAAGATCGAATCATATTGTTCAAGATCCTTTTGGAGTGTTGTGAAGTACCTACAGAAACCAAATCAAGAACCCTTATTTCAGAAAAACATGTTGTCAACAAGAAACTAATCAAAAACCTTATCAATTGCAAAAAAAAGCTCACTCTTTATCTGCAATATGAATCGTTGAGACCAAATCCACCTGCAAATATCGAAAAATTGAACATTTTAAATGTTAATGTGGAAAATCCGAAAGTAGCTGAGATGGTGAGGTACCTGGAAGAACGGATTGAGGAGAATCCAAGGGAAGCGTTTCTTGTAGCTGACGATTGCGGTTTGCAGCTCGCTGGAGCCATTGCCGGGGTCGGGGCGGCGTTTGAACCGCATGAAATCAGCGATTGAATTGGATTCGAGGAAGAGGGCGGTGTCGGAGGTGTCGGAGGCATCATCGGTTTGTTGATTCAGTGAGAAGGAGACAAGGAGCTGTGGACGACGGGGGTTTGAGTGTTTGGTAGACCGGTATTTCGATTTAGGGAGGTTCCAGAAGCGGATGAGTTTCGGAGATGAGTAAGAAGAAGATGATGATCTGTTCGTTGTGGAGCTGTGACCTAACAGGGGAAGGGCGGCGAAGGAGCTGGCCGCCATGGTTTCCTCGCTTTTCGTTTACGGAATAGTTTGAGATTGAGAAGACAGACACTGATGAAGAAGATATTTCGCCATTTTCCAACCAGAGGTAGTTTACACGTTTCATTTTTGGAAAAAAAAAAAGAGATAAACCAAATTCTTATAAAAAAAACAATTATACAAAATACACAAAATTACACAATCTGTATGTTACTGTCCGAAAGCTGATGAAATCTTCATTTTAATGTTACACAACATCCTCGTTCTTAGAAGATAATGCTTTCTAAAAAAATAATTCACTATAAGACCTCTCTTAAACGTTTAAATGTCTGAATCCAAACTCCAGAGTCAATGTCTCAATGACATCATCTTTTGTTCGTAAAAAAGTTTATTCATATGGCCTTCTTCTCGTTGTAATCTTACATTCGTCAGAGTTGTTCCATCTTTGAAGACTCGTCTCTCGATTCCAAAACTCGACAATCCAAAAATATGCATTGTTGCTCCATCTTGGACTTGGCCTAACGCACCACTTTAAACTTCAAATTTCGTGTAGAGCATAGAAAACTCAGTAAATTTATGTAAAAATCTACGTTTATCAAAACATTAATAAATTTCAAAAACTAGATAATGTTCAACTCATCACCATAACCATTCTATAAAAATCCACCAAATTCACATGCATTATTGACGGGGAAATAGACTCTATAAATAATACACACTCATAACGCTTTTTTGTTATTTTCAGTTTCAGAAGTAAACAACTGATATGCAATGGGGCTTTGTCCGATATAGCTCACAAAACATCAAAACACTCTTCCCATTTTCTCAGTGGTCGTTGTATAAATCATTGACTTGAATGCTTGAATTGTATTGTCATTGTTGTTTTTTTATATATACATACATAATCTTCTTTGCGTCTAGGCTCTAATCTTTTGCAAGGAATAACCCTTCTTTCAGAGGGGATCGAACCCGGGTGGCATGAGTTACACTTTGTGTGTGTGTGCATTTATCTAAACATTGTGATTAAGAGGGATTAAAGATAGTTTGCTCATCTTGTGCAGTTTCATTTGCTTGCTCCTCGGTATTTAGAAATACACGAGATAAACTTTTTTTTTCCAAGCAATAGATAATTATATGAGATTTATAAAGTAATCATGCAATGTAACTTGTCAAAATGATGCATGAAACACCAGTTGCGTATGTACTTGCGGCAATAAGTAGGGGGGGGCATATGCAATGCACCAAGTGAAAAGCTTATATCCAATCTAACTTTCTTATGATTCAAGTAAATGCCTCCATGTTAAGAAATTATTTCCTCCATCTAGGCTCATTTCAAACTATAGCCTAAAAGACAAAATTTTAAATAGTAGTAATATAGCTTAATTTTCTAATGCAGAAGTTCTCGTTTTAAAGATAATAGTTCAATTTGCAAATCAATTAGTATATTACAAACTGTTTTTTACTCAGTAACAAAATCCTGAAGATCTTTTACTTGATCCACAACAAGATTGTGCACACAGATATCTATGTAGATACATGCAATGCTTAGTTGGAGCTAGTGTGGTCGGGTAAGTAATAAGTGGAACCACTTTAACCACGTATATGTTGGAGGAAAGTTAGGCACGCTTTGACATCATTCTAAAGTCAGCTTTCACGCAATCATTCTTGATATTTTAACTAGAATGTATAAGCACACCATTAGATACCATCAGCAATTTGTGTTATTCTTAAAATGAACTATTCGTAATATATACATATAGACGAAGTTATAAAATGTGAGTATAATATTGATTAAGTGTGGAAGACAACCCGACGGCAAGCTATTCATTAGGCAGGCCACTTTTGAAGACAAGAATAAAAGTGGTTGTCCTTTTTGGTGTACCTAGTAGCCCATTGATTCTTGCTTCTCCACCATGCGCCAACATTTAGATATACAATGGGTGTGTCGTGACTCGTGAGGATTTGGTTAAGATCTTACATGAGGGGATCTTGTTGATATTATGGCTATGAATGGTGATGCTTATGATGATGATGGTTATGCTGGTGATGGTGATGATTCTGATGGATAAGGGACATTTTGGTTCGGCTAAAGGACTTGAAACTCGACAACAAAAATGATCTTGTTACGGTCAGTCAAAAGAGAAGTAGCAAAAAAAAAGGTTATAAAAAGAGTGGAGTCTCCAACAAAGATATCATTCTCTTTTGAGTGGATTAACTCCACGCTTAATTAAGAGTGCATATCCATACAACATACGTGGGTCCCAATCTAATTCTTCTGTTTCTTCATATGTTTACGGTTTCGTGTAAAATACACGTAATTATTTATCACTAAAACGGGACACTACTATTGTGCTAACCACGATCGATGATATTGAACTTTAATTCCAATTCCTATCATCTTTTTGGATTTCAACGGTATCCAACTATTAGAAATAAGAATTCGAATCATTCGTTAAAATTTATAAATTGTATTGTAAAATCTACCTATTCAGTTCTTCGCATATTAGTTTTTGACTAATAAGAAAAAAAAAATGAGAGTTTTAATGTGTCGCGTGTACATTTGTACAAGAGGGGAATTGACAAGTGTACATTTCTGGCGCGTGTATCAGACTGTGGACCCCACCATAATGACAGTGGGGGCAGTATCGTAATAAAAGAGACTGCGCGTGTTGTGTTGCAGTGATGTGTATTTCATATTTGCACAATCCTCCACAGCCCACTTGGTATCGTGTTTGGCTTGCAATCCCTCACCATCATATAATAATAACATTATGGCTTTTGATTTAGTAGCCAAAGATAACGAGATAGGATAGTTACACTGTTTTAATTTCTTCAACGATTTTTTTTTTCTGTTACATACATAATTATTCATTTGTTTAGATAGTAACGGAGCACAATATGTGCATCAATATCATCTTTTATGTCTTGGTTCTCTTTATTTTCTGTTTACGTTAGGAGTCTTGTATTACTCACCATACTTTGTTTACATTAGGAGTAATAATTATGATGTCACGATGAGAAGGTGTTGAAATGAGAAATATAAGCATGCGGCAGAAATCTGGCACAAGATTTATGAGTTTTATCTGTCGCAATCATTACTCATGCTAGAATTTTCATTTCTCCCCCAATTGTGGATAACGCACGATATTACATTCTACACAATGTAAAATATGTAACTTTTTTTTTATGTGTAACATAATTGTATATAAGCAATGAAAATTTCTGTTTCAGATTCCTTTTTCAACCATCTTATCTGTTTGTCAGGATGTGATAAGTGAAGACTATCTCAAAAAAATTCATCGTAGTAAGTAGTAGTAAGTAGTAACTATAGAAGAAACGTTTATTATTGATGTAACTAAATTAGTTGAACGTTTCTGGTCCAGTCGGATCTCTTTTCGGATTATGACAGTGTATAGTTCTTGGTTCTTTAATTAAGAACGTTCTATATTTTTATATCACTACAAAATATAAAAAGTGTATAGTACTTCTTGGTTCTTCACTGTTGGCATGCTTTCGACAAATGATGTCATTCTGGTCACATACATGGTTGGAATTGTGTAAATTTATCGACAAGCATATGTTGGCAAATTCGGAGCCAGATTTACCACCGATTATTTTTACTACATGTTAAAAAAAAATTATAAAGAAACATTTTTTAAAAATTATGTGATAGTTAAAACAATATTTGAGTTAAAATAATAAATTTTTTAACTATACGGATTTTATATGCAGATATAAAATTTCCACACTAATAAACTTTTGCACTCATCAATGTTTACCAAAAAGAATGAAAACTCAAGAAAAAGGTGGAATTTTTAGATTCTATAAAAAGGCAAAGGTTGTCTCTCTAGGATAGATATCCCATCACGAAGCATTAGCACTTCTTCTTTCTCTCTCACATCTATCTCTCTCTGTTGCTTAACTTGAACATGGGAGAAGCCGTAGAGATCATGTTCGGAAATGGGTTCCCGGAGATTCACAAAGACACGTCACCCATTCAAACTCTCCACTCCAACCAGCAGGACTGCCACTGGTATGAAGAAACCATCGATGATGATCTCAAGTGGTCTTTTGCCCTCAACAGGTTTTGCTTGTCTCTTCTGTCTCAACTTCGCTTTCGTTAATTTGATTATAGTTTTTCTCTTTTTTTTTCTCCATCATTTATACTTTTTTTTTCCCTTTTCTCGACAGTGTTCTCCATAAGGGAACTAGTGAGTACCAAGAAATTGCTCTCTTGGACACCAAACGGTTTGGAAAGGTACATTTTCGTCAATTATTTCTTATGAAACTAGTTAGTTTCCATTAGCTACAAAAGTTTTAAGAGTAGTGATATACTGGAGACTAATAAGTGTGACAAAATGGTACCTAAAACAGGTGCTTGTAATTGATGGGAAAATGCAAAGTGCCGAGAGAGATGAGTTTATCTACCATGAATGTTTGATCCACCCAGCCCTCCTTTTCCACCCAAAGTATGCACTCCGTTTTATTTTCACTTACATATTTATAAGATTTTTTAACGTTCAGTCAAGTAGTTTATTTATGTAATGCACAACAACATGCCTATAGTTTCAAAACGTAGTGGAATTGAAATTTGTTAATAATTGCTTTTTGAATAGTCCAAAGACAGTGTTTATAATGGGAGGAGGTGAAGGCTCTGCTGCAAGAGAAATACTAAAACACAAGACGATCGAGAAAGTGGTCATGTGTGATATTGATCAGGTTCACTTCTTATCTCTATGTATATAGTTTCAATTTTTATTAACAGAATTCGTTCTTAACAAAACATATGTTTTTTTTTTCCAGGAAGTTGTTGACTTTTGCAGGAGATTTCTGACCGTGAACAGCGATGCTTTTTGTAATAAGAAGCTCGAACTTGTGATCAAAGATGCAAAGTAAGGAAACCAAAACAAAACCCAAAAAACAAGAGTTTATGACTTAAAATTTTCTACGTATTTACAATTTGAATGTGAAAAGGGCTGAATTGGAGAAAAGAGAGGAGAAGTTTGATATCATAGTAGGAGATTTAGCAGACCCAGTGGAAGGTGGGCCTTGTTATCAGCTCTACACCAAATCTTTCTACCAAAACATCCTCAAACCTAAGCTTAACCCCAATGGCATCTTTGTGACTCAGGTCTTTCATATTTTTTATTTATTTATTTTACAAAAACTTTTAATTTCGACAAAAAAATATAATAAAAGACTCTATTTTGATGTTTTTAAAAAAAAAATATAGGCTGGTCCAGCAGGAATATTCACTCATAAGGAGGTCTTCACATCAATCTACAACACCTTGAAGCACGTTTTCAAGTGTAAGCAAGCCTCTTTTGTATTTTCTTTGTAGAGTGACTAGAGTCATCATCGTAGGGGTTCTTTTTGATGATTATATATATATATATTTTTTTGTATAATGAAAACAGACGTGAAGGCATACACAGCACATGTGCCATCATTTGCGGACACATGGGGATGGGTGATGGCATCGGACCAAGAGTTTGAGATTGAAGTTAACGAGATGGATCGTAGAATCGACGAGAGAGTCAAAGGAGAGTTGATGTATTTGAATGCTCCTTCTTTCCTCTCCGCTGCTACTCTCAACAAGACCATCTCTCTTGCGTAATTTTCCATTTTTCTCTTCTTTCAGAAAAAAAAAAAAAAAAAAAATTCTTGATTAGTCCATTCATTTACAAAATTTGAAACTAAAATTGGGCAGGCTGGAGAAGGAGACAGAAGTTTATAGTGAAGAGAACGCAAGATTCATTCATGGTCATGGCGTGGCGTACCGGCATACTTGAAGAAGAACCGGGTTCAATTTCAGAATTAATACCATACCCCATGTTACCAACAAAAAAAAGCCGGTTTCTTTTCTCCGCACATAACCGGGCGTTGTCTTGATTGCTTTGGTTGGGTTTTTTCTTCTTCTACAATGCTTGCTTGTTTCTCTTGTTCTCTCTTTTTAACAAAAAGTATCTTCATTATCAATATCTTCAACTTAGTAATTTCTCCACACCAAATCCTTCTACCAAATCCAGAAATCGAATTAGGTCAATTCATGATTAACGGTCTTAAAAATCGGTTCAAACTATAAAAAAAATTGGAAACAAAGATGTGGAATTAGATTGAAGACTATTTCGGTACAATAAGAAAGGGTCTCTTTTTAAACCGAACCAAGTGTTCTGAGTTCAGTTAAACCGAAGCAAAGGAAGTTAAACTACTAATGTCACTGGAAATGGAACAAATGCAAGAAAGAAAGGAAAGAAGGAAATGATCATTTGTGATCTTTGAGATGAACTGCTTGAGGAAGGAGACTGTATTCGATCTCAAGCTCCTCGAGGACTCGCTTAAGCGCGATGACCAGCTCTGTTCTCCTCAGATTCTTCTCTCCGTAGTTTTGGAAGTTGATGGTGTGTTGGAAGAGCAGATTCAACCTCAGCTTGTTCATATTCTCAATCGCCTTCACCATCAACAATGGCTCTGGATACCAATTGTGTGCGTTCTGCACTAAGTACCTGTGGCCAAACATACCATTTTCTCGTCAATACACAGTGAGCTTGTGAGTGAGTGAGTTTTTATTTTTTGTGTGCGCCAAATACTTACTCTGCGATCTTTTCCTTGATAATGGGGATTTTCGAGGCCGGTGTGGAGAATGCGATGGAGAATTCAATGGAGTCTCCCATATCTGGACTTCTGTAAAAATTGCTTATTGGTTTCGATATTAGAGTCGAATTTGGATAGAACACTTTCTCGTTGTCAATCTTGAGGAACACGGTAGTTAAAAGGTCTATTTGTTCAACAAGCAACTTCAAAAGCAAAAGAAGAAGTAACGGGTTAGAAGTTTTATATGAGTAGTAATAGTAGTGAGCGAACAAATAACTTGGAAAAGGATTTACCAGTACACCGTCGACAACGCATCGGTCACCGACATCATAAGGATGCATGACGAAGACAAGCACAAAGGATTCGAAGATGTTCTTGCAAGTGCTTCCCATCACAAAAGCAAAACCCACGACTTGTGACGAGAACACCACAAGAAACTTGGTCGTTGCTATATCCATAAGCACCAACCATATGAGGAAGATGACAATGATCAAGACTCCTGTTATAATTCTGTCCACTTGCTTAACCGCTGTTTTTGTGTCGTTCAGTGAATGTCCTAATGCTTTCCTACTTGTGTATACATTAATCTGTCACAAAAATGGCACAACGTCTCAAAATATGCATGGACATGAAAAATCAAGGGTTTATTTATATGACCACGTAAATTATTAGAGCGTAACCAAAACTTTTTCTAGGCTTATAAATTCAAAGAACTTATATTTTTGGAGAAGTGTTTGAAGAATGTAATTACCACCCATTCTGTAAAAGCGTTGCGTGTGATTTTTCCGTTTTCACCACCTTCTATTAATGGGAGAACAAGGTCTACCTCTTCCTTAATCATGAACCTTAGCAGATCATCTTCCTCTATGTAACTGAAAAATCAAGAAGCAATTTTCAATTTTTTTGTAAGATTTAAAAAGAAATAAATTAAGCAGAGTGTTTGTGTGATGACTCACCTTTGGTTCGGCTGAGCAACATTGTTGAAGATATCATAAGCAGCAGCCACAGCCTCCATCTCATTAGTGATTTCTTTATCAGTTTTCTCTTTCCGATTGGTGCTCTCATCTAAAGTGTTGGATATGGTTGAGAGACCTGAAGCTCCAACGGCTTCAATCAAAACTCTCATTGTCCAAGCAGAGACCTTCTCTTGTTTCATCTTGTGAACTTTTCCCATATCAAGAACTTTCTTCTCTTTCACCTTTCCGCTCTTGCTCTTGGTGCTCGTGAAACTAAGGTGTCCCGTGCTTGGCTCGCGACCAACGATCTCCGCCTCTTCTATAAGAGGAGGTCCCGAGAGTGTTTGGAGAACGTATTGGTGGAAAACAGACTCTTGAATTCTCTCAAAGAAGTTTCTGACGTTGAACTTTGAAGAAAGCACTTTCAAGGCAAACGTCTTCACCAAGAAAAGTCCTGACCCGATGAGAAGGGAAACGGTTGTCCATGTTATAGCGTTGAGAAACTTTGTGGCCTTGCGAGATCGTTTGTCGTCGTCTTCGAACAGAAACACCCAAGCTATCAGAATCAGACCAAACCAAATGAAGACTTGAACGTTCTTCTTCAATCCATGCACAAAGTACAAGACTTTTTTACGTAGGAGATAGTTCCTTTCTATGATGAACACCACAAAATGCATGAACCAATTCGTCACCAACATGCCACTGAACGTCACCATCGCAAGCACGGACCATTTCCAAACTTCCAAACCCCAAATGCGATACTTGTTCACCGTATCAACGGTTAAACTCACAACTAAAGAGCACAAAATGCCAATAAACAGTAGCAACTCAAGCAGAGCCAGAGGACTCATTCTTCCGCTACGTTTCACTCGGTTTAGCTTAACCTTTTTATAGATCTCCTCGTTTTCATCTCTTTCATCTACTTCATCCTCAGCAACTCTACTCAGTGCTGCCGAACCAACGCTCCTTTTCGAGTTGTTTTGAGGGGAAGCTCTGTTGAAAGAAGTCCTTGAAAACGAACCAGCTCCAAAATGTTCCCTTAGGGTTCCACCATTTTCCTCTACTATAGTCTTGTCGTACCGATAAGACTGTTGTTGCCCGAACCTTGAGTTTGGCTTGGAGTAAACCGACCTCGAAAGAGATCTTCTCCGAGCTATACCATCAGTGTTAGGACTTGGAGTTTTAGGCGGCTTGTGAACGCTACCAGCGAACTTATAGATCTCAGGAGGTGGAATGCTTAACGGCTCTAGTTTCTTAGGCTCGGTATCTGACCCTGGTGAAGCCGCTACCTTGGAAGAAGCCGATCCTACTGGATCTCTTGGCGTTTCTTTATCTGAAACGTTGATCACAACGTCTCCTCCGTTGCTTGTTCTCCTCTCTGCCATTCCTAATTAAGTCACCTCTAACCAATAAGTTTGCGATGCGATTTTACCACAGTGGCTCTCAGACGAGCCAAGAAGCTGGACCAAATCCTAAGAACACGATAATAGAAAAATGTACCATTGATTAGATCAGTCACAAAATTTTACACCATTAGATACAAGTGACATCGACTTTGGATAAAGTTTTCACATTTTTAAAAAATAACCAAGTTAATTAGTAGGCCGTCCAGTCTTTGTTTTTTTTAAACGGAAAGCTAAACCGTAAACTTTAAACCATACCCTAGAAGGCTAGAGCAGAGATCTGCAAGAAAGACCACTGTTCTAAGTAAATGAGCTTTTTAACTACTCAAAAGTTAAAACAGTACCCCATGAATATTTTAGAAAACCCACCAATCCGAAGAAAGATCAGAACTTTTCCATAATAATTATGCATACTTTCATAGAAAAATTCCCTTGAACCAACAGTGCCTAAATTAAATATTACTAGCTTACTAATTTTATAAACTTACCAACATCTTGTATACCAACTCAGCTCTTGAGCCAGAACAGCAAAAGAATGCAGATGCTACAGGAGATTTTTATTGATGACTGCTAGAAAACAAACTAACAACATTTAAAGAGATAAGCCAATAGAAATACCTTGAAATCAGAAGCTACAATGGCTGACAAAACAGAGCAGGGATTGGTACGTACTCCGTATCCTTTGTGGACGAACAAAAAGTTTATATTTAGAAACTTAAAAAGAAAACACAAAAGAAGAGAGAAAAGGAAAAGAACATGAAGATCATACAAGGACACTGAGAGCGAAGCAAGTTGAAACTTTAGACCTTATTTTGCAAAGTACAAACTCCAAATTAAGTGCATTTTATAAACCAAACGAATTCCAGAGTAATACAGAAAAAAACAAATCGGCAGCAATTGAATAAAGAGAACCACGTGGGTTTCTGAGGCGTTCCCATAAAAGTTATGCTTCCGATGACAAGTTGATAACCCCAAACGTAAAATAATTGGATACATATAATCTTAGTTTAATTATATTGACATCTTTTTCTTATGTTTATTTTCTCTTAGGCAGTATAGAAAATAATAATGTAATAGAGATCAACCTCATTTAATAACATGATGTGTCCTACGTTAATACAGAACATGAAACTAGTAGCTAGGACGAGTTTTCTTTCTTCTTTTGGTCAAAAAAGAGAAGCCAGAGTCTGGTGAAGAATAAAAAGAGAACGTTGATGAATATGGCCACGGTCTTAGCCACGAAATATCCATCGCCAAGAAATTGATCGACCACATATTGGGCACTGATCTTTGACTATATATCAACTAGTTGACCGACTGTTTATATGATCAAATATGTTTAAATATGTTACATTCGTATAGATTTCATCTTGTACCTATATACACATCACCTCATTATAGATAAAATTTTATAGCTAGGGAGTTTTCGTAATCTTACATATCAGAGCTGATATAGCTAAAAACCCTAATTTTCGGTCACTCTCTTTTACATATTTTCTTCCACTGCGTCCTTCTTCGTGGGGTTTTCTCTTCCTTTTCAACTCTCTTTTTTCCCATCATGGCCATCACAGCGGAGTTCGTAGATGGGTTAGATTCCCTTTTTACATTCACTAAAAAATATTGCTATACGTTGTAACACAAAACCATGGCTATAGCCTATAGCTGTCACGGATATTCCGTATCTAATATCATATATAACCTAAATTACCAGCAAAGATCATATAGTAATATTACCACCTAGAAGTTGGAAAAGAAAAGGACAATAGGCGACAGCACGAATATATTCAGTTTACGATGCTTCTGATCTAAAAAACAGTAATTTATTTGGCGTCCTTGGTTTTACCTTTATTTTCTCAAGTGTGATAATAGTCTATCGATGACAACGAATTTGGTATTTCAATAAACTGTCTGAACCTTATCATGATTTGAACGTGCACCGCACAGGATTTTTAACGTAACTCGAATCTAGAGGTGTTCAAAAATCATGGAAAGATCCAATGGATTCTAATTGAATTATGACTGAATTTCAGCTATACTATTTAAACCTTGTACATATAATTTTATGGAATCCACTAGATTTGGAGTTGTTAGTTTTCAACCTGATTGAAACATCAATTTTTCTAAAGTAAGTTATACGACCAAATCATGTTCAGAAATCGAGTAGTCGGTTATAATTTAGCTAGTTTGACATCTTTAGGCGTTTTATCACTCATCCGCAAATATTTCATGTCAAAGCGTAACCGTATTACACATATAGTGTTTCATGGCACAAGTAAGAAAGTGGTTTTCATGCAATATGTTATTCACGCCTTAGTAACCTCATGTCCAAATATTTATAGAACTAGTCTAATAAACCAAAAAGTAATTTTAAGATTTGACGTTGAATACATTATGTCTAAACTATTTTACAGATGGCGTTACCCATAATATTATACTTGATTCGCTAAAATCTTAGTGATATTTAAAGGCCAAAACATATTATCTGCAAAAATATTTACTTAACGTTTTGAACTGTTTACTAGCGCTTCGATGGAAAGCGTTTTCTAATGATGGATGCAAAAGCAAACATGAAAATATTTATACTATAAAGCAATCTCGATCAATCTTTCTAAATACTTTTTAACGTGAAAACTTTATAATCCTCCTCATGTGGCCTCTTTCCTCGAACTCATTTGTGACCAACTGAACTTAAAAAAAGACATGTGATCAGTAAAGGATCTTTTGAAGATGTTTAGACAAATAATGCCATTGTCCTCTTCAATCAGTAAGTAAAATCGTTATCATTAGAATAATATGCACATACTAATCTTTATGTCTAAGTAAGACTAGAAAGCTCCATTATAACGATTCATATTTAATATTTCTATAACAGTTCCTTTCAAGCCTAACTCCAATAATTTGGATTTTGGATGCTAGCCGGACGAGAGGCCAGTTTCAACCAATGAAGCCTCCTAGCATATATTATTATTTTCAGCATGAATGAGCTACCATAAACTCTCTTTTTTCGACAGTTATAAAAGACTAAAAACTAAAGAGACATAAAAACATATTGTTCGATTAAAAAAAAAAAACGATAATATGGCCATTAATAGAGATGGATTATTAGTCCAATTCTAAGTTAAAGCTCGAATGTATATGGTATTAAAACTTTAAGAATAAAATGATCTAAAGAAGAGGTGGGGGAAATCTATAATAAGGTCTAGACGGTTTTGCTCTTCCTTTTCCTTTTCGCAGCGGAGGGGGAGATGGTTTTGCTCCTCTTTTTCCTTTACGCAGCGGAGGACACCTTATGAGGCATGCTTCCTCAAGATATCCAGCGAAGCAAATTTTAGGAGCTTCGACACAACACAGAAACTCTAACTGCCATGGCGTTCCCATAAACTTTGTAACACACCTTTCATACCCCTTCGGATGAACTCCAAATTCACAACTGTGAAGACCAAAGAGAGAGACAATTATGAGAACGATAAGCAAACTCTTACAAGCCATCATCCTTGGCTCTTTCCTCAGACTCTATCAAAAAATTCTTATGACTAATTATGCCACAATATTAAGGATTGTGTAGCTACCATAAACTTTAATAATCTAAAATGGTAAATAAATTTGTATTTCCTATTCCTCTAGTGTTTCCTTTTCTATATTTTTCTTTTACGGTAAGTATTTCCTTTCCTATGTTTTTAAAATTACCTTTTTTCATTGTATATGGTAATAACCGTAATATACATTGTACCAAAAAAATCGGAATTCATCTAAGGTAACAAAATAAAACCACTTCTATTTCCTTTTCTTAGTTCTGAAATGGAACAATTTAAAGGCCCATATAGAGGCCCAAATATGAAATTAAGCTTAGCCCGTACCAGATTATTTCTTCATCGGGTTTAGGGTTTCTCAGAGGTTAGGCTATATACTCAAAAGTATTTTCAGCATCTCTTCTCTCTCCGTCTGATATTTCTCTTTGCTCCTGATCTCTCACTCTCTTCCTCCTAACACCCTAAAAGCAGCATCAATGGCGGTTACCTTTTCCGATCTGCACACAGAGGAGGGTGTCAAATCCGTGGAGGAGCACCTCGCCGGAAAAACCTACATCTCCGGGTAAGAAGTTTGTCACTTTTCCTGTGTTTGCTATCCGATCGCAACTTTTCTATTGTTTCTCGATTCCCTGAGAGTTTGGATTTCGCAGGGATCAATTGTCCGTGGATGACGTGAAGGTTTACGCTGCCATTGTTGCGAAACCCAGCGATGCTTTCCCCAATGCTAGCAGGTGGTACGATTGCGTGGCTTCCCACCTCGCCAAAAGGTTCGTCCTTTTTAAATTGATTGATCAGTCAATTAAGCTTTGGATCTTCCAAAGAAATAACATTGAGCTTCAAATTGTTGCAGTTTCCCTGGAAAAGCTCTTGGAGTGAGCTTCGGTGGCTCTGCTGCTCCAGCTCAAGCTGAGGTACTTTATGCTTGTTCAAATCTTAATTTCTCTGCTCTGTTATCAAACAATGACTTTCTCTAAGTTTCTACTTCGTTTAATCATTTTAATCATAGCATCATATAGTAACTTCTGATCTGTTATTAGTGATCTACGAGCTCTGTTTGGTATAGTCAACTGTGAGAGTTCAATTAGGAATTTTGTTCAGTGTGTTAGAGACTTGGAGAAAGTTCAAGTTTGACGTGATAGCTGTGTTTGGTAGCTCGGTTTAGAAATTTTGTTCAGTGTGTTGAAGCTATTTTCCATAAATTGTGAACAGGCACCTGCAGCAGCGTCAGCTGATGATGACGATGACATGGATCTGTTTGGTGACGAGACCGAGGAGGAGAAGAAAGCAGCAGAAGAGAGGGAGGCTGCTAAGAAGGACACCAAGAAGTCCAAAGAGAGTAAGCACGAATTGGCTTTTGGTTTTATTGATAGCACATGTGTTCACTTAGTAACTGCATCTTTAAATTGATGAGTTTCTGATTGTCATCTTAACCTTTTTGTTAGGTGGAAAGTCCTCTATTCTCATGGATGTGAAGCCATGGGATGATGAGACTGACATGAAGAAGCTAGAGGAGGTTGTTCGCGCTGTTGAGATGCCCGGTCTTTTATGGGGAGCCTGTACGTTAACATCTCTCTTTTCTCTCTTTTACTTGCAAAGAAAACTTGAGTGTGGGATAGATTTCTAATTGAGTCTTTTCTTCTGGATGATTGTTGCAGCAAAACTTGTACCAGTTGGTTACGGGATCAAGAAGCTCACGATCATGCTCACAATTATTGATGACCTCGTGTCCCCTGACAACCTCATTGAAGACTTCCTCACCTCAGAGCCTAACAACGAGTACATCCAGAGTGTTGACATCGTCGCTTTCAACAAGATCTAAGAGACTCATAAACATATTTCCCTCTCTGCCAAAACAATATCATTTCCTTCCAAGTTTTGTTGCTTTTTTTTTCTTTTTATATTGAGATGTTTCTGTTCTAGTTGCAACACGTCTTTCATGTTATGAAAACAAAACATAAATTATCAATGACTATTGTTCTATTTGCATTAGTGTTATGAATTACTCAAGTACCGTGAAAAATTCTCTATAACTTCAGAAACAATCACGTATCCTGCACCTCCCATCACAATAGAAAGAGTAAGTTTTCCTCCTGGAACAAGTTGTGGCAAGCTTGCAGCTGTTGATGATGAGATTGAGTACCTATCTGACCAAGACATTGCAGCTGGGAGGATTCCGACCGATACCAGAACTACAGAAAGAGAAACCCATAGTTAGCTTTGTACTCGTGTTGAGATTCAGGTGGCTGAAGAAGAGACTTAATGTTACCTCCATATGTCCCAGCAAAATCCAAGGCTTTGAAGAAAATCTCCGGGTCCAGTAGGGACAGGACAACCGGTGGAACCAGTGTAAGAAGGTAAAGAAGAGGCTTGTTCTGCCCAGACGGGAGCTTCAATACTTGAAATTTTTGAACGAAAGCAAAAGTTATAACACAGGTGCAATAGATTTAGAAGAGAACGTCAAAAAGTTTGATTGTTTGATGATGATACTCACAGTCAGACAGGAAGTCAGCGAGGCCTAAGACAAAACCGATATAAGATGTTGCGATAGCAATAAGAGAGAATGCTTCCACAAAAGTCTGTGTGATCAAAACAAGACTGGCTTGAGGTGACCATTGGAGAGTTTATCAGGATAAGCAAGTATCAGTAAAACTTACACCGACAGTGACATTGGTTGATCTCAGTTGCTGCACAGGATCGATCATCTTCTCAGCCGCCACACCAGTATCTGGGAAAGATCCAAGAATTACAGCGTTCCACACAAGAAACAAGCCAAGTGGTATGGCCGTGCCAAGAACAATCGCGGTTCTGAAGAAGAAAGACAATTCAAAAGGCTGAGTTAGTTCCAGAAAGACTGAGTGAGTTTCACCATCACCATTGCAGGGTATGATGTCATGTCACCTTACTTTCGGCAAGTCTCCTTCAAGATCTGTGCAGAGAACCGGCACCACATTCTGTAGGCAAAGCAATGAATTAAGTAAGTTTCTTCATCTTGGAGTGAAAGAATCCAAGGGTGAATCATGAGATTTGACTGAATAGTGAATACATGATAAACAAATGAGAGGGCAATGATGGGTATGCTCATGGGAACGGCTTCAAAGTTGGCCTTGAGAAGAGCTTCCCAATGCAAGTCTCCACTCGCAACTGCCTAACAAAAAGGATCATCTATGAACTGCTATTCCCTTTCATGAGTCCAATAGTAGAAAAAGTCTTTGTCCCAAAATTGTTACCACGAGTGCTGCAAACGATGCAATTAGTCCAAACACCAGAACTCCATTGGTCGCACCGATGAACCGCTGGCTATAACCACATGGAGAAGGTTTGTCATCTCAATGTTGGAATCACTGATTGGTTTAAAGTAGAAAGCTAACCTTCCAAAGAAGCAAATGCCTCCGAGAACCAGTGAGAACAGAGTTGCACTCTCCCATCTACAGAACAATCTTGGAAAATAAGCACAAGAGCAAGCATGACACTCAGAACTGTCAGGATCAATATAAGGTTTCGTACATTGGGATGCCGAGGAAGTTTGTAAGGATGCCTGAAGAACGAGCAACGTAGGCCACAAGAAGGGTGTAATGGATGAGAATGTAGGTCCAACTACACAGCAGGAAAGGCTGGTTTCAACACTGAGGAACTAAGGAAAGCTCAAATGAGAGAGTGAGAGGGATGATTACGATGCAACTTGAACTCCAACAGATCCAAGAGTCCGCTTCGCCATTGAGACCTGTCCAAATACCAAGTCAAAGCTGAGTTTTTTTTAAGGCATCTACTCTCGCATAGAATGATTGTCGGTTTGAGGAGGTAATACGAGTGATACGCCTCCAGTGCCTAGTTCGGTCATGGTGCTGACATTCACTTCAGCAACCAGCAGACCTGTCACAACCTGTGAAGCCAAGACATGTTTCGAATGACCAATCCATTACTTGCAAGAAAGGAGAGATATATAAGAAGAAGCATCCATCATCATCACCATGAAAACCCAACAGAGGATGCACGCGACTGCAGAGGCAAGAAAGCCTGATTCTTGTGTCACAGCTGGAATCGCAAGTATCCCTGCACCAACCTAATCAAGAAAGGGTAGACAATGATAAATTTGATTCATTCCACCATTTCAACAAGAATCTTGGAAGAGAGTTATGAGAAAGAAGACTTTACTGTAGTGCCAGCAACCAAGAAAATCGCACTGGACAAACTCCCTGCAAAAGTTGATTGTACTCCAAACTTAGCCAAAACTCTATCCAAGTTTGGGAATTCACATGGCTGCTTTTAGTCCTCTAATGGAAGTGAAAAAGATACAACTATGTACCGGATTCTCGCTTCAATGTTGATCGATTAAGGTTAGAGAAGAGCCTCTCATATTTGACAACCTTTTCTTCTTCTTCTTCTTCTTCCGTTGTTACTTGTGTTTCTCTGCGTTCATCGGACACTCTTTGAGGCAAACACTTGAAGAATCTTGGGGCCTGAGTTCTAAAGAATGGGTTTGATTTGAAACCAATACGGCGTAACGAAATATGAGATCTTGGTACATGAAAAGGGACAGCTCCATTGAGAATTAGGAGTTTTGATGGAGCTGATGAGAAAGCAGTGGGTAATCGAAGAAGACAAGTGTTACGTAGAGACAAAGACATCTCTCTATGTATATGTTACTTGGTCTGTGATGTCTGAGAGATCAGATACTGTGATCATCAGTCTTCTGGTTTTCTGGGAGTCCACTTGAAAAGTTTCTGACTAGACGAACTTTGCTTCCGAGATTAACTAACATGTGTGGCTGTCTTATTTTCTCATTTCTGTTCTCCCATTAAATTAAAAAGCTATGCATCTATGCTTCCATAAAAGACGACCATTCAAAGAAGTTTTCATTTGTGGCCCAAAACGCTTTAAAAAACACAATTTGTATTCATAAATACTCTTGGATTATGTTTTTTTTTTTGAACGACACTCTTGGATTATGTATCTTCCATAATGTAGGGGTAGTAGACTTGTAGTTTACTTAAATTATTTAATAAAAGAATAAGAAATATTTTATTAAAAACTGTTATTGTATAAAGTTTTTCTCTAAGAGAAATTAACATTTACATATGTCATCGATTTAGTAAAAACATTATAAATCTTTTGATTATGATAGGATTTTGTCACCTATTTTTTTCTTAAATCTTTCTATTTTTTTTTTTTTTAATTTAGATACCGAGTGCAAATGATTAAACTTTTTAATTTTCTCTTTGATGGTTTTCACGTTTTTGATTGATGTTTTTCTCTATTATTGAATTTTTTTAAAACAAATTTGGGAAGAAAGTCAATTGATTTGGTTCCTAAAAGAGACGGGTCAGTTTGACCCAAAAAAAAAGAAGAAGACGGGTCAGAAACATTTAACTAGAAAAAGAAGAAGATCCACGGAATCTAATTTTCCATTTCTTGTCGTGTTTGATGGAATCAACATATAAATATTTGGGGAAATTTGATTTTATCTTCTTATATATTCCAGAGAGAGAGAAGGAAAACAAAATTTTAAAATTAGGGTTTATCATCTCCCCCTTTGTTCCGCTTGACTTTGGAACCTGGTTTTCTTCTGTTGACAAAAAAGGAAAAAAAGCATGAAGAAGAAGCTCCACACCCGTTTCCCAGCGGTACGTTAAATTACTTTCGCTGTTTCGTATACACGCCTCTGTTTCGTTTTCTTCGTATACACGCTCTGTTTCGTCTTCTTCGTGTGGCTTGCGAGTGTAATTAGGTTTTCTTCGTTTCACTTTCGCTGTGATTACAGGTTTTCTTCTTCTGGGTTCCATGATCTTTGTCTTCTTTACGGTTTTTGTGAATATGTCTTGGGATTGGAGTGCTATTTCGTTCAGGGGTAGAGATAATCTCGATAAATTAACCGCAGAGACATCTTATTTAGGACTGATGATGAGATAGCTGTAGATAAAGTTTCTTACTTTCTTGGATTTAAGGAGTCTGATTTTGTGAATTCTGTAATATGGTTAGATTTTCTTGTGGTGAATTGAAACACCTTCATGAGGATATTTTCTAAACGTAATCAAACTTCAAATTCTGTTTCAGACGAGGATTAAGAAGATTATGCAAACTGATGAAGATGTTGGGAAAATAGCAATGGCGGTCCCTCTTCTTGTTTGTAAGTGATGCTTTTGATTTTCTCATACAGTCTTACTCAAACGTTTGGTCACACGTTGTTTAAATTGCTCTGGTTTGAATGTTAAAATTTGCAGCTAAAGCTTTGGAGCTGTTTTTACAAGATTTGTGTAATCACACATATGATGTAACTCTCAGCCGAGGCGCTAAAACAGTAAACTCTGTTCATTTGTAAGTGTGAACCCTAATCTTCTGGCTTTGCTTGATAAACCAAACCAATTGTTTTCTTTTGCTTATTCAAAGATTGTTTTGTTTCCCAGGAAGCAGTGTGTGCACGCGTTTAATGTCTTTGATTTCTTGAGAGAGATTGTTGGTAAAGTTCCTGATTTGGGTGGCTCAGAAGCTGAAGACCAACCTGCTACCAAAAGAAGGTTAGTCCCAAGATCAATCAATCCGCTTCTCCTCTTCTATGTCACCAAATTTTGTCGGTTTCATGTCTAACAGCTTGTTTTTCTCTGACTTTTCAGGAAAGTTGTGGATGAAAGTATATGCAACGATGAAGAAGATACGAAGACCATTCAATTGGTATCTAGCCAGACTTGTTTTGCCAATGAACGGTTGTATTTTTCTCAATCCTAATCTTTTCTAAGCTTTTTCTTCTTCTCTTGGTTACAGCTTGAGGTCAAAGATACTGGCGGTGGCAGAGGAAGTCGAGGTAGAGGACGTGGACGTGGTGGTGGAAGAACAGAAAGTGGCTTTTCTCTGAAGTTTGAAGATGAAGTAGAAGATGTTTATCCCGACCACAGCAGGAGGAGCTCGTCTCCGGAAAACGGGAGCGTTTCTAATGATGATGAAGCATTGGCACAGAGGAATCATGTTAAGTCGGAGTTTAAAGTAAGGAACTTTGATCTGAATGTGGGATTAGATGAGAACGGAGAGTGTGTTGCATCGGTGGAAAGACGGCAAGAGGGAAGATCAGGCTGGCCGTTGTTTGGGATCAAGGAAATGAAATCAGAGTCTTGTGATCAACAGGCTAGTGCTAGTGAGGAAGATTATGATGAAGAAAGCATAGATGAGTAATGAAGTTTTAGTGGGGTTTGTTTCAGGTTAGGGTGAAATGACTTGAGATTAGGGGAAAGCAAGTTAGGAACTGACACACTATTATATATGGAAGAAGCAAGTGTGTGTATGAGATTGCTCATATTCTCTTAATGTAATTTCATCTTTTTCTTCTACAACTTGTAGCTCATTCATAAATTATCAATGTTTATTGTTCTTTTTGCGTTGTGTTACGAATTAATCACGTACCGTGAAAAATTCTCTATTACTTCAGAAATAATCACGTATCCTGCTGCTCCCATCACTAGTGAAAGAGTGATTTTTCCGCCTGGAACAAGTTGTGGCAAGCTTGTTGTTGTTGATGATGAGATTGAGTTCCTATCAAACCAAGACATTGCAGCTGGGAGGATTCCGACCAATACCAGAGCTACAGAAGAGAAACCATAGTTGGTTTTGTACTTGTGTTGAGATTCAGGTGGCTGAAGAAGAGACTTAATGTTACCTCCATATGTCCCAGCAAAATCTAAGGCTTTGAAGAAAATCTCCGGGTCCAGTAGGGACAGGACAACCGGTGGAACCAGTGTAAGAAGGTAAAGAAGCGGCTTGTTCTGCCCATTCGGGAGCTTCAGTACTTGAAATTTTTTCATAAAAGCAAAGGTTCTTTGGCTTTGCTATTGTTTTCTCTTGCTTATTCAAAGCTTTTTTATTCATTCTGTAGATTCATAATTTTCTAATTTCTTCAGCAACTTGTAGCTCATTCATCTCTTCAACTTCCAATAGCTCGACAATGAATATGATCAAATAGCTCGACAATGAATTCTAGTTGCTTCTCGTAATCAAGAGGAAGACAATGGTGAATCTCCTCTGTTTCTCTATCTCCCTTGTTCTTTTTTCAGCATCACCGACTCTTATTCTCAACCTCATTCAACTAAGGGAGATAGAGAAACATCCGCATGTCTAGACTACTATAACTTCCGCATGTCTATTCCCTATAACTTCCGCATGTCTCTCGTATCAAGGAAGCATCTGTTGCACGTCTAGACTACTTGCAAGTCAAGGCAACTAGAGATATTATTGCACATCTTTCCTCTAACATCCCATCGTTTTCTTGGTGAACATATCAATAGGTAGTCCACCATTCCTACACCTTCTCCACATGGACACACACATTGATCTTACATGGATACAAATGACATCCTTATTTATTATCCACAAAACATTCCCATTAGGATTGTGAAAAGCAATTGGTGCAAGGATGTCATTTGTAGCCATATAAGATCAATGCATGTGTCAGTGTTAATTTGTCACAAGGATAAACCTTCTTATTTTTGGAAAACCTATATTGATAGGACAGAGAGAGAAAAGGTACACTAACTAAGGAACTTGAGATTTTAAAAGCTAATACTTAGAAAAAGAAGATTGGATGTTGGAAAAAATAATGTCCTGAGACCAAGAAAACCGTGTACAGATTTTGGACGTGAGTTGTTGATGTGGAGTTGTCACCCACCTATTGGTTACTGTTTAGTACTATGAAAATTGGATTCAGCGGAAAGATTTTATTTTTTGATGTTCAATCTCTCGCTTTGTGTTATTGGATTCGAACCTCTCTGTTTGATATTGACTAGTTATTTTCTTAAGAATAAGGTTTAAATTTTTGTTGGTGGCTTATTTTCTTGAGAGTTCAAGGAAAATCCAGAGGTTGTAGCAACTTGAGAAGTTTTAGCTATCAAAGTATGAGAAGAATGAGAAGAACTGAAATTCTTTCAAATCTGACTTTCCTCAATAAACTCACTCAAGCTTATCTTTTCCCAAAACAATGTCACTATATCGATTCTAAATCTATGCATACAATTAATTTAAGTAAACATTCTGATATATATCTCAGAGGCACAAATCCGATATAGAATGTTGCGATTGCAATAAGAGAGAATGCTTCCACAAAAGGCTGTATATATGATCACAATAAGAGAGAATGATTCCACAAACTTGCAGCCAAAGCTATTTTTACAAGATTTATGTAATCACACATAAAATAGTAAACTCCGTTCATTTGTAAGTGTGAACACCATCTTTGGCTTTGCTATTGTTTTCTCTTGCTTATTCAAAGCTTTTTTATTCATTATGTAGATTCATAATTTTCTATTTTCTTCAGCAACTTGTAGCTCATTCATCTCTTCAACTTCCAAGCAAAGCTTTTACACACCTTTAATCAAATTGATGATATTACTAGCACTATGAGAGAGATTTAACCGTTTTTAGTAGATAGCATTTGTGATTTGAAGAAGACTTATGGTGCAATACACAAACATGAAATCACATATTTGACTTACCTAAGTTCATGACTGAGAAAATATACAACAGGTTTTTGGAGATCTTTTCATACCTCGTGAATGAATAAGATCGAGACCAACTGAATGAATAGCAAAGTTGATTGTATAACTCGTAATTCGTAAATCGTAACTAAAAGAATAAGGTGTATGTAAACTTTTTTTTAATTGAAATGTGATAAATTAAAAGATTAACCAAACGACCGGTCGGATCCAGAACCAGAACCAGAAGCAAATTATACTCTGATTTTAATTGATAAACGTCGTGACGTCGTCGTCTACCGTTCTCAAAAGAGCATCAAAACCCCAGAAAACAAAATCAAAATCGAAATCGAAACTTCTCTTTTTCCTCTCACCGTCAACAAATTCACTTGGCAAAATGGATTTCCAGGTTGTGATTCTCGCCGGCGGCTTCTCCAGTAATCTTGTGCCCTTAGTCTCCAAGGTCTCCTCTCTGTTTCTCTCTCCCTCAGATGAAAAACAGTCTTTCGCAGTAGGTTTTAGGCCAATAGCTCAATTTCCGTTTTCTCTTGTCCAGGAAGTCCCTAAGGCGCTGCTTCCCGTAGCTAATCGTCCGGTGCTGTCCTACGTTTTGGATCTGCTCGAGAGCAGTAATCTCAAGGACCTGATCGTCGTACGCCTTCTTATCTTTCATACAATTGCTGATTCCTCTTGCGAGTATTAAGGTTGAATTTTTTAGTTGGAAATGAGAATTTTCGTTCGCATTGCTGGATAGGTTGTTGAAGGAGAAGATGCCGCTCTGAAAGTTGGTGGTTGGATATCTTCTGCTTGTGTTGATCGTTTACATGTTGAGGTACTTATTCTTCTTCGTCTTTGCTTCATCTAGATCAAATGCAATGAAACTGAGATTTAAATCAATGCTCTGCTGAATATCTGACTTTAGGTTGCTGCTGTTGCTGAGAATGTTGGAACCGGTGGAGCCCTCAGGGCAATTGCACACCACTTGACTGCCAAAGACATTTTGGTTAGCTACAAGCCTACAACTAAGCCGTCTCTTAGCTTATGCATCCTCATAGCTTTTTCTTTTTGTAACTTTTGAGCTTCTTGCTAACCATGACGCAGATCCTAAGTGGAGACATTGTTTCTGATATCTCTCCTGGTGCTGTCGCCGCCACTCATAGAAGGCACGATGCATCAGTAACGGCAGTGCTCTGTGCTGAGCCAGTCAGTGGGCCATCAGAATCCGGGGGAGCTGGTGGGAAAGATAAAACCAAAAAACCTGCTCGCTTAGATATCATAGGACTTGATTCCTCGAAACAGTTCTTGTTATACATCGCCATAGGTCCTTACTTTGAACTCTTCTTTTTTGTTTCTTAGAGGCAACTAAATGCTTGAACCTGTTGTTGATTTACCTTCTGACATTGTTATAGAGGCTGAGATAAAGAAAGATACCCGTTTGAAGAAGAGCATTCTCTGTGCCGCTGGAAAGGTAATGTTCTCTATTTGTAAGTATTTTCAATGCATTTTGTCTCCTGGCTGTATGATGATTCATATAGTTACTCTCTCATTCTGGTGTAGATGGAACTTCGATCAGATCTCATGGATTCTCATATATATGCATTCAAGAGGTTGGTTAGATCTTGAATTTATGCAAACAAATGAGTTTTATCCATCTGACACTCAATATTGTCTTTCGTCTTGTGTCTTACAGATCAGTTCTGCAGGAAGTTCTGGATCAAAAACCTGCTTTCCGGAGCCTAAAGCAGGATGTGCTTCCATATCTTGTTCGTACGCAGCTGGTTAGTTGGATAAGGTCCTTGCAAATGAGATTAACAAAGATTATACCATTTGTTATATCACCATTTTAAATTTTTTGTTTGTGTTTTCTATACCCTTGAGTATCAGAGATCAGATGTCTTCTCTGAAGAAAAAACTGTAGAAGAAAATGGAAATGGGAACGGAAAGAATAATATGCAGAGCAACGAGGTGGTTTTGTCTCAGATTCTCTCCAACGCATCATTGCCAAGCTTTCATCAAGTCTATGAATCAGGTCTGAATAGCCGAAAAACCCACAAATGCTGTGTTTATATAGCGGATGAAAGTAAGTATTGCATCCGCTTGAATAGCATTCAAGCCTACATGGACGTCAATAGAGATGTAAGTTGTCTTCTCGTAAATGTTTTCCTTCTTTAGTGTTTTCCTTTGTCATTTGACATCTTGAGCTCCATGATTGTTCAAACTTGTGCAGGTTATTGGTGACGCAAACCACCTATCTGGATACTCGTTTTCTGCTCAACACAACAACATTGTCCACCCATCAGCTGTGCTTGGATCGAAAACCACGGTAAGTCCATGTCGCACGTGTAGATATTTGGCATTTGTTATGTGAGTCGTGATTGTCGTCGATAACCATTAGTGGGTTGCAGGTTGGACAAAATTGCATGCTTGGAGAAGGCTCTCAAGTCGGTGATAAATGCAGTGTCAAAAGATCTGTAATTGGGAGGCATTGCAGGATAGGCTCCAATGTGAAGGTGACAAAAGAGCTTTGAAACTCACCTTAATTGTGTACATCTCGACTTGCATAGACTCAACTTCTTGTATGTGTTGTGGGTGTAGGTGGTAAATTCAGTTGTGATGGACCATGCGACAATTGGAGATGGATGTTCAATACAAGGCTCAGTCATTTGCAGCAACGCTCAGCTTCAAGAACGTGTTTCTCTGAGAGATTGCCAAGTATGTTGATCTCTTTCTCAAATTCATATCAAATGCTTGAACGATTTCCACAATCAAAACATGATTCTTTTTTTGTATTTTAGGTGGAAGCAGGCTATGTGGTTAACGGGGGTGAGCACAAGGGAGAGACCTTCGCCAGGAAATGAAAAGCATTTCTTAGTGTCATTCGTTGGTTACAGAGACCAGTGAGGAGAAGAGTGAGAAGGATTGAAAAGTGACCCCAACTAAGGTTTTGTTGAGTAAGAGTTGAGATATTTTTCATGTGTATCTTTTGCTGATAGGGTTTGATGTTTTGCTATTAATTCCATATTTACGCTCAAAAAACTCAAAACTTTAGGGAGTCTTGAAACTTTTTGTTAGCCACCAACTTTCCCTCTTCGACAAGTCCTTTTTGCTTCGTTCCGTTGGTTTTCATGTTTTTATATCCTCAATGACTAAATTATCTTAGCTGAGTCGATTTTTGGAATCTTATCAGTACATATCAGAGAATGGTTTTGAGTTTGAAGCAGGGTAAAGAGTAAAGACTTCAAAAGTTCAGCACAAATAATACTCCCATTATAGTACACAGAATATGCCATTGATTATACCAGCTCGAAAGAGGATTTGATATATAATTTTTTTCCAATCAGTTCATTAAAAAAAAAGAAGACAATAGTAGCAGCATTTGGAGCCTTACAAGCACCATTTGCAAAAGAGGATCCAAGATAAATAATACCCATTTACGGTTAACTATTATGATCATTGTGGAGACAACAGGGAGATATGCTTCATCAGGCTTCAGTTTCATCCAGGGATTGGAGGTTTCTTATGATACTCTGAAACAAACATGAGAAGAAGAAGAAGAATCGTTACATACATAGGAATTGTAAGAAATAAAGGTTTTGTTTAGATGCAAAACCTAATGGCATCTTTATTTTACCTCTTCAGCTTCCAGCATTTCCTTTCGACGGGGTCTACTGTGAGAACACCTGAACAAACCAAACATGTTTAAACAAGGAGAAAGATTGGTCCTAAATAAAACAAGAAACTAAACTAACAGATCACATACCGCACCCGTATCCAACACCACCAAACGCCAATTTCACCAAACGTCCAACAATATTGCTGGTAGAGGTAGTATACTCCTTAATACTTGTCTCTCCAACTAAGGTGAGAGAGGAGAATACATCTACAGATTGATTCAAGCAAGTATTATTATCTGAACGAATACAAACTGATTAAATAAATATAAAAAGATATAGCTCTGCAAATTCTCACCTGCGCGGGATGAAAAATCACGGTACCGCATCCCCCTGCGACAAGACTGAAAATTTGTTCCTTCAATTTCAGTGAACAGCAACAAGAGAAAGAAAAGAAAAACATAATCTTCCGAAATTCGAACACACAGACAAGAGATCTCTTCCATTACCTTTGCAACGGAGTTTCCTAGGAACCGCAACATCTTCAAGGGTTTTCAGTCCTCGTCTAGTTTTGTGGGAAATTCAATCAAAGGGTTTTCTTCAGCTTGTAGTCCAAGTCGAGGGGATTTGATCAAGTTGGGTCGGTTTTGTATTCCCAGTTATTAAATTTGGGCCTATATATAGAAAAATTTATTCATTATCTGTTATTCTGTTATTTTTGACTTGTAGTAGTCTTGCAGATACAAACTAACGAAGTAAAATTGTAAGACTAGCATAAAGCAACATGACAATGATATTTGTGACTACATACATTTTAATGAATTCGCAATCCGGTTTTGCTAATGTGAATTTATCAAACATGACTTGTACTCATATAACAGTCACCATTTGAAGCACAGCACACAAGCGAGCTCGGGTTCAAAAATGGAGTCATGAGAAGCTTGAGATAAGGGAGAAACCAGCTGCATAAAGAGAATTTTCACAAGGAAACTTGCAGCACACTCAACCTTTATCGGTTTAATTCGCTGTTGATTCTTTTGTAAGGTGGACACTATATTAAGGTAAGGGTAAGGTAATTGATAACATGCGCCATTCATAACCAAAGTAAAATCTGATAACACAAATTTAGTAACTCAAGTCAATGTACTATAGCATCACGCCAAAAACAAAACCATAACATGAGAGCTTAGGAATAAGAATTCGTAACGTAACAGCCAATGTAACGAGAAGACAGCATTATAAAAGCAGGCTGATATTGCCCTCGTTGTTCAGGAACTAGGGTTTACCATCAGTCTCCAATTGCAGCATAGCCTGAAACAATATCATCGACGACCAGTAAAACAACTGATGTTGAATTATGCATGTACAGCAATAACAAAAGTCGAAAAGGCAACTTGTACAAGAGATTGGGAATCAAACTTGTACTTACACGATAGCGTTGCTCGGTTATAACTAGCCGTTCCTCTAAACGCTTGAGGAGCCCTTCTTCCATTCTCTTTACTTTGTACCACTGCTTTGCTCTCTGGTAGTAACCTAAAACATGGATTGATTGAGAATTAGTTAAAAGCACAAAACCGGGAATTTGAAACCAAGGAATATCAAATCCATCCATAAATTAATTCAGATTCAAAATCCATACATTTGTCAAAATGGACTAAGTATCCACCAGCGAGTGCTCCTTTAATACCACATCTATGCTCCTTCCACGATAACGTGAGCGGGTGATAGGCGACTATTGGAAACGCTCTTCCACGATACTACATATTTCGATTCAAATTGGATCATCACAAACAACGATATAGGAGAGATTTCGGATGATAAAGGAACCAATTTTTGCTTACCTTTAAGTAAATCGCTTGCGCCTGCTTCAACATCTTTTGCGTGTGCTTTAGGGTTTCTGCTCTCCCAATCTCTTCCTTATTTATTAAAAAGAAAATAACCGGTTTTGAATTATTAATTTAAATTTATAAAATTTCTTCATTTATCCAATAAAATATCAAAAATATTATGTTCTTCAAAATTTAAATATTTTAAAAAAAAAAACAATATCCTAGAAATCCAGATGAGCTATAAAGGGATTTGATTTTTTTTTTTTTTTTGGTAAAAAAGGGGATTTGAATTTTAATACAAAACAATGAAACATAGTCACATTCTAATAGATTATCATAGTTATAGTTATGTGAGTCGTGATTGTCGTCGATAACAATTAGTGGGACGTTGCAGGTTGTAACTCATTGCATGCTCGGAGAAGGCACTCAAGTGGGTGATAAATGCAGTGTCAAAAGATCTGTAACTGGGAGGCATTGCAGGATAGGCTCCAATGTGAAGGTGACAAAAAGAGCTTTTTAAAGTCACCTTAGCCAAATATAGCGGTGGTGTATGTACATCTGGAACATGCATAGACTCAACTTCTTGTATGTGTTGTGTTGTGGGTTTAGGGTGGGTGGTTAATTCAGTTGTGATGGACCATGCGACAATTGGAGATGGATGTTCAATACAAGGCTCAGTCATTTGCAGCCACGCCCAGCTTCAAGAACGTGTTGCTCTGAGAGATTGCCAAGTATGTTGCTCTCTTTTTCTAATTCATATCAAATGCCCGAACGATTTCCACAATCAAAACATGGCTTTTTTTTTGTATGTTTAGGTGGAAGCAGGCTATGTAGTTTGCGGGGATGAGCACAAGGGAGAGACCTTCGCCAGAAAATGAATAGCAAGCATTTCTTAGTGTCATACATATTTCGTTTAATGAATTAGGAGATTTTCAGTTAGTGATCTTTTGCTATTTGATTTCACATGTACTCGTACACAAACTCAAAACTTTGATGGAGTCTTTGAAACTCCTTGTCAGCCACTGACTCATCCTCTCCGACAGACATTTTTGCTTCCTTCCGTTGGTTTTGTTGAAGACGATTGTTGCACAGAGACACAAACATGTTTATTTTAGCTGTCTTATTTTTTTTTTCATTTTACGTCCTCCAATTAAGCTATATGCATTTCATTTCATTCAAAGAAGAATCAATTGGGGATTTTAAAAATAGAAGCTCGAAAGCGGATTTGATAAATATATATATTGTTTTCCAATCAGTTCATTAAAAGAAAGACAATAGTAGTATTAAACAATACAAGCACCATTCAAAAGAGAATCCAAGAAGATTAAACAATACAGATCAACCATTTACGGTCATTATTACCACTGTAGAGACAGCAGGGAGATATGAGATATCAATCCATGGCTTCACGTTCCTCCTGAATTTGGATATCTCTTAGGATATTCTGAAACAAGCATGAGAAGAAGAAGCATGAGAAGAAGAAGCATGAGAAGAATCGTAACATAGGAATTGTGAGAACATGGGGTTTATTTTACCTCTTCAGCTATTTGAAGAACAAACGTTTGCGTTCTCTACCAAAATTAATCAGAAATTTGAACTACGTATTGCTGGTCATTTTCACCAGAAATTGCCTGACGATGGAATGAAGAAAAAAGGTTTTTCCAAGTGATGTTTTTGGGGTTTTTTTTCCTGGAGAAATACTATATTGCAAGTACGGTTCTCTGTTTCGAGGCAAAAGATAAAATCAGACAACACAAATATCATGTTTGTTTGTTTGTTTGTATGCAGCTAACTCAAAATTTAAAATTGCTTGAGCACTAAGCTAATTTCAGGCAAATCAACGTACAAGCATCACGTATCTAGCTTTTTTCAATACATACATAGTTTTAAATTTCCTACGACTAACTACTGTCTGTGTATGAGAGAGTTTTTTTACGTCACACCCATATGGAGAGAAGACAAACTCGGTTACCTTTTTCACCAAAGAACATCATTTACAAGTGAACTAAGGAGGTCTGCATCTACTATAGCTAAATGCTCTGCGAGTCTCCCAGCTCATAGGTTTAGAATTCACCTACTAGTTCTAGTTCAGGCATGCGGATGAGCGTTCACATACTACATCAAAGCTAGGTCCAAGATATAAACCCTAGGGTATATATATCGAGCATAAATAAACACACAAAAGACCGCGTAGTGTCACACGCCAGAAACGAAAACATAACACCAGACCACACAAGCATAAATAAACACACAAAAGACCGCATAGTGTCACACGCCAAATACAAAACCATAACATCAGACCACACAAGGATAATTAAACACACAGAGACTCCATAGTGTCACAAGCCAAAAGCAAAACCACAACATGAGAGAGCTTAGGATTAAGAATTCGTAACATAACAGCCATGTAAAGAGCAGAAAGCTGAGCAGCATCAAATCAGGTTGTTCAGGAACTAGGGTTTACCATCATTCTCCAATTGCCTCAGTGCCTGCAACAATATCATGGACGACCAGTAAAACACGTGATGGTGAATATGAGCATGTACAACAAAAACAAAAGTCGTCGAAAAGGCAAAGATTGGGAATCAGACTGCTACTTACACGATAGTGTTTTTCTAAACGCTTGTTGTAGTCTTGGAGCATTCCGTCTACTTTGTACCAATGCTCTCTTCTCTTGTAGATACCTAAAACATGGATTGATTGATAAAATCAGTTAAAAGCACAAAATCGGGAATTTGAAACGAACGAATATCAAATCCATCCATAAATAAACAATTAATTCAGATTCAAAGTCCATACATCTGACTACGTGGACTACATATCCACCAGCGAATGCTCCATAAATACCAAATCTATGCTCTTTCCACGATTCCTTGACGCTCATCGACAGCGGGTGAGAGGCGACTGCTGAAAACGCTCTTCCACGATACTACATATTTCGATACAAACAGGATCATCACAAACAACAACTAATTAGGAGAGATTCCGGATGATAAGGAACCATTTTTTTTTGCTTACCTTTGCGAAAATCGTTTGCGCTTGCCTCAACATCTTTGCGTGTGCTTTAGGGTTTCTGCTTTCCCAATCTTCTTCAATATTCCTTTATTCCCAATCGGTTATGAATAAAAATAAATTTTTAAGTAAAATTAATTAAAAATAATTATTTTCTTTAAAATTTAAATAATTTTTTTATAAAAATCATTCTAGATGAGCAGCTTGTATAAAGGTATTTAAATTTTAATTTACAACAATAAAACATAGTCTTGCCTTCTGCCTCAAATAATCTACGATAACCTTCTTCACAATAATAACTTGCGAATCTATGAAATTTCATGTGAAATTACCTGAACCGCTACGTAAAACGTAACATCTGGAAGTAGACAAGTTCATAAAAAAACGTATTCGAGTTTGCCAGTTTTACATTCAAGTTCAAACCGAGCGGCTGTTAAATATACAAAATTTCATGGAAATAAGTCAATTTGCGAAAGCTTCAACAGAAAATGTAAAGACTTTTAATGGGTGTTTATATAACTTGTATTTATTTTTCTATCAAACGATACAGCAAAGAACAAAATGCACAAAGCTGGCCGGCCAACTTTCGTTACTTGACTCCTCCCAACTTCCCCCACAATGTAATTTTGTATTTAGAGATTTAAACCTACAAAACCAAAACCAAATCCTCCATGTTAGATGACACAAAATCTACATAACAAAGTTGTGATGGAGAATCCACAAGCTTAAAAGAGATAAACACAAGGTCACTTACTTAACAAACTTGTCAAGAGTGAGTTAAACAGTTTTCGGTTGAGTAGAAGAAAATACATGATTGAAAACGAATACAAAATTTCCCTTGGTTTTGATGTTTTTATATTCTCTTTGAATCAATCTGTTGAGCTTCTAGATGACTAAATTATCTTAGCTGAGTCGATAATATTATCAGTACATATCAAAGTATGATTTTGAGTTTGAAGCAGAGATCCCATTATAGCACACAGAACATGCCATTGATTATACCAGCTCGAAAGAGGATTTTATGATTTTTCTTCCAATCAACTCATTAAAAGAAGATAATAATAGTACTACTTGAGCATTGCAAGCACCATTTGCAAAAGAGGATCCAAGATTAAATAATACAGATGAAAGCAGATATCATGTCAACCATTTACGGTTATTATTATCATTGTAGAGACAGCAGGGAGATATGAGATATCAATCCATGGCTTCACGTTCCTCCTGAATTTGGATATCTCTTAGGATATTCTGAAACAAGCATGAGAAGAGGAATCGTTACATACATAGGAATTGTAAGAAAAAGGTTTCGTTTAGATGCAAAACCTAATGGCATCTTTATTTTACCTCTTCAGCTATTACCAGTTTCTTTGCGACGGGGTCTATTGTGAGAACACCTGAACAAACAAAACCGAACCAACATGTTAAAACAAGGAGAAGATTGGTCCTAAAATAACAAAAACTTACAGATCACATACCGCAGCAGTATCCAAAACCAGCAAACGCCAACTTCACTAAACGTGCAGCAATTTTGTTGCTGGTGGTCACATCTACAAATTGATTGAAGCAAGTATTATATCTGAACGAATACAAACTGATTAAATAAATATAAAAAATATAAAAAGATATAGCTTTGCGAATTCTCACCTGCGCGGGATGAAAAATCACGGTACTGCATCCCCTTGCGACAAGACTGCAAATTTGTTCCTTCAATTTCATTGAACAACAACAAGAGAAAGAAAAGAAAAACATAATCTTCCGAAATTCGAACACACAGACAAGAGATCTCTTCTATTACCTTTGCAACGGAGTTTCCTAGGAACCGCATCATCTTCAAAGGTTTTCAGTCCTCGTCTAATTTGGGGGGGGGAAATCAATCAAGGGTTTTCTTCAGCTTGTAGTCCAAGTCAAGGTGATTTGAGTTGATGGATAAAGTTGGGTCGGTTTTGTATTCCCAGTGACCAAATTGGGCCTAAATATACTGATGGGCCGGCAGCTTCAGATCCTATCATCGTAGAGTGAGACTGAAAAGAGGTGAAAAGCCGCCATTCAAAAAGTATATAAACCTTTGGGAATTTCATGTGTAACTTGGAAAAAATTATTCATCATCCGTTATTTTGTTATTTTTTACTTGTAGTAGTCTTGCAGATACGAGCTAACGAAGTAAAATTGTAAGACTAGCATAAAGCAACGTAACAGTGATATTTTAATGAATTCGCAATCCGGTTTTGCTAATGTGAATTTATCGAACATGACTTGTACTCAGATGGAACAGTCACCATTTGAAGCACAGGCTCGGGCGCACAAGCGAGCTCGGGGTTCAAAAATATAGTCATGAGAAGCTGACATAAGGGAGAAACCAGCTGCAGAAGGAGAATTTTCTCTACACACTATGGCATCTAACAAATCGATCCAGTGCTAAAACAAGGAAACTTGCAGCATACTCAACCTTGCTCTGTCTGAGATCAGTTTGCTAAGGTGAAACAAAGTGTCGTTCGGGTTAATTCGCTGTTGATCATAACGTTCTTTTGTAAGGTGGACACTATATATGTTTCCCCCATATATCATCAAATTGCATGTACTTGATGTAAAATATATACACAACTTCATGGAAACAAGTCAATTTGCGAAAGCTTCCACAGAAAATGTAAAGACTTTTAATGTGTGTGTTTTATAACTTATATTTATCTTTTCGATTAAAACATATAGCAAAGAACAAAATGCATAAAGCTTGCTTCGATTCTTCCAGCTTCCCCCACAATGTAATTTTGTTCTGTTACTCCTTCCTGCATAACCAAAACCAAATCCTCCATGTTAGATGACACACAATCTACATAACAAAGTTGTGATGGAGAATGCACAAGCTTAAAAGAGACAAAAACAAAGAACACTTACTCAACAAAGTTGTCAAGAGTGAGTTAAGTAGCTGCTTTGGGTGTTCAATACAAAAAACGTGAGAGTCCACTGCTTCAGCCTCTAACCTTTACCCCACCCATCTCATCAATCTTTGAGCTCCTATGCTGCAACAAAATGTTGATTATTAGAACGACTGAAGTAAAATTTGCTAAAGAAAAACTACTCTAACAAGAAGAAGCTATGCCTGAATTGCCATTAGTACATTACCTTACTCTTTTTGTGCCTCTGACCATCATCAACATCTTCATCTCCATTGTGTTTCCTTTTCTGAAAGTTAAGTGATAAGAGTACCGATGTAAGTTCTATAAAATTCAAGAATCCCAATCTAAGGTTCCATGCTCCAATATCCAGAGCATTAGAACGAACAACAAGAGAAGACGGTTCTCTTAACCTTATCGTGGTGTCCACTTTTCTCCTTCTTCTTGTCTCTATCCTTATCTTTGCTCCTATCTTTATGCTTGTGCTTATGCTTCTTATGTTCCCTATCTTTCTCCTTGCTCCTATCCTTGTGCTTTCTATGCTTCTTGTCCTTATCTTTTGATTTTGAAGCAATGGTAAGAGCTCCCTTCTCTCCCTGTAACAAGAAGAAGCAGAGTTAGATTATCTACACTACACTCATGTGAAAGGGAAAGAGAAAGCTATAATATCCAGAGCAGATTCTCACAGGAGGCAATTCAACAGGAGCTGTATCGTTAAGCTCGAAGGCCTCCTTAAGCTCGTCAAGCACAAAAGGCTGGATGCGAGCATTATTAGCCTCTCGGCTACTACTATGTGATGATGATGCGTTTGGAAGAAGCTGATCCAGTTGCATTCCTTCTCCTTTTCTTATGTCTGTGTCTCCCACCACATTATGAAGGTAGTGAGCATCTGAGAGCGACTCCGGGAGCGATCTCTTGCAGAAGAACTCATGGTGCGGCAACAACTTGTATCGAGTTATGAGATCAAATGCACCGCCCAATTCTCTTGGTCCTGCAGTGAAAAATTACAGAAGCTCATTGGAGAATCGTTGAGATTAAGATGGTGAAACAGAGTGATGCATAAGATTTTAAGATAATAGCTAAAGCTTGAACAAAGTTTTACCTCCAAACTTGACGCTCTCTGATTCCATATCCGAATTTGCACAACGAATAGCTTTGCCGCGATCAACTGCAATTTTGTAGCTAAAGAAAGAAGAAGAAGCAAAGGAAAAATCAAATCACAGAGTCAGTGAGAGAGAGAGAGAAGAAAAACAAACAAACAAAGAAAGGCGAAGCAGCGACTAACCACTGGCGTACACGTTTTCACAGGGCAGATCTCATCGCAAGTCCGATTTAGAAACCCTAATCAGCAAAACTGAAACACCTCTTCGATTTTCCCAATCGGAATTTGTTCGGCGGTGAGGACAGGTATCGAGGAGAGCGGAAGTAACAATGGGGGTTGAAGATTAATCGCTATTTCTTCTTCTTCTTTCTTTTTATTTACTGTATGTGATTCACCCGTTTTTTAACAAAAGGTTCTTCGTGGCCTTCACGCGCCTCTTGAAGCGTTGACCAGTGTGGTGGATCCATAATTCCATATGCAAATCCGATTTTAACCTCGCAATCTTGTCGGGACGAACTTCGTTTTTTTTTTGTTAATCTACTTTTTCAATAACTCACGCGATACTATGTTTATTCCTTGAGTTTATATACATTGAATGGTTGATCTCATCATCAATTTTAGCCACTACTTGGTACTAGCTATTTGTGGAAATTTTGTCATTATACAATCCCTACTTATGTAGTAGCCAAATGCGTGCGTATATTTCCAGTGTCAAATACGTGGTCATTTTTTTTGTCTACGAATTTAGTTTGACCAAGATTTAGTGACCATCTCTGACTAAAACAAAAAACGTCACAAATTTAAGGTTTTTGTCGTAGAAACCAATATATGTAGCTAAAACCTAATCTTCTAGCTATTAGCATTGGGGGGCTTCATACATGAGTTGGAAAATTTGTTGGGATATTCTCACAACAAGTTTGTTTTACGTTTAAAACCCGTCTCTAACACTTAAGCTCTTTTGACCAACCAGGAGTATCTTAATAGATGATGCACATATAAAGATCACAGAAGCGTTACACTAATGCATTTACACACTTAGCCATATTTTTGCTATATCGCACTGACGAGAGAACGATTGCGACTTTATGGAACAAGGCCCTAGTTTGGCCTGATACAACAGTTAATGTAGGTCAGGATCCTCTTCTTCTTCTGCATGATAATAAAATTCGTAATGTAAGAGATAGAGTAATACTCTACATGTAGGTTGTATAAAGGAAACACGCTACCTATTGATACCTTTCATATACATTCATGAGAGTATTATGAAAATGAAGAACAAAACAGAAAATGGAGTTTTCATCGCTAGAAAATAGGAGATATGGGAATTGAATCACATGCACTCCGTCCATGCCTGCCCCTTTAAAGTTGGAGGCTCCAAGCAAAAGCTACTTGTGTAACTCCCATTAGTTTTTAATATATGATTAAAAGAAATGAAGATATAGTGACTTGAATCCGCAACACCCAGTGGGGGAAAAAAGATTGATATGTTACCTGACTATGTAAATGGAATTAAATATGTTCCCAAAATTTAAATAACTTCTATGGGGTGTAACTAAGTGATGGCCGTATATGTCAGAAAAGTCAAGCCAAATTAATGGTAAAAGTATGGCTAAGTTTTTTGTGATTTGGTGAAATGTTATACCACCTTGTGATGATCCATGCGCGTTGACTAAGGGGAAACGGATCATCACAAGGTGAATATATATATATATATATATATGAAACACTCAAACACAGAATGCATACAAGAGTGAGTAGGAAGAGAGAGAGAGAGAGAGAGAGAGAGAGAGAGAGAGAGAGAGAGAGAGGGAGAGAGATGTTAATTACCATGACAGGGTCATCGTCTTGGGTTTGACGGCGATGGTGATGTTGCTGGTGGTGGTGACGAGCACTTGCCAGGAGTTCTTGTTCGCTTCCCAAACTAAAAGGTCTCAAACCAGCTTTGTTCTGCTTCTTGTTAGCGCGAGCTTTGGAGAACACAACCGAGTAGTTTGTTGCGTCTGGTCCTGTTTGGTCCCACCCTCCGAACTGTGGCACTGGAGTCCATCCATCATTCTGTACACATCCATTATGAAACCTCGTTAGTTTGTTTTAGGAACCAATCATTTTAACAAGAAACTAAGCAGAGACGAAACAAGTATTGAGATGTTGAGATTGCATCGGTTAATTTTCCCCATTCTACAAACGCGCATTAACCGATGGAAGCTCAACATCTCATTTTCGAAAATCATGCTAAGTCAAGAATCACATGATTTGGATAAAAGAAAGAAAAAAAACATGAAATTTATTAATTCAGAAAACATGCCTCCCTCCTCTTTTCCATTAATAGTTATTTGCTTTGTTTAGAAGAAAGAGGTTCTTAAACATTGATGAAGGCGTGCATGGTGAGGAGGAGGACGAAATCTCTTGAAAAACCCTACTTTTTCCTTTATAGTAAGATGCTTGTGATTCACGATTCCTTTTGGAGCAGATTTAGGTCGTTTTCTAAACTTGGGGGATTTCAACCAATGGTGTCCCGTTTAATGCGGGATATTATTAAGTAATAGTAACTTTGCATCCTTCTGGAAAAGGCTGTTAAAGACAATACAGAGACGAAACACAAAAACTAAAACAAACTTGTTATCATATTGTTGTAAGTAAGTTTAGTTCTGGCCCATCTCTGCTGGTTTTCGCTCATTTGGTGAATGAATCTTTTTTTGACTTCCTTGATTGGTGTGTGTCTGTTCATGAAAGCACTTTAACAGAACCTGAAATAAAATGCAGAATACAATACACACGGCATGAAGCTAGGACATAGCCAGAGTATCTACTATTTTAATCTATAGAGTGAGCTTTCACCTAACAAGCATCAGATAGGAAAAAGACAGTAGCATCCTTATGAGCAATCTCCATTCCTTAGGCGTTTGTATAGATCCAAGTAACCAGATGATTCTGGTCTGATGAACCTGCATCCACAAATTGGAACAGAGTAGTTTCAGAAATCCAGTGTCAAAGCATATGTTTTTCTGTTATTCTGACTTTAACATGTGTAATGGTCTCTGCTCATAAGCTGTGAATCTACTATGCATAGTCCACAACATGTACAACAACCCTTTTTTATCTAACTGTTCTTACACAACTCCCTGATCCAAACCCTCCTATATCGATATTACCAAATCCAAGGCAGGTATGTTCTTCAGGGCAGAAAGTATTTAGTTTTGAGAATATAAACGCAAGTAATTTGTTTCTTTTAAGTAGAAACTATGGGAGATAGGAGTTACTAGTACCCGTGGCGAAACAAGAAGTCAATAATGACAAGGGAACAGTTGGCCTTGAAAAAACTAGTCTTCCGAATCACATTAGCAACTTGAGCTACTGGAATCAACTTGAAGCTCTCAACCTCTCCATCTGCAATGAAAAATGCATATCTCTCCATAAGAAAAGCAATTCAGGATTGCTCGCTCATGCATGCCTTACTAGTGAATGCCTAACCTTGGTTTTGGGGAACAAAGTCTTCAGGGAGTTTCAAATCATAACAAAACAGCACATCACGTTTGAAGCAGTGCTTATCGATATCCATGTATGAAACAGCACCGACCGCTATCGCCCTGTAAATATGCAAAAAGTTGAAAACATCAAGAAAGCTATACATCACATACTACTTTGTTTAAAGACTTGAGGAAAAAGTCTTAACCTTTCAGCAATAACTTTGGAAATCCCAGCTTCTTCTTCGCATTCCTTTACTACGTTCTCACCGCAGCTTATCCCATGAGGCTATGGTTCCCACAAATGAGAATTATAATCAATCACTAGTATAGAGTTTGTAAATCATGATGAATTACTTCTTACCAATCCTCCAGCAACAAGATGATCAAGCATTCCTGGATAAGTGGATTTTGTGAGGCTTCTCTTACCTATCCATAGAAACTTCTCTCCATCTCTTTCTACATAACCATTCATGTGAATTCCGTAACCCTAGAACAGATAACAAGAGAGCCACGTATTTATGGAAGAGCATCTAAATATGGTGTTCATTTCTACAAGCTGAAACAAACTCAGTGTGAGTATGGTTATACCTTTAATCCGAAATAAGGAGCAGCAGCACGCTCTAGCGAAAACAAGACGGGAGCATCAAATGATGGTTTCACAGGATACAGCTGGTGAAGAAGAAGAAGAAAAAAGATCAACAGAATGAAGAAGACAGCTACAAATGATAAAACCTAAAATGAAGCATCTTTGGTGAGTGTTAACTAGGAGATGAAGTCAAACATTGACACATGACATACCTCATTTCGTATACCTGGAATGATTCCTTTGTCAGCCAAGATTTTGATTACATCTGCAACTGCTCTGGTTCTGTCTTCAGGCTTTTCAAGCATCGGATTAAGTGTTACATAGCCACCAACGCGGTCGGGGGCAGAAACATTAAAAATATCAGCAAAGTCCCTCAAGTACTCTGTAAATCTGTTTCAATGTATAGACAAACCATTTGAGCGCATTCAAATTCGAGATTTCTGCCAAAACTAGCTTGAGAATCTCATGAAAGAAAGTCCAAAATTGAGAATCACAAAAGCAGCAGAGAAGAGATAGCTTACTCATTGTGAATGTAACCAACGATTTGTTCCTCTATAACAAAGGGAATGAAGTCAGCTACTTTTTCCTGACAAAAAATTGAATTCCATACAAAGAAAAGCTAACGTTTTTTCAGCTTTTTCCATTTGTCAATTTCACTCTCCTATGAACGAAAGAAGCAATCATCGAATTCAGTGGACTTACGGATCCGCGATTGCAATGCTCGACTTTCTCGAGAAATCCGTTGAGGTCTGAGGAGGAGTTGTGAGGCGCATACTCTGCTCGACCGATCTCTACGACGTCGTCCCAGGTGAAGGAGGAGCTTATCGGAACAGTCGCAGCAGCTGATAAAGCTCGGGAAATACGCAGCGAACGAGTTGGTGCAACGCGCCGCGCAAGCGCGTGGGAGGAGAAGAAGTAAGTGAGAGTAGGACGCAGTGAGCAAAACCCAAATGCCATATCTCGATGGAGGAGACAATTAGAATTATCCGAGGCCCTTGTTTTTTTTTCGATTCTAGAATCTGATTGTTTATTTGATGGATTCAAGCTCCCAACTATTCAAACTTAAAAAAAAAAAACTCTTCAATCATTTTGAGCTCACAAAAAAATTACTTTTGGTTCCGGATCGTTTACACGTTCCCACTAGATTTTGGTATACATGCGCAATGTAGGAGCTTTGAGGTACAATTGGCATCCCTGATCGTAGCTGCTTCTACAAAGACTCCGGTCATGGGGTTGTCTTGAGTTTTAATGGGTTTGGTGAACACAGAACTAACACAATGTTATGTAGGTTTCATCTCAATTTCGGATACAGGATTTCTAACAAATTTTGAAACTTTGGTAATGCTTTGTGTCCTTTCTCTTGTAAACGCCGAATTGTTTGGGCATGGTTTTTTGTCTTTTTTCCAAATGTGGTATATGATTTTGCATGTTAGAAACCAAACTCGTGATCAGTAGGCAAAGCTTTCAAGATTTGGGATGTCAACGAGTTTTACATCTCCTACTATAATTTAAAAATATGCAAGTTGTTTGATCTAAGAGTTAGAGAAATGTGGAACATATTAGTTGACTGATTCTAGTCTGGAAATGTCTTGAAATTTTGTGTTCTAATTGTAAGTACATGACTAATGGCAATGAGATCCAAGATCAAGTGATCGAACATGTAAAGATACGCTAATACCAAAGCAGATAAATAATCTTATGATCGATTTCATAGATACTTTCTTTATATAATATAGCAATTTTTATGATTGGTTTCAAACACATAATTAGTAACCATAATTAATGATTTGATTTCAGACAAAACACTAGTTTAAGTGAGTGAATTGTACAATAGTAGTGGTAGATATGTTTTTTTCTTCCTCTCTACTCCGTAGAGATGATCAAACATGAGACATTTTTTTTTTCATTTTAAACATTTTGTTCATTGGAAACAATTATTTTAAGAAAGTTTCGAGGGAGGAGGATAAATAATTAAAAGACAGAGAGAGAGTGGGTGAGTTTTGTGTGTGCGACCGTGTGAGACTGTCATTTGCAATTGGTTATCCGCTGATTCCATCATAAGAGAGAAGAACAATAAAATAAAAAAAGAGAGTCTCTTCGTTGCTCTCACTTGGAACAAAAAAAAAAAAAAGAGAGCGAGAGAAAGAGGGAGACTTTGACTCTTCTCCTTCTTCTCCTTTCTCTCTGTCACTTTATCTCCCCTCTTGCTTCCGCTTCATTCACCTCATTTGATCATCTCTCTCCGGTTAAGCTCTCAGGTCTGTGTTTCCCTTTCCATCAAAGCATCGCACTTTTTGAAATTTTCACCTGATTTCCTTTGCTAGGGTTCACTTATCTCCTCTTCAATTTTTAGGGTTCTTCATTTCGTTTTGTAAATGCCCCCATTTTTCTTCTCGATCACTGCTTTTGTCTATTTCCCTTCATCGAATCTGATTGTCTTGCTATATGCTTTTTTGAATTTAGTGAGACTCTCCGTTCCTAAATTTGGAATTTTTTTAAAGAGATTATTGATAAAGTTTTAAGCTTTCTTAATTGGGAAAATGAAAAGCTGACCAATTTTAGCTGTTTGATGAAATCTCAGGACTTATCCGATTCGATTATACAATGGGAAATTGCTGTGCGAGCCCTGGCTCTGAAGCCGGGAGTAAAAATGGGAAACCAAAGAACAAAAGCAACCCGTTTTACAGTGAGGCATACACTACAACAAACAGATCCGGGACTGGCTTCAAGCTCTGTGTTTTGAATGATCCAACAGGAAATGATATATCTCTCATGTATGATCTTGGGCGTGAGGTTGGCCGCGGAGAGTTTGGTATTACTTACTTGTGCACTGATATCAAAACGGGAGACAAGTATGCGTGCAAGTCTATATCGAAGAAGAAGCTTAGAACAGCAGTGGATATAGAGGATGTTAGGAGGGAAGTTGAGATCATGAAGCATATGCCTAAGCACCCTAATATCGTCTCGCTTAAGGATGCCTTTGAGGATGACGATGCAGTGCATATAGTGATGGAGTTGTGTGAAGGAGGTGAGCTGTTTGATCGGATTGTTGCTAGAGGTCATTATACTGAACGTGCTGCTGCTGCAGTCATGAAGACTATTCTTGAAGTTGTTCAGGTTTGTAATTATTTTACTTCTTGAAGTGGCATGCCCTTACTGTGTAATGCTAGTTAGGGTTGCTAATTTAGCTTCCACCTTTATGATTTGTGGTATTGCAGATATGCCATAAGCATGGAGTGATGCATCGGGATCTAAAGCCGGAGAATTTTCTCTTTGCAAATAAAAAAGAGTCATCACCCCTTAAAGCCATAGATTTTGGATTATCAGTCTTCTTTAAGCCTGGTATAGAGTATATGATATATCCATTATATATCTCAGATTTGGAGAGATGTTTTTGTTCTGTTTAGTCAACTTGATTTATTTTTTTTTTGAATTTTGTTACACAGGTGAGGGATTTAATGAGATTGTTGGAAGTCCTTATTACATGGCACCAGAGGTACTGAGGCGAAATTATGGACCTGAGGTTGATATCTGGAGTGCTGGAGTTATCCTTTATATCCTCCTCTGTGGTGTCCCACCATTTTGGGCCGGTGTGTGTTATTATTATCCATCTTATTGTCTTTATCTCTGTTTCCAGTTGTTGAGTTTCTTCTCATAATATAGTTTTTTTTTTTTTTGTAAAGAGACTGAGCAAGGGGTGGCTCAGGCGATCATTAGGTCAGTCATCGACTTCAAGAGGGATCCATGGCCAAGAGTTTCTGAGACTGCTAAAGACCTTGTGAAAAAGATGCTCGAACCTGACCCCAAAAAACGGCTTTCTGCTGCAGAAGTACTTGGTATGTTCTCTATTTGGCTCTGTGTTTCTAAAAATTCTATTACTTATAGAATAAAACATACCATGGATTCTACTTGCAGAACATTCTTGGATACAAAATGCGAAGAAGGCTCCAAATGTTTCACTCGGTGAGACTGTGAAAGCAAGGCTCAAACAGTTCTCTGTTATGAACAAGCTCAAGAAACGAGCTCTACGGGTAGTGATTCTGTTCAGCATTGCACAACGGCTTAGTGACTTTATTTTCTGTCGGATTCTGAAGAAATAGTTTGAAACTCCTTTTTTCAGGTGATAGCCGAACATTTATCAGTGGAGGAAGTAGCTGGCATAAAGGAAGCGTTTGAGATGATGGACAGTAACAAGACGGGCAAAATTAACCTCGAGGAGCTTAAATATGGACTTCATAAACTCGGACAGCAGCAGATACCTGATGCTGATCTACAGATTTTGATGGAAGCTGTAAGTTAAAACCTTTGAATTTTTGTGTTCCTGCTAAATTTTACCAAGTAACATACTGTATATTAGAAAACATTATTCTGTGTGTGTGCAGGCTGATGTAGATGGGGATGGGACTTTAAATTATGGCGAGTTTGTGGCTGTCTCTGTTCATCTTAAGAAGATGGCGAACGACGAACACTTGCATAAGGCTTTTAGCTTTTTTGACCAGAACCAGAGCAATTACATAGAGATTGAGGAGCTGCGCGAGGCTTTAAATGATGAGGTGGATACTAGCAGTGAGGAAGTTATTGCAGCCATCATGCAAGATGTTGACACCGACAAGGTAATCCCAAATTTGAGACTTTAGTAATGAAATCTTGTCCACTACAGATGCATCTTAAACAAAGGCTCACACAATAACCTTAAAGTTTCATTTGGTTCTAGGTTACTGTTTCTGTGATCTCCTTTGCTGGATTTGTCTTTGATTCTCTACTGTTTAACCTTATTTACTTAGAGATATATAAGATTATGTGTTCTATAAGAATTGTGCATATCATCTTGAATCGTTCTTTGATGTGATAGTTGGTTTGGAGGTGGATAGCAGTTTATGCAAGTAAGTCTTGTCTTGATCCTTTTTTTGATTCTTGGTGATTAGGACGGACGAATAAGCTACGAAGAGTTTGCGACGATGATGAAAGCTGGGACAGACTGGAGGAAAGCGTCGAGGCAGTATTCGAGGGAAAGATTCAACAGTTTGAGCCTCAAGTTAATGAGAGACGGTTCATTGCAATTAGAAGGCGAGACCTGATACAACTTGGTCTCTTTCAAAAGCAGTAAAGTTTCTGTTTCTGTATCTCTTATAAAGAAGTAGAAAGAACAAGAAAGAAAAAAAGCAGCATTCTTTGGAAATTTGTCATCTTTTTTTTTTTTTTTTTTTCCACAATAATTTGTAGATCAGTGTTTCAGTATGTTTTTAGTTACTTGTTGAATAGCCAGCCATGTACGATATATGAAGATGCTCTTAAATTTTATTTGAAAAAGGTAATATCTTGTTTGATGGAACCAATAATAAGGTACGAGAGAACGTTGACATATATTTGACCAACAAAAGAAGTAAAAGAAGAGAAGAACGTTGACATGTTCCAAATATTTATCTTATACATTGCCTCAAATGATTTCTCAGAAGTGGATGAAACCTTTTTCCTTCAAGGACTCGACGGTCTCCTTGACGCTAACCTCAAAGGGTATGTAGTCTATGCCAAGGCTCATCGTTTTCTCCTTGGACACTTTATACGTTGGCACGTAAGGATTCTCATCCTCACACCTGCGCACGAGACAAAAAAAGCTTTTGAAACCGGATACAACATGGACCAGAGAAATACATTTAGATATATGTTTGTTCACCTTTCAGGGAGTTGGAGATTTGGGTAAAGCTCACGCAGAATGTTAACGATCTCGGAGTGATGAGTGACTCTCTCGACCAAACAATAACGTCCATTAGCTGAAGGGATCTCAAATGCTTGGATGTGTGCGTTGGCTACGTCCTTTACATAAACCCATCCATAACTCAAGTTGGGGAAGGTCTCTGCACCTGCATAACATTTGACAAAAAGGATCTTAAGATTTAAGAATCATGAAAGGAGTAGAAGTCTTTATTTCCCTTACCATTTATTAAGCTTAGTATAGCAGCAGCACTAGTGTTCAGAGTTGGCTGCAAGAGAGGACCAATCACCATTGCAGGGTTAATAGTAACCATGTCTAAGCCTTTCTCTTTAGCAAACTTCCAAGCAGCTTCTTCCGCCAAGGTTTTGGATAGATTATACCACAGCTGCATCCAGTAATAAAGCAGAACTTAAGCTTGCCATATGTTGGGATCATAACTTGGATGACAAGAAACAGAGTTTTCTCAAGTTTCAAACACACCTTTGAGGCCTTGCAAAACTCAGCATCAGAGAACCAAGTTTCATCTGCGGTTACGTCAGGTGTGCGTGGTTTACCGTTGTAAACAACGGCTGCAGTGGAAGAGGTCACAACAACCCTTTTGACTGAAGATGTTTTGGCGCATGAATTCAAAACGTTGAGTGTCCCCTTGACCGCAGGATCGATAAGTTCAGCCTGAAATGGGGATCAGAAAAGTTAAGAACAATCCAAAAAATATTAAAATAAAACATATTGGAGGATAAATTATAACAACCTGTGGGTCTTTGACATCATGATAAAATGGGGAAGCAGTGTGGAAAACTCCCTCACATCCATCAATATCCGAGTCAAACGACCCTTCTTCCAAAAGATCTGCTTTGAACAAGTGAAGTCTTTCTTTTGCACCTTCCAGACATAACAAGTGTTGTGTCTTTTTCGGATCACCTAAGTTCATGAAAGAATCAACAACAAAATTATAATAAACGCCAAAAAAAAACTATGATTTGTAACAAGTAGAGACAAGGAAATCAAGGGATAATTCTTGGTGTTCTAGTTTTTTATCCTTAAGATAAATTTGGTTTCCAAAGCATCAATGTACGTAAGATAACTCTAGTCACGCATACGTAGATATCAAACTAAAGATATAGTATTTGAAACCTAGAGCGAATGTGGGAGAGAAGAGAAGAGACTAGGTACGGAACTTGGGTCTCGGACGGATGCGTTAACAGTGTAGCCACGGTTAAGGAGGAACTTAACAAGCCACGATGCTATGTAACCGGATGCTCCCGTTACACACACTACTTTACCTTCACCACTGCTTCCCATTTCTCTCGATTTCTATGTCAGTCTCTTTCTTTGACTACTTTTTTCTTGTTTCTCAAAGTGGACGGACCAATCAATGCCTATATATATACCATTTTTGGATATATATTATATTCCTCTTTGTGGATATCTTGATTTTGGCTGATTTCTTTCACCTATTTTAAAGACTAGTGGTGCTATTATTTGTCCTTTTCGTGGCAGAAAATCAGGTAGGTTGAGTGTTTTTGTAACAGAAATCCACATGGAAGGTCCACCTACCAACTCCTCAGATAACTAAAACATTATTATCCTCATCACGAAATCCCATAAATTTGTTTCTAAACCATCCAAACTCTCTGATTCTAACTGGATCCATAGCTGTAGTTAAAAACCATCCAAACTTTTACATGTTCACGCCAACAAAATCAAAAGCCACACTACGTACATCTATCTCATCGGATCAATGACAAAAAAATAACTTCAAAGATTTAATGAACAGGGTAAAATGATATGAATATGGGACAACAAAGTTTATAACAAATATATTATTTAATATCTCATAATTGCGCATCCTTATAGTTATTTACAAGTCTTCAACGGTTCTTTGATGGGATAGTTGGTTTGGAGAGGTAGATAGCAATACTGTGTTACGTGTAAGATTACATAATAATTTAGCTGTTTATATCGTCAGCATTATAGTTTTATTTATCTAATAAGGTTTGATCCACTGCCTCAAATGCTTTATCAGAAGTGTATGAAACCTTTCTCCCTCAAGGACTCGACCGTCTCCTTGATGCTAACCTTCAAGCGTATGTAGTCTATTCCAAGACTCCTCGTTTTCTCCTTGGACACTTTAAACGTCGGCACGTGCGGATTCTCATCCTCACACCTGCGTACGTATGAGACAAAAAGCTTTTGAAACTGGACACGACCCGGAGGAGTGAAATATATTTAGAAATGTTTGTTTACCTTTCAGGGAGTTGGAGATTTGGGTAAAGCTCACGCAGAATACTAACGACCTCAGAGAGATGAGTGACACTCTCGACCATACAATAACGTCCATTAGCTGAAGGGACCTCAAATGCTTGGGTGTGAGCATTGGCTACGTCCTTTACATTAACCCATCCATAACTCATGTTGGGGAAAGTCTTTGCACCTGCATACGAACAGATAAGTCGAAGTGAGTTTTTTTAACATTTTGACAAGAAGGGTCTGTAAGATTTAAGAATCATGAAGTTTTATGCTTTACCATTGATTAAGCTTAGTATAGCAGCAGCACTAGTGTTCAGAGTTGGCTGTAGGAGAGGACCGATCACCATTGACGGGTTAATAGTAACCATGTCTAAGCCTTTCTCTTTAGCGAAATTCCAAGCAGCTTCTTCCGCCATGGTCTTGGACAGAGCATACCACATCTGTATCACAATAATAAAGCAGAATTTAAACTTGCCACATGTTGGATATTATATATAGCACATGTAGTAGATGTCACACCTTTGAGTCCTTGCAAAACTCAGGATCAGAGAACCAAGTTTCATCGACGGCAGGTGTGCGTGGTTTAACGTTGTTATAAACTGCTGCCATTGAGGAGGTTACAACAACCCTTTTGACCGATGATGATTTTGTGCAAGAATTTAAAACGTTGAGTGTTCCCTTGACCGCAGGATCAATAAGTTCTGCCTGAAATGGTGATTAAAAAAAAAATAGTTAACATCATTAAATAAAATAAAAAAATGAGAATAAAACATGTTTGAGGGTAAAATAAAAAACCTGTGGGTCTTTGGTGTCAAGATAAAATGGGGAAGCAGTGTGGAAAACTCCATCGCATCCGTCAACAACAGAGTCGAATGATCCTTCTTCTAGAAGGTCAGCTTTGAACAAGTGAAGTCTTTCCTTTGCACCTCTCAGAGACACCAAGTGTTGTGTCTTTTTCGGATCGCCTAAGGGGGGTGATTCATTAATTAATCAACAACAAAAGTACAAAAAAGAACAACTACAAAGAAGATATTACATCGGACGGTTCTTACCGTTCCACAAAGATCCACGACCAGGATAAACGGCTTTGATTGCACCACGTTGGAGATTTTCTACTGGTATAAAATCATTATAATTAACCAATTAATAAACCAAAAGTATCCAAGTTCACCAAAAAAAAGTTACAGAAATAGTATTTGAAAATATGAGAGTGAGTACTGAGTACGGTACTGGGGTCTCGGACGGATGCCTTAACGGTGTAACCACGGTTAAGGAGGATCATGACGAGCCTCGATGCGATGAAACCGGTTGCTCCTGTTACACACACCACTTTACCTTCACCAATGCTTCCCATTTCTCTCGATTTGTACGTCAGTCTCTCTTTTTTTACTACTTTTCATGTTTCTCACGGTTGACATATATATAGTCCATTTTTGGGGTATATATTATATTCTCATTTTGTTATATAATGATTTTTCGTAATTTCTTTCACCAATTCTGAAGATTACTGGTAATTTCTTTTTGTTTGTGAAACAAAGAGAAAGAGTAGTAGCTCCATTATTTGCATTTTGAATGGTCATCGAAAGGTAGGTTTATTGTTTTTTAACATAACTCCACCTGCTTAAGCGTCTACTTACCAAATAAACCAAACTCTTTCCCCGCCAAACTATTAACCTCATAAACTAATGATAATCTTTATTGTTAAATATAGTTTAATTATTTTAAACAGCTTTTGTGATTGACCCATTACCTACCTTTAATCCAAAACCAAACCCACTAAGTAAAAAAAGAGGTTTTGAAGAAAGATTAAGTCGTAGATAAAAATTCTGATATCTTTAAGTTGGAGAAGATTGCATGAGAAAAAGTCTGTCTTATGATTGATTGGGATCTTTTACACCGACCACTTCATACAGCCTGAATCACTAACATGACTTCTTCTTCTTCTTAAAAGTTGAATTGTTGAAAAACTAGATGGCAGTCGAACTTGATGACTAAAAGGAAATTCTTATTTGATGGAACCAACAATAAGGTACGAGAGAGACCATACTAATCTCTCCTTGAAAGAACGTTGACACATGTTCCAAATACATTTTATCTAATAAAGTTTGAATCCATTGCCTCAAATGCTTTCTCAGAAATGTATGAAACCTTTCTCCTTCAAAGACTCGACAGTCTCCTTGATGCTAACCTCCAAGGGTATGTACTCTATCCCAAGGCTCTTCGTTTTCTCCTTTGACACTTGATACGTCGGCACGAACGGATTCTCATCCACACACCTACATGTGTACAAGACAAATAAGCTTTTGAAACCGAATACAACATGGACCAGTGAAATATCTATAGAGATGTTTGCTTACCTTTCAGGGAGTTGGAGATTTGGGTAAAGCTCACGCAGAATGTTAACAACGTCGGAATGATGAGAGACTCTCTCGACCATACAGTAACGTCCATTCGCTGAAGGGACCTCATATGCCTGAATGTGCGCATTGGCTACGTTCTTCACATTAACCCATCCGAAACTCGCGTTAGCGAAGGTCTTTGCACCTGCATAAAAACAGAGAAGTCGATATGAGTTCTCTAACATTTTGACAAAAAATGGTCTCAAGATTTAAGAATCATGAAAGAAGTAGGAAGTTTCTTGCTTTACCATTAATGAAGTTCAGTATAGCAGCAGCACTAGTGTTGAGAGTTGGCTGCAAGAGAGGACCGATCACCATTGCAGGGTTAATGGTAACCATGTCTAAGCCTTTCTCTTTAGCGAACTTCCAAGCAGCTTCTTCCGCCAAGGTCTTGGACAGAACATACCACATCTGTGTCACAGTAATAAAATTTGCATTTTTAGTTTGAAGAGCTAAACACAATGTTTCATCATTATCAGAATCCGTTTTTTTTTAATTTCCAAAACACACCTTTGAGGCCTTGCAAAGCTCAGGATCAGAGAACCAAGTCTCATCGACGGTTATATCAGGTGTGCGTGGTTTACTGTTGTAAGCAACGGCTGCTATGGAGGAGGTTACAACAACCCTTTTGACAGAAGAAGCTTTGGCGCATGAGTTTAAAACGTTGAGTGTCCCCTTCACCGCAGGATCAATAAGTTCAGCCTGATTTGGTGATTAAAACAAAAAAGTTCAGATCATCATCAATCCACAAACTTAAAACAAGTTTTGAGGGAAAATTAAGAAACCTGTGGGTCTTTGACATCATGATAGAATGGGGAAGCAGTGTGGAAAACTCCTTCGCATCCATCAATAGCTGAGTCGAATGATCCTTCTTCCAAAAGATCTGCTTTGAACAAGTGAAGTCTTTCTTTTGCACCTTCCAGAGACAACAAGTGTTGTGTCTTTTTCGGATCACCTAAATCATGAGAGAACCAACAACCAAATTACAATAAAAGCCGAAAAATGTGATCTGTAACAAGCAGAGACAAGGAAATCAAGGGATCCTTCTTAAGATAAAACACCAAACAAGAGAGAAAATTCGATATCAGGATCCAAGCTCACAGTTTACTAGTAGAAACCCAATTCTTCTAAAAGACCTAGATTCAATCAAACTAAGGAATTAGTCCTATGAACCCTAGAGCGAAATGTAGAGAGAGAAGAGAAGAGAAGAGAAGAGAGTAGGTACGGAACTTGGGTCGCGGACGGATGCCTTAACGGTGTAGCCACGGCTAAGGAGGAACTTAACGAGCCAAGAGGCGATGTAACCGGAGGCTCCTGTTACACACACCACTTTACCTTCACCACTGCTTCCCATTTCTCTCGATCTTGTCTGTTTACTGTTCTGTTTCTCTAAAGTGAACGGACCAATGCAATATTAGGGGATGATTGGTAAGGGCTGTGGTTGCTCTGCACAGCCCTAAATCTCTCTACAGCAATACAAAATTACCAATCACGCTCTCATTCTATCTCTTTCTATTTTTGAAACACAGAGCAATTTTTTTTATTTATGGAAGTTCCATGGCTTTGGAAATCAATTTTTCTAGAGCACCAAATTAAGTGCTCTTAGAATTTTCTTTTTTCTCTTTCCTTATTAATCTTTCAATATTTATTTTTTAATCTATTATTTCTATATCTTAACTTTTTTGTTTTAATGCTATATTTAATGACACAATCTACAATAAAAAATCTTACAGCACTAAAATCTAGAATCACAGCCAAAATTTCTACAGCATTAATTCTACAGCAAAAAAAGTAAAGTTACAGCCACAACCAATCAGGCCCATAAAATATTCCCTTTATGTTGGGGTATATATTAATATTTTCACTAGTACTGATATTATTTTGCCATTTGCGTGGTCAGCAAACGGTGGTTGAAACTTGGACCACCACCGATGTGGGAAATGGAATGTGTTAGTTATCAAATTCAATTTGAGTTTTTTACCTACACATAACTTTCACAAAGTCCCACCGACCAACTAAATCATAATTTCTTTGAACCTTTTAGTGCCTATTTTCCACCGATCACACATGCCAGCCAGCACCACTAAACAACATGATGACCTCATTCTTCTTCTTCTCCTTCATCAACATTCGAACCTTTACATGTTCACGCCAACAAAATGAAAAAAAAAACACACTACATCTCATTGGATCAATGATTGAAAAACACTTCAAGATTTATTGAACAAAGTAGAATGATAACAATATGAGACAAACAAAGGTCACAACTCTATGTTGTTTCTCTAGAGTGAATTGGATACTTTTTAAGAGCCATTTACTTACTTAATCCCTCCTTAAAAGAAAGTTGACATGTTCCAAATATTTATCTAACAAGGTTTGTATCCATTGCCTCAAATGCTTTCTCAGAAATGTATGAAACCTTTCTCCTTCAAGGACTCAACGGTCTCCTTGATGCTAACCTCCAAAGGTATGTACTCTATTCCAAGGCTCCTCGTTTTCTCCTTGGACACTTGATACGTCGGTACGTATGGATTCTCATCCTCACACCTGCATACGTACGAGATCAGTTAAAAAATGCTTTTGAAACCAGATACAACATGGACCAGTGAAATACATATTTATATATGTTTGTTTACCTTTGAGGGAGTTGGAGATTTGGGTAAAGCTCACTCAAAACGTTAACAATCTCGGAGTGGTGAGTGACTCTCTCGACCAAACAATAACGTCCGTTAGCTGAAGGGATCTCAAATGCTTGGATGTGTGCGTTGGCTACGTCCTTTACATAAACCCATCCATAACTCAAGTTGGGGAACGTCTCTGCACCTGCATGACATTTGACAAAGAGAGTCTTAAGATTTAAGAATCATGAAAGGAAGTAGAAGTTTTATCATTTATGCTTTACCATTGATTAAGTTTAGTATAGTAGCAGCACTAGTGTTCAGATTTGGCTGTAGGAGAGGACCGATCACCATTGCCGGGTTGATAGTAACCATGTCTAAGCCTTTCTCTTTAGCAAACTTCCAAGCAGCTTCTTCTGCCAAGGTTTTGGATAGATTATACCACAGCTGCATCCAGTAATAAAGCAGGATTTAAGCTTGCCACATGTTGGGATCATAACTTTGATGACAAGAAACATACCTTTGAGGCCTTGCAAAACTCAGCATCAGAGAACCAAGTTTCATCCACGGTTACGTCAGGTGTCCGTGGTTTACCGTTTTGAGTAACGGCTGCCATGGAGGAGGTTACAACAACCCTTTTGACAGAAGATGTTTTGGCGCATGAATTCAAAACGTTAAGTGTTCCCTTGACCGCAGGATCAATAAGTTCTGCCTGAAATGGTGATTAAAAAAAAAAAAAAAAGAGTTACAGAGCATCAATACACAAACTTAAAAACAAGTTTTGAGGATAAACTAAAAACCTGTGGGTCTTTGACATCAAAATAACATGGTGAAGCAGTGTGGAAAACTCCTTCGCATCCATCAATAGCCAAGTCAAACGATCCTTCTTCCAAAAGATCTGCTTTGAACAAGTGAAGTCTTTCCTTTGCACCTTCCAGAGACACCAAGTGTTGTGTCTTATTCGGATCACCTAAGGTGATTCATGAAAGAATTAACAAAAAAAAATTACAATAAAAGCCAAAAAAACTATGATTTCTAACAAGCAGGGAGACAAGGAAATGAAGGGATCATTCTTGAGATAATTTTGGTATCCAAAGCATCAATTTAAGATGTAGCTTTGATGGACTAGAGAAAATTCACACAATTAATATATGAGGATCCAAGCTCACAGTCTACTAGCAGAAACCAAATTTAAAAAGACTTAAATTCAAACTAATATATGCATATGAGAGAGAAGAGAAGAGAGTAGGTACGGAACTGAGGTCTCGGACGGATGCCTTAACAATGTAGCCACGGCTAAGGAGGAACTTAACGAGCCATGAGGCTATGTAACCGGAGGCTCCTGTTACACACACCACTTTACCTTCACTCATTTCTCTCAATCTATGTCTTGTCTCCTTCTGTGTTTATTGTTTTGTTTCTCTAAGTGAACGAGCCAATGCAATTTCCCTTTTTGTTGGGAGTATATATATTAATATTTTCACTACTGATATTATTTTGCCATTTGTGTGGTCAGCAAATGGTTGGTTGAACTTGGACCACCCACCCATGTGGGAAATGAAGTGTGTTAGTTCTCAAAACCAAAAGAAAGACGCACTACATCTCATCGGATCAATGATTATAATAAACTTCCAAGATTTCAATGAACAGAGTCAAATGATAACAATATGGGACAACAAAGGTCACAACTTTTCGTTGTTTCTCCAAACTCCCTCATACCTTATACAGTGGTGTGAGTGACGGGGAATAACCACACAACATTAAAAACTAGTTGCTGTACAGATCATGATGGTACTAAGTAAATGGAAGTGGGTGGTGACTTTTTTAAGCGCCATTTACTTACTTACAGAGAGGGCGCATCCACACTCACTTCCTTCCAAACCTAACCAAATGAGCCTCGTGCTTCGCTGCTGCAGTTACTTCCGCTGCTTTGTTCGCAGCTTCGCGCTTCATTGCCCTCTTTGCACGCCTTCCTGTTGTGTTTGCAGTCTTCACCTGCTTATCCTTAGGCTCACATGAGGATGACCCAGAACTGGAACCAGAACTAGAACCGCTGTGTTTCTGGACTGGCCTGGCTTCTTGACGCCCGGACCTGACAAAACCATTGCCCCCCCATCTCCTATTTCCTATCCGAAGATTTGACCCGTGCATGTAAAACTCCTCAAGGTCATCATCTTCATCCTCGTAGTCACAAGGAATGTCAAAATCATCATGGTAACCGTAGCTGTCTGACGCATGTTCCACCACATCCAATGGTATAAACCAGGAGGCTCTCAGGAGAAGGCATACACTCTCCTCAAACAAAAAATCTTCAATGCTGCATAGAAACACAACAGAGTATTCAGTACAAGGCACAAAAAGTTCCAAAAAAACTATGGTAATTCCCAAGACTGATCAAGGAAATGGAGTAACATTACGCAATATGTTAACAAAAGAAGGAAACTCACCTGCCATCAAGAGCCCGGTGGACACTGAGAAAATCAAATGGATGCTTGCATTGGGGGCATGTAGGACTCTCTTTGCAACTCGCCCAACGAAGTATGCATGTCACACTGAATAAACAGAAATGAATTAGTCCTCTTAAAAATTGATCTGAAGGAATCAATAAGTTACATATTACAGATTATAAATGAAAGGAAACAGATGTAGAAGAATACCAGTAAGTGTGTTCACAGCCTTTGACCATAGCAGTTTCTTGAAGAGGAATTTCATTCAAGCATATTGCACAACAGCCACCATGATTCCCGAAACCTGGCTCATGGATCTCTTCCTGGATCTTCTTCTTTTCCTGAACAAGTTTCAGATAAACATTTTAATTACCTCTATATCCACGACATCGTCTTAAAAAGAGTTATGTTTAGGTGTAAGAAACTTACGTTCTACAAACTTTGGGAAACGAAAATTAAATCAAATATATGGACTTCAAGTAACAAATTCAGCATACAGCCACTCTACATTGAAAGAAAGAAAAAAAAGGGACAAAAGCCACAATCGTCCAATACGAAATCAAACACACATTAAGGCATTAAAAACCGTAAAAAAATTCTTAAAAACAAGAATTTTGTAGCTACAAACATTTCCACAGAGAAGCAGAAGCATAATCGAGAATTCATGCGGTGAAGACGGGTGGATTCAGCTGAAACTCCCAGTCAAGAGCCACAAAGTAAATATATTAAAAAAAAAAAAGCCATTTTTATCTGGAAATGCGCAGATAGATAAAATCAGGGTAGCAAGAAAAAACCTGATCTTGAAGAGGCATATCCTGAATAGCGTCGACCGCTTGCTGCACATACACGATCTCGATAACGGAAGTCATGGTGGCGATAAAAATAAATAGAGAATCGAAATCTCAGTGTCTAGAGAAAGGAGAGATTGGGTAGAGAAGATAGATTTTCTTCGTGAATTTAATCGTAAAAGAAGAAGGAGGCTTCTAATCTGACGAAGGATATTCGGATTAGAGAGAGAGAGAGAAACAGAGAACCGAAACGAGAAACGGAGATGCGACGAGAATGATTCCGATACCTCTCAAACAAAGAGACAATAGAGAAGCCAACCTTCTTCTTCCTAAACGACGTAGTTTTGTCTACAAATGCATGAATGCATCATACCATGTATTAGATAGAAAATCAACATTTTGTAGTATTAATCTGCGTGTAAAGATAAATTATACTAGCTTTTTCTTCAAACTGAATTTCCAAAGAAATAACAGGAGAATAAATGAATGAGATGCATTGTACATTTTGTTTATGAAACTAAAAATAGTTTCTTTTTTGTTTTGGAAAATTGTTAATCTTATCCGGAATTTAAAGTTTTGAAAACTTCCAAATTTATATCATCATACATTTCTATTTGTCCTATTTTAACAAGAACAAAAAAAAGACTACAACTCATAGTTAGTAACTTTGCCATGAGAGAAGAAGAAATGTACATTTATATACTTAATCTCTCTTTGAGCCCAAAACAGATAAAGGAATGGGACGACCGGACGATGCTATTAGGGGTCAGACGAATCAAGATCTTTCTCTAAACAAATCTGATATCATACACTCAAAGAAGAAATGGTCTTTCTTCTGGTCTATTTCTTTCCATTAGGTACTCTACGACAAGTACATATTATGACACAGAAACGTCTCTCACTCTTGAAACGATCTTTTCGATATTAATTTGCTTGGGTTCTGGTTTCGATGGAATCATGGTTCACCATGACTTTTTTGTTCTTCTGTAATTAGTACTGTAGTAGGTTTCTAAATTCCCTTTTAAAGTTCACAACAGAAAGTTTTAACAAGTAAAAAAAATATTCTAACAAGTGGTTAAATCAACCATAAAAAAGAAAAGAAACCAATATATCACGGAAATAATATTTGGCAAAAAAGCTTGCCGAAAAAACAAATATTCGGAAAAGGGAAAAATGACATTTAAATCCCGAATTTTCAAAATTCGCCATTTTAACCACCAACTTTTACGTGGACTAATTATATGACAAACTTATGTTGACTTTAGTTTTAAATCCCAAACTTTTGTTGACTCGGCCAAATTAGTCCCGGCGTTAAGTTGCCTAACAGACCAAATAAACATCGTTAAATCCACCTTAAAAACCTCTGTTAAGTAAAACGATGTCGTTCTAAAAACTCAGAAAACCACCCAAATCAAAACACTTTCAAACCCTAAGTTGTAAAATCGATTTCTCTTCAGAATTCCCAAATCGATTTCCACTCAGCTTTAAATTGATTTCTCTCTTTTTCGATTTCTTCCTTTTCGATTTCTAACTACTATCGAATGAGATGACAAAAGCAAAACGAAAAGCAGTATCACGCAAAGGTGAAGAGATTGACGATGGAGGTGATGGTGAGCCTGAAATTGACGATGGAGGTGATGATGAGCCTGTAATTGAAGATGATTGTGGCGTTGTTGGTGATGATGATTGTGACGATGTTGATGATGGTGATGATGAAGAAGCTGATGAGAACGACGTGAACACTTCAGGGGTCGTAGAAGAAGGTTGTGAAGACTTAGTACAACATTTTGGAGAGGCTGCAAGAGATGATGAATCTGGGAGTGATGCAGATAGTGGAGATGATATATGGGATGATGAGAAGATTCCCGATCCTATGTCATCCGATTCTGACGACGACGATGAGGACGAAGAGCAAGGGCAGCGAGAGAATGACGATCCTGATCAGTTGCTAGCATTAGGAAAAACTTTTAATACTCCTGAAGATTTCAAGCTTGCGGTTCTAAGGTACTCACTGAAAACTCGTTATGACATCAAGCTATACAAGTCGCAAGCTATGAAGATTGGGGCAAAGTGCTCGGACACCGATGTTAACTGTGGATGGAGAGTTTACTGTTCTTATGAGAAGAGGAGACATAAGATGCAAATAAAGGTGTATGTGAATAACCATACATGTGTGAGATCAGGTTACACGAAGATGTTGAAGCGATCAACAATTGCATGGTTGTTTTCAGAAAGATTAAGAAAGAATCCACATATTACAAAACAGGAGATGGCTGCTGAGATCAAGAGAGAATACAACTTGGTTGTAAGTGACGACCAATGTGGGAAGGCGAAATCAAAACTCATGAGAGAAAGGAAAGCTAGTCATGAGGCCCATTTTGCAAGGGTATGGGATTATCAAGCAGAGATTTTTCAGACTAATCCACACACCAAATTTGAGATTGAGACTATCCCAGGTCCGACCATTGGCAGCAAAGCAAGGTTTTATAGGTGTTATGTTTGTTTTAGTTCACAAAGAGAGTCATGGAAACAAACATGTAGGCCTATCATAGGCTTAGATGGTGCTTTTCTGAAATGGGATATAAAGGGTCATCTTTTAGCTGCTGTTGGTAGAGATGGAGATAACAGGATAGTGCCCATTGCGTGGGCAGTAGTCGAAGTAGAGAATGATGATAATTGGGACTGGTTTATCAAACAACTCTCTGGAAGTTTGGATCTTGGCGATGGCAGAAAAGTTTCAATCATATCCGATAAACATAAGGTTAGTATCATCATTGGAAAATAATCATTTATACTTTTTGTTTGTAATCTTACATCTTATCATCATTTTCTTTACAGAGTCTTGTTAAAGCGGTGAAGAACGTTCTTCCCCAGGCTGAACATAGGCAATGTGCTAGACATATTATGGAGAATTGGAAGAAAGACAGTCATGATAGAAAACTACAAGAGCTGTTTTGGAAGATAGCTCGCAGTTACACTATGGGAGAATTTACGGACAATATGGAAGCATTGGCAAGGTACAATCCTTATGCTTTCGCAACTCTGCAGGATACTAATCCTAAGTCTTGGTCCAGGGCTTTCTTTAGGATAGGTTCTTGCTGCAATGATAATCTAAACAATCTGAGTGAGTCTTTTAATAGAATCATTCGTCAAGCAAGGAAAAAACCTTTACTGGAATTGTTAGAAGATATTAGGCGACAGTGTATGGTACGTAATGCAAAGAGGGCTATTATTGCTGGAAGATTGAAAAAAAGATTCACAGTTAGAGCTCACGAGGAGATAGAAAAGATGATAGCAGGGTCGCAATTTTGCATTAGATATATGGCCAGGGATGATTTTCACGAGGTTGAATTAAATAATGATCGTTATTGTGTGGATATGAACACGCTAACATGTGGTTGCAAGAAGTGGCAAATGATTGGAATACCATGTGTTCATGCTGCAAGTGTTATCATAGCAAAGAAAAGGAAGGTTGAAGATTATGTGAACGACTACTATACAACAAGAATGTGGCAGGAGACATACAGAAGAGGTATTAAGCCTGTCGAAGGCATGAAAGTGTGGCCTAGATTGAATAGATTACCTGTCTTGCCACCACCATGGAGAAAAGGCAATCCTGGTAGGCCAAGTAACTATGCCAGGAAGAAAGGCAAAAATGAATCTGCGTCAAAATCGAGCAAGACGAAGCTATCACGAGCTTTAAGAGTTATGACATGCTCAAATTGCAAAGAAGATGGGCACAACAAGCAAACTTGTGAAAATCCGTTTGTTGAGAGTCAACCTAAACGACCAAGGGGTCGGCCAAAGAAATATCAGGTTTGTGTCTTTCCATACTATCAAATCTGACATGAATATTCTGATTAGTTGAATATAAAATAAAATATTTGAAACAGGAAGGAGATTCACAAGCTCATGGCCTTTCACAAGCACAAAGAGTCTCACAAACAGAAACAGTTTCAGAACCACAAGGAGTCTCACAAGCAGAAAGAGTTTCACAACCACAAGGATTTTCTCAAACACAGGGATTTTCAAAAAGAAAAAACGGAGCTGCACAACCACAAGGGTCTCAAGGACAAGGATCACAAAGAGAAAGAAGACATGGAGTTGCAAAGCCACAAGGATTTGCAGGACACGGATCACAAGGAGAAAGAGAAAGAGTTTCACATGCTCAAGATCAAGGTTCAGAAGGAAGATGGGCACAAAGACAAAGATCTCAAGGACAATTATCTCAAGGACAAGGATCTCAAGGTGTGGGACCATGGTTTTGATGTTTGGTCACAAATCTTTGAAATGTATTTCTGGCATTCTGTTTTATGAAACTATGCGGATGGGATCATGGTTTAGTGTTTTGACATTTTATTTTTGTTATTAGGGATCATGTGTTTTAGATTTGTGAACTGGTTCTTTTTTTTGTTGTATCAGATTTTTGATCATGGTTTGTCATCATGGTTTTGCTGGTTTTGTATCAAACATTTTTTATGCTTTCATCTTTGTTCATGAAATGTTTTTAAATCCACATTATGCGATGAAACACAGAGCAGAGAAAGAAAGAAGGAAACAGAGCAGAGAAAGAAAGAAGAAAACAGAGTGAGATGGGAACATTGTGAACTGGTTTATTACGACATATTATTCAAAGTTGGAACTCATTGGAGCAGGAAATATAAGAGAGGAGAAATCGGAAGGGAAAGGAGAATTTGATCTGTTAAGGATTACAATCAGATGAGAGGAGAGATCGAGAAGAATCGATTTGGGAATTCTGAAGAGAAATCGATTTTACAACTTAAGGTTTAAAAGTGTTTTGATTTGGGTGGTTTTCTGAGTTTTTAGAACGACGTCGTTTTACTTAACAGAGGTTTTTAAGGTGGATTTAACGATGTTTATTTGGTCTGTTAGGCAACTTAACGCCGTGACTAATTTGACCGAGTCAATAAAAGTCTGGGATTTAAAACTAAAATCAACATAAGTTTGTCATATAATTAGTCCACGTAAAAGTTGGTGGTTAACATGGCCGAATTTTGAAAGTTCGGGATTTAAATGTCATTTTTCCCATTCGGAAAAGCCTTTCACATACTGGTTGTACA